AGAGAGAGAGAGAGAGAGAGAGAGAGAGAGAGAGAGAGAGAGAGTTAACTTCACTGGCAGCACACAGTTGGAGAAGATCGGAATGGCGCCTTCGGAGCCGGAGCAACTCAAACGAATCCATCGCAGGAGCCATCTTATGGCAAGGGTAGTACAATATTGAACTTATTGGATATACCGAGTCTCGAGGTACTACACCCGCCGCGTGGCCACCCACCCAGGACCATACTCCTTTACTTGCCACATACCAAGGGCCACCGCATATCGAGCTCGGCCTTCACTCACACCCAGGCCTGACCATTGGCAGTCATGAATGCTTCTTCCCTGGTCGCGCAAGCCGAACCAAGGGCAGGCTTACTCGTGCTCCTTCATCCTATCGGTCAAGTTCCTGCTCTCATCATATGCGTCGACATCGTACTTGCTGAACTTCCTGGTCGGTACCTTTGCGGCGAACATGAGATCAAGCTCCTCGTACGTGCGGCCCTTTGTCTCAGGCAGTCTGAAGAAAGCCCATACTAGAGTGAAGAATGCACTGCCGAACCAGAAAAATCCCGTGTACCCCTTCCAGTTAAGTTCGTCCGGGTTCATGAAGTAAGGCTCAATAACGTTCGCGATGATCTGGACGATGTAGTACGAGTTTCTGGCTAGACAAATCGTCTTGGACCTCAGCCGGGTCGAGCTGACTTCGGCAGGCACAGCCCAACCAACGGGCCCAGCGGACAGGGAGAAACTGAACAGCCATAGAATGCAGAAGGCGGATTGCGTCCAGGTGGCACTGCTGCTATGCTTGGCGATGGCGAGGAACCCGATGAGCAGCAGGCAGATGCACATGGACATCATACCCCCAATGTAGATTGTGCGACGACCCGCGATGCGCATGAGGATCCACGAGAGGATGGTGCCGACAAAGGCGACAGCCGTGCCGCCAAGAGCCAGTTTATAGGCGTCGGCCGCGCTCATGCCAGCTTGTTCGAAGAAGTAGGTGCCGCTGTATGCGAAGGTGGAACCTGCGAGCACCTGACCGGCGAAGATCACGCAAGCAATCTCGGTGCGCCGGAGGTCGGTGCCCTTGAAGCAGTCAAAATAGGAGGTGCCACTGGTGGTTTCGAGTTCGATCTCGTTGGTGTGGACCATCATGGCGACGATATTTTTTGACCGGGGCTTTTCGTGCTCGGCCATCAATCTCTTGACGCTGTGCTCAGCCGCTTCGAGCTTCCCTTGCCGCGCGAGCCACCACGGAGACTCAGGCATGAAGAATGCCACAATCATAAGAGGAGCAGGCCAGAGCCATTGAATCTGAGAGAAGTCGCGTCAGTATACAAACTGGTCATGGAGAGAGCCTGGAGCACTCACAGCCCAAGGAATCCGATATGACCACTGGTCGTCTCGTGCTAGAAGACTCTGGAGGACTCCGGCAGAAATGAACTGGCCAATGGCAAAACACATGTTTGTGTACGCAGTGAGGTAGGGTCGGAATGCTAGTGGGCACACTTCAGAAGCATAGGCAGGTCCGATCGTGGCGAAGATACCCCAAGGTACGCTAATCCGAGTCAAACACTGATAGACTCGATGTACTTGAGTTCAACCTACCCAGAAAGGACTTGACCAACAGTCTGTAATTCAATGGACTTGCCGAAGAAGTTGATGAAAATGAAGCCATTCATGAGAATCAGACCGACCATGAAAACAGGCTTGTACCCAAAGCGCTGGATCATCCAACCATTCAGCGTAGCACCGACGACGCAGCCCGCAGTAGGACCGCTGCCCAAAGCGGACTGCCACTTGCCCGGGACCTGGTAGTTCTTCGACACTTGGGAGTATTCGCCGAACTGGGTGCGGAAGGCAGGGAAACCGAAGAAAGAGCTGATCAGTTGCGTATCATATCCCTCCATGATAATGGACATGGAAACGAGGAGAGACCAGAAGACAGCCCATGGGTAAGCACGGAGAGCTTGACGGACGGTGTGCTTGTGCTCGTTGATATTGGCTTGTTGGGCATCACCGACGGAAGCTTGAAAGCCTCCCTCTTTGCCATAGACATTTGTACCCTTCTTTTCCTGGTCCTGGATGCTAGCCTCAAGGTGGTCGGCCGTCTCCATCTTAGAAGCCATGGCGGTTGAAGGCACACCTCCTGCTAAGAGATGGTGCCTGCTGTATGTGTGTGCAGGGGATAGATGTTGTTGTCGAGTGTGGTTGTTCTCCACGAGTACTCACCGAGGGCAGTGTCCTTTATAAGTCAATGATCGGCACCATCATCCTTGAGGCAGCCGTGCTCTCAAAGTGCAGCGGAGCTACTGGGACGGCATTGGTGGGAAAGCAACCGGGTGGTATCGGGCCTCCGCTCTGGAGAAGCTTGCTCCTGGAGAACTAGAATCCTGGGATCCCCATACTCCATACTCCATGAAATGGAATCCCCTCTAGCTCCCGAACAAGTAACGTGGCCCTCCGCAATATTAGGCTGTTGTGGAAGATATAAGGGAAAACACCCGAGACGTGGAGAAGCCCAGTCATTTCCTTCATCGAGATGAATCCCGCCAGTATTCCGCCGCTAGCATTGTATGTAACCATAATATGGCAAAACAATCTTGCGTTTCCACGTGCGGTCCCAACAGCGAAAGGTGGGGATAGCGTGGTTTACCACTCCATCAGCGGTTCTGTCGTCCAAGATGAACAAGCTCGTTGCGAAGAAGAAAGATGACCTCCGGGATAGGCCAGTTGGAGCAAATTTGTCGAACGTCAAACATGGTCCAACCCCGGTGGACCTGTCCTTTAGTCGGTCCACAACAGCATTGCTCACGGATCAAGGAAGTTCTGCTGCTCTGAGACAGCCGAACCCCGTGCATCGGGAAGGCACTTGCATAGTAATTAGCCAACATTCCGCCATTAGCATATCACACATATCCAGTGTAGTCCAGACTCGCAGCCCACTACGATCGTCAAATGAACGGGCATCACGCCATGGTAGAGCAATTATGTCAGTACTCACTGTCGCAACATTCGAGGTGTTATCGTGGCAGACACTCTTCGAGTTCAAGGACAATATGTGCGTAGCGATTGTTATGCAAACCGAGACAGCGACGAAGTAGTGCATAAAATGTGACGCTCCAAATATTCGAGCCGTGACTTTTCTCAAACGACATTCTCGCAATAGGACGAAACCCTGGCTGATCTATGGCGAAAATCTTGGTTCCTCACACCCACGTAATCTATCAGATGAAGAGCAAATCGTGTCCCTTCCATGCCGCCATATGCATGACACCATACAGAGTGCAATGGCAGTGCTCGTCGATTACTCCTTATATCCTTCGAGAACTATTTGGTACCACCAGCTGCACAGAGGCGATAAAGTCTCGCACATGTAGCGCCCGGAAGTTGAACGTCCAGTGCATTTGTCCTCTCGTTCCAGGTGGCCTGACTCTCGAAATTGGGGGGATATAGCAGAGCTGCACAGACATTGGATGCACCTTTCAGTTGAGGGATCGCCAAGGAGCAAGTTTGGGAACCCTTGATGCGCCATACAGCGAGTAGAATGTCGCCTGCAGTTGTAGCCAGGCCCATGGAGTGCCAGTCGTCTCTCCAGGAGGGTAGACCAATTGGCCAGAATGGGAGGGCCGTGTTGAGGTGACCTCGAAGACCCTTGTAAACCTCCATTCCGCGGTAGATGAGGTCCAGCTGAGCAGCTGACAGCTGATCCAGCCTGCCGCTCAAATGGATACGGCCAAGGAGACTGTTGACCACGGTCAGAGCATTCTTCTCGTCGCTCCATCCTGGTTGAGGATATGCCCAGACTGCACTCTGCTCCGGGGTTACGGCTGTAGGTGCGGCTGCTGCAATCGATGCATATCGGACAGGATCCTGTTGGTCACTTGTAGATTGCAAAGAATGCGTACCAAGCATGGCGTATTCCAGTCGTTGCGCTCCGGACGAGCAGCTCTCAATGACTAGGTCTGAATGTCGGTCGTAGAGTCCGTTGACCCAGGCTAGATATGCTCGATGGTGCGCTAGGTGAGCGTCACCTGTACTGTAGGTATTGACGTCCGTGCCTCGAATGACCTCGATATTATAGTCGAACTTGAAGTAACCGACACCGTAGTTCAGCACGAGATTGTCCACAACCTTGTCCAGTCTCTCACGAACTGCTGGATGGCGGAAGTCCAGCTGGTAACGGCCTTTCTCAACGATTCGGGAACCATTATCTTGGAAGAAAGCGTCTTCTGGTAGCTGCTTGCCAACGACACTTCGAACACCGATCACTTCAGGTTCGAGCCATACTCCAGGAATCATTCCAGCAGCTGCGATTTTCTCTAACAGCCTCTTGAAGCCTGAGGGGAATCGAACGGTGGAAGGCTCCCACAAGCCAACATCGTCCCACCACGAATTGTCGTCCGAGTACCAGCCCGCATCAATGACGAAATATTCTGCGCCAGACTTGCGTACTGGTTCGATCAGGGCTGTCACTTTGTCCTCGTCCGGATCACCCATGAGACAGTTCATGTAGTCATTGAAGATGAGCGATAACTTCTCGTTGTCTTTGTGCTTCCTTCGCATGGCTCGTCGGTATGCAGTCAATGCCGAAAATGCTTGGTCTTGGTTTCCAGCAACAAGACAGAGGGCTATAGGCACTGTGGTGAATGAGTGGCCTGGATTCAGTTTGTTTCTCCATTCATGATCATTGCTGGTCGGTCCACTCATGCCAAGGTAAAGGCGGTCGTTAAAGTCCCCAACTTCCCACTTCCAAGAACCATTGTGCTCGATCTGCCATAACCAGGTCTCGCTGTCGTCGTTCTTCTTCAGCATGCCCATCGGCAAGAAAGTACCAGTGGAGAAGCTACCACGGCTGGACAATGACACACTGTCAAGCGTGGCCGCATGACCCTCGTTGAGCTCGACGATGCCATAGTCGTCAAGGCCAAGGCTAGACAAGTTCTGTTCCCGCCACTGGGCTTCTCGGAACCATGAATTGGTGGCAGTTGAGAGTGTGTAATTGCTCCAGGTTTTGGAAGGGCCCGCGAGATTGCCAGCAAGAAGTGACGGGATTTGAGTCACTACAATGTCCTCCTCTGAGGTGTTCTTGATAGTTATCGTAGACCTGATAACAGGTATTCCTGGGTAAATCGAGAAATTGGCTATCGCAGTAATACCAGTCGTATCGTCGTGAGAACTGATCTCGAAAGTTCTTGTGGAAGAGGTTTCTCCCTCTTTGTGGCCTTGATACTTCAGTCGCTCCGAGGCATAGCTACCAATCATCGATCTGTGGCTTTTGAAATTGGCATTCCCCTCAGCAGTCAAGCGAAGGCCGAAGACTGGGACAGCATGTTCGGGATCCTGGCTTGAAGGAAATTTTGTCATCGGCGACGAACTCTCAATAGCGGCAATCCGCACAATGTCATCGTTACCCACGGCGAAGAGTACCTTGACAGGCCCCGGTCGCCAGACAATTTCCTTCTTGATTGTCATTTTTCTGGTATTTCGCGAGCACTGTCAGCTGTGATGATTTCGTCCTGTTGATACAATAATTCTGAGGGCTATCATTATGAGATGTAGAGCGTGCTTAATTGACCTGGTAAAGGTCGATTGTCCGAGATGTCCGATGCTGACCGTGAGGCGGAGGTCCATGTGGTCAATTGGTGGAAAATGTGTGGGCTCTCTCCAGGTGGTCCAACCCCTGGTCATCAGGCGGCAATGGGGATGGATGGACACTGAGAACACAAGGACTTTGCCCACTTTAGGCTATGTTGTTGTCGCATCCACCGAAAGTCGTTCTCGTGATCGTGCCCGCACCACCCGCAACCGACAGGCTCACCAGGCCGAGGTTGTCAATGGGTTTTCCGCCGCTACTGTGTAGAGCGAGGGAAATCGTTTTCCACCACTGAAACATGGTTGAGGCATTCAGCGCATCAATGCGGAAACGAGGCAGCAGTAGGATAGCGACGTTGTAGGGAGGGCAAGAAGCTGGGACATTGTGATGAGACCTGCTAATGCGTGTCGATCCTGCAGGTAAGTCCTTGTGTAGACGGTCGGGCTTGCGAGATCGAAGTCCGCAACGTACCAGTAGTGACATGGAGGTTGACTGATTTCTGGTGCAGATTGCATCGCAGGAAATGCCGTGCAGTCACTCCGGCAGGGTCCTGCGAAAGATGCGTCAGACTCAATATAGATTGCAGTAATGTGTCTAGGCTTCCACCACTAGATACAGTACCACAAAGTCGACACTTGCCGAACTTGCAAGCGAAACACCTGGCATCGCAATGCGCGCAGCTTGAATCTAATACTCCAAGCGCGGTACAGTTTCCCTCCACCAATGATGGATATTTCAGAGATGGTGGATTCAAGGAAAATAGCTATGTTGATGATGCGGTGAAGGATGGTTCGTTCAGTCGAAATGGAGGGAGGGAAGGTGTCGAGGGAAATGGAAGCGACTCTTCCCACCTTCAAACTGAGCTGGTGCATTTGTACTTCGCCCACATCCATGACAAGCACCATTCTTTATTCCATGAGCCCACCATCAAGGCACAACTACGCGATGGAAATCTTCCAGAGCTTCTCCTGCATGCGATGGTCGCTCTGGGCTCCAGGTGATGCTCCATCATGAAACGCCCGGAGCGCGCAGCTAACCAAACCAGATTCTCAGATGCACCCAGCTTACTTTCCCTTAAGCGCCGTAACCGCGGTCTGTCATCTGCTAGACGAGCGGTCGCCTTATTCAATATGTCCGACATCTCCGTGACTACTGTGCAAGCCGCCGTCCTACTCGGAACAATCAGCTTTGCCGATTCGAACACGGAAGCTGAAGCGCTGTACTATGCAGTTGCCAACAGGCTGGCGCAAATACTGGATCTGGCACATCGGCCGACGACCAATGAGACGGAAAGACAAGTCAATCTTCGAAGTAAGTACTATTGTACAATGCGACACCGAGGCGTGGATCCAAGCTGACTCGTTCAGTATGGTGGACGTTGTATATGATTGACATTTGGTGCTCAAGCGGTCTGCATCTTCCTCGCCAGATGCAGTCTACCCACACGGTCCAGCTTCCAGCGGATGAAGTGGTGTTCCTTGGACTCGAATCGCGGGCAACGTCCAGACCTACCACGGGCGGGATATGGGCCCAAATGGCCAACTTGGCACATATCTGGGCAGACATCTACGAGCTGAACCAGAGCGTCATACGTGAGACGAAAGATCCCCAAGATCTCGAAGAAGCAGTCGAGACACTTCTGAAAAGGCTGGAGATGTGGTCAGCTGTTCTACCACTCTCCCTCCGCAAAACACGCTCGAATCTCGACTACTACGCCTCAGTTGGCCTCGGCTCAGCATTTGCCGCCCTCCACCTAGGCTACCACTACTATACTGAGGTGCTATGCTACCAGTTCTTGGCCGATGGGGCTTCTTCCGCGAACCCAGATTATGCAGAAAAATGTAAAGAACACGCTAAGCACTTCTGCGACCTGCTATACCTTTGTCTGGAGATCCCGAACAGCGAGTGTCTCTTCGTCATGGTCGGACACATGCTGGTCGTCTCGTCCACTGTGTACATTCACACGCTGATGTTCAGTGACCTTGAAGACGAGATCACGATTGCTCGTCGAAGACTCGAGAAGAACTTCCAGATCCTCATGCGTCTGCAATCGTTCTGGGTCAAGCTCGATGTTTCCTTATCACGGCTGCAAGCATTCCACAACGCATGCAAGATATCTGCAGAGCACTCGTTTGGCATGGATAAGTGGATGCTGTGCTTCTTGCTGGAGCACGGCGTGGCGGTGCCTGAAAGGTATCCCCCAACTCAAATCATGGGAGTTACGGATAGTGCTTCGCCCGAATTGACCTTGCAGGATTGGTATTCTCAGACTTTCAGCGGAGGCTAGATGTTCGCATGGCACTGCTGTAAAGGCGGCACGATTTCGTCACTCCTATGGATGTCAATGGAGCGAGATGGATCAAGGAAAGCTCGCCATCAAGCTCAAGGCTACCAGAAGAAGCCTCCTCCCCGAACCAAGCACCGCCGGAGAGAACCCTGGACTCAAGAGCGAGAACACGACCCGTGCACGACTTGCTTGCGGAACCAGTGACAGTGTACGTAATGAGGCTGGGGCGCCTCTCTGGAGCCTTCTCGCGGCATTATTGCCGCCAGGAGCCCAATTTCAAGGTATATACGAAGGTCTACGCAAAAGAACATGCGAGGGTCCTGCTGACCTAGCAAACAGCTGCCACGACATCACGAAGCATCTCATGATGGGCTTAACCAGCTTCATGGTTGCGGTCGCAATGGCACGGAAGGATACAACACGAGGCATTCATGACTGTTGCATTACGATTATGTACCGCCGTTCAAGGCACTCGCCGATTAGAATTACGTACAGCAAACCACTTCAAGATGAACGTCTGAAAGCCCTTGATGCCATCAACACGCCTGATTCAGCTCCAATATCACTCACATTGGGGCACTCTTTCCCATTTCCCAGTCCTTGAAGACTCCAGCTCGACGAAATTGCACCAGCTCCACCCCTGTTGGCCAGCATAAGCCCATAGTAAGGCACCGCTTGTTCCAGCCCATTGCTCAGCACGTATGAGCCCAGGACAGCACCTCTCAGTACGATATCAGTCACAGCTGAACCAAGCGCCCGCATCATTCTTGTCTCGTCTTTTCTCCTTCATGATTTTTTAGCACCTCGAGCATGGCAAAACATGACTAATGCTTCAGAGAAGTAGATAGTTGAAGCAATCCACTGACTCAACGTTACTCCTCATCCTCTCTGAGAGAACCGCTGTTACGCAAATCCGCCACTATCCGTCTAAGACCGTCGGCCATCTCGGTCAAGCGAGTCGGATTGATATCTTCGCCGAAGTGCGTGAGTGCGCGGAGCAAGTACTCGGGTTGTGTCTCGGGTTGCAGAACTTCTTCTTCGCCTTCATTGGGGGTGGATTCGTTCTCGGCGTCGCTGTCGTCGTCGGAAGTGACGGTGTCGGTCACGGAATTCTTGCGTGTTGCTTTGCCACGTCTGGCCTTGGCCTTGGCCTTAGCCTTCATGTCCTTCATGTCCTTGGTTTTCTTGTCGTTCTTGACACTTGCTTCACCATCGCTGTTGCTCTCCTCTTTGACATCGCTTTCCATCTCGACTGCGGCGACAATGTCGGTCAAGCTGAGCGTTTGGGGAGCAGGAACCTCATACACCTGTGTGATTTCGATCCACGTCTTGACAGTGCGCTTCTCGCCATGATCGCCAATCTCGCGTTGCTCTGAATGTTGATGACGGATCGAGCCGTAGCTGGTGGCTTTGGCGACGTGCGACGCAAGGTCGAGAGAGCGGAGGCGGGCTTTGAGTTGGCGAGGTGACAACTTGGATGGCTTGACCTTGACATTCTCGTGTTTGAGTTTCTCAGCTGCGATGCCTCTTGCGTCTGGAACTTCGACGTGTCCAGTCCAGCATGACGCCGATTGGGCAATGTTGTCGGCACCGCTGACTTGGGTTGCCTGCCTATTAGGTTGTGACTCCCCACCCCGAATCTGGAGAGCCTCCATAGCAGAAGCTGTAAGTGTGCCCTCGGTGGTGGAAGGGGCGGTCAAAGTATTGCCTCGAGATCTCATCTTGACGATGTTTGCCGAAGACCACTTCTCCGCAGTCGTAGCATCTTCTCTGCTCGCCAACTCCACGGTGTACTCGTTCTTTAGCAACTTTGCTCTGCCTCCTCTTGCGACTTTTGCATCCATGAGTCCTTGTTTGATGGCACGGTTCTCCTTGTCAAAAGCTTGCGGGTCGGCAGCACGCTGAACACGGTACTGCTCGACGAGGGCGACATCGGAGATGCGATTGAGGACTGGAAGGGTCGGCATGGACATTGCAGCTCGAAATATGGACTCTGGTGGACTAGGTGGCGGTGGGCGAGGAATGCGCATAGTCAAGTTGCTGCTGTCAGTCCCGACGTGCGAGCTAGTCGTTGTAGCTGATTCATCTTCACCTCCAAGCTGCTCAGTTGCGAGAACAGGAGTTGGAGTGTGCTTGAGAGATTGGGCTTTGGACTCCTGATCCATCCTGTTGTCGTTCTCGTCGCCAGAATCTTCACTGCCGGCTAAGTATTGCTTGACAAGGTCTCTCGCTTCTTTACTTGCCTCAACCCTCGTGATTGGTCCCCAGCTGACATTTTGCACCGGGTCAACCGTCACGGTAGTTGTACTTCCGCCTGGGATAGGACATTCGACTGACATGACAGGCACAAGCTCAGACTTGTTTGATGGGACCGTTCCTTTCTTGACGGCACCCTTGTTACCAGCTTGCATGCGGACCGGGATCATCATTTGCGGGAAGACAGGGTGACGCTTGAGAGATGTCCTTGCTTTCTTCTTGGAAGGCTTGGAAGGCTTGGAAGGTTTGGTAGCCATGTCCGTTTCCAACGAACTGCGACCCATGCCGTTGAAGAACAAATGGTTTCCGTCGCGGCGGAAGTATATACTGCTGGGTTCCACGCCGCTTGGAATTCCGTTAGTCTGGGGCGTTGACGGTCCACCAAGACCGACACAGGCTAAGTCATCCTCATAACTGAGCATAGGTTCATCAAGTTGGAATTCATCGAGATCATCGTCGTCATCATAATCGGACTCGGTACATGGATCGGTGGGCCATGAGCCTGGATGTGCCATGACGGCTAGACGCCAACGGGTCAGCGTGAAGCATTTAAGCAGAGATTGGTCGGTAACATACCCTGAGATGATGTCGATCGTGCGAGGTCTGTCAGGTCGTCACAAGTGCCGCAGGTTGCTAGTCTGGCAGAGGACAATTTGAATTGGAGAGAGCCGCGTCTTTCGAGACAAGAGACAAATAGATCAATGAGGGAAAACACCCGATCTTGTGAGATTAGGAAGGTGTTTGAGAGGATGAAGAGTTGAGGGCAGATGGGGGCAGAACAAGGAAGCAGTGAAACTCAAGTGAACCTTCACCAAGGTGGGCTGTGAATCCAAGTGACAACCACCTTTTCTGTACCGCTTTACAACAATGAATGGTGAGAATGGGAAGGCAGGAGAAAGGAATCGCATATGGAATCCGGACCAATGACACAATAGTAATTGCTAGTATTAGGAGAATTGTACTCACAGTATCACACCAGTAGTATGAAGCAATGTCTCCTTTGTAGGCAGTATGCGGACGGTGCATGCTGTTGCGATCTTCATCTTGTCTAGAAGAAAGCCAGACCCTCAATAACCTTGCCTCTTCTTTGGTTGATATGGTTCCTCGAGATATTGGATATCCTCCTCGGTCAACTTGATCTTGCAAGCTTCAACGGCTTCGTCCATCCTTTCCTTCTTGTTCAGACCAACAATAGGACAGACATCCTTCTTACTCAGGCACCAAGCTATAGCAATCTGTGCCATGCTTCGTCCCAATCTCTGAGCAACCTTCTCTACACGCCCAATGATCTCTTCATCCACTTTGTCATCTCTCGACCGAACCAGCACCTTCAAGTAGTTGTCCGTCTTCTCTCGTAGACTGTCTCGGCTATTCCAAGGACGAGTCAGAGCTCCACGTGCCACTGGAGACCATGGAATCAATCCAACACCGGTATGATTGCAATATGGAATCATCTCGTTTTCCTCTTCGCGGTACAGCAAATTGTAATAGTTCTGCATGGAGATGAATTTGTGCCACCCATGCTTTTCGGCGACATGCTGAAGCTCCTGGAATTCCCAGGCAGCCATGCTTGAGGCGCCGATATAGCGAACCCTCCCGGACTCAATGACATCGTTCAGTGCTCTCATAATCTCCTCTCGTGGCGTGTTGCGGTCAAGACGGTGGATCTGGAGGACATCAATGTAGGTACCCAACCTAGCAACGCTCTTCTCGACAGCATCGATGATATGTTTTCGACTAAGACCAGTTTGATTGAGCATATCGCCGTCATTGACCGAGCTGGCGCCAATTTGATTGCCGGGAGTGTCTGGAGTTACGCCGAAGTAGCATTTGCTAAGTATCACAAGTCGTTCTCTTGGGATGTTGTACTTCTTGATAGCTTTACCGATGATTTGCTCGGATTGACCATGACTGTAGACGTCGGCCGTATCCCAGGTTCGGATACCGACCTTGTATGCGTACTCCAAGAGTGGAAGGGCTTCTTGTTCATTAAGAACCCATCCCTGCCATTCTGGACTCCCATAGGACATAGCTCCACTAGCACTGTCAGATATCTACTAGTAAGTGCAGGACGAGGTCCGAATACCTACAGGATGACCTTGGAGACCTTGAGTCCCGACTTTCCAAGGTATTGATATTCCATCTTGAAATCTCCCTTGCGTAAATGGCCGAGTGTCTGTGCTTGGTGTCAGACTTTGCGGAACGCGCAGATAGGATAAGTCGGAGCGGTCCCGAAAGAGTTTCTTATACAATATCACCATGTACTTGTAGTTGCGATCGATCTTTTCTTTTATCTCCTGGCACAGCAGCTCCGGCTTTTAGGAAAAGACCGTCTTGCGGCCGCTTCTAGCTGGCAGCCATCGGCGCTAGACTCTAACCCCGATGAGGGTAAGATAGGCATAGCTAGGTTTACCTAGGTACAGATTGAAGAGTTGTACAATTCGTTGAAAGGATGCTGGCATGACACGTCTTTGCAAACGCCCTGGGATGGACTTCAGCACATTCGACTCCATGAGCACCGGCCATAATTATATCGCGATGTCGGTCGATGGGCATTGCTGACCTCAAGGGTTCCCAGCTTGCTCGGCGACCGAAATCGCCAGACTCTTGGCAATCATTGTTCTACACTTGTCTACTTGTGGTTAGAGTATCTGTAACTTTTTATAACAGCGAGAACTTTTCCCATCATCGTCATCGCCTACCAATCTTGCTCACGTGCAGCTGGCTCGACGATGCCGGTTTTCGGTTTTCGGTACCAGACAACATCAGGCCATCCATGTGAGGATGATGTCTCTCAAGTGGCCGCCCTCTCCATGAAAGAATTACCAGCATTGTCGCAGTTTCCACCACGTGTGCAGAATGGGTTGCTGCCTCAATGACCTGCCACCAAATTGGGGGAGGGTACTGCGTGCAAGGAGAAATGCACATGTTGTTTGATGAGTCTCTGGCTTGCCGCACCGCACCTTTCAATCTGCTGTGAGCATCCTTGATACTGGCCGGAAAGGCGAACCGAACATAGGCGGTCAGTCCATGTTAGGACCGCAATGGAATCAAATGGAGGTTCAATTGACAATGTGGTCTTTCCTTGATTCACGACAGGTCCTCACGGTAGGTCCTCACATTGCTCTCGCCAAGCCATGGTCGTGACTGCCAGCAAAGGTGACTGACTTGGTACCTATGGAAACTCAGCAAAAGTTGCCCGTCAATACCACCACCTTGCCATGAACCATCCTCATTGATGACTATCGCTTAACAGAATCGTCTGCGGGATCCTACCTTTTTCGTTTCCAAAACCATCTGTCCTTCATTTCTGGCTGTCGTTGTGCTTGAGAGTTGTTGTCAGCCTTACTGAACCGTTACCTGCGACCACTATGGCTGGTCTGGCCAGTAAGCGACCTGGTGCCTCCTTCACTTTGCCTCCGGGCTATGCCTGGGAGAGTGATGTCATAAAAGAGGAGGATGCTCATCACAAAGAGCTTGCTAACAATGCTCCAACCATCTTGCACGGCCGGACCTTAGTCTTTGACATGCCAAAGCCACTGGGCTGGGAGACACTGAAAGAAGAACAAAAGTCTCAAAAGAGACGGGGTGAGTAGGATTTCACTCTGTGAAAGGACACTATACTTATCATGGATAGAATATCTTTGCGAACGATATGGGCAGCTTTGCTTTGTTTTCGAGGAAGACCGTCCGCAGCTACGAAATCCCGCTGGCAGGATACTGATCCGGGAAAACCAGTATTACGCGCTCTTCGAAGCATGGTATGCCAAGAACCTCGAGCCCCAGTATCATGCTACAATGAGTCTGCTCGAGCATGGAATGAAAATGGAGCTCCAAGATTTCCTCAACCTTCATCAATCTCTCAAGCAAGATGTGGCATATGGGTATGGACAAGCGAGACTCGAGGAAAGCGGGACTAGCCATGCTCGAGCGCACATACCCTTTCCACCCAACATCAAAACTACCGCAGTCGCGAGCTCTACGATCCTTCATGATGTCCATGTCCCTCACAAGCCCCAGAACAATCCGATGAGCCTTAACAAGAAGGGGACGATTGGGCCTGACGTTTCTTTGGACACTGCTTTCGACATTGCTCGACGAGCGTTTTTATCAAGGAAGACAACTGCCCCTTCGCTGAAACGCAAAGCCGATGGCGAACTAGCCACGGTTGAGCCAAAGAAACCCAAACTTGGAAACGGTGAAGAAGAACCTGCCTGGAAAGCTAGAATCAAGTTGCCGCAGGAGGCCGCTTTGAACCATCGTGTATATGGACACGAGCCGCACCAACGTGCAGGCACACCTGGCAACCAAGGTCCTCAACAAGTCAACACCACACACCTTGCTTCCGCTGGGACTCAGCAGCTTTTGCGACGCGATGCAAGGCCTTTTACAACGATTGGGAGAAGCGCTTTCGGAGTGCGCTTACAGCACCAAATGAGGGCACTCTCTCCATCTCAGCTGTCACATCGACAAAAGAGATTATGTACTATTTATGGCCAGGGCCTCAAGGACGCGAGAGAGGTTGAAAATCGTCAAGAAAACGACTTCAGACGGGCTTTCCGCGAGAGACTCGGCAACTTCTGTATACTTGCTGCCCGGTATCACGACAACAACGGAAATGCGTATACCCGTACCAGAATTGCAATGAAACTGGCTTCAGACATCGGTGTCGACCTCAAGACTCAAGCTGATTTAGATTGGGCTGAGCTCGGCAATTGGTACCACATTTTCTGTCGGTTTATGGAAAACGCTGTTTATGGAATATATCGCAGAGGGGAAGCTATTGGAAGGCCGTTGGACAAGGATGTGGAGGCTAGATTCGAAGTCTTCCGTTCATTGCCCCCTTTAATGTGGCCAAGGTTCTGCAACGCAATGGAATCTATCGAGGGTCAGATTCAGGGAAGGAAGGTGTTTTAGGCGCAGCCGAATTCTGCGATGCTCAGATGGTGAAAGTCGTTATATGGCATTGCTGTAGCTGTCATTGCTTACTGAAGGGGCTTGCTATACTCAACTCAAGAGAGTGAACATTGGGAGCTGTTTTGAATCCAGGAGATAGAACAGTCGCTGAAGTACTTGGTCTGATAGCACACCTTTTTATGCAATCTTTCCATCACGAATCCTTATTTCCGGGGGGGGACTTTTTAACTACTATCCCTCTGCGCGTGTATGTCGGGAGACATGCACTCTTCTTTCGAAAAGGCGACACTTAGGAGAGCCCATCGCAGAACAAGCAGATGGTGAGAAGCCTGCAGCAATGATTCTAAAATACCCAAGATGGAGACAAAACATGAGTGGCCTAGTTGTAACCGGAGAGGCACTCTCTTGCGTATACTAACTATCTGCTGTACCGGCAAGAATCCCACAGCCTGCAAAGCACGGCACACAAGGCCTTGCTCTTCTAGACTTGTTCATTCTTCCATGCCGGCGTATCCTCCACTAGCCGCCAGCACCCGGACTTACTTAACTTGGTGCGAGACTCGAAGCCCCTGATGTTCGGATAGCATGTGGACGGCGAAGGCATTTTTAATCCTTTGTCCGGGACAAGGAATAGCGGTTGTGGGGCATGGAGAGGAGGATCAGGCTTGCATATAGCCGTCGACGTGATAAGGATATCGAGGTAGTGGAAAGGAGGAATGTGATTCGCAATCTTCGAGATGGATTATCTTCTTGTGCCTTCAGACTATTGTCAGTACAGTACTCGAGCTTGAACTGAGCTGAGCTCGCTCCTGGAAATGTGAACGCCGAATCCGGGACAACAGAGGTACCGGTATAGTATGAGGACGAGACGCTTCGCTTCCAGAAACCTTTCCGATCAACAGGTATTTCGACTTACCGTGAGCAGAATGAATCGTTATAATCTGCAACCTCGCGGAGCTGCTCGTGCTCTTTCAAGTTCGAACGTCGGTTTTGTCTGCTCTTTGTTGAAACCGGTCAAAATTCGTTAGCGTGTAGCCAAAGGTTCTTTGACCAATTGTCAGAAGGAGATGTCCAGTCCACAGTGAGTTTCAGAACGCCAACATACGCTGTTTGCAGGAGTGTGATTTTCATTCGCGCTCCTCGAAGTAAATGCTGGCATTGGCAATGGGATAGATTCGACGTGTTATATCACAGTCAGTCGCTCCGCGTCGCCGTCATCTGGAAATCAAGAGGAACTTTGAGCATATCATCAGAAGTAAACGCCTCCCAGGATGCGGTCTGATACGAAGGCTGAACATTGATAGGACTGCCTTGAACCAGCCTTCGCCTCCTCGACATAATCCATCATCCCTCAGAACGCAGGCAGGGAACGTAGATACTAGAATTCAATATCCCAAAATCGTCTTGCTTCGCGTTCTGCGATGTTTTCAAGGTAGTGGCGCGTCCGACAGGCTGGCCTTGCGTCCAACGTATGCGAACTGCCTCGCCTGTGAAAGCTCCCATCCCTGAGAAGTAGAGCAATTCTCAGTGAAGACCGAGTGATCAAATGTTTCTCAACGTTTCATAACATACTAAGCCTGCTCATCCCATCAACTCTCACCAACACCACTTACCAATGTCCTATCCCATCAAAGTTCCCATCCTTTTCCCGGCCTTGCTTCCTCTCGAGTCTCAAAGTCGAGCACCTTACCTCTGAAGATCCTTGTGCATCGTTTTCAGCCCACCAGCGCATCGACTGAACCTTTCCCCGACCATCTCGTTTCCTGAGTCAAGTTACGCAAGAAGGCTCGACAGAACCAACCATGGACAACATGGACAACTTCGACTACATCGACTGGGAGGCCTTGACGGTGGATCTCCACCTTAGGAAAGGCAAACAAAGCCCTCAATGTGCAAGGTTCTGTAGCTAACAGGAGCAAACAGTTCCTACGGAGCCTCTTCGAGAGTTTCAGGCAAAACAAGAGGAGTTGCTGGAGAAAAATATCCGGAACAAAGCCGCAAACCTACCATACGCCCCTATTGCCTCCAAGCGTACCTCTCTGCCCACAATCAGTCAAGCAAACAACAATCACACACGATCAGACAATGGTGCCAGAGCACAGCAACCATTGGAGTCCACCCCGGTACAAAAGCCACATATTTCTTGCTCATCTTCGTTCCATTTCATCAACCCTCTCAGCAATGCTTTTGAAGAGCCGGAAGGCGGTATATATGATAATATCGAGGCCGTAGCGTCTGCTGCGGCGTCATCCTTTGAAGGTCACCTTGTGGCTCCCGTGGCCCAGCGTGCGGTTCAACAGGCTGAGCATGGCCCCTTACCATCTGCCCACACTCTTGAGAGAGGCACGTCGGCTCTAGTGCAAGATGATCAGGACATTGCGCTGGCAAACACCTTGAACAAAGTTTCGCAGGAAATAAAATCCAAGACAAAGCCTCAGGGTATTGTGGTCCCCAGCAAGGATAGGTCAAAATATTTCTTGCCTGACTTTGATGACCCGGAAGAGGTCAACCCCCCGGAGGACGCCACGTTAGAGGACATCTGCTGGAATTTTCCAAATCACTTGACAAAGGACAAGTATCTCGACATGTTCACGACTCGATTTTTGTCTGCAAGAGACAAATTTGCGAGGACCCGGCCCGAAGTCCAAGCACAATGGAGAAGAGTCCGAGGAGCTGATGACGCATGGAACTTCCTGCAGAAGAGAGCAGACAAGCGCGACGTAGAGCTTGGTCCAGAACGTGTGAGGGCGTTGGTCGAGGGACCAAAGGCTGCTTCCAGAGACGGATATGAAGCAAAGCGCAATCCGCTCAACCTTGGACTGAATAGCAACGCGGCCAAGAGAAAGTCGAACGGAGAGCGGACGGAGCCGGAGAAGCGACAGAGAACGCGAGCTCGTGTCACTCCTGAAGAAGTCGCCGAGACCGCCGCACCTCATGCTGTCGAAGCACACAACCAGCCAAATGATATGGCTTCAGGTGCCGTGGCGAATGACCCTCAAAGTCTTCCCGCACGGCTTCCTGTTGATACCAGTAAGGCTGAGACAGTCCCTGCAGAGCTGGCTGAATTGTTCGCAGAGGACTTCCTCTCCATGTGCGAGCGCAATGTGAAGCCATTTCCGACCTTGGAAGAGCCTCTCGGTGCATGCTTTGGGTTGACTTTCTGGAGTTCGACCATGCAGTTCGAGCGATTGATGGCCAGTCTATGCACTTCTCTGCAGGAGACATGGGAAGTCGCTAGGTTCATCACAAAGAGAAACACCAATCTCGACCATCAGGATGCGCGCAGCATTATTTTGCACCTTCGCTCACTTTGTGGCTGGCCACTGAGCTGTGTCAATGGGATGTTCGCACACTTTGACCAACTCCCCGGTTTTCACGCTTCAAGCTTCAATACTCAAAAGGAACAGTATGAGCGCTTCATCCAAGGGAATCTCAGACAATTCGCAGCAACACTGATCAAAGGCTTTGTTTTTGATCATCTGCTCGTATTTGGCGAGGAAGCCTTCTGTGAGAGAATGCAGGATCTTCTCACTGCGGAGTTTGTCCGTTTCATGCGAGAGGGTGCGATGCAGATGATCTGGACGTCAAGGATGTGGTTGCAATCTGCCCTGTGTCAGCAACTCGATATGCAGCGTCGCCCCAAAAACAATGCTGACTTGCTGCAAAATCGGGACATTGCTGGGCGGAGACTGACCTCGCGTCCCAGCATCTCCAGGACGGATACATCATCAAGTCATGAGTACAGGAGCCTCTGGTCCGTCTTTGCAGAGCAGAAAGCGTGGTCGTGATGAGGAAGAGCCGGTCCGAAAGAGACAGAGAACTGAAATGGCTTAGGACTCACCCTGGCCGCTTCTTTATCCGCGCAGAAGACAAATCCACCGCTCGGTACAATGATCGGCCGAATCCTTCCGAAAGCTCGCTTTTGGACCGGAGCCAGTCACATCACTGGCAGTCATAAGGGAAAGTGATTTGGCCGTGGAAAGTGAGTCGGGAGAGGGTTCAATAAGAGCGGGACAATGTATCCATGTCGGGACATTTGCAGGAGAGGCGATGACGAAGCGGCATTCGGGCTGGGGATCGAATGGATGTATGAGTCGAGGAGAGTGTAGGACTTGGGTACTGTTACTGTCCAATTCGGCCCACGAGGCTGAACCATAGACAAAGAGCAATGGAATGGCTTTGTCTTTCTTTGATCAATCGCTGGACAACAATTGGGCCATGCTCGTCCTCAATGGCAGCTTCGTCCCTAGGTAGTCATTAGTGAACACCGCTTTGTTTCCATTGTATCCTTCGTTGTTCCAAGTTCAATGGAAGTGGCTTTCGAGTCTCCGTCGGGCGTCCGCCCTGACAACGCCTCGAGACTTCGGACCGCTACCATCGCCTGGACGAGGCTGTGGGATTGGAGTCTCAAGGGTTATAGCTTTGCAATCTGTTTCGAATATTCGTAGTCTCGACCGGGCAAGCGGCTCAACTCAACCAGTCCCGCACCAAGAGGATCCTGGGACTGGTTCGCCGCAAGCCCGCCTCGGTCGCCAGCCAAGGCAGTGTATATATATGTGTGAATATATATATATATATATATATATACAAAGATATATACAATGAACCGACCGCCTCGACGACTTCGAGGGCAGCGACCGGGTAGCAGTTCTTTGTCCGGCGGCAACCATGGAGGCAGAGCTCTTTGAGCAGTCGAACTGTCTCGGTCCGACAACGAGACCGCCTGAGATATGGTCGGGCAATGAAAAGGCAGCTCGACGGTACTCAGCTGCTTGCTTCGATACTTCTCTTCGAACATTGCCGGTCAACGCTTTTCAGCAACCTTGTCCACACCGAGTTGATACAAGTCAAGTCAGCAACACCTCGAAATTAACTTGACTTCAAGCATCCAACCTCAACTCAGACAAGGCTGTGGCTCCCTGGTGGAACTCACAGAGCTGAAAGTTGTTCGACCTGCACAGTTTCTCTCGACATACTCGCATCGCAAGGGTGTTGACCGACAGTCATGGACCCATCACGACAATACATGCTGCCTCAAGGGTATGCCGAAGCCTCCACTCAACAACCTTACCTGCTGGGCGGGCAAGGAGGAGAGCCTAGACAGCATCCTGTCGAAATACACCACCCCATGCCCTCGATACATGCCACGCCAATGGACATCTCGGCCGCGCTGACAACCAGACCAAAGCCTTCGAGAGAGGGAATCCGAGGTGGTAGAAGACCAGACAACCAACCACTCGTATATCGAGAGCTGCCCTCATTCCCAAAGTTCGACGAATCAATCCCGAATGATGCATCAATCGAAGAAATCTGTGTCAGATACCCAAACCACCTTCGTGGAAGATATCTTGAGTCGTTCATTCAGTGGCGCTGGACCGCCAATGACATATACAACCGCCTGACACAGCAAGCGATCAAGGAATTCGAGGAGAATGGCATCGCCACCTGCGCGTCTTTCAGTAATCGAGCCAACTTCCTCTTCAAACGCCTTGATGCATATCTCAGCAAACTCAGCACCGGCGAGGTCGAAGCTCTTTGCACCGGTCCCAAAATCCGCCCTTGTATGATGGATGGGAGAGAAATGTATGGCGCCTCGAAGCTGCAAGGGAAGTTCAGAAACCCAAAGGCCACGCCGGTGAGGAAGCTTTCTTTTCGGCCTCGCCAGCGGAAGGGTCATGTTGAAACGCTGCGAACCACTCTACCACAGCCTCCATCAAACATGCCGTGGGCATCGGGTAGCCAGCTCGAAGACTTCAAGAAGGTCATGGCGAACCACTTCACGACCCAGGTCATGTATGCGGACACCATCATCGACGCTGATGCGTTCTACTCGAACAGCAACTCTGGGCAACGCCATCGATGCGTCCTGCAAATGCTCAATATCCCAGTCAATAGCCATACAGAGGGCCTATTCGAGTTTCACCGGATTGAGGACTGCCCGAGATTTGCAGCGTTGATTGACAGCAAAGTCAGAGAGATGATTAGTCAAGAGCAGGTTTCTCGAGGCCATGTGGCTTTACCGGCAACGTCTGACAGCGCTGCTCAGCAGGAACAATGGGTTATGGACCGCAACAACGCAGTAGCACGCATTCTGGATGAGCAGCAGACCATCACATCGACCTTGAAGGAACATGCGCGAAACGCTCATTTTTCCACTTCGGCCAGCCACCAGCAATTCGGACTTGTACACCAGACAGTTCAAGCAGTGGCGGACTCTGTCAACGTCGTTCCATCGATTGAGATAGACCATGTACAGGGAAATCACAACGCCTATCAGCAGATTCCGGACATGCCTTATGCTAGGGAAGGGTTCGTTGATCCGACGATGGGATTGGGTGGAAGCAACAAGCGAGCGAGGGTTGAAGAACCTGTCGAGAATGCAGCCACCAAGCGGGTGAAAGTGGAAAGTCCACAAATGGCAGGAGGATTCGGCTCTTCATACTTTGTCACTGAACCGCGGTACCCTGAGCAGAACGCGCCATTTGGAGCCGATTTTCAACCGGCTTTCCAGCCTGAGAACAGTGGGCTTAGAATGGGACACCGTCAACCACTGGCCTATCCAGTGCAAAATATGGGCTATGGGGGTGAACAGGTGGAGGGTCGAGATCCAGACTTCACCAACGGGTGTGCGCAATACTGGATTGACAACCTCCCACAGCTTGGTGACACTTTGGTCGAGGGCGCGGATGCATTCCGAGCAGCTGAAGGTCTGCAGACGGGATTCGAGATGGGAGCGGTCGAAGATGAGGTTGAGAATTTTCTTGTGGTCGGCCAGGGCAATCAGTGGGATCTCATCTTCGGCGAACCGGCTGACAGCGACCTCGAGATTTCTCAGATTGACCCAGCGTGGCTGCGCGAGGTCTTCAATGATAACTGAAGGTATTGGAATGGATTTGTCAGACATGCGAGGCGCTACGGAGTTACTGATACATTGGTCTGTCGGAAATGGTCGGTTCGGAAATGTGTGGTGAAACATGAAGTGAGAGGACTTCAATTTCGACAGGACCTGTCGGAATCATTGTTCTGACACTTCGATAGGTATAAAACACATACTTAGCAGATATGACTGATAGTTCAAAAGACATTTGAGAGACGAGGGATCGCTCTAAGTTTTGTGCCTTTGTGATTCCGGGCTCGGCGCTGGTACTTTGGCTATTGTCTCCGCAGTAGTTCATTCGGGAAGAGTTTGGCGCAACGTGTTGCCTGTCTGGAAAGACAGCGCACGTCTGACAATTGAAACGTGGTCAAGGCTTGTTTTGTCCGGGCTCTTTGTATTGGCTTCCCGTAAGAACGCATCATAGCATGCGAAGGGTACTTCTTTTGAAGGGATAAGAGATGAACCATACCCCAACCGGAGCTTCTGCTGCTTGTTGGGCAATGTAGCTGTCTGGTGATAGCAAACCCACCGTTGGAGTTATTCAATACCTCCAGCTGCATCGAAATACAAAACGGTGTTTCTTCAGATGGATTTTCTTGTGTGGCTTTGGCCAGCTTCTTCCGTTTCTGACCGTCTGGCAGTGGATGGTGATCAGCATCATCCCTTCAATAAATATTCGTCGGCTTCCACCGCTTCTTACCGCATGGCAGTGGTGATGGTTTTCTTCAATATCGAGACGTGAATAGAAGCAGGTATCCCATTTTCGATCACGGGAGGCTGGGTAGAGATGGCCCAATCCTTCTGCTGTCACTGGAAAGAGGGTACCTCGCCCGGGAGGGTTATCACCCCCTGACAAACGCAGCCTTGCCGATCGAAAATGGTATGTATAGGTGTGTCTTCACTTTGCAGTGATAGTGACGTATATCGCAGGATGGCAATCCTAGTTCAAGCCGGAAATGTTTGAACATGGTACGCTCTCCTTGTCGCCTGCGCAGCATCTGAACTGTTACCCGGGCAAGCATGGTTCGAAGATTGCAGTCAGTAGCGACCTTCTGTCCGGCGATTTGTGTGCAGACGTTGTGGCCAGCTTTGGCTGTTCACGGAGGTGAGCAAATGCACCGTCATTTGCGCAAGCAGGCCAACAGAGCGTTGGTATGTCATTGTCGATGGGTTGTCGTTTGGCCACAGTGACAAGAGATATCGGCGTGTTCGGTTTGTCTGAGTTTGCCTTTTTATATATCAACCATCACCGCCTTCGGATCATGAATCTGCAAAGCAGATTCCTCTCCAGTTGCAAATGCACTACATCCATCGACAAAGCGCAAAGCGGTGTAATCCTTTCGGCCACACCACCCACACATCTGGTCTAGCGGCATAGCGCATATTCACATTGCGACGACGCGCAGTTCATCCTCGCCATTCCACGGCCAGGCATCTCATCCACTGTTGTCGCTGTCGATATCTGCCCCGAACATTCGATCGTCTTTTGCGACACAAGTCATCACCTTGACGATCACTCATACTCTTTGTTGGGCCTCCTCTTTCCACCACAGAAAACCACCATGGACAGAAAGCAAGGTTCGACTGATCGAGACGACGCATCTCACAGCCCCATGAAGCAGGATGAGGATGACAGCCCCCAGAGCAACATTGGTGATACGGTCACGGTGGCAGATGAAGCCAAAGGGGAAGCACATACCAATTCGGAGGAAGAAGACCTCCAGGACCATGCAGGACAAGAAACCCAGCTTCAGCGTGAGGATGAAGCCGCCGAAAAGGATTCATCGACTGCAATGCCGACCACAAGCACGCCGGCGGCATCTGGTCTCAATCAACAAATGCCAGCGACAGCGGCCTCAGCTGGAGATCCTGCCCTTCCAGAATTCATACGATCGGGTCCTCATCCGAGATTGCCGCAGAACCACCCCATACCGCAAGCCCCAAGGATGATTGGACGTGGGGAAGATGCCGGTAGTAACCTGCTCGCGCTGTTTGGCAACGACAACCGCCCAAGAACGAGGTACCGCCTCCGAATCCGCGAAGGCAGAGCGGGCAACGACGCCTGGAAACGATACCGCCCGGCAAACGCGACGATCCCAGCAGGACTGACGCTGGAGGACATCTGCCGCCAATATCCAAACCATGTTTGGGGCACAGGACTGCGGCTGTTCGAGGCTGAAGGCTGGAAAGCGAAGCGGATTTGGGATACACTCCCACCCGACGGCCGGAATGAAGGAGCCGGTATAAGACCATGGAACTATCTTCAGGCCAGAGTAGGTCGAGAAAAGAAGGCGCTGTATGAAGAGCAGACAGGAAGGAAATGGGAGGCGAAGCCCAAGAAGGCGGCGGCTCCTGCTGCCGCGTTCGCACCTCAAATAGCAGCTCCTCCACCTGCAGCACAAGCAAATCGCCCTCGACAAACAGAGGGACAACGGCTAGAACACCTCATCAGGCAGGAGCAGGCCAGGATTCTCTCGACCTTGGTCGACCTCAATCGTGCGCGTGGCGTGGCTGATCCTCGCACAGCGGCAGAGAGACAATGGCATGATAGACACAGCCAGTTTACCACCCAGCTCAATGCAGCTCTCGACAATCAAGTACCTGGAATGCAATCCGCATTCAATCAAGACCCTGTCGACATGCTGAGGATGATGTGGCAGTGGGACAATGGCCAGAATGGCAATGAATCGTGGGTAGAGTACGGGCTTCGGTCGATTCGGGAGGCGCGGAGGTCTTATATCGGAAACATGCAGCGTTGGGGGGTCCGGTGGGAACAGGAGCTGGCTCGCTTAACCGGCGGGCCCTCAGGTCAGCTCATTGCTGATCAAGACCAGGGTGGACATGGAAGTGCTGCTCATAGGGATATGGATGACGACAATCAAGATGAAGTCATGGAAGACGGCCAATGAGGCAGCCAAAGGGTTTCGTTCCTTGAAAGATGAGTTGAGATGAACTCCAAATTGAATTGTCGTCAGAGGGTGAAGCAGATTGACTACGGTCTCAAAATGGCTTAGCTTAATTTCGCAATGACAGTTTTTCCGAACGCCGACTAACTCGTCGATATCCGTTATGGCAGACATCTTTTGTAGTACTAATTTGCAGCAAGTGTTTAGCCCCATACGTCTCTCGTTCTATCTTGTTCGTATCACCATTGACCCTTCGTAGACCGCTGACAACAACCTCAGCCTTGAACAGACTGCCCATATCCACCGTCCTTTCCACTCAGTCACGGATCGAGTCGCTATCAAGACTTCAAGTTGTTGTTACAGAATCCGTTCAAGAATTTCGTCATTGCTCGTCAGCACTAAACACGGTCTTACAGAAGGTCGAAAACTAGTATCTAACGCCATACGCCATACGTTGCGTTCATGAACAGAACAGAGTATTCTACAGCTTGTAGACCTCGCCATTGTCCTCCAGGAACATGATCAGATTCTGATCTCCCATCTCTTTCAAAGCAGCAACAACCTCAGCATCAGAAAACTCATCTTGACTCCTCTCCAACATAGCGTGATTGACCGCGGCGGCCACATCTGGCACAGTGGCCATGTCGTTCTGGAACAAGGAGGTCACCATCAATGGCCCCAGGACGCGTCGGAAAACTTCGAGACGAGCAGATGAGATACTTGTCTCTGGTTCTGCTGTGGCCTGACTCTCATCTTGCCTCCTGCGTGACTGTGATTGTGAGTCGCCCTGAGTGGATGGAAGCTGAGAGCTGGGCATGGAGCTAGCAATGCTCATTCGAGACAATTGTGACTCTGCTCCGGTCTGTCTCGAGCGTCGCGAGCTAGCCTGCGCATCAGACTCTTCGTCATCATCCTCATCGTTATCGGCATCGACGTGTCCATTCGCTCCCCCAGAACTTCTGCCATTTGCTGTGCCATTGGTACGCGTCGAGCGTTGGCTGCGAGTCTGAAGATTTGATCCACGTGTGCCGCTGGACCTACTGCCACGGTATGCTGTGTCATTACCATCGCTGTCATCGTCCTCACTGGACGAGCCATTGTCGTCTTCAGAGCTATCTGCGTCTGCGTCCCGCGTCTTGCGTCTCTTCCTCCGTCCATCTTCCTTCTCTGGAATCTCGCGGAAGAGAGCAAATTTCAAAAGCTCCTCTGCGACGATGGCATCCTCCTTCTCGACTCTGCTAGACAACCTGACCTTTGCATGAGCGGTGGACAATCGTATAAGCGTTTCTAGCGTTCTAGCCGTCAGTGGACTAGTTCTTCGTTGGTTGGCTTTCATTTGGTCGTTTCGCAAATCTGCGTAAGAATTGACAATATAGTCGCTGGCTTGCTTCGTCAAGTTGGGCTTGCATCTGCTCTTTGCGTACTGCACATATTTCTTGAGGAAAGGCATGCTGACGGGGTGGACTTGTTTCTTTGCATTCCGCCTGTTGCTCTCAATATGAAACCCAGAGTGAAGAACAGCGTTGTACTTTTCGTACACATCGGACGATTGTTTGGCATTTTGTTCCTCTTGTACTCCGATGCCGAGAATTTGATTCGCTTGTTCACGGATCGGTGCACCTTCCTCAGTGCCTGGGGCTCGGTATTGATGCATTCTAAGAACATGCTCCGATATCATTCGATCTCGCTTGTCGTCAATGTCATCTGTGACAATGAAAAGAAGATCGAAACGTGACAATAGAGAATCTGGCAAGGCAATATTCTTGTGGGGGTCTTTGTTGCTGTCGTACTGACCGAAGATGGGATTCGCTGCGGCAATGACACTGCACCTGGCATTTAGCGAGGTGTGGATACCAGCCTTTGCGATGGTAACGGTCTGCTGTTCCATGACTTCGTGGATAGCCACACGATCAATATCGCTCATTTTGTCGAATTCGTCAATGCAAACAACGCCCCGATCTCCCAGGACCATGGCACCGGCTTCGAGTCGTCTCTCGCCAGTCTCCTTGTCTGAGGTGACCGCGGCGGTAAGACCGACTCCAGAAGATCCTCGGCCAGTTGTTGCAATTGCCAAAGGTGCCGTATTGAGGACAAATCGCAGAAGTTGTGACTTGGCCGTAGAGGGATCACCCACCATCAGAACGTTGATATCACCTCTCAGATGGGTGCCGTTGGGTAAGTTCTTCTCCATGCCTCCTAGGAGCATGAGGAGGATGGCCTTTTTGATGTAGTCATGTCCATAGATGCTGGGTGCTAGGGACTGTGAGAGTAGCTCGAAAATGTTGTGCTTTTTGGCCATTTTGTTGATGTTCCTCACGTCTTGATCAGTGTATTGAGCTTCTGCAATTCCACCTCCTGATTTCGACGACAACAGCACAACATTGTTGGCCAGGATCAAAGTTCTAAAAATAGAGGAGCCCGACCCAGCGTTTCTGTTACCGAGCGATCTGAAAATACCGACGAGTTGGATACGATCGCCGGGCTTGACGCGGTCGACCATGTCGTCGTCCATGATGACATCGACACCTCGAGGGAGTTGACCAGCAGGCGCCCTCTCCGGCATCTCTTGTATACTGATTGTTTGATGGTCGCGGTATGTGCAATAGCCGTACTCAGTGACCAACTGCGCTCTCCGTTAGCATGTGGACAACAGGGGCACCGCCATCTCAGCTTACAGGATTCCCATCTCCGTCTTCCTGCGGATAGACGCTCAAACTTGCGGGCCCGTTTGCGCTCATTGTTTGATCTCTGTATTCCCTGAAGTGGAAGGTCTGCTTGTTCTCGTTCCAATGCACACTCTTGACCACCTTTGGGCGAACCAAGCTGCATTTTGTGACTATGCCCTCAAGGCATACCATCCTGTTCAGTAAAGAACTTCCCAGTGTTCTGGGATTGCAGGTGTTCTCTCCGAATGAGCCGGAATAGGCCACATAGTATAATCTGTCTTCATCTTGCTCGTAGGGTGGGCGATTAGGGATCGTGCCGATGATATTTTTGAGAGCGGCATCGAAGGCTAAGGAGTAGTCAAAGGGCTTGTACAGGATGCCGTCGGCGAGCTCTCGCGAGTGTGTTCGAATGTCGTCAATGCTAACCACGAGTCTCCGTAGACCACGATTGAGCATCAACACAATGTCGGCTCTGTAGGATCTGACGTTATCGTCGGTAGGATCTAGGAATTCGGTCGCGAGCCGGATTCTGTCACGAACCGCTTCATCGCGGAGCTGGAAGGTATCAAGCGCCATGGTGAAGTGAGTTTGTGTGGTTCTCCTCACGTCTGAAGGAAGTAAGTTCGTGGTCGATGAATTGTGGGAGTGGGCTATCCCTGAGATCTCGAGATCGCGAAACGCGTCCTGCGCGTAAAGTGGTTTTCGCGTTCTAGCCAGCCTATAAAGAAAAATGCGGTGTCTGACAGATGAAAAGGAGGATTTGGACGATGCAGAGGGAAAGATTGAGGTCAGACAGTATAATTTTCTTTGAATGTGCCTGGCTGAAGAGATCACGAGTAGTGTTCGATGCTTCTTCGCTTGCGATTTGTCAAAGAAGACATTCCACTGTCTCTGCATTGCAATGTCTCCAACGCTGCACTAATCTACGAGTCTGGCGCGGCTTGAGCAACAATTATCAAGGCAAGACCTCCCTGGCCACGGTCGTAAGTATACTTCTCAGAGGCAAGCATTGTGCTTCGCGGACCGAGCACAGCTTGGTCATGCTCCATTCAATATTGGGTCGTCACAAGTATTGCCTCCTTGCGTTGGCTGGCTTTCATATAAGAGTGGAGAGCAGCGAGCTTACTATGGTCTCATGGGTAAATCGTGTAATATGGCGCTAGGGTGTCATTCGACGACCAACAGCAGCGAGGACAATTTGTGTGGCAGGCGGGCCTCCTGTTCACTGCGATGCCAACTGCTGCTTCGACGATTCAAGCGGCAGCTGTTTTGCACCCCGGTTAAGCGAGTTTCATTACACGATTTACCGCTGAGACCGTAGTACTTCCCGAACAACTTGTCACCCTGTTGCTGTGAACAGGAAAGATGTAAATCTTCGTGGGATACCTTATGAGGATCATTCAGTTCGAGACGAGATGACACGGTGAGCGAATCATTGCATCGAACTTTTGCAGCGGGCGGCAGAGACGGCAATGGCCAGCAGTTGGTCAACTGCGGCGGCAGAATCGATAGCGTTTCCCCCATCACTCGCAAGGCATACCGGAAGTCGATACCAATGCTTTCGTATATTTTTGATTCAACGATTTCGCACGTTGTCCGACTTCTCGGGGCAATCGAGGCGGTCGAGGCGGTCGAGGCTAGGTTGTTGCCATTGACGGTCGAAGCAGAATGGGAGGGACGACGTCAGCAAAGTTGAAAGTGACTGATGCTCTCATTGCCCTCGATTCCGGGAGAACTTCGCCATGAAAACGAAATATGTAGACACATGCTGCAAATCGTCGAGCATAATCCTTCTGCTCCAGGGTCTCGCTTGGGCGGCATGTGCCATCTGAACCTTCGCGTCACATCAGGTCATGTAATGCGGGTGTTTCCCCAAAAGAGCCGAAGTGGACGCTTCTTTCCACAAACAGAAATGGTCTAGAAGAGATCTGTATGCGCGATTTGATGATGACACGAGGACTTTTGATGTTGGTTTTGGAGACATTCATCAGTGGAGACAGGTTAGTAGCCACGAACAAAGCGGCCCTCCCATGGTCAGGTCTTTTGCAGCAAAAGGGAATTCTCCTGGATACTAAACGATTCGTACTCATTGATGACTTTGCATGCAGGCAATAGTTGCGTTGGGCTGCTCGACGATGCCGCTGTTGCCGTTGTTCGACCCGGATCCGTACCCTGTGCCAGCCACGCGCGGTAGGGTAGAGCGATCCATGTGGTAGAGTAGCATCGGAAAATTTTCGCTATCCTTCGCAACTTGCGCGATTGGAGAGTGAGAGTGGTATTGCCGGTGGGGATGAAAAAGGGAGAAGTCTTAACACCGTGGGGAGGACAAATGGTTGAATCGTCGAATCGTCGAATCAGAACCACGACACTCCACAAGCAGGATACAGAATGTGCTTCTAGAAGGAAGATCGAGCACGTCGTGGCACCCATCTTCGATCCCTTGTCATACAGTTAATGAAGCGAGTGGATCGACAGGTGAAAAAATCAATATCGTGTCTCATGGTTTTTGGCATGTGCCGGACTTCCATCAGCATCATCATCATCAGCAGCAGCTTGAGCAGCAGTGGAGTGTCGATGTTCCAGATACACACACGCACACCCACTACCTAGGTACACTGCACTTGTACTGTAAGTTCTCGAGGCGTACGGAGAAGGGTGGCGTGGTCGTGCGTAGTGCGTAGTGCGTTTCCAATGCCACCTCCAGGATGCATCGTGATCCTCCTTTTACGGAGTGCACGGAGGATGGCCATGGCCACCACAAGAGTACGGAGTACTGGCATCCAACTCGTACTGTCTGCCCTTTCTGCGGGTGAACTACGGAAGAGACACGCACACCTCATCCACGCTCATCTCAGTCAGCACATGATGCACTCTCCCATCTCCCTCTCCCATCCGCCAGTCCACGACTACCCAACAACACTATGTAACTCCCAGATCAGATCATCAGATCGATGGTCTCGCTTCCATTTCCCCAGACTTTTCTTGCCGATGATTCCCCTGTGCTTCTTCGGATGACGAAACCCTTCGTGCTCGATATGGGCACCATGCTGCAGTGTCACGATCACACGATGCTCACATTTCTGACGTATACATATGTTAATACTTTAAGTGTCTAGCGCACTTCGACGTAAGAACGCCACCATGACTCGGCACACCGTCTTGGGTCGTCTTGTATACGAACCGGCGACACAAGCAACCTGCCACCTGCACAGGCCGGTTGCTAGCTCCGAACATCTAATCTCGGCGCACGACCCTTGCTCAGGCATTGGTTCGCTGGCCTTTGCAGGGCTTTGAGAGCTAACACTGAATCTTGTTTCCCGGGCAATCCACTACAATTGACATTCCTTGCCGACGTTACAGCACGCTAGCCGTCATGGTCGCAATGAATTGGCTGCCTTGGTCGATGGCAAGGACTCCCCGCCCCGCAGGCCACAGAATCAACCCGTGGGGACTGCAGCCAGCAAAGAGGGGATCGGCTGCGAGTTACATCAATGGCCCGGACGAGGAAACTGATCAATTTGCAAGCGATCGACAGTTCAAAGGTGAAAAAGGTGTCGCGAAGATCCAAGGAAGACGAGCCACCACACGTCAAGACTTGCCATTCGCACAAGCTTTGCACCGGAAATCTCTTCGATCAAGGTTTCGATGTGGATGCAAGCAAAAGAATATTGATCAAGCCTTCTGTCCAGACTTCTTCGACACTCCACCACAAGGCTCTGAATCATGAATGACCAAGCAGATCTTTTTCAGCCGCGGCATCCCCTTTCAAGGCGCCACGGTGCGCAATTGGCTGTTGTTGGTGACACACCTCACTAATCTCTCCACCATTCAAGGACCAACTCCAGCAACTCCAGTCCGAATCTGGGCAGGTCGCCGTCGCCGAAGAAGAGCCCAAAGCTTCACCTGGTCCGGCGACTAGTGCCTGCCATCTCGAGGTTATGTGACATTTTATTACCACGCTCTGGGTGACCAAAACTCCGTACTCCTACTGGAACTCAAGGGGCGCCTGACCATCTCCAGTAAAGGCGATTACCCGCCCCGCAGTCGAACTGCCCATGGTTCTGGCAATTCAACTCTGGGCCCTCCGTAACTCCGCGAATCTCAAGGTATCAATACGCGGTTCGTCCAATTGAATGACAACACCCAACAGCTCAGATCAACCGAGCGCATATCATGGGACGCAAGCAGGATCCATTTGAATGCCACGCTGCTATCCACATTTTGCTTGGGTTGCCTGTCCAGTGGCTTGAGTCGCGAGACCCTCTGTCAGGAATTTCACTGGTTCCAGGCGCTCGACGGTGAATGCGCATTGGATTTTGCGCCCATTTCCAGACCAATCTACGGACTATTCCTGTTTCAATTGGGAATTTGTGATATCACTCGTGGTTGCCGTCTGTCACCCCCGGTTTGTTGATCCTGGTACAAGCTCCTCCAGAGTTCCATTCAATTGCAAAGGCATCGTTTGTCCTTGCCTCCGCGGCGTCCAAGCTCTTTTTAAAGATCGACTCCTCCCACTCTTGCTTGTGCGAGCTTGTCTTTCTTCCTGTCTACACCAAGCATTCCTTCCTGCACCTACCCTATCTCCCTCCCCCAGTCCACTGCGTCAAGAATCTAGCAACCATGCCGGGCGGAGTGGTTCGCTCTCTGTCCACCACCAACGATGTCAACCGCATCGAAGCTCCAGTCACCTGGAAAGCCTACCTGATCTGCGCCTTTGCGTCTTTCGGTGGCATCTTCTTCGGTTATGACTCTGGTTACATCAACGGTGCTACTTCCAACACCGAATTCATCCACTTCATCGAGGGACCCAATGCCACCGCCTTGTCTTCCTCTCACTCGTCCCTGATCGTCTCCATTCTGTCTTGCGGTACTTTTTTCGGCGCCCTCATCGCTGGTGATGTTGCTGATATGATTGGGCGCAAATGGACGGTTATTATTGGCTGCGTGGTAAGTAGATCGATCCCAAGGTAAACAAACGCTCTGGGCATGTGTTAATTCACCCGCAACAGATCTATGCCGTCGGTGTCGTTATTCAAATGGGTACCGGCCCTGGACATGCTCTTGGTCTGATTGTTGCCGGCCGTTTGGTTGCTGGTTTCGGCGTCGGCTTCGAGAGCGCCATTGTCATTCTGTACATGTCCGAAATCGTAAGTCCCACAAGTCCCAAAAAATCTGCAGGTTGAACCGCATCTAACCAGCCATTTGCAGTGCCCCAAGAAGGTTCGTGGGGCGCTGGTCGCTGGGTACCAATTCTGCATCACCATTGGTATTCTATTGGCTTCTTGCGTCGTTTACGCCGTCCGAAATCGACAAGACACCGGTGCCTATCGTATCCCTATCGCCATCCAATTCGCTTGGGCCATCATCCTCGGTGGTGGTCTCCTCTTCCTCCCAGATTCTCCGAGATACTTTGTCAAGAGAGGCAAGCTCGAACAGGCCATCAATTCACTCTCTCGCCTCCGTGGTCAACCACCCGAGTCGGAGTACATTCAAGTCGAAGTTGCTGAGATCATTGCCAACGACGAGTATGAGCGACAGATGATCCCTGCCACTGGCTGGTTCGGCAGCTGGTTCAACTGCTTCAAGGGTGGTCTGCGACACCAGAAGTCCAATCTTCGCCGCACAATTCTGGGTACTTCTCTCCAGATGATGCAGCAATGGACCGGTATCAACTTCATCTTCTACTATTCGACTCCATTCTTGAAGTCCACTGGTGCCATCTCCAACTCGTTCTTGATCTCCCTGATCTTCAACTGCGTCAACGTCGGTTCGACTCCTCTCTCCTTCTACACCGTGGAGAAATTTGGCCGTCGTCCACTTCTCGTCTGGGGTGCTTTGGGCATGCTTATCTGCGAATTCCTCGTCGGCATCATCGGTGTCACGGTCGGTTTCAACAAGACTCATGTCGACGCCGCTGGAAACAGCATTGCGAACAACGTTCCCGCCGTCAATGCCCAAATCGCCTTCATCGCCATCTACATCTTCTTCTTCGCCTCCACCTGGGGTCCGGGTGCCTGGATTGTCATTGGCGAGATCTTCCCTCTCCCCATCCGTTCCCGTGGTGTCGGCCTCTCCACCGCCTCTAACTGGTTGTGGAATACCGTAAGTTTTACCCCATACATCTAGTTTGCCCCATTTCGTCTAACGTCTTTTCCCAGATCATTGCCGTTATTACTCCTTACATGGTCGGCGAGGACAAGGGCAACCTCCGTTCTTCGGTCTTCTTCATCTGGGGTGGTCTTTGCACTGCTGCCTTTGTCTACGCGTACCTCCTCATCCCCGAAACCAAGGGTCTGTCGTTGGAACAGGTTGACAGGATGATGGAAGAGAGCACCCCCCGTACCTCGTCCAAGTGGGTGCCTCACAAGACATTCGCCGAGACAATGGGCAGCGAGGGTGGTGTTCTCAACAAGGAGCTCGTTCAGGACGCCGAGCGCAAGGGCTCAGTCTTTTAGAAGCGGACTGCCTAATGCGCTTCGTTGGAAAGAGGTGTCTGCGTGCGGAGAGTACCGAAAGAGAAAGAAGTCGGGAAAATCTATACATAAAGCCAAGACAAACAGGGTACCGGCGCAGTCAGCTTTCTTGCGCATCGCATCGCAGAGCATCGCTTTGCCTTTGCAATGTACGAGAGCGCAGGCTGTCTGGTGTTCTGTTCACGGACAGGACTAACAGACCTGTTGTGTGAGATTTTGGAAAGGGGAGTGAGTGGAGCGGAGAGATGTTGGCAGACTTAATAAATGCATTTTTTGCGTGGCTGAATTGCATTGGAATACTATAGTAACTCAAGTATGAGCCTGAGCATGTGCATTGGTCCTAGCTAGACCGCTGCTTCATGCATTAATTGATCATCGCAATTCAAAGCTCCAGCAGAATTACGGAGTCTTTCAAGACTTGCATTGCAATCATTTGGATATAGTCCTTGTTGTACTCGCCCATGTTGGGGGGATTTTAATGAAGTTGAAAATACTTGCCATAAGTATTGTTCACGAGATTCGACATTTCCTGCTCTCCTCGACATAGTGGAAGTTGAAACATGGGAACGAGGACGTCGAGTCTTCGAGCACAACTGGATGCACGCTGCACGCTGCACGCTGCACGCTAGAAAGCAATGTCATCGTCGGGCCAAGTTTGGTACTATAGGCACATCAAAACGAGATACTGTATACTCGATCTCCACGGCACGAACGGCATACTCGATCCGGTGTGCATATTCGGCACTGTTGTACCCTTCCCATACGGAGTAGGTGTCTCTGGCTTTGGCCATGGTCTCCAGACTCAAGGGCTACATAAAATATTCGTCATAGTCGTTCTTCTTGTATATATATATATATATGTACTTTGGTTCAATCCTGCCCTTTACACCTCCCTTGCTGCTTTCCTGTCCTCCTGCCTCGGTCCCCCTGCTTCCATTCTACCTATACAAGCCTCCAACATACCTTGCTGCTTATCATCCTGCCTTTCACTTCGGTTCCTTACCGTTTCAACCACTCGAAGCGGCGACCTCCCCTCCATTGACGAGGCCCCTCTTCGTGCCCACCTCGGCACCAATTCTAACCTCGAGAATCGCACAACGTCCTTCATCCCTCACCGCCCTGACCGCAGCAGGCAACTGCTCCAGCAACTCCTGCACTGTCTCCACCGTGCCCGCCCATGCCTTCCCTGCGCTGGCCGCCTTTGCGAGCCCGGCGTAGTCCGGTGTTGGTTCGAAACTGATATTCAGCGCCTTGTTATCGACCTTGCTCCCCTCGCCGTGTGGGTGGACCAGCAACATCGATTTTCTCGGCGCGTTCCAGCCTTTGTTGTTCAGCACGACCGTCAGGATCGGAATGTCGTACCGCTGTGCGATCCAGTACACAGAGCCGGGGACGCTGAACATGAAGGTGCCGTCGCCGACGATCTGGCACACGAACTTGCCCTTGTTAACGCCATTGCGGTCGCCGGACGCCGGGTCACGGTGTTCGAAGTCTGAGGCCAGCTTGACCCCAAGAGCACCGCCACCGGACCAGCCCAGTCCGCCGCCGCCGCAGTTAATCCATGACTTGGGCAGGACTGGCGCGATTTGGTCAGCGATAAAGGCCGTCAGGGTGACAGCTTCGACAGCGAAGATGGTGTCTTCTGGGACGGCGGCGCGGATCTGGCCACCTAGGACGTGTGGATCGATCGGGGCATTTGCAGGATCGGAGGGGATCGTCGCAAGCTCTTTGGCTAGGTTCCGGCGTGCGGCGTGTGCTTCTTGTCTCTTCTGGGCTGCGGCGGTGTGTGTCTGGTCAGAAAGCGTGGCAGACAGTTCGGAATTGGCAGCGAGGTACCCGTTGATCTGTGTGAAAGACGTTGCGGAATCGGCCTTAAACCGAGCAAAGGCTGGAATGTAGAATACTGGCATTTGTTGCTTTAATGGGTCAACATCAATGTGAACAATCCTTGCGTCGGCTCTGGGTTTGCATTGGGTAGGAATCCAAGGCACGTCGCAGTCCACCACAAGAATGAAGTCTGCGGTTGTGATTGCTGCTTCGGATCCGTACCTCAGGCCCAACGATGCTGGGTGGTTCGCAGGGAAGCACATATCGCTGCCGCCCGTGTCGAGAACTCGCAGGCCCGGGATCTTGTTTGCAAGGGTCACTGTTGCCTCGACCGAGTTGACATTGCGGCCAGTGTATCCAACAATGAGCAGTGGGTCTTTGGCCTTGACCAGCTCCTCTGCAATCATCTTGATCGCATCCTGTGGTAGGGCAGCTGGTCCGACTGCTTGCCAGACTCCCTGGTCAAGATGGTATGGCTCAATGTCCTCCTCCATGGGCTCTCGCGCGCCACAGAGGTAGACCGGCCCTTGCGGATCGCTGGTCGCAAATTGCAAGGCGCGGTTGACCATCTGTTTCACATTGCGTCCACCTTTTATCTCACCGGTATATCGGCAGTATTGGGCGACGATCTGTTTCTGGTCGGGGACATCTTGAATCCAGTGTATGTACTCGGTTCTTGAGCCGCGGTATTCGCCTTCGATCGTGTAGGGAGAGAGACCGGCAAAGATGAGGACGGGGGCTCGACCGCATGAGGCGTTGTGGACTGCGGCTGCAAGGCCTTGGGTGCCGACGTCGACGTGCACTATAACACATTGGGGCTTGTTGGTCAGGCGAGCCATGCCGTCTGCCATGGACAGGGCGACCATCTGTGCGAGGACGTTGGTTAGATCCTAGACATTGCTACGTGGAGTGTTGATACCTCGTTCGGACAGGTGATGATCCTTGGGAAGTTCCCGTGCTTCTCATTCTGTCCCTTGACAATTGCTTCCATGATCGACGGATGGTCGGAGCCTAGGTTGACGAAGACATGGGTAATGCCTGCCTGCGATGGGAGTCAGCTCAGAGCTCGTCACTCGACGAAAGGCAGATGTACATACCTCCCAGACGGCTTCGAAGAAGGCGAAGGAAGTTGAGTATTCTCTGGACCTTGTGTCAGTCGGAGCAAGTGGTAGGAGGGAGAACTTGGCCATACTGTTTCGCCATATCGACCTTGCGTTTCTTTGAGACGGAACCCATCTTGGAGGTGCTGCTGAGGGGATCCTGTTCGAAGGAAGTTTGGTTCTGGAGGTCCAGTGTTCTGTAAAGTGACGGGTGGTAAATAGTACGAGAGAGGTCTAGATGAAACCACTCCTTGAGTACAGATGGTCTTTGAGCTCAGTATGTAGGAAGGCCAGGGCAAGAGGAGCAGTTCCGGGATAAGGGGCGGAGACAATACCGTTGTTGAGCTTACCGTGTTTTCGTCAAGGCGCATCAACTCGGCTCTTGTGAATCGTGAAGAGCGACATTGCAGTAGTTTACCAGTAGCACGAATGAAAGCACCACCGAAGGGCAATGGATATGGGACCGGATGCTTCTTCGGCTGTTGAAATTGCGGGGAAAAGGACATGGGAACCGACTGCCCCATTCCGATGCCGGCCTGTCTGCTTTCCTTTCCTCTCCGCACCAGATGTTGATTCTTGATCCTCACTGTTAATATCGTTACCGGAGGAGCTCAGAGCGAGATGCATCTAGAGCAAAAACTGCTGTGTTGTTTGGACATACGACGTTAACGGACAGCGCACGACAAGCCATGAACATAGATGGACTTTGATGCTAAGACACCAAGTGTTTTCCTGTCCTTGTCGTGGTTGTGTGCTCTTAATGATGAATTTGCGATAAGATCACGGTGATCAACAGACTGCGCATGAACGATGGATGCTGTTGTGTTACCTTGTCTGCATCCTCCCCAGACATCGGAATTTCTTCATCATACGCGGAACTCGGGCAATCATTCTTCCACTTCATTGACTTGAACCTAACTGAGGGACATAGATACTTCTCTCGTCCAAATATGCAGCAACGTTATCTCCAGGAGTTTGCATCGATGTATGGGCAGTTTCATCATTCCAAGTCTCATAACAATCCTGTCGCATTACCATATCAGCAAGACCGTGCTGTTGTCATACATCAGAGGGGGTGTCCCATGTTGTGCGCCATATCAAAATCCGCCCGCTCCTCGCACTCGCTGTACAGCGCCTATCACCCCCTTCGCCCATGCGAATTTCCCTGGATCCACGCCGATCGCTCCCTCAGCTTGCTTTCCTGTTTGCGGATCCTTCCAGCAGCCAGCGTCCGGCCCTTGGCTTTCCACCTTCCCATAAATATGGGTATTCTCGTTCTGCCTCAACCCCTCCATCCACTTGCCAACGATCAACTCACTGTCGCACATGATATTGATCTCTTGACTGTGATACCAGCTCTGGGTGTCTTGGTTACCATTGCCTTGTATACCGATATGACCGTCGACAATCATGACTTTGATATGACAAGATCGCTTCTTAAACTTGTTGTGGATCGGATGGACTTGGTCCTTGGCCACATAGGCGTAGACGTCCAGAATCTGGTGACACTCTGGTCCGATCTTTTGATATAATTCGTGTGCAATCATCTCATTGTGTCCCCCTTGTCCGGGCAGCAGCTCTCCAGCATCGTTGTACCCGAGGCAGTAGTAATATGTTACGTGGACTCCTCGACGGCAAGCCTTGACGATCTCAGGAAGAAGGTCTTCGGCGTTCAGATCCGGCGTCTGGATAAAGACCGACTTTTCGGCATGTCGAAGAGCAGAGGCAAATGCTTCGTTCTGCGGAGTGTACAGCGAGCTCTTGCCTGGGCTGCCCCACGGCTCACGACAGACCATGGCCACCGGCACCGGGTCATGCTTGGGGATTGGGATGAGAGGTGTCATTGCATCAGCAGGTTCGATGTCGAGCGCGCTGGCTTTCGTGTCCGGCTGGATGGTGGTATTGAGAAGGCGGGTGACTGCATCAATACGTCTTTCGCCTTGCCGTGGTTTCATTGCCGCTGCTGCTCGCATCACTTCCGACCTAATGTCCGGGTCGTAGTGTGGGTCCTGAGAAGTGTGCATAGGCATCTCGGTTTGCGATGCCACATCTGCAAGCTCTCGTAGGTTCTCATGGCCTTCAGGGATTGCGTCCGTCCTAAGCAAGAGGCGTTAGTGTATCACCGTAACGGAGGGTGCCTTGCATCATACGCATGATAGACTGGTACTAATTTGCCATTCTCGTCGAACAGGGTAGCATGTGTCTCGTTGTGGAAAGTAGGCATCGGCTGTCCTGCAGCCGGTCGATTTAGCAGCGGAAGCGGAGGCTTCAGCGCGTTATGCCACGAGATAAGCGCCATATCGTAGAAGGAATCGACAATCGGGCCTTCCCATTGGGTCATCATCTCGAGATTGTCGTTGTCCTGGATATTGTTGCTCTGGATTATGGCGATGCTGCGATCGACCACCATATACTTGCAATGAAATGTGCCAAATATAGGCTGGTGGTAGTTGACAACCTCTAGATCCACATTCGGGAGCTCGTCGGGATGTGGCATTCTGATAGGTCCTTCGGGGTCTGCATAGGTGTTGGGCTTGACCACAAGATGGTTATGTATGAACTGTCCCTGTCAACAGAGCCCTTTGGAAGATACAATGGAGACCTGCCTGCTTTGGGCTACCACGATCATAGATGATCTTGACCACAACTCGACGATTCGTTGCGACCGCTTTTCGTGAGAGCTCTCTCAAGGCATTGGTGATCAGCCGGGTCGGCTCGGAATGCATCCAGAAATTTGTGGCCAGGTAGACTTCATGCTCTGCTCGAGCTATAACATTTGACATGTGCCTGCATATGTCGGGAATGGGCGCCATGATAGTGAGCGGGCACACGCCATTACTCCCTAGGAGCGATGGAGAGCATACGCCCACCAAAGGGTTCCGTTCCAAGGTACATAGTACATCATGAAATATCTAATTTAGCACTCCGTCAGCACCACCTTGATAAGTCTTGGGGGAATATCTCACACGCAGAAATAACTTGCTGGGCTGAGAGGTTCCCCAATTCCCGCATGCGCGAGCTTGCTCGAGGTCTTCGTCTCGTTCTTCACCCAGAGTGACCTTCTTAGACACCTTCTGGTCCTCAATGTCAAAATGAAACAGCTTCTTCGCGGCCTCATGCGGAGACAAGGTTGGGTCTTTGGCAAGTTCGGCGGTCACAGATGCGCCACTCCGGCAGAGTTCGTAAACTTTCTTAGGAATCATATCTGGACGCGTTGAAATTAAGTATCTGAGTGCCTTGTTTACCTGATGGTACTATCGTGAAGAGCCGAGTGGAAAATCTGATCCACTTTGTTCTTGATTTTGCTGCTGTGTGTCGCATGGTATTAAGCAGGAAATCGCAACAAGATGGGAGCAATAACCACGTTAATAGCCACAAAACAGAATGGCATTGTAGCTTATTGCGACCAAGTGAAATAGGTGGCGTTGAGTTTCAATGGCAGGGCCACGCAAGCCCGAGTCCTTGGTAGTTCCAACAGGTTTATCGACTGGGAGGATTGGATCGTGAACCATGGGTTCTCGGCAGCCCATGTGATGTCAGACGAGCCCCACCAAAAATCCGGATCTGCGTCAAAGACAAGCTCTTTTAGGGTTCATGGTCAATGCTTGGTTGAGCTTGGCCAAACCATGGGACCCTCAACGGGGCTGGCACTGGCTGGCTTTGCTCCATTTACAAGTCATCTGTGCGGTAGGACGGCCCATACTCATACATTTAGCTTGATGGAGATAATTGTGTGATGACTTAGAAACGCCATGTCTGCGTCATCCCGCGCAGAAAAGTTGTCCTCCACCAAATGTTTACCCGTTAATGCCATCCAACATCCCCGCTGCCTTTTGTCACAACTCTTGTTGGCAGGATATGATATACCCAATGATGGCCCAGCTGCTCAATACAAACATCCACGCTGGACACCACCTGTATTATAACACCAAAACCCTAACGCTATCAGATGCAAGATTCAGACGTCATAGTTGGCCGGAGAGAATGGCTTCAGTGGCTGCAAAGAATAGTCAGTATTCCCGGTTGTATCTTCAGGTGAGGTTGCAACTTACCGCTTCCAATGTATGCCCGTTTGGCGTCGAGGTTGACATCAAATCTGCGTTCCAATTCTAGCTTGATACCCTTCTTCGTCACAGTCATGAGATCCGCCGTCTTCAAAATGTCTCGAATCTCGTTCAAGATCATGTCGTCCGTAGGCAATCCCGTCAAGTCTGCCATTTCCATGTCGGCAATTGACCGTCCGCTGGTCAGGACGCCACCACCTAGCATCTCTGAGGGCGCGAGCGATATGCGGGATTGATTATAGCCACCGCCATACATCGATGGGTGCATGTCGAGCTGGGAAACTGATCGTGAGGTGGGCATCAAATGTTGTGTGTCATAGCCTCCTCCATAGATCGAGCCCCCAGGATGGTAAGACTTAGTGCCATAGCTGTAGCCTGACACTTCAGACCGTGTATCCTCGCGTTGAGTCTGGGCATCCCAGAGTTCTGCTTGGTACTCTTCCCATTTCTTCTTCGGGATCGAGTCCGGGTCAAATTTGCCCTCATCGGAGATGAGGACCTGCTTGCCCATTTCTCCCGTCACGAGACGAGTATTTCCCCAACTGAAGTCGTCCATGTGCCAGAAGGCGTACAGTGGCAGTCCAAAGGAGAAGACAGGCATGGCGAGAATATACACAATCATCCAGCCAATCATCTCCCATTTGCGCCGTAGGATGAAGATGATGGCTTGTAGACCATAGACCGCGCCCAAAAGGATGAAAGCCATCAATGGTATGACACTGGATGAGGTCGCCAGAAGCACAATGAGATACACGATATATGCCACCGTCACAGGTGCCACAATAGTCGACAACAGATCCAGGAACACAACGAATCGCATACTGAAACAGCAGAAACCGCAAAGTTGCTGCAACGGAATCAATTCCATCAAGTTGTGCACAGTACTGTTGATCCACCGACGTCTCTGAGACATGAAAACCGTCCAGCTGTCCGGCGCGATAGTCCAAGCATGCGCATGGAAGATGTACTTGGTCTTGTACTTTGAGTGGTGCTTCATAAGCAATGTGGTCAAGTATCTGTCTTCTCCAAGATGCAGCAAATTCTTCATGTGCAGCGTGTCGACTCGAATTTCTGAATAGTCGTTGACAATCTCCTTGCTGACAAAAAGAGGCTTGCCGCTATCGGCAGCTCGAATGCGGTACATTGTGAAACAACCGGGCAAACAGGTAACGGACCCGAACAAAGATTCGAAGGCCTTGGTCAAGTTGTGGGAAATGTAGTACTCGTACACCTGTATCATGGTGATGAAGGACGATTTGGCGTTGCTAAGAGATGTCTCTCCGCAGACTCCAATCAGCCGTGTGTCGCGCAAGAAGGCTGATACCATGCGCGTAGCCGAGTCTGGCGCAACAACCGTATCCGCATCGATTTGTAGCATAAATTCATAGAAGGTGGGGTTGACACCGATGATGTTCCGGATATGGTGATGCATCTCGAGTTCCAGCGGACTCATGGGCAGATTGTAATGCACGCGGTTCAGGAATCGCATAATGACCATCTGCGAATCACGCTTGCCTCTGTTGCCGGGCTTGGACACTTCGGATGGTTTTCCAACCTTGACCACAACCAAGAATGGCACAATGTGCCCTTGTACTTCGTACAATCCGGAGTACACCTTGCCCATGTTGTGTTGTTTCATGCCTTCACCCAGGGATTCGAAGCTGAGTGGTTCTGGATCAACCGTTTCAGACACGCCCATGATGTCGAGGACAATGCGAGGCGTGGGTCGGTCGTTTCCTTGACCAATAATCATACCGTCGCACACAACAATGAGCAGTTTGCGTTTATCATCGTACCGCATCCGAGCTGCAGAGTCTATGGCACGCCGCAGCGAATCCTCGTCTTCGGTATAGGCAGGAACCTGGCAGATGACAAACTTATCCAGGTTTTCTGGCGTGTTCTTACCGCCAAACTGCAGTGCTGCGAAGAACTTGAAGCCGATGACGCTGCAGAGCAGAATAGATATGGCGAGCAAGATGTATTGCGCAAACAGACATTGTACGGAGTTTCGAGTATCCGTCACTCCAACAAAGAATAGATTGTCAAGGCACAGTTGCATGCGACTTCTCATACCAGAGTCAATGGGAAGTGCATCCCAGTACTTGGTGACGTCGTGACCAGCTCGTTGAGTGAATAGATCGACCACCAGAGAATCCATGAAGTCCGTATCCACATCCGCTGGCACTTCTTCGCCCGGAGCAGCTTTGGCGCTGCGGCCACCCTGATTGTAGGTGGTGAAGTCGTACACTCTGTTGTTCAAGATTGCAATGGATTTCGATTTCGAGGCCAATGTCTTCACATACTGAGGAGTGTAGCCGATATTGCCCTTCTTGTAATTGGCTTTGAGCACGATCATCTGCTCGAAGAACCAATCTGGTCGAGGGTCGCTGGTGAAAGCGCGAAAGTCATGGTAGCGCCGGTTCGGATCTGTAGTGCTGATGACGCTGGCGGAACCTGAAACGTTGGTCGTTGAGTAATCCAGTTGGACAGTGGGATCGACTCGTCCATCTTTTCCTTGACATAGGGCCGAAACCTGAACGGGAAAGAGACTAGTTGCATCGATACCAGCATACTTCTTTAGCGAGCTTTGTGGGACGATACTGGGATAGTGGTTGGGCATAAAAGCGCCCAAGTCGAACACATATCCTCGGATTGCCACATAGGAACCGTGCTTGCCTTGGCCATCGTGAGACGACAATTCCTCTGCCGAGTACACATTTTGCTTGGGACAGATCAGCCCGGGAAATATGATGATGAAGAAGACCGCAAAAGCACAGCTCAGCCAGATCAGGAGGTTGATGGCGAACTTCTCTCTCCAAGCCGTCCTCACGTCTTTCCTTTTCATACGACCGACCCATTTGATGGAGAAGTCTGGAAGATACCAGGTAAGGAGATAGACGATTGCGAGCCACCGTTTGCGACTGCCGGACATTGGCACGATATCAACCTCTTCCATCTTTTTCTTGTTGGCCTTTTGAGCAAGTTCTTCCTTAGTTTCCAGATTTCGGAACATATCACCAGAGTTGAAAGCTGAGGCGCCTGCGTCTGATTTTGCGTCGAGCTCCCGGGCGCCAAAATAGCCACCCCCTTTCGCCTCATCGCCGAAGAAAGATCCAGGCGTGCCCTCACCAGAAGGCAACAGCCTCGCTTTTGAATCACTGAAGGGATTGAGACTCGGTGTACCTGGCCTGGAAAGAGAAGCAGCCTCACCACCAAAGTAAGCTGTACTTTGTGAGCCTGTAAGGGCAATACTGGCCCAACAACGTTCACTGAGGAAGACGCCTGTGTTGCCGATTCTTGCTTCGTTTCCTGGCCAGTGTCTGGAGTCGAGGACAAGTTGCGCTTTCTCCGCATCGCTTCCCACAACTCCAGTATCTGTGTCAGTAAGGCCCAGGAACTCGTTGAATGGCAGGAAGATGCTGAAGTCAGCCGTTCGAAGCCTCTGACTGATCTCGGCAATTCCGTACATCTGAATCTGCTGACGGACGCATTTGCTATCGAACTGGTTGGCTATCCGCCTGTCGTTGGGTTTCAGGCAGAAAACGAAGTAGTTGTTGACGTTGGGCGCAGTCAATGACTTTGTGATATTGTCCAAAGACGACAAGAATTGTGCAGCCGCGCCTTGAGTCAAACCTGTGGCGATATTCTTGGTCCGTCGCAGTCTCTGTTCTTCGTCGCCTGGGATGGGATCCTCCTCTTCTGGTGCCGGTGATCGGTCAGCTCTTCGACTCGCCAAGCGGCGCAGTTGGTTGTGCTTCTTTCGTGACACACTAGGCATTCGAAGAGGTTTCGAGCTGACTTGAGCTTGAACGATTGCCGTCCTTTCGGCAGGATGACTGACCGTGGTCAATGCTTCCTGGCCAAACAAGCTGGCCACGAAGTCACTCTTGGTGCTTCTCATCATGTTCATCAGATCTCCAGAAACGACATCACCATTCTCCTCTACTAGCTGATTGACCGGATAATCCACCTCGCCGGCATAGTGGCGCACGGTGAACGAAGCCGCAAGGTTGGTAGTGGCGAAATTGCTGCCCGGCATTGTTGATGTAGCACTGCTGACATTGATAGCCTTATTCTTGTTCTCAAATCTCTTGCGGATGCTCTCCAAGAACTGAATGTCTGTACGACCACGACGGGTCTGGTCGTCCAGAATCGCGAGAAGACCATTGCCATGCTTAAGAAGCCCACGAACAGCATCGGAATTGTCAAAGTAGCTTGTAGCTGGGACGCTGACTTCCTCGTTCTCTAAGATTTCCGCGGTTTTCTCGAAGAAGCTGTGCAGGCACGTATTGTAGAGTGATTCGTTCGCAGCATTGTTCAATAACTGGTCAAGCACAGAGCCCGTCGACGAGGTTTCGGCAAAGCCAGGAAAGTCGACGATTGAGACGGTGTTGGCCACAGCATCTTCTGCAGCACAAATTCTCTGGTTGATACTTTCGATGATGTAGGCAACCAGTAGAGAGTACAAAGTCGTGGCCAGCTCGTCGGCGTTTTCTCGCGCGCCCTTGGGATCTAGCATGACTGTAACCCGCTCTCGGTGGAGTGTCTTAGTTTTGTATCGCAAGCTCTCTTCGAGACCTTGAACGCTCAAACCCAGAAAAGCGGCTACCATCTCCAGCGTGTCGGTATTCTTGACGACGGTGACCGTCTCGCCTCCCTCGTGGGAGTAGCCACCGCTTTCTTCGGCAGCAGTCAATGTAACTTGTCCGGTGCCAAATTCGAGCTGCCCGATATGGAGGATGGCTGCCAGAACCTGACAGATCTCCGCAATCTCCGTTCTGGGGAACTCGAGCTTGCGCAAGGCTGTTTTGAAATGCTGGAAGCCCTCGGAATCATTGACACCAACCTTCATCTGTGTCGGATGACCTAGATACCTCCATCTTTTCTGAGAAATTGAAGCAGACCTGCCAAGAGCGGTTCCAGAGGTTGTGATATTCGTATGTCCAGTAAGGCCCAGATGTGACTTTTCCGCGGCGCTGGTCCCCGCGAGAAGATAGTACAGAACATGGAAACTTCTCTCGCCGGTTGGGACATGAGAAATGCGACCTCTTTCTAACCGGTGATCCAACAACTTGCCTCCAATGAGGGTGGGTATGATGGAGGAAGCGTCGTACTGAAGTTCGTAAAACAAGCCGGCTTTGGAGGCTGTTTGGGTCGTGGTGGTCTTAGTGGTGGTCAAGGTATCGAAGACAAATGCGGCGAGGGACAGCTTGGAAGATAGTGGTGTGGAGGAAAAAGAGAGAAATGAAGAAAGGAGGTGTGACCTGACTGTCGTTTTGCCAGAGCCGGACTCTCCACTGTTGCACAGTTAGCGTTGTACCGAGTGACTGATTGAACTTGAAGACACGTACAAGAAGACGATAGCCTGGTCTTCTGCCCTGCTTCCTAACCTAGCCCAAGCCCTGCGAGCCAAATCCTCAGCTTCTCCCATAGCACTTCCATCCTTTTCACCATTGGGACCCCTTGTGGATGAAGTATAGGTGTTTAGGCTGATGAGAGCTTGAGAGGAGAGTCTTGCCGTTGGTAAAGATACATGAAACCGGCTCGCCAGATGAGCAGTCAAGTGAGTGTCTGATTGTAGGTGTGGAGGTAGAGAGGGCAATGAAGCCAGCGCATGGGCCGGCATGTTTCCACGAGCAGCCATGGCGTTAAGTATCTTCACTTGAATGAATGTACGGGTACTGATCTATAGCGCCATAAGTCCATACAACGCTCCAGTCGTCGATATGTCGATGTCCTGGGGGGAAAGGCAGAGCCTGGTCGACTCAAAACAAGGACTCAGTCGTCAGGAGATGCTACCGAAAAGCGAACGTGGTGACGGAGAGTGTCGAGGCAAATCCGGGGGAAATTCAATTATACAGAGCAGCAGAAGTATAACGAGAGAAGTCGTGAATTCGTAGCGAACGCAGACAACAGGGAATGTTGAATCGAGTGTTAGAATGCATCAACCCGTCCTGTCGAAAGTTGTTTTTCGTAGGGAAGTGAGCCGCAGTCAAGTGCAGGTGGTCAGGGAGAGCCGTCATGTCTTTACAATCCGAGTAAAGTGTAATTTTTGGCAGGGGATGCAGCGGATCTCGAATCCATTTGTTTGAGACCGCATTGAGTGGGCTCCCAAATGGCTGCGCCACCAGACCAGTTTCTTTTGAGCTGACGGGTCTTAGAAGAGTCATGCACAAGCAGTCAAAATCACCGAAGCCCGAGTATACTGTATATAGTGTGCTCAATAAATTGTGTAAGCTGATCCAAACTCTCAGCAGAATACCATACAGCTCGTACTCACCACATTGCCCGGAGAAGACGAGTTTCTGCTTTGCCACCGGATATTCATTGTTATTGTTGACATCAGGTTTAGCGTTGATGCGGGCTACAGCTTGTCCCCCAGTCTAGGGAGTATCCCGCCCCGCAACGCCTCTCAGACTGCCCAATAGCTTTCGCCTAGAATATTCTGAGCCAAGGTGACTGGCCGTCCGGCTCTGGCTCAGCACAGAGGCTCCTTTGGAGCCTGGCACCACCTGCGAAGTGCCTGCGAACAAAGACCCAGTCGGCCGGAAAATTCATCGAGAGGGTTTTCACGGGGCAACTCTAATAAAAGTCTCAGCATCACTCATTTATCTGCACAGTACGGATGGAAGCAGCATATCTCTCTTGGTTGTTGCACGCCACACCAATGTCAGTTGTGTTCTCAAGGAGTCCTGGCTTGCTTGTGGCAGAGATATATTATAGGTGATTTCGAGGGACCACACGTTCGGAATCACAATGTGCTGGCGTACTGCGTATGTATTGACGAACCCAATGCTGCAGCATGTTGCACATGCAGCCGTCGTTTCTCGGACGCCGGGCGAGACATGCAGCACTTAGATGATGGACGCCGTGTCAGGACGCAGCGCCACCACGATGGAGGGAGCCATCACGAGCGATCCCCCCCGGAGAAGAGTGGAGCGGTTGTGAATGGCTAACTTTCCGGGCGGTCTTGGTGTCAAATCGGCTTGCTGCAAGGGCGCCCACGAGCTTAAAAGGGCAATATTGAATTAACGAACCTCTGGCCAACTGTCGAGCCATGTCCCTCAGCAACGGTCCTGCACAACGCGAAGCAACACAGGCAACACAGGTGTACACAGGTAGTCAGAGATGCTTCGAGAGGGTAGATGGCTGTTTGTCCACGAAACCAGGCGGTGTCTGATGAGGGCAGAAGATGGAGAGACGATCAATGATCTAATAGATAAATGTATGGACCAGGATACGAAGGCATTATTTGATGACAAGCAATTGTTTTGTCTCAGGAACGAAAAATCTGGGATTTTGTTGGTCATGGTGGCCGTCTTCGCCTCACACAAGTGAAATCGCGACTTCACGTCTCGGGCATCTTCTATTTTGGGACGACGTGCCTGGCCTGTCACTCGACTGGTATCGGTATCGCCCCTGGCTACCTCTTGTAATGACAGAGCAGTCAATCCACGGAGCCTTACTGCGGTGCAACATTTTGGTTCCTTGCTACACTCCCTGCTCCCAGACCTTTCCCTCTCATACAAACCACTCTCGCTCTATACTATATCGTTAATCGTTTTGCATTTTTAACATGTCTTGCATCCATTCGGTCTGTCATTATTTGCCTCGTCTCTCGCTTCGATAATCCGCTTGTTACATTACCGACCTGAAACGAACTCTCGAAACGATCCCTTTTTGAGCCCCGTCCTGCGCATCGATCGTCCTCTTGTCGATTTAAAGGGTATTTCTAGTTGTGAGGTCGATTGTCAGAGGAAGAGGTGGGAGTCATATATCAGGATATCACCTGTGTCCCGAACAGCCCCCCTCAAGGCCCTGTCGAGCAACGGCGTCGACAGGGACGGGAGAGCCTCCTCGAGATGGCGAACCGCTACTCTTCATACTCGAACAACTCGTCCCAACTTGGTGCTGGTCGGTCGTCAACTCAACAGTCTACACAGGTCTCGACGACTACCTTACTGAATGCGCTTCACACGACCTACGCTGCTGGTCAGACCTACGAACTCGACTCGAGCACGAGCATCGCCGTCAACACATGGCTGACCGCCGCCAACCCAGATGCTCAAGGGCGGACAGGTGGCGCGGTGGATGCTGAAATTGCTTTCAGGGCTTGGGAGCATGCAAGAAGACGAGCAGAGGATGCCTGCATATTACTTGAATCACTCCATCCCTCGACGCCGCCCCTATTTCAGCCATTTCTGCGCGTCGTTCCGCTACCGACTCCAAATCTTGCCTATACCGCCTTGACGGCCTTGCGACCCTTCCTCTCGTGCGTCACTCCCGCAAACCCTACCACGTACCGACACTCTTCCCTGGCGGCCAAGTACACAGTCACGCTCTCCGGCACCATCACGGGATTCTCGCTTGCGCTGTCTGGATCGGGTATTGACGTGCAAAAGGGTCTGTTGAAAGTGCCCGTTGAGCCTGGCTATCGAGCCTTTGACGTCTTCTATTACCTCCTGACATCAGCTTCGACGCCAGCTGAGCGGGAATTTCTCAACCTGCAACATCCCTCGAACTATACACTTCTGAACAAGTCTGGAACGTACGACCCTCCATCTTACCTGCCAGCTGCCGATGACGCGGCAGCAGCCGAAGACTTTCGGTCTGCATTGAAGTCAATTGGCATCAAAGGTGCATCATTTCGTGGACTTCTATCATGTCTTGCAGGACTACTCAAGTTGGGTGAGACTACTGGATTCCTGATTGATTCGGATATGCTTGAGGACATCTGTGAAGATGTTGGAGCCCTCATTGGACTCGAGCCAGAAGTTCTCTCCAACAGGTGCAGTGGCGACGACCGTGAAGTTCTAATAGCCGGAATGTACGAAGCCCTGGTGGACTGGGTCGTTTCAAAAGCGAACGATGCTATTGCTGCGGAGTTGCGTGCTGGGGCGCTCACCCCCGATTCCAGCACACAGAACGGCGATGAAGTCAGCCTCACCATCATTGAAATCCCTGGTGAAAGCTTAGGCAAAGCGGTGGCACTACGCAATGTTTTTGACGACACCCTTGGCATTAACGCCGAAATGAAGGAGGACGGCGTGGAGGTCGCTCCAGCTGGCCACTCAGTCCTGAAGGAAATGCATCTGGCGGTGTCAGAAGCCGAGGCAGACTTGGGCATGGCGGGTGGCCCTCTCAGTCGCGAGAGAGAACACGATCGAGACAGACGAGAAGGTATTCTGCAAAAGATCGGCGCCGAGGCCGAAGTCGGTGGGTTCTTGCATACCTTGCTCTACCCGATTGACGGGGAAGGCCTAAATTTCGGAAGACAAGGCCGCTTCGATCTAGGGACAACTCTTGCTAGCAGCAGAGCTTGGTATCAGCTCTCAATCCATCCCACAGACGACTCGCCCAGCGCTTTGGCTGCTCTATCCTCTGCCACCTCGGCATGGTCCGCCGGCACCGTCTCACGACAATTGCGGGCTTGGAGGCTTCCAGAATGGGCGAATCATCGCAATAGGCACCTCGATTTCACCGCCGATTTCGATGTCGAAGAGTTTGTCACCAGATATTCCCGGCTCGGTTGCAAAGATGGCAAAGACGGAGTGGAGAGCTTTTTGCTCGAGCGTGGTTGGACAAATGGCGAAGTTGTCCTTGGCCGCGAGCGCATCTGGATGCGAGAATCAGCTTGGTGGGAAGCTGAAACGATGTTGGATATGAAGCCCACGCTACCAGGCTATGCCGACGACCCTGCGTTCGGCCAGCCCTCTAACCCTTTCTTGTCCAGTTACTCTGGTCATGCACCCAACAATGGCAGTGGTTTCTTCCCTCCCATGGGCGACAACTTGAGTGTACAGGACAGCCGCGAAAACCTGCTTGCTCAAGCTGGCGCCGGCCGTGCCAAATCCATTGCACCAACCATGGCCCGGACAGTTCAGACGATTGGTGGTGACTATGGCCTTGGTCCGAAAGGCGATGATCACAGAGACACCGCATACTACGATGAAATGGGACGTTATACCGGCGAATTGGACCCAGAGTTTGGTGACCCTCGAAACATTGAGTCTAAGAAGACCTCGGCGGGCCGGCAAGCCTGGGTATCAGTGGTTTGGGCCTTGACATGGTTCATTCCGTCCGTCTTTCTGAGATATATCGGTCGGATGAAACGACCAGATGTTCGCATGGCGTGGCGTGAGAAGTTAGTGCTCGTGTTTCTGATCTTTTTGCTCAACGCAGCCATTGTCTTCTATATCGTCGAGTTCGGACGACTCCTGTGCCCAAATTTCGACAAGGCATGGAATGCCAAAGAGGTTGGTTATCATCAAGGCACAAACGACTACTACGTCAGCATTCGAGGAGGCGTCTACGACATGACCCGTTTCTATAAAACCCAGCATAGCGACACCAGCATCAAGACTACTGCGGACAACATGTTACCTTTTGCTGGCCTTAACCTCGATGCCTATTTCCCTCCACCCTTGAGTCGTGCTTGCCCAGGACTCGACGTCGACGAGAGCGTCCTGCTGCAGCATAATAACACTGACGCTGTTCTCTATCCAAATGCTGTACACACCTCTGGGCCCCGTTACCAAACGGACCAGAGCTCGAAATTGTACAGCTGGAACTGGTACGCCGACACTTTCTTGCCCAAAATCAAGGATTATTACAAGGGCGACTTGGTGGTCACCAGAGGCAGCGTCAAGAATCAGGCAGACAACAGCCAAAGGATGTGGGTCATCATTGACAAAAAGATATACGACCTCACTGACTACTTCTACACCCTGGACCTCATGAACAACTATGGTACTTACAAGTTCTTTCCGGATGAAGTCACTGAACTTTTCACCAATAACCCCGGCTCTGATATCACCGATAAATGGGGTACGACTGCCACTTTCGCCAACAGTCTCAACTGCATGAACAACGCCTTCTATGTCGGCAAGGTGGACTTCCGGCAATCAGCTAAATGTCAAGTCAACAACTACATCTTGCTGGCCTTCACCATCCTCCTGTGTACTGTTATTTTGGTCAAATTCTTGGCTGCGCTGCAATTTGGATCTAAGCGCCGGCCAGCAGCACAAGACAAGTTCGTCATCTGCCAAGTCCCTGCTTATACCGAGGGCGAAGATCATCTCCGAAAGTCCCTCGATTCGCTCACGGCGCTTCAATATGACAACAAGAGAAAGTTGATCTGTGTTATCTGCGATGGTATGATTGTGGGTGGTGGCAACGACAGACCTACCCCTAAGATCGTCCTCGACATTCTGGGTGTCGATCCGAAAATCGATCCACCTGCACTACCTTTCAGATCAGTTGGCAACGGGAACGAACAGCTCAATTATGGCAAAGTCTACTCTGGCTTGTACGAGTACGAGGGCAACGTTGTCCCATATCTGGTAGTCGTCAAAGTTGGAAAAGAATCCGAGCAGACAAAATCCAAGCCTGGCAACCGTGGCAAGCGAGACTCTCAAATCTTGCTGATGCAATTCTTGAATCGTGTCCACCACCGGTCAGCAATGTCGCCCTTGGAGCTGGAAATGTTCCACCAAATCAACAACATTATCGGGGTGGATCCGGAATTGTACGAGTATCTTTTCATGGTCGACGCTGACACCATGGTGAAAGAGGATTCTCTGAATCGTCTGGTAGCTGCCTGCGCCAACAACGCAAAGATTGCCGGTATCTGTGGTGAAACTAGCCTGGAAAATGAGGATCGAAGCTGGTGGACCATGATTCAAGTATACGAGTACTACATCTCCCATCATCTTGCCAAAGCTTTCGAGTCACTCTTTGGCAGCGTCACCTGCTTGCCTGGATGGTAAGGAACAATCTCCGACTTCTTGATGTGCTTTGTTGACCTAATCATAGTTTCTGTATGTACCGCCTTCGAACAGCTGACAAGGGCCGACCCTTGATCATCTCCGACAAGGTGATCCAGGAATACGCGGACTGCGATGTCGACACTCTCCACAAGAAGAACTTGTTGTCGCTCGGTGAAGATCGATATCTTACGACTCTGATGATGAAGCATTTCCCTGCTATGTCGTATAAATTCGTCCCAGATGCGTACGCCCAGACCGCCGCTCCCGAGACTTGGTCTGTCTTGCTTTCACAAAGACGACGATGGATCAATTCGACAATCCACAATCTTGCAGAGCTTGTTTGGTTGCAGGATCTCTGCGGATTCTGCTGCTTCTCAATGAGATTCGTCGTCTTCATCGACTTGTTTGGTACCATACAGCTTCCGGCAACGACTGTTTACCTTGGCTACCTCATCTACAAAGTGGCAGCCCACCAAGGTCAATTTCCTCTCATATCGATAGTGATGATTGCGTCCGTGTACGGTCTACAGGCAATCATTTTCATCCTGAAGAGACAGTGGCAACACGTGGGCTGGATGCTTATTTACCTCATTGCTTTCCCCATCTACAGTTTTGTCTTGCCCATCTATTCGTTTTGGAATCAGGACAATTTCTCGTGGGGTAACACCAGAATCGTGATTGGCGAGAAAGGAGATAAAAAGGTTGTTGCAATTCAAGACGAGGGCTTTGACCCAAGATCAATACCTTTACAGAGATGGGACGACTACGCCGCGATCAACAACTTACCTGGACGACGTGGCAACAGTGGCAGCTATAAAGAAAAGGGTTTCGAGGCTGGCTATACCGACGATCCGGGAATGATGGAGATGGACGATATGCACTCTACATATTCGTCCGTGAAGCCTGCCAGTACCATTCTCGCAGGCTTTCCCCAGCAGCAGCATCCTTACATGGCACCTCCTCGCTCACCGGCTCCGTTTGGCATGAATAACCGTGCTAGCACCATGACCGGGCTGACTCAATTCAAGGATCAGCCTGTCAGTATGCATGGCCGAAACATGAGCATGATGAGTCTGGGAAGCCAAGCACGTCTCAAGTCGCCTTCACCAAATCCATATCCAGACTATTCCCGAAGTCCATACCAAAGTGGGTACGGCATGCAGAACTCGGCCAGTCGACCTAGTCTGCTTGGTATGGGAGCCAGTCGACCAACATCCACTGTCATGGATTTCCGGACCGTCCCCTCAGCAGGGCCAAGTGATTACGAAATGGTCGAGGCTATTCGTGCGGTGTTGAGCGAGGTCGATCTGGACACGGTGACGAAGAAACAGGTCCGGGCCCTTGTGGAACAGAGACTACAGTGCGAAGTCCCCGTTGGTGAAAGAAGACAATTTTTGGACAAGGCCATTGACAGTGAGTTGGCCAACATGTAGGATATGAGAGCTGCAAAGTGTTCGAGTTTGTGCATACACGTCGGGCACTGGATTTGGCGTCGATTTTGTGGGCAATGATATTAGCGATTGTAGACGACGCGCATCGGATGGGGCTGGCAAAAAATGGTACACCATCTGGGACAACGTACATTGCTCTGGCAGGCAAAAGGCATGTTGCTACCATTTTCCGGGACACTTTTCAAGGGATGTCCTCAATATTATCAAAGGTGAATCGATTGTTGGCATATTTAATGGCTTGAGCCGAGACATGAATGACAATGAGTTCAATGAAGCTCACCTCGACGGCATTCCTCATTGCCTTTCAATTTCTTGCTATCGCAACCCGTAAGGAATCAAGATGTTTCATCCCTTTCGTCCAGGAGATGACACGGTAGCAACCGAACGAAAGATGATGGCTCTTACCTCCAGGGCGTAGATTCACCTGTGCGTTCGCCTGGCGGGGTCCACCCTTGCATTCACCCTAGATGGTGAGATGGTCGGTTTGGCTCAAGTCGGAGCGGGTCGAAAGCCGTTGAGAAGGGCCTTGCCCTGCATCTCAGGTACTGCTGGTGCTGATGCTGGGCGAGATGCATGGTCGCGTTCAGGCGGACCGGGTTGATGTCGTCGCAAGTCTGCCGGTCTGTAGCACGAGGTTGCTTGGGAGGCTTCGATGCTGACTAAGACAACACTGAATGGTATACATCGAGGGCATGTAGGGAGGAGTAGCTACGAATAATCATTAGCCGCAATCTGGACAACCGTAACACTCTCACCCACACGTTCACCCATGTCCCATATTCACGTCATGCTCCAAGCACTCTCTGATAAGACCCAGATCTACTATGATTTGTTCGTCGTCAGTGTATCCTCTTTTCCAGCATTTCATGATGGCATTTCCCAGCATCAAGTTATCAGTATTCGGGAAGTGGTCTTGCTCAAACAATCTTTCAATTTCCTCCTCGTCCTTCTCATGATATGGCTGCTGGCCTGTCTCAAGTTCATATAGAAGGGATCCGAGGGCAAAGTGTTCAGATACGAGAGACGGGTTTTCCGCTGGTAGACTTGGGTGCTCGGCGCGGTGACTTGGGCAGATATTTGGCGGTGATCCGTCAATCGACGATCCGGCGAAGTCGCAAATTTTGGTATTGTCGTTGGAATCGAGTAATACGTTGTGCAAACCAATGTCGACTTGTAGAACGCCACACTGGTGGATATATTGGAGACCTTGCGTGATTTGACTCGCCCACTGCAAACTCTGCCCGGGTGAAGGTGGACATCCTGCTTGATGTAGTTTCAAAAGCCGATCGCGGAGCGGAGTTTGAAGGCGCTCCAGAACCAACATGCCTTTATGAACAGCGGGTAGTTTTGGAATGCTTGGATTAACTCCCAGGCGCCGATAGATGTCGTGCTCAATAGCGAGACTTTGGCGATCTTCGTCTAAACCGTGAGGGGCTTTTATGACGATGGATTCCGAGACTTTGAAGACCCAACTAGAGGCGCCGGCACTAAGGAAAGGAAGATCGAAAACGGAGCCTTGTATAACCACATTCTGCTCCATTGAGGAATTGGCTCAACGCGATGTCAAGAGGTATTTTGGAATACCACAATACTCGGCGGTGAATCTTGACCTCTCCAATGTCCATTTCCATTTCCGGACGTGCGCATTCCGCCACTTGACCTGAGGGATGACTAAGCAATTCTGAGCTGTCTCGCTGTGGCGGTTCAAACCTGAGGTCGGATGTCAGGGGATATAGGATACCTTAACCGAAGCAAGATGAATGTCCATAATGGAGAATCGTTCAATGCTCAAACCCCATCCTCTTCGATTTTCCGCATAAGCGGAAGGTTGGTAAATCGCGGAGCCATAGTCGCTGGTGTTGCCTCTGCGAAAGAAATTTGGCGAGTCGGGGGATCTTATCCGCGTCAATATCAAAATAACCCTCCTCCTCAGGCGACATGGACCACAGCGGAGCTTCAAAATCGTCCGGGTAGAAGCCAGAATATTCCCAAATCGACGATTCCGACAACCTCGAAGTTGCCGTCCACGAGTATATTCTGATGACCGAGATCATTATGGATAAAGACGTTCCGTTTCGTCCAGGATCTCCACGGGGTCCACTGATGGGATTCCGGCTGCTTCCACAGACGAGTAGGAGAAATGATTTTGCCAGTTAAAGAACCCACATTGCGGGACCTCAAACTGCGGAGCTGCGGCAGGACAAATTGTGTGATATACTCATCAACCGCCCTAATAGCCTGCTCTTTATCACCTCTGATTTTGTTAAGAGGCGTTCCGTATACGCGCTCCATTTTCAGTTCGTAGATGCCCTCCTTCATACTCTTGAATTCGAGAATCTTTGGAACGGGGATGGTAGTCTTTTCTCGAATGAATGCGAGCGCCGCATGATCGTTCTGGAGCCGCTCGGCGCTCCAACGTATTCTGACGGGGCGACCTTGTGTGTCAGTTGCGCGTTCATGGTCTAGTAGGTCTCGCTTGGTGAAGGTCTGGTCATCATAGCTGTAGCATCTGTCTGCGACCATCCAGGATTGCATGTCTGCGGGTTGGTATCAGGGAAAAAGGAAATGAAGAAAGAACTAAACATGGGTAGGTTATTTATATCATTAAACTATCGGTTTCAAAAGACTCTACTTGATATATGTGCACGAGTTGAGAGCACCACCAAGAAGGTGTGTGAGAGAGAGAGCCGCCTGTCTACGGAGTACAGATCTCGACAAACAGCCTTGCCTTCAGCCTTACCCTTCAGCCTTGCCAAGACGGAGAAGTTCCCCGGACTTTCAATTCGAAACCGCAGCGAGTCACGACTGCCAACGCGACAGAGACTCGACTCACACAGCTACATCTTCAAGCGACGTCCTCCCGCACATCTAGACTCGAATTGTCATGACATATCCACTTCACCGCATTCCACGTTATCCAAATGCCGACGCTGCCACCGCTGCCACCGCTGCCATTCAGGCAAGCGTCACGAGGGGCAGCAGAAGCATTCAGACCAGACCACGAATGAGGGGGCATGGTATACACTGCTCGACCGACCACATGAAAAGTAGACCAAAGTGGAGATTGTCTCAAGATGCCTTTCTACCGCTTTCTCAATGATGAAGCTGACATGGTCACTGGTCATGACTGGGAGGAACTCGACGAGACCGATTCAGACCAGGAACCACTAGGACCCGAGTCCTCACCGAGCCCTCCACCTCCGTCGTTGCATAAACCCCTTATCATTGATATACCCTCCGCTGAGTCGGATGATGAGGAGATATCACACGAGCAAGCAGAGAGCAGGCGAGACAGGCCAGGAGAACCAGACAAGAGGGACCTGTCAGACGGTGAGGCCGAGCCTAGGCTGAGAGAAACATTTCCTGGTCAGAGGCAGATTGTGCGAGAGACCGATACCGGAACATATCCCGTTACTTATGAAAGTGAAGTCAGAGACGAGTCTCCGGGCGACCTCGTGAGCAGCGTGGCCGAAAACGACGGGCTATTCCGTGATGAAGAGCAGGCGGAGATGTTCAGAAGGCAGCTCATCAGCGGCGGGGCTGTGCATCGAAGCGGCGAAGAGCAAGAAGTCGACAATAACATGCTAAAGCAACGGCCCAGAGGATCACTATCTGCCTATGTCCCGCCTGTGGGACGGAAGCCGGAGGACAATGCCCTACAACGCAGTGAGGACTCATCCAGACACTTAACGGCCGATGTATCTGAAGATGGGGAAGACTTTCACAGCGATCCATTTGAAGTTGATATAGTCCACGAGTGGACTATGGTCTTGCAAATGGCAATATCACAAATTCTCGAGTGAGAGACGAGACCGACCCTGTGCCCCTTATGCCAAGTGACGTCTCGGATGACGAAGAAGAGGATTTGACGGCCATTGGCCTACCTTTTGTACAAAGCGATATCCCAGACGAAGATATCAAGGATGAGACCGCCAACGTATGGCCGGAGAACAAACGGGCTCAAACAATACCTCCTAAACGCAGACCCTCGACCTCTATGCCTCCACAACTCCCGCTGCATTATGCATGCCAGTTCTGTCGAGCGCGCAACAGAAGATGCGACGGCTATGTGCCTTGTGCTGGATGTGTCGAGTCTGGTATTGGCCACAAATGCGTCTATCGAGGTGGTCGCGGAGGTGGCGCTATCTCTGCAAACGCGCTGGGGATCAAGCCTGCAGTACGGGTTAAGGTGTCAAATGCTGGTTCGCGATACCAGGCTTCACACGCTCGAGGACTACCATCGGCAATTCCTGTGGCCTCGGTGTCTCAACGCCCTCCACCATCAGGTTCCCGTTCAGTCACGTCAAGGAGTCGACAGCATCTGTCTGCTAAGTCACGTTCGTTGGCTTCTTCAACCCTTGCGCGAGCTCCTCAAAGCTCTCCACGTCCGCCGCGTTCAGGTCGATTTGGCGTTGCCAAGCGGCCAACCAGACCAAAGGTGCAAATGGTCAATGCCGATCCAGAAGACATTCGGTTGGTCATCTGTGAGCCCTGTCGGAGAGGTCATTCGAGGTGCGACGGTATGCTTCCATGCCAAAGGTGCTCGGAGAGTCCCAGGTACAAAGGTGCGCAATGCGTTTACCGTACGGGGCAATATGTATCCGTGGGTTCGACGAAGTCCGAGGCAGCTGCTTCTAGTGTTTCACTACAATCTGCGCCTGCTCTGGTAAATGGACTGGTGCCCGACTTGACCTCCAGGCCAGGTTCACACAAACAGCACGAAGCAGCTACTAGTCCAGATGAATGGTCCGACACAGACAGTGACTCCGAGATCGATGGCGATATTGCTCATGAAGAGGAGCTAGACGACGAGGAAGAGCCAACCATCGAGGTTGCCCCAACGGGCGTCCCGGTTCCCTCTCCTGCCAGACGTAATGGTATTCCGCCGCCTAGACAGTACGCCGGCGGCACTCCACGACTAAGGGACACAGATCTTCCCGGTACAACACACAAGTATTGCGATGAGCCCCGGAGACGGAAGAGAGCCGCCTCCGAAGATTCTGACATCGGCCATTCTTTATCCAGACAGAAACGTGTGAAGCTGGGACCGCCCGAGACAACTCAGACACCATCCAGTGGCGCGGGAAAACGGGCGCTAGGACGAGACGTCGAGGACCGACCAATTACTAGATCGATCACCGCTACCTCGACGGCTCGGCGGCGCTCATCTGATGACGAAGGAGACGGCCACGACCCAGCCGTTGCAGAAGAAACCATGATCCGGCCTGAGCATGTCCCCTCGACCATCCGCCAGGTCTTCGCAAACCTTGAGCACGATATCGTGCTGGACATCATGCCCGACCTACCCAGTTGCGGACGACACATACTCCAGGGTCTCGGCACCAAAACCAAGATGCCGTGGGCATACTCGACGCACCCTGCCGCGGTGAAAAAGCGGGAATTGTCCGAAAACAGAAGTGATCTCGCGATGCTTCTCGATCTACGCGAGCGTGCAGACCAGAATGCCTTACATCGGCTCGTCAGGAATCTCCAGCAGGACCCGGATGTGCATTGGGACCTGATGACGGTTCAGGAGCAGGAGCAGCTCAAGAAGAAGAGGTTTGCGGAAGTGATGGCGCAGCGAGAGCAGGAGGGACGGAGCGCGAATCAGTTCATGCAGCGGGTCATAGATTTGGTGATCAGCTGTGTTGGTGAAAAGGCCATGTTTGGTTTCCTTTTGCAGAGTCGCAGGGCCAAACAGAGGGTTCTGGGTCTTCTGGAGGAGTTTTGCAGGTTGGATGAAGACGGGAAGTTGAGACTCGTTGCTGGTGGAAATGGGGACGCCGCTGGAGGGTAATACAGTATTCTCGGACTTTGGTAAGGTATCTAGATGCCCGACCTAGTACTCTTAAGCAGACGCTCGTCGGCCACCTTTCGGGTTCTTCGGCCCTCGCTCAATCGTCCACTTATCTAACGCCTCAAACCATAACAAGACGCTTCCAACCAGGAAAGCAGCACTGGCCCAGATAAGCGTCAACTCGCTCTGATACTCACACCAATGCTGCTCGCAGTATCCCAAGCTTGCCGCATACGTCCACCCTACACTCCCAATCATGTTCCAGAGCCCAATGTGCCAGCCCAACACCCTCGGCGCCGGCTTGTACCAATGTTCCTGGGTCTCAAGCATGTACAGGGCGGAAGAAAAGACAAAGAGCAAACCGCCGACAAGATAGGTGAGGTAATACACTCCCCAGATCACACCCTGCGAGAGCATCCCATACAGACCAGGGAGTGATAGAATACCGCAGACATAGAAAATAGTGGCCCCAATGGCTAGAGAAAAATTGGCCAGAAAGCCGATTTCATAGATGTAATAAGTTCGGACCTCTTTCCAAGACGGCCACCAACGCCATTTTCGACTTGTTTGCGCGGGGCTTCTTCTTCTTCTCTTCGTCGTACTTTTCGGCTTCTCTGCTCCTCCTCCTTCTCCGCCCTGGTCCTGGTCCTGACCCTGGCCCTGTCGTGCTGAGGTTGACTGTGACTGAGACTGGTGCGGGTGCTCGCAGTGTGCAGGGTCGGCCCTGTAGAACAAGTCCTCAACCGCCCAGCCGAAACAGCCCGTCTGGTTTTCGTTGACGGCCTCGAAGCAAAGCAGGACGGCGCCGATTTGGAAGAAAGTGGCTCCGACGAAGGATGTCACGCCGCCGCCGACACTGGACTCGAGCTGGAATTTCGTCGATGGGAAGGCGATGGGCAGCCAGTAAAAGAGACCGCTCGCGACGAAGATCGCAGACCCGATGACAAAGTTCACCGCGACCCAATATGAGACGTCCCAGTACGGGAATTGGGTGAGCATACGCTTGACCCCAGCCAGTGTTGTATGCAGCCTTGAGGGGCGTTGTGGGTGGTCGTAAGGAACAATCAGAGTATGTCGGCCTAGAGAAAGAGGAAAATCAATACTTTAGATTTCTGGCATATCGGTTGTGCACCTGGTGGGCGAATACACTTGACTGGTGATAAACGTACCTTTCCTGTTATCCCGCGACCGCCACTGATACCGTACGTACTGTGTCGTCGAAGGTTTCGTCTCATCGAAACTCGCATGTGTCGGATGAAGGGCGCGGAGTGATCCCAACACACCGTTTGGATCCATCGAGAAGCCATGCCTTTCGAAACCCTGACGGCGGAGTTCCGACAATTCTTTGTTGCGGCGTGTGTGCGACATCTAGATAGAAGGCGCAGTGTCTCAATCTAGACACGCTGGTGTCTGCTTGGTTGTTGAGACAAAAACATCTACACCTTCCAACTCCCGATTTCCCATCGTGGAATGCCCTTTTGTCGAAGTCTGGGGGGCCATGATGGGGCCGTAGACATACGTCACTCATCGACTAACGGAATGCGCGGAAGAGTGCTGGGTGTACATAGTACATCGCACAGCCGTGGCGAAGAACCGTACGCTCATGCCTGTGCTTTGTGAGGTGGAAAGAGAGCCGAATCATTTACTTCCGGACCATGACTTGAGACCTACCTACGCATAGATAGAAGTATCGCAGTGTGGACGCCGTGATTTTGCATATCAAGAAGAAAGAATGAGAAGAATGCGAGAGCCCTCACATCCTGAGCAATACGACAATTCGGCCCGGAGGGTAGTGGAGAGGAGTTGCAATTCAAGCTTTACCACAGTAAAATAGTCCGACACGTCTGAGAACCGAAGGCCTAATCTACATACTAAGTTACTCGCGTGTACCTCGATAGCGTCACATTGGCAACTTGGTAGACAAGTGACAAGCAACGAGCTGGCACGAATGCCAATGGACTCTGTAACTTGGATCATGTCACAGATGAGCTGCCCTGCCTGGAAGTTCGGCTTCATTAGTGAGATTGGCCTGGTATATTTAGCCAACCTCCCAACCTGGACACTTCGGAAGAAGCCATGATGAAGCCCATAGTAGGCTGCCGATTCATCGCGTGATGAAAATCCATGGGGCAATGGAAAATACGAGTACGAAGGAGATCGCGTGATAGTGAGTATTCGACCTCCAGACTTCGTCGGCCGTTCTGTCCATGGCCATGTCCACATCGACAAACAACTCTGCAATTCTCAACGTGTCCATGACTGCTGCTGTTGATCCATGACTGTTGTCCAATGCACACAGTATGCGAGCAGCACAGTCCTGCTGCATTAGAGGCCTCAAGCAGTTGAAAGTCAGCTCGCTGCACGGTCTCGAAGGCTAACGAATCACCCATTCACCTCTTAATATGTCAACTATGTCCCCAAGAAACATCCTCCAAATGGAAGTCGACCAGTCTACCACCCTTCAACCCACGAAGATTTTCTACCTAGATCATTCTCATTCTCATTCTCGGGAGAAGTCCCCGGAGAGGCATACCTACTGCGCAGTCATAGACTTGACCAGCCGCTTGTCCTTGTCTTCAAATTCCCACGCCGTACGAGGATCCAACGACTCGGCCTCCGCCTTCACCTTCGCTCCCGAATTCCATGAAAGGCTCAGAACCGTCCTCAACGACAACGCACAGACACCACTCCCAACACCCACCTGGCTGCTTACGACGGCGTCTCGATTTAAAGGCATCGGCCGTACTTCTCGCCTTACAATCACCGAGCACGAGCCATCACCATCACCTTCAACAGTCATCCCACCGGCCACTTCCACTTCCACGACCGAACCAAAAAAGGTTGTTGCTGAATTCCACTCATCTCTCCTCAGTTTCGGTGCCACACATATCAGCTTCCCACGGGACTCGTCGCACAGCAGTCATGAAATCACCGTCAAGCCGCTTGCCATCCAACGACGGGCTCAATCGTTCGTCAAAGACAGTGTCACTTATGTATGGGAGTCGACCACGCCTTCTTCTCACTCTAAGCTGTCCCTGTACAAAGCAGTGGCGAGTAAGAAAGTCGAGGTCGCCAGATATGAAAGCTCGAGCGGAAGGTTTGAGTTGAAGGGAATACTGGTATTGGATGAGAGGGAAGTCGATGCGCTGGTTGCTGTTGTGACGCTGGTGGGTGTTCTAGGGCAGAACGACGCTTTTTACTGCCCTGGATTCGATTTGATCGGGAAATGAGTCAACCTTGTGAACGCTGGTACCCGGGCGGGGCGGCTTCTCGCATTAACAAATTCAGATATCAAGATCGCCTCAAAGGAAATATCAGCATGGAAGTCCTCGACGAAATGTAGGATGATTCGTATTAGAATTGCCCTGCAATGATCTATCTCCTTCGACCGTCCGGCCTCCTGTACAATGATCATCTCCTTTTCCCATTCCCAAGCAACCGTTCTGACAAAGTACAAAGCCACCAAACGACTGGGTATCTCGAAGTCAAGTCTCAAAGGTCTGATGCCTGAGTTAAAGGACAAATAAACGAGTGTATGCCTCCAAGCTTTTTAGCACAAAGAGCACTTTCTGGTCATTCCATAGCTCCAAATGAGCGCTGCCCATTAGAAATATGATATCTCGCGTCCATGGGACCAGATATCTGGATAAAGGGTATCAATAAACAAAAGGACTTGTCCAGCTCAACAGGGTTTCCTCGGTCAGTCTCAGAAGGCAACACCAACACCGGGACTTCTGAGCGGGCCACCAATCTCTTTGATGACGATATCATCGCCACCCTCGATAATTTGGCTATAAGATGGTGGGATGTCCGGAACGCCACTTGTGATTGTCCTCAAAGGCTTTGAGGTGTTCTTGACAGTACTGGTTCGACTTTGTGAATCCGCCGTAGTAACACTGGTGTTCGTCTGATTCTCGTATTCGAATGACAGGTTATCAATCTCAACAGTACTGGCCACAGTTGAGTTTGTCATCGTTCTTTGATGCTGATGAGGCGCCGGCGATAAGCTCAATGATTTGGGTGGTGCTGCGGATAACTGGTAAAATTGAGATCGTTTGCGGCGATGTTCCGCGAAAGATGATGAGGTTGATGATGACTTCGTGGTACTGATCGAGGATGATTTTCGGTGACTCAGCCATTGAGAGATCCGCTTTTGGGTCTGATAATTAGGATGGAAATAGGTGGCAGCCGGATTTGCTTCGGTCGGCTTGGAGAAGTTCCTAGTTGGTGCAATAGGTACAGATGGAGCGGGCGCATGTGGCGACGGGGACATGTCCATTGCAGTGGTGGAAATCGCTGTTTGTTCGACGTGCTTGGGGAATTCAAGGGCCACTCCATCGATGGTGACCGAGGTAACAGGCGGACTGAACTCTTCCTGCATTGGCGTGAGAATCGCGACGGAAGGAGGCTCTGTGCGTCCTGGTACGTGAGCTGGAGGCGGGAGACCAGGTAGAGATGCCCATGACACCGGATGAGAATGAAGGGCATCGTACTCTGAAGGAGGTCGGGATGTTGATATCACAGTTGACGATGTATCCGGACGCGTAGGCAAGAGTCGACGTTGCTCGAACATTGATGCTGGCTTGATCGGAGCAGGCAGCATGGACACCTTATGGGGAGCGAATTGCTCTGACTGAGTCCTCACCAAGGCTCGAGGCGGTAATCTGATTTCTCCGGCTTCTGTGAAGCTTAGGCGATCGAATTCAGGGAGGTCTGATAGCCGATTGTTGGGCATGTAAATACTGAGCTCAAGGGGTCGGAACTCCTGCGCTGCGCGTCGGAATGGTAGTTGATCGGCAGGCATTGACGGGCGCGGACTGGATATGGATATGGAAGGTCTTGAGGCGACATGTCTGCGCGTTGACAGGCTCGATCTGAGGCTAGCCTTGCCTTGCGAGACCCATTGTGACAATTGAGAAGGTGGTGGCGGAGTAGGGGTGGGAGGCAGATCATCGAAGACTGTAAGCTTCATGGGCGGAACCAGATGAGGTTGTTGATACATGACACGCATCTCGCGCTCCACGCCTGGACAATATCAGTACAAGTCCGACGATGATGCTGGGTCTGGAACTAACCAGCGGGATATCCATTCTTTTCAACTTCAACTCCTTCATCGGTCTTCGACGGCGAAAGACAGTCGAAGAAAGAAAGAGTGCACGTTGGCTCCAGTGAGTCCTCGGATGCAGGCCCGAATTTCATGGCGGCGAGGCTGACGCACCCGTCCAACCTATGTGGGTAGAGGTTGGAGGTAGCTTCACCGTTCAGGGTAGACGCAGAGGTATTGTGATGCCAGCATCTGATCCAACATCAAGAGGAATTAGGAAGTAGCTGAACAACGAGAGCTGGGAAAGAGTAACAACACAATCGCAGCAGGCTTAGCCCTACTCTTACCTCGAAATTTCCACGGTGAGCCAGAGGAAGAAAGACAAACCTGAAACGCAGCTTCTAAGCTATTCATCGACACATGGTTTTCGAGCTCATCATCAACAACATGGATTCGGGAAATGTTACAGCGGAGCGTCGAGTCCCTTCAATCACATCTTCTGCGGGCGCTTGTCAGTGGAAGGTGTGCTCATTGTGGTGGAATCAGTCTAGGGTCATCAAAGGGCTTCGTGGATGGTTGGATGAGGAGCTGCCAACAAGTCCAGCCAGCTCTTGCAGAGAATTATCCGAGAGGGCCAGATTCACCAAGCGCCGAAGCCAACATGTAGCGCATGTTGTGTTGATGCGAGGTGAGCACTGTTATTCGTGGACATGGATTGGTGAAGGAAGATGGGATGAAATGAGGATTGGGCGCGTAAGAGGCCAACAAGCCAATCACGCAACTTGCTCTACACTCGCCGAACGAGACACCAGAAGTATCATTCGCTCCTCAATCTTGAAACAATCGCAATCGCATGGCAATTCAGAATCAGCCTCGGTGCTTATGAGGCTGCGTTTCAAAATCGATCGAGAACCATCATCCATTCAGGACGCCCATTATTATGGAGTATCTTCAACAGCTCAGAAGCTTGAGATTTGTACACAGACAGACAGCCTCAGTGCGCGTCCATCACCGCCGCACCGCCAGCAAGCTACTCTCTCATCATTTCTAGTCTCACAAGTCAACCCAATCCCCCACATCAATCTCAGTATCTCTCCACACCTCTCGGTCTTCCATCCATAGCTCCATCCAAGGCAATTACTTCCCTGCCTTGAGCATCGTAATACCGCTGCTCTGGCTCCACTGCACGATACCTTGGTTGTTCGGCAGCCATGTATTCGTGGCTGACCTGCGGCCTATCATGGGCAAAGACGCTACCTTCACGTGCAACAGGGCGTACACTCTGTGGCCTTGCCATCATTGCCCCTGGCTGAACTTCTTCGTAGCGTGTTACTGGTGGTCGCACGCTTCCCATCCGAACGGGCTCGCGGAAGTCGGATCTCTCGTCCGGATACATGGCAGACCGTGGCGGTCGGTCCATGAGGACACTCGAGCCTCGTGGTAGCGAGCCTGGTTCTGCATATTCGCGAATGGCTCCTCCAGGCACAGCCGAGCTCCGCATGGGTTCTGCAACGCGGCGATAAGAGACTGGCGGAGGAGGCATATCTGCGGCCGCATAGCTTCGCTCTGGTCCCGCCTCCATGAAGACTGAACCTGCACGGGCAGCCCGGTAATTGTCGTATGCAGGCTCTACCTCACTTCTCCGAACAGACATTGCTCGAGGAACTGCCGATGGTCTCTCCTGGACGATCTCGCGGAATCTTCTGCCGTACTGGTCGACCACGATCCTCTCCATCGGTAGTGGCATGGGCTCGGGTGCGTAGCGGTAGGTGGGTTCTCCGTCGTCGTACACTTCCCGGTAGATTGGCGCAGGGGTACTAACCACTCTCATGTCTTGAGGTCGGTCGTACTCAACAGGAATTTCACGTTGGTAGCGAGGAGATTCGACCATAGCTGGGCTTTCAACTCGGGCGTAGGAGACAGCTCTGGTTCGGGTTGGAGTCTCGTAGTACGGATCCGCGTATTCGCGAGGAGCCTCGGCCCGCATATTGTGCATGCTAGCCACTCTGCGTAGGTCTTGGTCATCGCGCATGGGTCGCATACTCATTCTGGATAATGCGCGTGGCTCACTCAGAGGCATCAATTGTTCAACCTGTCGATGCACTGGCCGTGAAGGAGATTCCACGTACCGTTCTGGAGCAGGCATGTAACGGACTTCTTGCACTGGTTCATCATCAATAACAATCGGTCGATCTGGGCCCGTGGGACGTAGTCTGCCAGAGCCGAGAGGTTGGACGTCATGAAATGGTGGAGGCGACACGTTCTCCTCTTTGATGTCTGGGGAGTAAGCACCGTTTCGCCGTGCCTTTCTCTCTTGTCGCTTTTCGAGTCTTCTCTTCTTCCGGGGAGGGAGGTATCCTTGATCATCGGGACTTGGGGGGGATCCCGGTTTACCAATCCGTTGTGGCCGTCTTTGACGTCCGTTCTGTGAGAAAGGGGGATCCTTAGCTACAGCAAGTGGGGAGACACGCGATGGGACTGGGGCAATGGGTGAGGTGATTTGGTTCCTTACAATCCGCATATTGGTCTCTGACGGGGATAGTGGCCTCCCATTGTCCTCAGTCTCCGAGTATCTGCGCAAGGGACGGCCTCGTGGGTCTCTGCTGTCTGACATAGCTTGCGATTGGGGCATTTTTGGCGTTGGAAAGGCCGTAGCTTCTGGAGGCGAGTATTCACCTTCCTCCTCCTCTTCATCCAGGTCCATGGTTGTGGCAGCCATGGGTCGACGGAGAGGCGCCGCGTTAGTAGATATGTCATCAACTACGTCTTGCGCCAGAGGCGAACCCATGACGGCACTCACGACGGCTTGCCCTGAAGGTTCATCAGCTTGTCCCTCATCAGTTTCCTCTCCAGATTCATTGGGCCCATCGGGTGTCGAATCGGGAGCTCTGCTAGAGTAGAGGGAGTTTGCGTCGAGGGAGTCGCTGAGATCGCCTTCATTCTTGGAGGAAGGAGATTTGGGTGCGTTCAACACCTTGTCAACAATAGCGGGAAGATCGAAGTCTGGCTTGGCCTCGGAGGGCGCAGGCTTCCTCCGGGCATCTTGTCTCTTGTGTTCGAACTGCTCTTTCAGTGCTCTCTCGAGCCTTTGACGCTTGAGATGGATTTCGGCTCGAACTAGATCATCTGACTTGGTCAAGAGGATGGGGTCAAACTCAGAAAAATTACTGGCGGGTTGACTGGGGAGACCATTCGCTTTCGCCTGAACTTGTGTAGCACCTTCTTCTTGTCTCGCCTGTGTGGATGCGTGACGATTTGGCGAGGCACTGCTGGGAAATTGAGAATGTATGTTCAAAAGAGACTGGGACACGGCCACTGGAGTTTGAGAGGACGAGACTCTGAGAGCATGGGCAGGCACTGTCAGTCGAGGATGACCTCCAGAGAATACCTCATCGCGGATCCTAAGTATCTTCTCAAACTCCGAGGACTCATTGAAGGCCGGCACCGTTATAGGGTGGATGCCATTCAACAAAGGGCCAGCCGAAGCTGACATCTCTGCGTGAGCGCGTCTGAGCTGCGCGAATTTGGTGCCTAGGGGCGTTACCTGCACAAAAACATGGCAGCTTTCAAAAGCGAATGCAAGTGTAAAAGGTGGCGAGATATGTGCTTGGAAAGAAACAAAAAGATGCGCTGTCGCCTTCAGGCTACAGTGTGATGAGAAAAAGGAGCGTTGGCCTCGAGAAGGACAGAAACAACAGATAGAATCCTGAAACTGCGCTCCAATAAATTTCGACCAGCACACCAGCACACCAGCACACCAGCACACCAGCCACAACCTGCCAAGCCTGATTCGGACTCACTTGGACTCAGTTCACGTGATCCTACGCACGTGGCCTCGAAATATTCTCGCTTTGGGTGGCTACAAGTCGATGATGTCGGTGACAGGAGTCATAATATCCATATATCTCATGGCGGTGCATCTCTCCCTTTTATCATGATTTCGAAGCAATAATTTCATTCCTTAACTATATTAGCGAACTGGATCTTGGCTATATTAGAGCGTCAAAAGCTACTTGCTGTCAATTAAGCCCATTCTTTTCCCAGTCTCAAACATCTCCTATCGTAAGGTATCGATCCTTCGAATCTACTTCCATGATGGGCTCCATCGACCACAGCCCGACAGACAATCGAGCAATCTTTTTCTTCGACATAGACAACTGTCTCTACCCCAAGAGCCACAATGTGCACGACCACATGGCCGTCCTAATCAACGAATACTTCATCAAACACCTCGATGTCTCGACCGAAGAAGCCACCCGCCTCCACCAGCAATACTACAAGGACTACGGCCTCGCCATTGAAGGCCTGTCCCGCCACCACAAAGTCGACCCGCTAGATTTCAACCGCGAAGTCGACGACGCCCTCCCTCTCGATGAGCTGCTCTTTCCCGACCCGGAAACCCGCAAGATTCTCGAGTCCTTCGACAAGACCAAGGTGAAGATGTGGCTCTTCACCAACGCCCACATCACCCATGGCCGGCGAGTCGTCAAATTGCTCGGCATCGAAGATCTCTTCGAGGGCATCACATACTGCGACTACTCACAAACACCTTTGGTCCCGAAACCACTGCCACAAATGTACGAAAAGGCCCTCCGTGAAGCCGGAGCGACAAACGACACTCAAATCTACTACGTGGATGATTCTTTCTTAAACTGTCAAGCGGCGTATGAACGAGGCTGGACCAACACAGTCCATTTCGTCGAGCCTACTGTTCCTGATCCACCCCAGAAAGCAAGCAAATACCAAATCAGCCATCTGCGAGAATTGCTAGTCCTGTTCCCAGAACTGATCAAGGAGAAGAACACGACCATGCCTTGACACTCAAGGACAAAAATATAATACATGGGAAAGCTCTGCCCAGTTTCTCGCAATTCATCGATACCGTTCCAACCTGCTCAATCAAAAAACAAGAAAAAGCTTGCTCGAACGCTCACACAAAGGGAAAAGAGATTCCCAGCCAGGGAAACAAAGTCGTCAAAGTCATGATATCGCTCAGGCGGAACTCTCAACAGTGATCTGCCGCCTCCGACCACTCAAGTCGCTAGGACAAAACTTCCACGCACCGGCATATCTTCTAGCAAACCAGCTGCGTGCGACCACCTCGAGAATCCAAGGTATCTCCGGAAAATCGGGCCTATGCCCATCGATTGTGAACGACTTGTCCTGGCACCCAAGCATCCACGGCGCAACGGCATATAGGTCCGTATCCATGGTGGCGAGATGCTCAGCGTGCTTCCAGACCTTCATCAAGGCCTTGGAGTCAAGCTTATGCAGGCTCACCAATGTTGGAATTTCGTCGTGCAAATGCTGGATCATGTCTGGCGCGAAGGACTCGATGATGTGTCTGAGTGTGACGCCATTGTACTCGGATGGTTTGGTGAGGAAAACGTATTTCTGATAGATGGCCAGACCTTCTACGAAAGATTCATGACCTTTGGAGTTTCCTTCCATGGCGCCAGGACGGTTGAGCATCTTTTCAATCGTGGGGAACAAATAGTCGTCTTCGGCTTTGTGGTGGTGTTCCAGCGTGGAGCAGATTTGCTGGTTGAAAAAGAGAAAGTCTGCAGCTTCCTGGGTCGAAGGCTGGATGGAGACCGCATGGTTCCAGGATGAATTCAGTGCCCTGATGATGGTGTTGTGGATCTGGGCCATCTGTCGTGCACACCAAAGCGCTGCATGGGCCTTTGGTACACACTCAGGCACAGTCTCTGGGTGAATGGTGGTGATCAGCGGATAGTGGTCGTCGGCGAAGCGTGGAGCATTTATGCTCATTCTCGACGTGCCTCGGGTGGATGTTGTGGATCGAGATGATGCAGAGCGATTTGACCGCATTGAATGTGATGATCGAAGTGACGGCGAAGAAGAGGTTGTGTAGACTTGTCGTTCAGCGTCGGAGATATACAGCAAATGCGAATACGTCGGTGATTTCGATCTTGGTTCCTTGGCTGTGTTCATGTTTGCTGGCATACCTGTGCTGACAATACGCCCTGCTTGCCACCTGGTGAAGAACAGTGTGGCCGCAGCCAGGCTCGAATGAAGTCCTTGGAACCTGTCTTGGATAGTAGTATGTCCTGTGGTCAAAGGAGTGAAAGAGCATTATCAGCGTCAGATAGAATGCGATGAAGATAAAAGGACTCCATTCGTTTATGTATGCTGACCATGAGAATTAGTCTTTTCCAGACATTCTTATGTCTGTCGCACAGCCCCATGTTCCTGACCCTGGTCTTGCGCATCAGCTGTCATACTAGCACGGCTGGATACCGGTCAGAGCGAAGCCAGCGTGCCAGGCAAAGGGCAAATCCAGCAGGCCCAAGAACGTCAAGAAGGACACTAGCGAGCGCCATGTCATGTCATCACGTCAGATCAGGTGGTACCATTTTGCCGAGATCAGAAGATTCGAAATAACTTGACAAAGCCACCATACCTACCGTGGGTAGTGCTCAGTGTGGAAAAGGCCGCAAAAGGACATGCTGCATGCCACTGAAAAGATTTTTGGAATCGAGTTCGTAGGTTGTTGGGCTAGCAGGGGTTGCGATGGGCTTGTGATAGGATGGGACCCCTTGCATTGTTCTTTCTGGTTTGGCGTCAGGTACCGTTCCAGGCACGGTTGCACGGGCCAACGCCAATACGGTGACGCCTCTGATCCCCGACTTGTAACCTGAAGACCATCGTGACCACACCCAAAGCTGAGAAAGCTGCCAGATCCGACACTTCTCAAGCTTGTCGGATGGATAAACTTGCCGTGAAGCTAGCCCAAAGCCGTGCAAAGTATTATTGACAACCACGTGGAAAGGTCGGCAAGTATCACAGTAGGTGGCGGATGACCACATACATTTTGCAAATCGTACCCGCATCGCCTTGTTTGGGTTTCCCTAATCAAACTCGAACATGGAGAATGCCTGTCGTGGACGTAGCCGTGCCAACGCAACCACAGCTGGATTCACAATCGACAGTCTGAAGAGTTGACAGGGCCAGTCTCGTATTGGATTCGATCTCGACTTGCAGCCGCAGAAGCAGCAACGAACTCTTTTGGTACGGAGTACTACGATAGTTTGAAGGACGCCCTCTACTAGTCATTCCATGTGCAAGCGAAGTGCATGAGAGGATGTTCGTCTGCATGTGCGGACGTGTTGTAGTAGTTCGCAGCCAGTCATACGTACATAGGGCCAAGTGTGCGTGGGCCAACATCGTAACCAGGAACCATTGAAGCTGAGACCTGTCTTCTTTCGGGCAAGGCGTGCCCGGCGATACCCGGCCTGAACGCTAGCCTGAACGCCAGCCATGATGGGCTTTGTTTGCTGCTGTGGGGGAAAGATCTCTTGCTGGAAGTTGAAAGCTTTGTTCTGTTTGAGATTAGGCCAGGGGGCTAGTTGGCTTTCCCAGGCCTCAATGCGCTTCTGCGGAACTCCCGATGATGAGTGCGCTTGAAGAACCCGAAGGAGTGGACGAACCTGCTCAGGCTGGAGGTGGCTGACTGATCCCAACCACCACAGTGACACTATGAAGCGAGCAGATTTTGTACCAGACCAGCGTCGAACATTGACCTTTAGAATCGTACCAGATACACGAGAATCTTACGACACCTGTCATGGCGAAGACGAAAAAGGAAGTTCCAAATATGCAAAGCGCGCCAAAGATTTGCTGCATCTGCGACGAATTGACAGGTTTGACGTGGTTCGCGATAACTTTAGTGCAGGGCGTAGGTGCGCAGGCCGTGGCAGGAGTAAAGGATCCACGAAGATCACAGAGATCGTACAGAGGCAGATCTACAGTCCCAAATGTTCTCCTCTTGTCGAAAGCACCGGGACGATATTCCTCTCCCACACAATCATAACCGACGCTCGAGACCAGGATAACTAGAACCATAATCTCGGATACCTGCCTGCGCAGCCTTACGCTCCTACAGGCACCTCCCATCTCGTATCTGCTCGAATCCAGGCAACCGGGAGATTTGAAAAGGAGTCATCCTCAGAGGCTCAGACCACTTCGTCGTCACGATCGCGAAGTGCACCGTGCTCAGATAATCGCATGATTGTCAAAGCACTGGGGAACTTCGCTTCCTTCAGCCGGTTGACGCCTTGACTCTCCACAAGCGAATATGCAGGGTCGATTCCTGACAGGATCACTTGCTGTCCAGCCTCTAGCCTTGACATCTGTCGAAATCGTTTCAAAGTTCAGCCCTGTCGCTGCCTTCTCCAATACCACCACGAGGTGTTGGAACTTGCACTTGGGAGGCTGTCTGAGCCCAGTGAGGGGATGGCCGCACTGAGCACATTTTCCCTTGTCCTCCAGATTTAAACTAGAGCATTAGAAGGACATTTCCAACGCCCGCCAGGGTGCCTTCGAGGCTGGGCAGCTTCGGACAGTGGAAGTGTTCCACCTTAGCTGTGACATACTTGTGCCTCAAAGCTCTGCACACAAGAGCCACCCGCTCCCACAAAAGTCCCCTTCTTGAACTAGTAATTACCTTAGTGCTGCAAAGCTCAGACTTGTCGATGCCACAGTCACAATGATTAGTACATACGGGTTTTGTCGAAAGAAGCCTGGTGCAGCCACAGGAGTCGCCTAAGCATACCAAGACCATGCACTATTCGATTGGTTCACCACCAAAGCCCTGGCCCAACCTGGAAGCCACATCCAGAGATGAAATGGTACTATGGTAGTCAGATGAAAGGAGCCAGATGAGGCTGTGGGAGTTGCTCAGCCACGCTCACCGGCTTGGAGGTCCTGCGACAGGAGAACCTCTCAAGAATGTCGGTGTATGTGGTCGTGGTTGCTGTGTGCACATAACATATAAGATACTCTCTACACAGAGAACGTATTTTACTGTGGATTAGCTACGATCTTCGACCTATTGTAGGCTTCCTCATTTCTTGAATTTACTACACTCTTCGCATTAGAAGTAGTGGAATAGTCCTAGGTATTTAAGACACCGGGGATAACAGGCCGACTACTATACTTCTACTAGCACCGGAGGTTGAAGCTAGAGAGGGATGGGGAAGGATTAACCACGATGGTGAATCTTTCCTATCCGAATAAGTATGATTTTGACTTCTGCGACTGGGGGACTACCTCCGGTGCATTTGGGAGTGGCTTCATGGGTTCAAAATCTCCAGTCCTTCGTCTAGGCGCGATACACACCTACCAACGGAAAGGATACGGTGATACCAAGAGCGCGAGAGTACTAGTAAGTTGTATCCTGTCTGATTATGCCAAAAACCCTTGTACCCGTCACTCCATGGCCGCCTTTTGGAGAAACGCAAGTCTCGAACACCCTCGAGATAGGAAACATTTGGCTCATGACCATACATACTGGGTCCTTAACAACGGAGAACGCCTACCAACAACCCAAGTCTTAGACGTTGTGCCTATGTAGGATGCTGCTGTACAATCGGAAGAGCACCATGTCCATGCACCTGGGTGTTTGTTCCCCAATGTGCGCTTGATTGGACAGTGGATCTGTCAGAGCAAATGTAGCAAGCACGGCTGCTGCTGTAAAGATTTGGATTCCGACGTAGGCCGCAACGTGGGTGTTGCGAGCCGCGCGGAGTATCAACGGATACTCGCCAATCCACGACGTACGTATCGCAGACTGCCAACACTGGCTCCCGGAACCCTGGGACAAGTCATCGTCTAGTACGCCCATCGCCGGAACGTCTGTTCTGCTGTCATGCACCAAACTCTCTTGGCCTGGTTCTCCAGCAAGATTTTCGCACAATCGTGAGCTGTACAATCCACCAGTGTATGTGAGTAAAGGGCGGTGCAGAAGAAGTTGCATGTTGTCATATGACAGCTGGAGTGCAAGTTCTTGGAGTCGAAGTGCTTGGAGTCGGAATGTCTTCAATGTGGGGTCCAGGGTAGGTTCATCAACCTCGACGGCGAAGGACTTCAACCTCCACTCAGGGGGGAGACTTCTGTCCCACTCGACCAATCGTTGGTTGATCTCTTTGACTCTTCCCACAACCTCTCGCATTGTCGTACCTCTGTGGAAATAAATGGTCCGCGTAATCGGAGATGCAATCCGGTAGAGGTTGAACTTGTATCTCTGATAAGAAATGATCGTGACCCGTTGGTAAGTTCCATCTTCACGGAGCTCCGTGCTATTAAACCCGGGACATGTTGTAGATACATCGTCGATGTCGTCGACCATACCGACTTGCCACTCATTCTCCTGGATGCTGCTCGACTTGCCATAGCAAAGGGCCATGAATCTGCTGAAGTTGAGCGGGTATCTACGAAGATGAACAAGACGATCCTACCCATCAGCAACAAAGCGAGCCCACCAAACCCTCCTTCGCAATTCCCTGGTGACAGAGTTGATTTGGCCCCATGATGGTTCCTGGTGTAGGCCTAGAGCCTGTGCACTTTTCAGGCTAGCACCGATGACAGCAAAAGCCCTCTTGGGTCGCCTGTGATATAGGTAGTAAGACGCCAGTAAAATGCTGACTTGCACCCCGGCACATGGCCGGAGGTGACCATCTCAATGTCACCTTCGTCGAAAATGTCCAAGAATTTTTCCTCCACCTTGGCCATCAACTTCGATCGAAGACTAGCCAATTCCAAGGTCGAACAGTATTCCTCGGTGTCACTTTCGGTTGCGTATCGGGCACCTATTGCGAGGATGAGCATGACGAGCACCAAGAAGGACTGTCGGCGCCCCGGCACATGGCCGGAGGTGACCATCTCATCCATCTCTGCTCGGAATGTAGGCTGGTGGAACACCATCATGAATCAATGGACAGAGTCGAGGAAGTTGTTGAACAGAAAGTTGACAATAGGTCCGGAGGGGAGGTCCATTCCTATCAGTTGCGAGGCCGGAGTCAAGCCCTCCTGGGTCCGAGAGGAAGCGTCTCTGCTCAGATTGCCGTCTGGTATGGCGTCGGCGGTTTGACTCAACTCTGAGTGCGAGTGGTGGTTCTAGAACACCTATGGATGACAATGCAAATCAGGACCTCCACAGGCCTCAGCCATGGCTTGCAGGAGCCTAACCTGGTCCACTATGCCGAAGGTAGACTTTCTTTCTTGAAGGATCATCGAATTGCGGGTTTGCTGCTTCCAGCCATCTGCGCTCGGCAGGGCTGGTGGGCGAGGTGTAGGCGCCTGGACCGCGTCATAGATAGCCCTGTGCGCGCTAGAACCCGACTCGCCACTTTGCGACTCGTAAGGGCTTCCTTGATCTCGACGGGAGGGATGAGAGAACCCATTGGCCTTTGTCTTGGTTGACCTCCTGCAGTTCGTTCAGAAAAGAGACATCCGGTCACTTGGCCAGAAGTGGCTCAGCATCATCATAGCTCACCTTGATCGCGGTGGATTCTCCTCGCATTCAGCGCCGCTTCGTTTACAAAGCGTACATGGTCTTTCGTTGTCGCACTATCATCAGGGAGCGCTTAGCGCTTTGCTCGTTTGGCCAGCAACGTGGTTGAGCGGTTGCCTTACCTTCAGCTTTTGCTTCCGGCATCTTATACATGCCCGCTGTACTCTTGTATACGACATTTGCGAACAACCAGTGTCCCTTTACTTCGCGCCGTTGACATTGCCGGGGAGTCCGAGAGTCTTGACACTGATTCTAGACTGAAATCTGCCGCCCTTGCGACACCAGCAAAGCGTATCACCACACAGGCTTTGAATGCGTCGGGGCAGTCGTACCTCGCTGGCTGCGCACTGGCTGCGTGTGGACGACTGGATTGTGGAGGAGGACGTGAAAAGTAGTGACGAGGCAGTCAAAGGAGAAATTCCGCACTCTTAGTCTCTCGTGAACGATGGGGTAGGGAGAGCCGGGGTGAGCGGGGTAAAAAGGGTTCGCTTTATTGAGGCTTGGCAGTAGATGCCTTCTTATCAAGACGTCTTCCGTTAGCGAGCTCCTTCGTCGGCTGGACAGCTTTTGTGAAGGTGACGGCGTCACGAGTTGACTCGCCTGCGCGGAATCAATGTTCAAGACAAGCTCTGATTGTTGGACTGGAATGTGCGGAAATTTGGACTGTCTCGGATTGCACATGATGCTAATGCTAAGTTACAATAGGTGGTGCTGTGCGTGATTCCGGCCAACTTCCTTCGGTGTCCCTCCAGTCGAGCAAGAGGAAAACAGGAAGAAAAGGGAAATCACCAGCTCACAAGCTGTCCAGACTCCGACAAAAGGAGAGCCGTGTCATAACCACTCCATGTCCATAACGCCCAGGTATTTCCGTGTTCTTGTCAATGAATCAACGTTCCGATCGACGCCTCCAGCGTTCTGCACGTTCCTCGTTAGCCTTTTGTCTCTTCTTGGCTGCTTCGTCCTTCTGCTCCACCATATCAGCGGTACACTTTTGACGTCGATTCATATTCTCCATATAGCTCATCATCCGGAACATCGCCTCATCTATGATTGCGTGTTTCCACAGACAACACCAAAGCTCGGAAATATCCATTGAATTGATCGTGATAGCATCAATATCGGTAGCGATCGTAGTAGGTATTTCGAAGAATGGAAGTTGGGTGTCGCTGTTATTGGGATCGATAGTTGCTTGCAACACTTGCGTTGGCTCTCCGTTTTCCAGATGTCGTTCCCAAACCTCCCAGACCAACGTAGTTTTTCCAACCCATTGAATACCTTTGTACCAAAGGGGCCCTTGGTCTGACTCCAATTGGAAATCTGCCTTTTGAATGGTCTGTAATTGATCGACGTCGAAGTCCTTTGGGCTTCTATATTTAGGAGTTGTGATGACGTTGATAAAGACAAACCTAGAGACATCGGAGTCTCCTTTCAAGTAGAGATCTCGAAGGTCGAGTAGACTCTCCCGAGATTGAGAAACACCAACTTCGACAACAGTATGCAACTTATGTCCGCCAACATCTTCGACCCATGCAATACCTAAGTCTGGCACTTTTTTTGACCCTCTCCATTTTCCTTTGAAGAATATCCAGTTAAGGCCCGGGGAGACATCGATTTTCGTTTGTATCAACAAACTCAATTTCGTGATGACGAGTCTATGGAGCCATTGGATGATACAAGCATGTCTCTTGCCAGGCATTGGGAAGAGATTGAGGATTGACGTGCGGGCATTGTATGAGTATTCGAGCTGGAGTCTACCTCTGATGTTAGTATATAGTTGAGTAGAGATCACAAAGGAGAGCGTACTCCTCGCTATCAGACTCAAAGTCAGGATCCTCCTCCAGCTCGTAGAAAGATGACACAGATAGTATGAACTCGCGGGGCTCGTCTGGGAATTGAAGGCCGGCCAAGCAATCTTTCAAATATGTCCGAGCTTCGTCTGCTTGATCCAGGAACACAGCTTGCTGCCGAGGCGCATCCTTCTCCTGGGGCGGTATGATTTTCTGGCCAGAATCAGAGATCTTGCGGGGGCGGATAGAGAGAGCGACAGGTGAGTCAGAGATGGAGGCCGCATGCGATGGTGACTGAATAGTTTGACGCCGAAACTGTCGGGCAGAATCATTTGAGAAAGCCATTTTGTCAGTTGAGTTCACGCCGAGAACTGATAATGTCGGCGCGGTAACAAGCTGTTTCACGGTGCTGCAAATAAAGGTAAGATGAATTGCCTCTAGCCTTCTGGCCTTCTGGCCGCACAGCAGTTTGATTGCACCAACGTGAAATTAAGTAGCGATGTTGCTGGTATTGGTGGATGATGGGTGACGGACGGTGGCTTGTAAGTGTGAGATGGAATTACATTGTCGGAATATTTGTTTACAAAGATTAGCCGACAAGAGACCGATATCGATAGCGATAGCGATAGCGGGATGCGGGGTTGGTATATTCACGTGCATATTTTGTCTTGACGCGTTCTCGCACCAAATCGCTGTCTTTGTTTACAACTCTCTGGTATTCAAGCGAATTACAGAGCAATGGGATAACCTCTGTGATACCACGATCATTATGCCATCCTCGATGGTGGCTCGATGGGCACCGTCCCACGGTGTACGGTGCCCATACCCGCACATGCCGCATATGAACACCGCTGCCCGAATTCTTGAATGTATCCAATGGTCCTTTTGTCCGGCGATATCGTGAGTAAAATCCACGTTTGTCCATATCTTGTTCTTGGCTCTTCTCTTCCAGATATCATTGTCTCTGGATCTCTTCCATTCTCGCAGAGCCTGTTGGTTCGTGAGGGGACGCCAGGGTTTCCAGATGCGCCACAAGCTTTGGCACTGATCGTGGCTCCATGAGAATCTTGCTCCCCGAGTTCGCCTCTGTGACCCAGACTTGCTGCTCCAGGAGGTCAGCATGAATGACCTAGCCAATGTTAGCTTGTGCTGCTGATTGTACTGTCGTAGGCTTACCGCTTCAGTTCTATCGTAGAACTCAGCACGATATTCGAGCTTCAAAGTCGCGTCCGCCTGCGTCTCGACTTTCTTCTTCATATGTGGCAGGAACATTTTGTGCATATCATACTTCCATATGTCGCGAATCGCCCGAGGAATGGTTATCACGCTGCCACTTATCCATCTCTCGAGTCTCCAGTAATGGAAGTCTAGATGCCCATAAAAGATCGTCACCTTCACCAGATTCTTCATGATACTCAGCAGCATGTTTACGGGGCCGCGCCATAAATTCACTCTGCGGAGTGTGACGGACCGCACCATCGAGAGCTCGTGCCGAGAAAAACCCTGAAGCTGGGGGCTTTCGAGGCTGCCAATCGACCCGAAATAAATATCGAACTTGGCCGTGTTCAGCAGTACCGGTTTCGCTTCGCACAAGCAGGATTTGCATGTGAGGAGGATGTTGAGGCCCATTGCTCGATCGCGAGATACCACGCACCAGTTGCCATGGGAGCTGGGCTTGTAGCAGTCCTCTCCTTGGATGATGATGGGTTGGTCTTTGAACAAATGGCGATAGATCATGAGTCGGACTTCCTGAGGCAGATCAAGGAATGTGACTCTAGGTTGGACAACATCTTTCAGAGTTGCGGTAGCGCTAGTGGGTGCTGTGGCGGCCATATCGACGTTGTCAGGTTGCAAAACGGTCCATCAAACGCGGAAGGAAGGTTTCAAGGGTGTGTCACAATTAGACAATTTGGTAGCCGCGTCGACTAGATTGACAGAGTGTGATCGTATCATTCAAAGAAGTGAGAAGGGAGTTAGGTGAATGTCGCGGAGATGGCAAAGACATCTGAGGACAAAGGGAAGTGATATGTGAAGACGACAGAATCACCAAGGCTATCAAGACGTACAGCGCTGGGGCCCTTCGGTTTACGGTTTACGGCGGACTTGAAGCGCAGGTATTCAAGCTGGTGACATCGATACCAGGTACTCGCCTCTGAAGGCAGCTTCCTGATTTCAATTACTGAGCAGCTCAGTCAAGACTAACGGTAGTAAACAAACTCGAAGCCACTGCCTCGAGCCCGCGAGAATCCTGCGCTCGGCAACCTCACTTGATCACAAACTCGCGGATGCTTGCACTGTGTCTAGCAGGGCGAGGACTGATTAAACCTCCGATTCTCTGGTGCTCACTCAGCGCATATGCTTCTCCCATAGTCCAGCTCAGCATGTAGCACCATCGTATCGTTTGACTCCTCAGTCTGTTTGTCCTTCGTCCACGCGCAACAGCTTCAGCAACTTAGCCACAAACTGTTCCGGCATAAAAACTACGCTGGATTCCGCCCATATCTTGTCCACATCCTTGATCCATAGGAACCGGGAAATGAGATCGGCAAGCAAAGACTGTCAAGCTCCATTAGCACGACTGAAAAAAAGACTAAAAGGGATGAACGCTCACTACTCTGACAGAATCTGCTGTCGTGACCTCATACATCACACACAACGACGCACGATTTCTGCCCTTCTTCTTCGCATACAGAAACATGGCGTTAAGTTCTTCATCGAAGGGGACGTCCGATGCCACCAGAGCTTTCAAGGCTCGCAGTGCTCCACTGCCTTCCAGTTCATTGAACGTCATTTCTGTGTACCGCGACTCTGAGTTCCACTCGCGGTGGACGCAGCAGCGATGATAACCAGTGGATATGAATTCCAGCTTCACCAGCCCTGGCAGGAAACGGTGGGCCGACTCGTAGAAATTCCGACTCTCTAAAGGCCTGTCAAAGTGCCATTCAAGTATCCATCTTGCTGAGCGTACTTTGGATAGACAATTTGTTGCGAATCCTTGAAGTGTGCCTGCGCCGCGCGAAATTGTCATCAAGGCGAAGTCAAATGTAGCGGTGTCAAGCAGGACTGGTCGGGCCTCCTGCAGACACAGTCTGCATGCGAACATGATATTCAGACCCTTGCTTCGATCGCGCCGGATCCCGAAGTCATGGCGCGCATCATGTGGCAGATATTTGTTCTTCCGTATCCGTAGGTTGTCTGAAGACCGGATGCGCAGCAGTTGACCATCAAATAAGAGGCGATAGATCGAGAGCCGGATTTCTGGAGGCAGAGTGAGGAAACTGGTTTGAGGATGCACGGTAGCCATGATCAGACTGGTGAGGATTCGTCAATCAGTTTGAGACACCTGAAGGAGAGTTCATAGATCATAGATGTCTGAACAGGACAGCGCCATCTGAAAGAGAAAAGAAACGCATTTTGCAGGTGACAAAGGGCCTTTAGTCTCACTGCGTCTTTTTCAGGTTAGTGAAGCCTGACTATCTTAGGTAACTTACCAGGTAACCAGTGGGTTGTCACTACAAGTCCTCCGACGTCTAAAAGTGTAGAAAGCCATACACCAAGAGAAGAATGAGTGAAAATTCACCTTCACGTCCAAGAGACCCCACGACCTCCAATATTCAGTCACTTCAGCTTGAAATGTATTCGTGCTCATTATCCTATGGAGCGTTGGTTCATCCGGTTCAATGCCGACAAGACAAGGCCGCCCTTAACTGGATCACGCTGCTGAATAGGTGACTAGGAGACTCTTGCTGAGTTGTGAAGAAGGACTCGTCTGATGTGCGCTATCCAAGGATCCATTGTATCCAAAGACTGTCAGTCAATCCAATTGCATTGACAATTTCAAGCGGTGGCCACAATCCCTTGAAGTACATCCATCATGCTCCTTGTAACCACTTGTCGTCTCCGTCCATAAATGGTGTCTTCGCTACTCCAGAACTGGTTCAGCCATCATTGAATCGTATCGGTTGGCAGGCAACGTCCAATGGTGCAGAGAAGAGGACCATGTCATCGAGTCTTCTACTCGAAAAGAGAAGCAAGCTCTAGTACACTTCGCTTGGTACCCGTATTTCTTACGCCACTTGTGCCCTGTGCCTCCACCCAAGTCGTTAGTGACAAAATCTCCACGCAAATGTACTGTCAACAGGTTAGCGTGATTTAAGGTATGCCTTGATGGTCATTACCATTAGGCCGTCCATGAGGTACAATGGCAACTTCAATACTAGCTCTGCTGCTTGGCCTCTGGTAGCTCTCTGGCGCATATATTGGAACATGGTCTTGTGGAGACAGCCATCCGCATTACCAAACCGATTTTTGAAGAGTGGTATGAGATACTTATCGTCATGCTCAACAAGTGCAATTGTGCTGGAATGGAGATTTGGGTAACGAATCTCCTCCATGATGATCTCGACGCTGGAAAGCTGTGATACCTTACTGAATGGCTGGGTGCACAGAGTGCATCGTGAACAAGGCGAACCCGTAGAGTGTCTGATGCGTCGAACTTGGGAGAGATCATTCGAAGAGAATCCCATGAGGCAACAGCCGGGAGAGATTCTCAGAATGCGTTCAGAACGACGACGCCATTTACCAGGCCATTCACTGCGGTCGATGTTGTAGTCAATGTCGAACATGGCTTCCGCGAATAATACGGGCTTAGCTTCAGAAAGACAGCTCTTTGACGCAAGAAGCATATTCAGACTCATGGCCTGGTCTCTTTGGCGGCCAGGCTTTATCAGATCAGGGCGTTGGCTGATTTTCACGGTGACGGGCACTACAATGCCTCTGAACAAGTAGTAGTAGATTTTGTTGCGAATCTCTGGCGGCAGGTCGAAGAACAACTTTGACACTTTCGAATGACGCGAGGTTGTGATGGAATTTGTCGCTGTCTCCATCGTCGCCATCGTGGAAGTGCACAACGGGCAGAGAGAATGGAGGGCGGGAGTTATTTCTGTCGAGGTCCACGAGAAGACTGGTTCTGGTCGTCAGACAAGTCCGCTCATAGTCCAATGACAATCAGGCCAACAACCTATGGTGTTGACAGAGGAAGACATGAGAGGGATTTTGTTTTGAAAGTTCCAACCGAGCGACCACGTCACAGCACTCCAGTGAAGGAATGACAACAAACTCGCGTGACCGGAAAGTGAAGTAAAAGACCAAGGCAGTGTGGGTAGTGAATTCTACTGCTCTTTCAGTTCGTTATCTTAACGTATGCTCTCGTCCAGTAGCAGATCCTTTGTGGCATTCGGTACGATGCGTGTGAAGACTTTGTGACCTACTTCTTTGTCGCATGACCAGCTCCTTGTTACGACCATGAAGTCGTTGCCCTCGCGTCCATGAGTTCTGGACACGTATTCACGGAGACGGCGTCTCTGCCATGCCAACCCACACTGGGTGAGGTTGGAAACGACCATCTTCGAAATAGGAGTCAGACTATGCATTATTTGGGGCTCAAGGCCGCTTCGATGCACCTGCTTCTCATCCTCAAAAGCTCATCGTGAATGTGCGCTAGCGCTGCTGATATCTTTGACAGCTGTCGGGAGCGTGAGGCGGGTGCAAAAACTTCAGCTAGCCTAATACCTGGCATCCTTGTGAAGGTGGCAGTCTAGACTGAATTTGACGGGACGCATCAGCTGTTGATCATGCAGAGGCGTAAAATGCTTTGCATAAGTATCCGTTCTCTTCATTGCCCACTCATCATCCTTGCAGTGTCTACAGCTCGTGAACGTTTGATGGTAGAGCTTCAGAGCACCTTGCGCTGCATCGTTCCTCACGTTTTGACAGCCGGACGCGACGGGTTGGTGTAACCGCAATGATAGATGGGGCGATCCTGACTACGTCTCTGCATTCGTGGCCATGGCAGGTAACTTGACAGAATTAGCCTTCAAGTTCTGCCAGTCTAGCCTTCCAACCTTCCACCCCACGAAGAAGGGTGTCGAGCTCTTCTTTCTCATCTTCTAGCTTGATCCTTTTCTCCGCATCAAGCTTGCTGAAGACATAGCCACCTTGGCCGTCAAATTGGAGTATCATGCTGTGGTACTTCCACAGACTGCGTCGGTGACTGACAGTCAGAAGTGTTGTTCCGAGACCTTTTGCAGTCTCGTACATCTTTCGTTCCATCTCCAAAGTAACTGAGCTGGTACATTCATCGAGAATGGCATATTTGGGCTTGTGATAGAATAGTCGTGCCATAGCGATGCGTTGTTGTAGGCCACCGGAAAAGACGTCCCGCCACTCTTCGACCGCATCCCAGCCGTCTGGACGATTGAGGACGGACTCAATTTCCAAGATCTTGAGGATCTCTTTGAGCGCCTCCTCTGACTCATTCTTCGCCCGAAATTCGTATAGAGTGTCGGGATAGATTATTTGGTCGCGAAGTGTACCCCTGCTGAGGTAAGGTCGCTGTGGGATGTAGAAGATGTCCTCGAAGTTCGGTTTCTTGACACTTCCACCATATACAGGCCACAAGCCGCCAAGAATCCTGAACAGGCTAGACTTTCCACAGCCGTTAGGGCCAACAATGAGCAAATGATCTCCGGGCTTGATAGCAAAGGTCAATTTTTTGACGAGGACATCTCCATTGGGACTGACAATAGGGACATCCTTGAACTCGACATTCTCACTTTCCTCGATCGTTCCTCGTCCTTGCAGAACAGTGGCATTCTCCTCGATGCTGGCGGAACTGACAAGATTCTTCTGGAACCGACCGGCAGAGACTTCATCCATCACATCTAACAGTCCTGCTACTCTGGACGTATATCCAGCAAGTTCCGTGATTTCCTTGTATGAGAACATGAGGCGCCCGAACGCGTCAGAACTGCTCAACAGCATTCGCCTGTTCTTGACGAAGCTTTCTGTATGATCACCAGCAGCTTGTAGCGTCTGTCCAGGGATCTTGAAAAATACTGGAAGAGAGCACAGTATGAGACCCAACGCGCCCCAGAAGTATTTGATGACAAAGTCTTCCATAAAGCCGTGGTAGAACCGTCTTCGCAGTATTCGGTTGACATGCCTGATCAGTGTGAAGTAGCCCTTGTCAAGTCCGTCCTTCTCTGCTTCGTGTCCAGCATACAACGCGATTTCCTCGCTGTAATCAATAAGCCGGGTATGCTGGAATCGAAACTCGCCTTCCAGTCGAGCCTCGTCTGCGACATATTTGCCAAAGGGTGGTGTGAGAGCACGCATAACGTTCGCCGAGACCTGTACTAGCAGGGCCATCGCAAACAGTCCTTCCCCACCAACAGACTTCGACAACGAATAGTTGTAGATGACCATATCCAATACCGGCTTTGCCAGATTCGAATATAGTTCTGCAAGAGAGTTGCTGAACCTTGCAATATCGACAGTAATGAGCTGATCAGCATTCTTGATCCGATCGTCCAATGCGGAAAGTGTGTAGAAAGTCATGTTGTCCAAGTATTTCTCGTGAACATGATTCGTCAATCGAGTTCGGTACGCGAGGGCGAGTCTAGTTTGGTGGTATTGGAGCATTGAATTCGTGAAAGTGGCAGGGATAGCAACCAACATCCACCACACCAACCCCAGGATGAAGTCTCTTCCACGGCCCTTGACCAACGCGGAGACGACCTTGCCATCGAGGTCGGCGACGTAAAGTGAGAGGAGAGTTCTCAGGACAAGGAACACACTGTGACTGATAATGAGGCGCAGCTCCTTGCTTCGCCAACCAGGTATGACGATCTTGAGTAGTCGGTATAAGTTCCGAAAGAATTCTCGGTTTATTTCCACTCTCTTCTTCTTGTGTTCTTGACTTGCAGCCTCCGCGTCCCCGATCGTGGCAGACTGTCGGGCACGGATTTCAGCCTGCCTCCTAGTAGCAGCTTTTTGCTCGGAGATGGCATTGTGGATTCGATGGGCTAAGGCAGCGACCAAGGTGATGTACACGGTCCGAGATATCTTTGTCCGGTGTTTGAGGTAGAGGGATGTCAATTCGGAGATCAGTTGCTTGACGGTGCGCCCTGGAGGGAGCAATTTGGATTGCGCAGCCATATTGGCGGGCAACTCGAAGACGAATAGTGGAAGAGCGCTATCGGGGTCTCTATCATGTTAAAATGAAGCCCAAGAAGGCTGCTGTTAATATTGTCGAATGTAGGTGTGTGGCACGTCAATGTCAACAGGCAATGACCGCGAAGCCTCGGTTGGAAGTGGCATGTGAATCGACGCCACGTGACCTCGTTTGAAGAGCGATATCGACGGCGACCATTTTCAACGTGAGCATCACGAAATGCTGTGCAATCCTTCTTTCAATCATGTCTCGTTATACACTCTTGCAAGAGCCTCTCTATAGAACAGCCAGCACGGCAGTGAATCCACCTTAGAATCCCTCTAGAAACTCCTTCAGCGTTATTGGCTTCCGAACAGCATTCGAAAACCCTTCGTGGAACGACACCCAGATGCGTCCCTCATCCTTGGTCTTGGTCTCAGCCCTGGCGGACGCCATTCCCTTGCCCGCCGACTTTGGTCGACTCTCATTGATGATCCGGCCGAAGAAGTCGCGCTTTGCATCTAGGTCCTTTGACATAGATTTTCCCACCTTTGCATTTGTGTTCTCCTTGTCGTCATGGAATCCAGCTTCGTTCATGAGCTGCGATGCTCCGGATCGCGCGTGCCGTGCAGCAGAGCTCTGCAACAGTCTCTCCTTCCGCAACTCCTGGTCAAGCACTTGTCTAACGGCGTACCTCACGGGTGCCGTTTTTGGCGATGAATCATCCAAATGGTAGCTGAGCAGAGTATCAAGAGGTCTGAATACGTCAGTATCATCACTGCTCTCCTGAAGAGGAGTGACTTACGGTTCCATTCTGTACGCGTAACCACTGTTGGAATGGGCACCACCGCCTTCGATCTCGACGCGAACCTTCTCAAATGACAAATCAAGGGCAAGCATGGCCCTGACAGCGTTTCTGATGCACACCTTCTCCGTGTCTTTCCGTACACTTGCAACGCTGGCAGAGCCACCAGAGCCACCAATAACCACGGGCTTGACTTCAGGAGCAAGCATTTTGCCCATGTTCGGTATCAGCTCTGTGGCGATTGTATCAACGGAGCTGAATAGCCGCAACAAGGATCCCGAGAAAGTCGACTGAAGCTCCGTTAGTAGCGTCCGGTTCTGTTTCTCCGCCTCATAAGCGGCAAAATCAGCCTTGACACCACTGAAAGGATGCAAATCGACTGGCTCGTCTTCGGGCTTCTCGTCATTCCAAGCTTTTGAGCCTTTGTCAGCTGCCGCGAAGAGATGATGGAAGCCACAAGCGCTGGTGCTCAGGTACGGCATTAGCTCCCACTCTTGACCCGAGAATACTCGACTTGATAGACAGTCATGGAAATGAAGCCAATCGTAACCCGCATTGGGTTTCGTCAAACGCACATCATCTTGGTATGCCTGCGTCGGGTATGTCGCAAAACACTCAGTAGCGATTCGGTCGTGATCACCACAGGTGTCCACCATTTCCCGCAAGGCAGCAATAGCAGCACGTTTACGAAGATCCGAGACACCTATCGCACTTATCTTGGACTCAGCAACAAGTCTGGCATCATCCGCTGAAAGAGTAGTCGGTAGATTCGGCAGGCCGGCTCCATCGATAAAAACTCGTTCAACGACTTCTCGAACACCGCCCCGGCCAACGCCTTTCTGGCCGGCTCGAGTGTCTTCAAGTAGTGGCTCGAGCCACTTCCTGGTCAGTCTGGTTTTGTTCCCATTCGCCCGTAATTTATGGGCAATCCATTCAGCCTGGACTAGGACTCCACGGATGTCGCCCTCGCCCGAACCTCGAGTACCGGGGCCTCGCTGTTTTCGCATGGCTAAGCCCCATGCATTCTCGCATAATCGACGCACGGCGTCATTCTCACAGGCGATGCTCTCTTTCTCAAACACTGTCTTCAACCTGGCTATGACTTTGTCGATCGGTGCGTTCCGAACATGGACAATCTCGGCGATAGAGCTTGTTCGGAGTGGGCGCAGTGAAGGTGCGTAAACATCGTTGCAGACCAGGATCAACGGTCTAAGCATTCTGAACCTGTCCCCCTTCTTCTTCCTGTCAGTAGAATTACTGTGAATGCCGTTCTGGGGTGAATTTCGGTGATCGAGCTGGACGAGGTCAATCAGAGCCTTGATGAATCCACCTTCGCCACCACTCGAGCTGGACCCTGTCGTGACGCCGTCGACTTCATCTACCACGACGCAAACAGGGCGGCCGGCTTTGCGAGCTTTTCCTTGCTCTTGAATCCCTCGAACAGTTTCTGTACCGAGAGCATCTTTGATCCTGCCTTTCACAACCTCGCGGCTACGGTCGTCACTGGCGTTGATCTCGAGGACTTCATATCCAGCTTGTCTTGCACAAACATGAGCTAGCGTCGTCTTGCCTAAGCCAGGGGGACCGGTTAGGAGAAGCACCTTTCGATGTTGTTGCTCGAGTTGATCTTTATCCTCGTATATCCGGGATGTCTTCGGTTTTGCATGACCTGGAAAGACCAGATCATCCCAGGATTTGAGCCATCGAAGAACTGATCGGTGGGTTCTTTCATCGCCCACGAGGTCTGTGAACTTCTTTGCTCGATACTTCTCGGTCCACATCTGGTGGAATACCGAATTGGTCAGGGGTTGAGGAGAGGGAATTTCGACCATCTCGTTTGCACCTGCTTCCTGGGTCTTTCTTTGCTTCTCGAATTCGTCCAGTTGCCGTTGAGTTTTTGCATCATCCATGAGCTTGTGAATGTCAATGCCATAGTAAGACTTTTTTGCACGGCCTGCTATGGTTGCGGATCTTTGTGCAATGGTTTGCTCGTATGATATAGCTGCTGTCTTCTGCCTCAGAGGAATGTTCAAAGTGGTACCACCCGAGGTCTGGACATTCACTGTCTTTGCTGGCAATCTTCGAAACAACGGTCGAGGCAGAGGAGGCAACACAAAGCTAGATGCGGCTCCTTGCTGCTCAGTGAGTCCATGGTTGTCTGCCTTGATCTGCTCTGCAACTTTCTTGGTGGGCAGCTCGGGCAACGAAGGCTCCTCAGTACTGGGTATTTTGGCTACGCCCGGAGCTCTACTGCTGTCTTCCTCCTGTTCTTCTTCAGCATCACTGTCTTCGAAGAAGCCGCCAATGATCTTTGGTTTTTTGGGCTGCAGCTCCGTGGGAAACGGTTGGAACAGCTTGCGTTTCTTGGTGGGAGGCAGAGCCGGAGGTGAAGAGCTTGGTGGATATAGCACAGGCGACGAAGAGAATGGCATATCGAGCGGCGAGGGTGGCACTTGTGAGGCAGAATCGTCTGAAGAACCGACAGGAGGACTCAAATTGTGAGTGAACTCATAGGTCGTGCTTGCTAAGGAGTATTTGACATCGCGCTCGTCTTGTTGGTGGAGAGTTTCGAGGTCGACGGAATTGGGACAGGAAGGGATAACAAGCGGCTCCTTGAGCGCTTCCACAGACATTAGTATAGGCCTAGAGAATGAGTGGTCGCCTGTAGATCATCCCGAATGACCCTTGTGTTCGGTAGTCGAGTTGTACAGAAAATGTTCGTCGATTGAATTGTCAGAACGCGACGCGCTTCCCCACACAATCAGAACGCGCCTCGCACATGCAACGCAACGGTGGATGAACCGCTGCACTTCTCCGCCTCTGCCGTCATACGAGCGGACATTACGCGTGGAAAGAAGCCCTCTGTCTGACAACGAGGTTTCTGGACGACCCGATGCAAGCTGGCAAGCTGCGTGTTTGTCTGTCGACATGCTGCAAATCTAAAACTGTCAGACTCATGATTTTCTCGGCCATGCACAGCGCATCTTCAGGTCAGTGAGGACTTGGTGGCACATTCTTAGGTCTATATCAATGCTCAGCAATGTCGCATGTCTCATATTCCCGGTCGCAAAGATCACTCGATCTTAAGGACTCCAACAAAACGCATTGCACCCATCGATGTGACTCCCAATCCTCCCAACACCCTCGAGCGCATCTACTCAAACTACCGTTCTGAAATGCCTCCTGGAGAGAACATAGGCGATACTTCTGCGAAAACCTTTGCAGAGTAAGTGAAGCAAGATTTCCTCAGACCAGGGCTCGTTGCGGCTTCGTGAGCAGATAACGCTGACTTTGCGCACCAAAGGTTGCTGTCCGGTCCGCTACTGGAGATCACCGTAGGTCCTGACGGCCGGCAGTGGATGCTCCATCAAAGCCTACTCATCCATCATACCCGGTTCTTTGACGAATCATATACTGTCAACGGTGAACACAAAAGGATAAAGGACGGCAAGCTGGAGCTGCGCGACCAAGATCCGAGCGCCTTTGAGCTGCTGCTCAAATGGATCTATCAAGGCAAGATCGATGATGTCTCCTGGATGCCGAAAGACGTGAAATGGGACTATGCATACACATGTCAGAAATTGTATCTACTGTGCGAGACCCTCGGCCTTCAAGAGCTCAAAAACCTGGCTATCGATCAGTTCCGTCGAGGATGCCACGAGGCTGGACTGGTCCCCGGACCTGAAGAGATGAAACCTGTATATGAGCAGACTCGGCCATCGTCGCCCTTTCGGAAGCTGGTCAGCAGGATAGCTGCGCGGCAAATCATGGATCCAGCTTCGGAGAAGGATGCTTCGTCGTACAAAGACTGTTTCGCGCTTTCACCCGATTTTGCCGTTGACGTTATCAATGCAATCAAAGAAGGTACTGGAGGCTCACTGTTTGATGATCCGACCGAAGGAAACTCATGCAGGTATCATGAGCATGACGATGGTGAGACTTGTCATAAGACTGTAAAGTTCAAGGACATGTCTTGATGTCGCCCGCAAAGAGTAGTTCCGGACGTTGGGAAGGGTCAGGGATACTCGACGAAGAATGATATGCTGGACGAATATCAGACTGTCTCTTGGACTATGTCTGGACCTACGATGCATTCTACGTGACACCAAAGTTGTCTGCGAGGTCCTTCGATAAAGATGCCCCAAACGCCGGTCACTGTTCAACTCTGGAAAAGACACTTTGGACCGAGCCACTCAGCTGTTGGTGGACATTCGGTCAGAACGTGTTAATTCCAGAGACCAGGAAATGTGTTGGCTGGGTTCAAAATATGTCGGAAATCCGAAACCTCGATGGGTGGTTCTGGACAGCAGGAAAACGTGGTGATGAAGTTAGGTTGGATCTGCCTTTCAACGCAAAACGTGGCGCCAAGGCTGGATCTGTCTCGAATATAAGTTTCTACGACACGAGCAATAGTTCGCTAATGATAATTACTGCGTAATTGACGAGTTCTCCTGTCCTGAATCGACGAGGCTGTATGTATGGCCGCCTGAATAATAAGCCTTCATTGGACGAAGTCTACAGATCACGTGATAAGCTTGGCAGGGTTCTGGCCTTCGACTTTTTGGCGTTCAGACAGTCGTGTCTCCGCCGCGCGATTGCGATTTCGCGACAAGGTTGTTGTACCGAAACAAACTCAGATCAAAAGTCGCATCCCGCTACGCAATCTCACTCGGGAGAATCTGGGGCTACTTTCAACTAGGCGGGCATAGGCAGGCGCTACTCATCTTTTGGGCCTTCGTTGAAGGCTTGCGCATCTTCGAAGCAACGGGGGCTGGGTTCATCAACAATCTTTCCAACCATGGCCAACGAAGAACAAATCGCGGCCGAAGTCGAAGACGTCCCGACCGAATTGAAGCAAGAGGCATCGGAAACCACTGCCTTGGCGGAAGGTAGCGCGGATGTACCGGTAGAATCAGAGCCAGCCGCGGAAGGTACGCGTCCACTACGACAGTTACCCTGGCGGTACTATCGATTGTATATATGCCATGCTAACACGACATGAACAGACACTAGCACTCCTGCAGAAGCCACAGTCACCGTCGAAGCCAACCCTCTAGATGCGCCAAAGTCACCAGCTCCGCAAGATAAAGCGAACGGGGAGCCAGAGGATGCTGAAATGGGCGGTGTTGACGAGGATGCAAAGGTTGAGGATGGTGATGTGGATAAAGAAAACGCCGAAGAATCCCAAGAAACACCAGCAAATGCGAATGGCACAGACGCTCAGTCCGCAGAAGCAAAAACTGCATTGGAAGCTGCCGCGAGTTCACATCTAGTAGCGCAAACGCACCAGATCATCCTACCCAGCTACAGCACATGGTTTGACATGGCAACAATACACCCACTTGAAAAGAAGTCCTTGCCGGAATTCTTCAACAGTCGGAACCGAAGCAAAACACCAGCCGTCTACAAAGACTACCGCGACTTCATGATCAACACTTACCGACTCAATCCTGTTGAATACCTCACAGTAACTGCCTGCCGGAGAAACCTGGCGGGAGATGTTTGCGCCATTATGCGGGTACACGCCTTTCTGGAACAATGGGGTCTCATTAACTACCAGGTAGGGAGCGTGAGGGCTTGTATGGTGCGCAATGCTAACGAGGATAGGTTGATCCGCAAACTCGTCCTGCCAACATTGGGCCTCCTTTCACCGGTCATTTTAGAGTGACAGCAGACACGCCTCGAGGATTACAGCCCTTCCAACCGGCACAAAACGCAGTGGTTACCCCCGGCAAACCTCATTCGTCTACCGACCGAGCAAAATCAGCGACTCCCGCCTCTAAAGGAGACCTGAACCTTGAACTCAGGCGAAACATTTATGATGACAAGGGCAAAGAGATCAAAACGAGTGAAGAGCCGGAGAAGCAGACAAATGGCGAGGGAGCGACGGCCAATGGCGCGACTAAAGCAATGGATGCGGCTGCCAGAGAACCAGCCAAGACCTTCAACTGCTATGCCTGTGGCGTTGACTGCACGCGGTCTCGTTTCCACTACGCAAAGTCTGACCCTGTATCGAGTAACGCCCAGGAGATCAAGTATGACCTATGTCCGAACTGCTACTTCCAGTCCAGGATGCCCAGCAATCACCGATCGTCGGATTTCGTCAAGATGGAAGAGCCTGCATATTCACATATTCCGGACAAAGATGCGCCGTGGACAGATTCCGAAACCTTGCTGCTACTGGAAGCTCTAGAGACGTTCGACGACAATTGGGAGGCAGTCTCGAAACATGTTGGCACGAGAACGAGAGAGGAATGCGTGCTGAAGTTCTTGCAAATGGACATCCAAGATCAATATCTGGAAGACGGACCCTTGAACGGCGGTGCTGCTCTCATGAAGACGTTAACCGGACGAACTCCAATCAACCCGGTGGACAATCCAGTCATGTCGGTCATGGCATTCTTAACGCAGATGGCAGATCCCAAAGTCGTTGCTGCAGCAGCAGGTCGGTCGATCGAGGTCATGCAACAGGAGATGAGAGCCCAGCTCGAGAAAGGGATAGGTGGAATTGAATCAGCCACTCCTAGGGATCAGGACAATGAGAATCTTAAGTTCGAGGACACGATGGAGGTTGATGAGACAGCCGTGGAGAAGAAGACGACGACGCCGACCGAAGCTGCTGGCTCCACAGCTGTCGTGACTGATATTGCAAGTGTGGGCACTGCAACTGCCGCGGCACGATCAAGTGGTCTCGCCTCTCATGAAGAAAGAGAATTGACACGAATGATCGGGGCAGGTGTCAATCTAACGTTGCAGAAGTTCGAGATGAAGATGTCGCAGTTCTCGGAGATGGAAGAATTGGTCCAGTCTGAACGCAGAGACCTAGATAAGGGTCGACAACAGTTGTTCTTGGATCGACTGGCCTTCAAGAAAAGGATGAAGGACATGGAGAACACTTTCCGCCAGGCTAGCTTGAAAGCTCCCGAAGAAGGCATGCGCATGATGCAGGAGGCCGTCACTAGCAACGCTGGGCAACGGTTTGGATTTCAGGATGGTAGCGAAGGAGAGGACGGAACAGTGACGGTTGTTACCGCAGACGCTGGTGACGGGAGGCCTGTAGATCTTTAGTGAAGCCTGTCACGTTTGTCCCAGCGATGGATGGCGTTTGGGAATGGGAGAGAGTGTCTCTCACGGACACAACCCTGGGGGAAAGGGCATGGGTCTCGTCGATGTGTCTCATCGTGATGCATTTGCCGAGCTTGAATTGCGCCCTCCTGGTACGGAGTAGGGAGGCCGCATTGGATTGAATACCTGGTATGTAGCACTACAAGAATTGTCCTTCTAGAATGCCTTATGGCCACGATTGTACAAGACTTGTTGGTCGGCGAGGCTGCACATGAAACGAGCGTTGATGCGCCTGATTTGTTTCTCCGTCTTTCAGTGCAATCCATGTCGAATACATCACGGCCTCGCGCCTACATTAGGTATCATTGTCTGCGTGTCTCAGCGCGGTCTGATATCGACGCTGACATCGAGACCGTGGCTTGCGTATCGGTTAAGCAAGACTGATGTTCCAGAGCACCTCAGAAGGCCAGTCGGATTCTGGAGCTGACGATGGCCACCTTCGCTTTGTACTTTAACTACTAGTGGGATTTTGTGCCGAATGGTCTATGCTCCGATCTATTTGAACACTCCAGGACCCCAGAACACCCACGGACCTCACCTGTAAACACCGCTAGTTGTTAAAATCCTAAAGGAGTACGATTTATTCTTAGTTATCCCACCGTCGTATCTAGTACAGGTTAAGGCCAGAAAAGACCTTATCGTGCCGTGCTCTGCGTGGCCTGGGCATGTCTGGACTACGCTCCATCACCTACAAACACTTTGGCGAGACAGATTCGGAAATGGCTGCCATTCTTGCTTCGACCGGAAGAACCCAAGCATTGGCGCTGCAGACTTTCAGCCGCCGACCATCGACGCCTCGCGACGCCGTGATCATCAGCGCATACTTTCCCCTGACCTATCCAAGTCGGCGCTTGAACCCCAGAGCCCTCTCAGATGTGCGGAACCAAAAGCTTGCGTCAGCCGGTGAATTGCTGTTCATGTTGCATTCGTTCTTCATCCCAGCAGGGGTAGATGAAGAGCTTGCTCTCCCTTGTAATCTTGCCATGTTCTCAACCCAGTCAGATCACACAATTCCTTCTTGAGACTGAATGCGACCATACGGCGCTACCGGCAGCAGGTCGCTTAAGCAGTTGGTCAGTCCTCCTGTTTGACTCTGCCTGACTCAAAGCGTCCGTGCCCATCCAAAATAGCACGTTAGCAACCATTGTTTTGAGGCCGTGCTCATCCCTTCCAATCGGCAAGCATATGTGAGTGAGTCCAGGCTCGCTTGGCCATTATGAGGTCCTTTTGTGAGTTTCCTGGCTGGCTGAGCCGCACGCTCGTCTCAGAACCAGCCTGTGCACATTTAGAACTGGCACGATCAGGCATTTAACACCAAATCATTCCTGCGTTTGCTACCGGACACTCCTCTCAACTGTACAGCAACGGTTTGACAAACAAACACCTTAGCGTTCCTCAAACCATGTCATCAACAAGCCTTCATGGGTCTTCCGGTCCTGGCAAGGACAGTCCTGGAAAAAGAAAAATCGGCTTTATCTTTCTGATCGTTGTGGCGGTCCTTTTGGTCGTCGGCCTGGGATGGGCGATGCTGAGATCCCACTATATGAAACGGAGACCGCAAGACAACACACGGTTGCACATAGCATCACGTCGACCTCTCAATAAGAAGGGCATTCCAGCTTCATTGCTAGACAGCTTTCGACTGGTCGTACATGGCGACAAGATGGAGCACCTAGACGCGGACGTAGAGAGCTGCACGGGGGATACAAAGGGGTTCGAACTTGGTGTCAAGTGCTCAATGGTGGAAGTACCTGAGGCGGTGCATCTCCGTGAGGGCGCCGTCGGCACAAGAGACAAGAAGGACAACGAAAGAAGCACGCAGCCACGGTTTGTGCTGGAGAACAATCAGGCTGAATGCCCGGTATGCATGCAGGACTTTGTTGAGAAAGACAATGTCCGCGTGCTTCCCTGCGAGCACCGCTTCCATCAGACATGCGTTGATCGATGGCTGTTGGATGTCAGTGGAACGTGCCCTGTGTGGTAAGTGTTGTCGCTTGAGGTCTCATCTAGAACTCCGTCATGGCTAATACTTGTGGATGTTTATAGCCGGATCGACTTCAAGACATTTACTGTCCCGCCAGCAAGTGCAGGCAACCGCGACAGAGATGACGAGAGAGTGAAGCAATAGTTGTCTACGACTGCTGACATTGAAGTGAGAATGGCCTACGACCTGCACCTGCGCTCTTCACAGCAACTTCACTGTCCACCATTCCCTCACAAGTGATTCACTCACCTGATCACTATAAATATAAAGAAGATCCCCGCCCTTACGTCGCGACTCATCTCCTCCCATCCTCATCCGCGCGACTTTACCTTGTCATGCCAACGTCTTCAACCTTACCGACGAACATCTCTGCCACCATGGCTGCGCCGTGGCTGCCGTCTTCTCAATCAGGAAGGCTGTCATTCTTCGATCTAGCGGCAGAAACGCGCAACCAGATCTACCACCACCTCTTCGACGGGCAGCTGATTCACATCCGAGAAAAGGATGACGGCGACGAGATCGAAGAACAACCTGAAGACTGGCCAAACAAACCCCATGGAGTACCTCCTAAGTGGCTTATAATTCGTCGGAATAAAGCAATGGGTCTGAACCTCCTACTGGCTTCCAAACAATGGCTGGCCGAAGCAAAACCGATCCTTCTTAATTCGGCCACATTCGACATCAAAGTCGATTCCTGGGCGGAAGCATCTCCTGTCAAAGGTTTCTCTATTCACGACCTACGGAACACTCGGTTCCTCCGGTATCAGACTAATGCGCAGCACATTGGGGAGCTAGCATATGCGGCCTCATCCATTTGTCAATCGTCGCTTGCAACGGTGACAGGATTGTGCAAGGTCGAAATCTACTCCTCTAGGACACTGACCCTGCCTTATAAAAGTTACGGGCTCGACACGCTGGACGTCTCGCTAAAGGACCCTGTTATCTTGGAGCTTTTACATCGTGCCTTCCTGAAACCAGGATCCGAGTACAAAGCTGCTTTTGACCATATGCAGAAGCGAGCAAAGACAGATCATGCGGAGGCGATCTTGAAACAATGCCTCTATCTCAAGGGCAGCAGAACTGTTAGTATTTCTGATGTCCAAGGTCTGAATGCTTACTGATTTGGTTTAGTATCTGTGCATCGAGCTCCTATCACATACATTCTGGTTGGAAGGGCTAGAAGAGGTAAAAGGTCTCAGCAGATCAAGGTATTGCGGCATGGACAAAGAAAAAACTGTCGCCGTCATCACACCACGGCAACCAGGGCCGAGTCCGCAGCGTTTTCTAGAGATGAGAAACCCAGAGAGTGTATGGAGTGCAATGAGGCAACCAATCATATGGGAGGTCAGGAGACCGCTCCGCAAGAAACGGATAAGCTGCATTAAGATTATCAACGGCGAGGAATGGACCGTTGTTCGTTCGGTATGGCGCTGAACCGAGCAGAAGCAGTGAAGCCAGTGCTCTACCTGGGTGTCACATGTGGTCGGCGAAGAGCTTCGCTTCCCTCTTCGGTGGGTGCAGTCAGTCACGTTGAGCCAATGCGCGAAGACTTGTTTTTACAGGCAGCTTCAAGGCCTGAGATCGTCCAGTCTCCAATTGACTCGATGGGAAGGGTGCGGAGATCAGAGCACGAGAGAGTCCTCGAGAGACCCGAGGCAGAGCATGAGAGTCCTTAGAGACTAAAAATACAAGAGCTGGCAGTTTGTCTTTGCAGATAATTCTAGCAATTCGTTCTAAACTGGCAAGACGGATCGTATCATTTGCCTTTCGTCAACAGTCGTTACAAGTGATCAGACAGCCGCAAAGCGTAGTGATCCACCCTCCACCGGCCGGGGCCATATGCATCTTCGCGCACATTTCTATTCCTGTCCCCTATACAGAACTCGTATTTTTCGTTTCCAAAAGAGCAGGCCCACAGACCCGTGTCCGTCACCTCTTCTCCCGGGTCGTAGTCTTCTCGCCATGCTCACTGCCACTACCGCTACCACTGGTTGCTTCATCGGAAATTTCAATGAAACTCCCAAACGCCCTCTTCTCCAGATCCTGGGGTCGTTGGCCCAACTTGGCCGCCCTGCGGCGGAAGTAGACTCTCTTCGCCCACTTCCAAGCCTCGGCGCCGAGGAAGAACAACAAGGCTTCGACGAAGACGATGCCCCATTCCCATGAGATGCCGGTGTGTTTGAAGACGTCGTGGTTGATGACGGGAATGTACAGGGTGGGGAAGATGGTGACGAAACCCGCAATGATGGCCCAGAAGAGGAACTGGTTCCGCCAGACGTCGACCATCCACTGGGTAAAGTAGCGCTTGCTGCCGGGCTGCATGCGGAAGAAACTGCGGCGCATGTCGACCATTTCCCAGGCCAGGAACAGCGCGAACCATGTGAGCGACACGAATGTGGTGGCGCGGGCTCGGAAGACCGTGTCACATTGCTCCGAGTAGGTGTCGTTGCATCCAGACCCGAGATTGCCGTCGCCAAAGCCGTACACGACGAGCAGGAAACTCGAGAGACACAGCGCGCTCATCCAGAGTCCGTACGCGATCATATCGAGCATGACTTCCAGGGTGAAGACGCCGCGCTTGAGGTCCTGGGGCGGGCGCGAGAGGATGTCGGGCGATGCGACTTCCATGCCGAGACCCATGTCGGGCATGCCGGAGGTGATCATGATGACCCACAGGATTTCGACGGGCGCAAGCGGAAACACGGACAGACCGGTGCTGTCTTTGAACGCCAGACCGATGAGCAGCGTGCATGCCTGTGCAATGTTCTCGGCGAGCAGATGCAGGACGAATTTCTGGATGTTGTCGAACATGCGGCGACCTTCTTCGATGGCGTTGAGGATCGAGGCGAAGTTGTCGTCGGTCAGAACGATGTCGGAGGCGTCTTTAGCCACGTCGGACCCGGCCATGCCCATCGCTATGCCGACGTCGGCAATCTTCAGGGAGGGGGAGTCGTTGACACCGTCGCCGGTCTATATCGGGTCAGCTTTAGTTGAAGATGGTGAGGAGTGGGTAACAATAGGGCGGATGGACTTACCATAGCCATGAAAGCTTTGCGTCGTCGGAGAGCTTCGATCATGCGGACTTTGGTGTTTGGCGCACATCGGGCAATGACAAGTGGGAGCACGGGGAGTTGGTCCAGTTTTTCATCGGAGAGCTTGTCGAATTCAGAGGCAGTCATGACCATAGACTTCGCCACGGGCTCGCTGACATGGTTCATATCAGGCAGGATGCCAACTTGGATGGCGATGGCTCGGGCAGTGCCGGGGTGATCTCCTGTCAGCATGTGTACTTTGATACCTGCTCGGTGGCATCGCTTGACTGCTTCTGCGGACTCTTGTCGTGGTGGATCGTATAGACCGATGAGACCGCGGAAGACAAGGTCCTGTTCGACTTGTTCCCGAGGAGGTGGTCCTTCACGACTTGCTCGGCGTTCTTTTTTGACATCGTACGGTCGGCTAGCAAGTGCGAGAACACGAAGACCCTGAGAAGCGAGCGCTTCCATGTTGTCGAGAATGTGCTGTTTCTTCTCGTCATCCAACTCGACATCCGATTCCTGATCAAGAGACCATCTGATGGTGGTGCAGGAATCAATAACACGCTCGACGGCACCTTTGGTGTACACCATCTGTTCTTTCGTTTTGAGGTTTTCGAATATGACGGACATTTTCTTGACATCGGAGTCGAAAGGATACTCGCTGACCTGCTTGTAGGTGGCATCAGGACCATCGATAAATTTGGAGCGGTTGTAATCAAATCGAGAGGCGAATACTTGAAGGGCGATTTCCGTCGGATCTCCTCGTGCTTGCCAGGTGCCTTCGTCGTTTTGATGCACGTGGGCTAGATTGGCAAGTGAAGCAACCTGCAGGAAGTCCCTCAGTTCACGATGGTTCTCTGTAGCATGGCTGTATTGAAGCGCATCTCCTTCCTCATCAGTACTAGCGGGTGGTTGCGAGTGATGAGTCAAATCGCCTTTCGTTGGGTTGAATGCTTCGTCCGAAGTACTGATTGAGTATACACCTCGGCTGGGTAACCAAGCTTTTCGAGCAACCATCTTGCCCTGGGTGAGGGTACCTGTCTTGTCGGAGCAGATGTCCGTCACTCCACCGAGAGCTTCGAGGGCATCCATTTTTCGCACGATGACGTTACGTTTTACCATTCGCTTGGTTCCGACTGCCATTGTGATGGTGAGAACGACGATGAGGGAGGCTGGAATCATTGATAGGCCAGTCGCAACGGCGTAGATGATGACTTCCGACTTGTTGGACCATGAATTCGAGGCAAGGACAATGATGGCGCACACAACAGCGATGCCGAACAGCAACAATGCGAGTCGTGAGAGTTTTCGTTGCAACGGAGTGCCGACGTTCACGCCCAGGAAGCGGCCAACAGCGTCGGCGAACGTCATTCCCCAGGATTCTGCGTACCGGATGGGATTTACGGTGCCGTCGGGGCGACGCTTGACCGGTCGAACCTTGGATTGTCCTTTGCGAAGAGATGCTGCGATGGAGCCAATCTCCGTGTACATTCCCGTGGCGAACGCGATACCTCGGGCTCGGCCTTTGGTCACGGTTGACGAGCTGTAAGCAACGTTGAGTCTGTCACCAGGTCCGGTCTCGGGATCAAAGATGCCTTCTTCGTCCTTTGCCACTGGGAGGGATTCTCCCGTCAGGAGAGCCTCATCAGTCTCGAAATTCAGTGATTCCAGGAGCCTAGACTTCCTGTGAGTGGTACGTATGCGACATGTTTGGGGGAAACCCTACCTGACATCCGCAGGAACAGTGTCTCCAAGTTTCAACTCAACCAAATCACCAGGTACCAATTCTGCGGTGGGAATGTTGACCGTTTGTCCTCCACGAACCACATTTGCAGTCGGAGAGGCCAGGGAACGCAGAGAGTCCATGGTCTTTTCCGCATTGTACTCTTGGAAAAACCCGACGACGATATTCAAGGCGATGACACCCGTGATCACACCTCCTTCAATCCACGATTTGATGGCAAATGAAACTACCATGGCCATGATAAGCACCTTTTGGACAGATCAGCAGGTGAGACGCTTTGATTGGACACTTTACTCACTAGCATCATGGCATTTGCAATCTGACGCAACAGGATCTTGAATGGCTGGACACCGGGTCCTTCGTCCAACTCATTCCTGCCATATTCATTCAATCTCGACTGAGCTTCTTCTTTTGTTAATCCATCCCGCGCATTGCCGCCAAGCCCTTCAACGACAGCGTTGCCGTCGAGAGCATGCGCCGGCTTGGGTAGAGGTTTATTCGATTGTCCCGAAACATGTTCCTCCATGTTGTCAATTGAATGGGGAGATTTGGAGGCCGCGGGAAACGGGAGATCGAAGGAAGACTGAGCAGCTGAAGGAGGATTTACTTATAAAAGGTGCTTGGTCCATTGCCACTACAAATTCCGATCGCTTGGCGAAACACGAGACTGTAGGATCTCTGCAGCAACTCTTGTTCCGTTGAGTTCATGGTGGGCACCTGGGGGAGCTGTGACTTGGGCCAAGCACAATGAAGAGTTTCGGGGTGTGTTCATCACGACGCACTGAGGAGCCATGATAAACAACATGCCGGGGGCGTGGACAATTTGTATCCCGCTCATTGGGTAACGTGGTGTGATCCAGCTCTGGTACCAAGACGGCGCCTAGCCCGCGGACTTCTTGGAAGCTCAACAAGACACAATGCCAAGTCGTGACTCGACTCTCGACTTACCGAGCGGAATCCAGAGCTGGAGGGAAGACGTTGGCACTTGCTTGGCACAAGCATGGCATCATCCTCCGACCTATCTTGAAGGAGCTATCACGAAGCCCAAGGGCGGCATCCGACGAGGAAACCGTTGCAGTTGTTCGCTAGTTTCAAGTGGCCAGGCAGAGGGAGGGAAAAACTACCAGGTAGTGAACCTACGCGTAATTCTTTCGACGCTCAGACTTGGCTGAAACGGAAAGAGCGGAAAAATCTTTGCTTGGCGTTCCGTCTTGCCGGCCTTGGCGTTGTTGTGACTTTTGCGGTCCTTGTGGCACCTTGTGGTATGATTATCTGATTGTCTCCATTTTCAGTTTCTGGTTCCCTCCAACCCTGGGACAGAGTTTTCCCATGAACCCTGGGCAAAATGCTAGTCGGTTCAAAACATGCAAAAGACGGTGACTATCACATGTATATCTGATGCAGCTGACATCATCATTCGCGGTCTCGCTGGCTCTCTTAATGCAGCCAAGCTGCATCACCTGTTATGGTGCCGTCGATCCGTTAGTGCCGCGGAGTGAAACGACTGTCTAGGCTTGATCCCTATACTACGTATATAACAGTTGTCGTACATCAGTAGTCTTGAAGCAGAACAGATATACTACACGTATGGCGCCAACTGCGACTGGGAACGCAAGTCTTGACCAGAAACCTGCCGATGACGGCGGCCTTAGTCCAGCCATCTGGTTCTTAGTTGCCGTGGTCCTGATCTTCTTCGTCTTGAATGTCATGTATGGCGGTGATCCTCGAGCCGCACCATTGTCGTGCTGATGCTGACTGAAGACTAGCCGGATCTTCTACAACAAGAGGCGACGCCAGATCAGGAGTCCTCCGAGGAATCAGGAAGAGTGCACCCAAACACGACCAGGCGACCTTATTGGACGTGTTCAGCAAGCTCATGTAGAGCGCAGAGTCAAGACAGGGAGGATTCGTATCAAAGAGCTGGACAAGGTTGCACCACCCCTCACGTTTGGAATGTGGAAAACACTTCCACGATCAGAGAACACTTCCGTCGACGAAAGGCTTTCGGCTCACCAAGAAGAATCCTCGAGTATACAACCCAGCCACGCGGACTGCTCATGTCCGGCAGCGGTTCTCGTTCCTACCGAGAAGTCGGCAATCCTCTGCGCGCCGATCTCAGTGGCGGGCATGGATTCGATCCCCACCAAGCCTCCATACTTTGAAAAGGATGAGGGAGGTGGTTGTGAGGGCTACCCTCTCTGCGTCATTTGTCACGATTCCGTGGAAGATGACGCCCAGATTCGCCAATTGCAATGTTGCCATCTGTTTCATGCCGACTGCATTGAGAAATGGCTCACCACCTGTCGAGGTTTCTGTCCTACATGCAAACGCCCGGTCGGGATCTCTGCAGTGACGAGCTAGTCCAGGACATAGCGCAGGTTTAGCAGACGACCTGTGTCACTACAGAATTCAGGAGGTCTCTGGCCTTCAGCAACAACAACAACAGCAGCAGCAGCAGCGGAAGCTACAAGAGCCTGGCAAGCAGCGCTGCTCATGCTTGACAAGAATAAGGCTAGGGCGTCATCCGGCACTTATTTCTCGGTTCATTCCGCAGACGGTACCAACTGGGATCAGTCGACACTTGCACCCAGATCGATGCCCTCAACATGGATGGATGCGTATGCGTTGGAAGATGCCGACCTCGTCGAAGGTTTTGAGCAGCCCAGCTCTGCTCACCCATGATTGATGTGGAACATGAGAGGTTCTGCGAAATCTCCTACCGTGCTCCCCGTCTTTCCCATCAAGCGGAGTTCCTGTTTGCATGAGTAGCGGACTCAGTGATTCCTCCACATCGCCAGGAAACCTTGAATCATCTTCTCGATCTGCGGGAAGCAAGATGTCGTCCCCTGTGATTGGACTGAGTGGAATTGTCACCGGCGCCGCCTCTGGTATGATGCAAGCCTGGCCACCTCTTGAATGAGTGTCACCCAGTGCCCCGGGGTTCAGTCTTGCGTTCGCAAGATTACTTGCTTTCAAAGGCCCGAATGTTGTTGAACCCAGCATTCAAGAGGTCGTTGTGACTAGGGTCCTGGCGAACCCAGGTTGAAAGCATTCATATTAGCGTGATAAGGTGACTCTTCCCTCTAAACGAGGCCAAACGTGTCGTTGAATTCTTGGTCTTCACGTTGTAGCAAGCGGATGAAAATGTCCGAGACCTTCGAAGCCATTCTCCAGACTTTCAGCCGCTTCGTCATGTCAATGCACAAGGAGAGAATCCGTCGTGGAGCGTCCGGGGAGCGCACGTCTCCAACACCCTCGAGATAGGTTCTACCACCACTCTCAATCCAATTTCTTATAGCTTCTCGAGCCTCGGGTCGACTGCAGAAGGGGGGTTCGTCAAGTTGCACCCGTGTGCTGCTTTGATCGTCATTTGTCTCCGGATTGAAGTACTTTAGGAACGCCCACAATGAAATTCCAGCAAGAAACACTGATAGCGGCTCGTGTGGCGAATTGAAAGGGTGCCGGCGCTGTAGGTAAAATACTTGAGATGCATGCCACATCATCTCTCTGACAGCTTTCGGATCTTCATTGAAAGCTGCTTTGATGAATGAGTCGTCGTGGGGTGTGGCTTTACCACAATTCCCCAGACCTGAGGATGGATTGAGTAGATTGCCGGTCCGGAGGCTGTCGTTTTCACCAGCCCTCTTGCGCGCCACGCGGGTAATGAGACCAGTGAGCTTTCCTGCCGCGAACATATGGCTGTAGTGGGCTGCAATGGCTATTCGTAAAGAAACTCGTAGATTCGAGCCCTGTGAATTGTCGTCCCAGCTGCTCTCGTATACCGACATGATCGATCTTGATATCCAGGACCTATTGGCACTAGTGACGGCGCGGCCAGCATTGTCTTCCCATAGAACGTGGTATACACTTGACTCCGTTTGCTCTTGGATGGACTCCAGGCATCGACCCAGGCAACGAGTCAACAAGCGCTTACCCAAGTGATCAACCGACTTCAAAGACAGGGCTATGTCTGTTCCTTTGCCGAGCATACCGTGAAGAGTTTGTGTTGTTGGTAGACTGCGCGGAGCTGTTTGATACGGACAAGATGCCCAGGCAAAGGCCGTCGGTGCTTCCCAGTGTACTTGCTCGGCAGGAAGGTCCGGCGGAAGCTCTTCAAACTTGATGCATGGGGCCTGCTTCGAAAAAGCTGTATAGAAGCAGTCGAATTCCTGTTACACACGATGTCAGCCGAACGGCTCTGGCGCAGTGGCTGATCTTTTGCATTGCTTTGGTCGACTTAAAGACGTCGGGGTGAGGCGAGAACGGCACTTACGAATATAAACCAGATTAATCTGCACACTTGCTCCTTCCTGACCCATTCCAGCCACCTTTCATAGATGTCCAGTGTGCGGGAGGGCAGATCGGACCGAGGGGCATGCAAATTAGTACAGAAATGGTTCATATGACGTCCAATATTAACAAGACGAGAACGTGAGGAGTCTGTCATCTCGAACAGCCGTCGTGACCCTGAACCAATGGCATGGATGTGCTGGAGAAGGAGAGAGATACCGTAAGAGGGGGATCGGAGAAAGCGAGGATCATGCTCGGCCTAGAAGGGTAGTCGTGAGTAGGTGGACATTGTTAGGAAAGAATCAATAGGTACCATCCAAGTAGACGTTCGTCGACATAATTCTGCTAAAGAATCCGCAAAGTCAAGGGAATTTTCGAGCCCGGAGTAGCATGCCCCGATGCATGCCATTGAAAGTACTTGAATGGTTGGGGCTTTCGAGACTTCAAATGTGGGTTGGTGGATGATCGGCCAAAGCTGTATGAAAGCAGTCAGTATCCGATGCGACCAGGCCACATAGCGTCGAATGGGATGTGGTGTTACCTCGTGAAAATGTAAAAAGTATAGGTCAACTAAATGATGCAGGATGTCTGAGCCTGGCAAGGTCCTCAACATGCTCACATCATCTTGCCAAGGTATACGGGATAATGGAAGACTAAGCAACTGGACAATGCTTGAACGTTTCCGCTCGTCGAGCACGTCGCTGGCACCAGATAGCTGGGAGGCTCCTTGTACCGTCCTGGAGTTTGCCGCACCCAGGTCATTTCTCCTCCACGGGGATCCTGTCGTACACAGCTCAGGGAGCGTAATCTTTTGATCGTCTTTTGACGCGTGCCATTCGAAGGGCCATGGATTCGACTCTGAGCCTTTTTCGATGGGCACAGAGTCCGCTATCTCTTGGAGAGGCGAAGTCTCACTGCTTTGGGACCTTGTTGAAGGCGATGACAGCTGGACCCTTTGTGTCGCTGGAAGAGGATTGCAGGCACCGTGGGATTCTGTTGCTGTTGGCCCCGTTTGTAACGGAGGCACGCCAGTGAAGCACGTACTTGTGCTGTCTTGAGCAGATGGCAACCTGGACTGATCGTTGAGCCCTTGTATGCAAAAGTTGCCCATGTGGATATCTGGCATGTCGAAGGAGCTGTAGGTCTGGGCTTCTTCATTCATCCATCCGAGCAAGGAGACATTGGCTGCAAGTTCCGGCCACGCTAAGCGATCAGCATTCAGGGATACCAGAAGGACCGAGATCCTGGCTGGTCGACATACCATCAAATGAGAAGAGACCACTGTCCATCAAGGCGGGAGTCGGCGCGAATGCGGGTGAGGAATCAGGTTCAAGAAGCGTACTGTTTGTCGGCATCGAAGCGTTGTTCGACTCAGCAAATGCTGTCGAGGACATCATGTTATTTTCGACTTGCGTCCGAGGGGAGGGAAAAGGCTCTGAGCAATTAGGGTCACCTTGTGTTGACGGGTCAATGGCCGCACTGATGTTGGCATTAACGGTATTGTGAGCATGGTGTGCTCTCTTGATATCGCTGGCATTGACTGTGTTGTCGGCATGTTGTGCTCCCTCAATATCGCTAACGTTGCCATCATGTATACGACGTGGTCCAGACTCCTGTTGTTGAGCTTGAAGTCCAGGGGCGGTCACTTTCTCCTTGGCCTCTGCTACTTTTCGCGGACGGCCTTTCGGCCGAGGCTGGCACTGCATGCCATGGAGAATACGATAATGCCGGAGGAGGACGTCTCTGCTCCCAAGTTGGTCAGATCAGAATCATCCTGCGTGTAAGCTACACGGATTGTGCAAACCTCCTGGAGAATTTCCGCCCGCACTCTGTACACGCGCAGTCCTGAGCACCGTCACGTTGCGTATGGGCGGTGAGCCGATGACGCTCAAGGTGATCCTGGCGGGACAAGACCTGTCCACATTCGTCACAAACATGTGACTTCCGTCCAGTACGAGTTGCATTGGTCATGTTTGCCTGACTCGAAAGTCGACCCGTCTTTTCTCTATCAGCAGATCCATGGAGACATGGTGCTTCGCGTTCCTAGCTTGCTTCGCGATGTGGTGTTTTTCTGGATATTGCAGGAAACGAAGGCGTGCGGCACCCGGTGCGGGGGAGGGGAATTGTTACAAGTAGCTTCGGCTGGAGATGATGATGGAGTCTGGGAGTGTAGCGTGGAGGAGAAGAGGATCTAACGGTGTTGCTCCACATTTCAGCCTCGTAAAAGCTCTAGAGACAGGTCACGGACAGGCGCGTGAATCGAGCCGACAAAAGCATTCCGCTGAGCCAGATGACTTCAAACCTGTTAGCCTTGGACGAGTGTGTGGCAAGCGAGCAAGCACACGTAGTGACTAGTTGACGCAAGGAGCAGTACAACACGGTAGCGAAGAGGAAGAAGCGAGAAGCCGAGATGAGATCATTACGTAGTCTGGGCCCGACAAATAATCAGCCGACGAGGAACACCCAGAACAGGAACCCAAACGCCAGGTATCCGACCATGAGTGGAAGTGACCAGACCCACGGAACCAACATTGAAGCACGGTTACCCGCTCTCGTCTCCTCCGAATGTTTAGAGCGTTCACCGACGCCCACCGCTCATGGACCGACATATAAAGACGTTGAGCCGAGCACAGTAGAGCACTGGCTGTCCATCCTGCTCGCCAGTAGTCCACTGCGAATCCGCGACGAAGATGGATTTACCCATGAGCTTGATGCGCCAGCCCACCTCCTCTTCATGGCGCATCCGCTTCGAAGGGACCTCGACCATGGGATTTGTTTGACGAGGTTGTCCCAAGCTCTGCGCGCATTGAAAGCGCCTAAAGATCTCTGATGAGCTTCCCATTGTAGATTCTTCCGGCGCATGGCGTATAGGGGAAGTTGAATGCTGGGAAACGTCACCCTCCGCAGATGGTAGCCCTCCACGTCTAGTCTTCGACCTTATATGCGATGGAGACGGCAAGGATGCTCTGTCGGTAGCCATCGGGGTTGTGGAAGAAGCAGTGCGACCATCTCGTCCACTTGCAGAACCGTACCTTATGGCCGGCGCCACACTTGGTCTCAGGCGCTTGACTGGGGTCACCTCATCCCGAGCCAGCTCGTCTTCAGAGGTGTCGGATCCGCGAACGTAGCCCGTCGAACGCGATGTACGGCTGTCCGTACGTGTAGTGGAGGGGCTACAGGGGTTCAGTTGTTGGGCCACCTCGTTGGCGTGCTTAATGAAGCGGTCCCGCTCTTTCTTGGCCAAAACTCGGGAGTTGCGGTAGACTGCGGCAGCTTCTCGACAGTGGTCTGGCGAATCTGTCAAATCAATGGAGCGTACTTGAGTCATGTGGTAATCTGGGTTTCTCCCGGGGACTGCAGGCTGCGTCGGATGGATAGCGTAGATCTTCAATAACCCGTTGTGGAAGGTACTGCTGAAACTGTACGCCTTGTCGTCGTAGGTGGGCTCTTCGGCCTTGTAATTCTGCAGGCTATGCATTGCTCGAGCTCCCACAGCACCATTATATAAAGCTTGTCTCTTAGCAACATCCGACCGTGCTTGAGGGCTTTTCCCCTCCAGGAAAAAGTTCGGCGCGGCTGGACGGCTTGTGTTGGTAGAGGGAATGATTTGTTTTCCAAGGTCAGCGCGGACGCGTGGACGGATGGCTGATGGTGGCGCTCCGTCGTACATGTCCAGCACCGGGACACTTAGATCTTCGTCAAAAGATTTGAGGTTATTGTACGGAATACCACCCATTGAGCGACGTCCCTTATCTCCTTGTCCCGCAATAATGGGAATGATCTTGCTCATTGCGGTCGACTCGCTGGACGCTAACTCGCACAGTTCTTGGAATTCAAGAAAGTCATCATCAGTAAATCGAGAAGGAGAAAGAGAGGATCGAGCAGTTGCTAGGTGCGTGCGGACCTCATGCAGATTCTCTGGTTTGGAAGCTTTGTTGTTCGGGTAGATCCCGATATCGATCAATTTTTGCTCAAAATCGCGGTTGTATGGGGTGATCTTGCTGGAGCCAGCTTGTTCCGATGACCTTGGATTTTGAGAATTGATCGAGTTGCTCATTGTATCGTCAGGGGAAAGGGAAGAATTTGCAAACTAGAGGCATAACTGATCAGGATCCAACCGAGACTCTTCTCTTTCACAGGGCAGACTTACTCCTCGAAGGTGCGATAAGTCAAGGCCACCACTGTGAGCAAGTCTCTTCAGCCGTTGTCGAGCTCGCCCCTTAGCGCATCCAATGTTCGCTATAGCAATGTAATGTGGCCGACACTTTTCATGAACGTTCCTGCGCTCAAACTCCTTGAGGGCACCACGAGTTAGTCGAATCTTGGACAGCGTATCCCAGAATCTGGGAGGAGGGTAGCCACTCTGAGCACGGCTTTCCGATTTTTGTCTCTTCGATATCGGCTCCTGCTCAGGATCTTCAGGCTCTGGTGAGCGACGCGGTCTTTTGCTCGACTTAGGCTCTTCGAGGACGAACATGATGCGGGAGTGAGCTTTAAAGGGTCGGGAGAAACGGTGCAAGGGGTGGCCTCCAGGAGGGACGCAAGGTAGCGCTGCTGGTTAGGCACGCCGGCATATTGCGAGGAGGTGTGGCAGGTTGTCGATGCAGCAATTCGCACGCAGTGACGGTATTGGTTGTATGTCTACCTTGGTTGAGGTCGACAACACGGTTTCAAGGCTTGCGGCGCTAAGGAATGGTTGATTGATGACAGGACCGGGGTCGTATTTTTAGCGTGATAGGTCTCGTCCTTCGCGAGTCTGGGGCGTCGCGCGGGGAAAATTTAGGCAACCATGAGTACTCCGTGTTACGATAGGTATTTCCCTACCTACTTGTAAGTGATGGGTGTCGACTCTTTCGAGGTTATCCCTTGCCCATGGAAAATGGTTGAAGTCCACACGGGAAGGTGTAGCGAATAAGAGAAGATCAAGTCACCAGATCGAGGTCAAAGTCAGTTAAAGCACCGAGCGACAACAGGATGGAGAACTTTGTGCAGCGTGTCCAGGATATATCCATCGGCGGCAGATATCACCTCGTGCGCAAATTGGGGTCTGGCTCTTTTGGCGACGTCTATATCGGTAAGGCCGCATCAATATCACCCATGTTCAAGAAAAAGTCTTACAGTTCAATAGGGCGTGACGCCGAGACCGGCAATGAGGTCGCCTTGAAACTCGAACATTACAGCGTCGAGCCGTCTCTGCTCAGGGACGAAGTGTACATCTATCAATCTCTGGCCGGAGAAGTCGGTTTTCCACAGGTGTACTGGCATGGACAACAAGATGACTATACGGTTCTGGTCTTCGAACTGCTCGGCCCGAACTTGGAAGACGTGTTTCGATTTTGTTGCAACCAGTTCTCCTTGAAGACGACGCTGATGCTTGCTGATCAACTGCTCCGTCGCCTGGAGACCCTTCATTCAAACGATTACCTCCACCGGGACATCAAGCCTGAAAATTTCCTTTTGGGCATGGGTGAGCGGGGAAATATTATCTACATGACTGACTTAGGCCTTGCCATCTACCGCCATCCCGACGGGTGGAGCTCGAGTCGTGCTTCTGCTCGTGTTGTGGCAGCGCGCCCTCCTGAACTATTGGGCACTTGTAGATATGCGAGCATCAACGCGCATTTGGGCATTGGTAGGGTGACATGTCAATTGGTGTTCAAACCGTGCAAGATGTCGGCTGACTGTCCTCGCAGCACAATCCCGGCGCGATGACCTGGAGGCACTAGGCTACATGCTAGTGTATTTCATGCGTGGAAGACTCCCATGGCAAGGCCTCAAGGCGAAAGGGGATGCCAAAAATCTGCTGGTTTTGGAGAAGAAGCAGGCGACCAGTGCCAACGAACTGTGTGCAGGCCTACCAACTGAGTTCGCGGACTACATGAATTATGTGTACAACTTGCGCTATGAAGATCGGCCAGATTATCAATCCCTTCGCAAGATGTTCAAAGGTCTTTTCCACCGACAAGGGTTCGAGAATGACAACGTCTTTGACTGGACGATCCGAGAATTCCAGAGGCTGGAGCCTGACGCCCAAGAGTCGCTCCCATCGAATAGCGTGGGTGACAGGCGAGGAGAGGACAGCACGAAGCCACCGGATAATGGAGCCCAGGATGCGACCAAGGCGACTCATCAAAAGAGGAGATGATATCCTCAGCTGGAGGTGGACAAGACCATAGATGTTGCTGTCACTCATGCCGCAGCTCTCGTATGCATCCGATGTGCTGGGGGCGGAATCCCAGCACCCCTGCCTTTTGCGACACTATCGGGCACCTCCTGTCGATTGACGAGTGCCAACCATTTCGCAGACTGCAATACAGAACAGGGAGCAAGAAACGCCAAAGGCCAATCGCAGGCTGGTACTAGCACACCGGTCAGGGAAAGCCTACACGGTCTATGCCGCAATATATTTTCGGATTCGGTAAGCATGCCATTAGTGCATCGGTGGTTCCCATGACAGGAGTGAGGCTAGAGACGCTAGGGTGACATTTGTACCAGAAGTTTTGAAGAGGGCACGAGAGGGGCATGAATGCAGCGAACCGCTCCCCAGGGAAGTGGCGCTTTAGGTTGCATTCCGAAACCTGTGTGTCGACAACAAGCTGTGCAACCTGCCCCAGGCCCAGACTGTCCGTTGTTGCTCGAATATCTGCATGTGCCCAACGAAGTGCGGTCAAGGCTTTAAGACAATCACGGTACTAGTAGGCTCTAGTAAGTCCCCTTCGACGCAAGTGTGAGAAGAAAGGGCTGACCAGGTAGGACACCCAGTTGGAATCTCAATATGAGGATACCTAAGGAGCCTTAGTCCTCGGTACCCCTGCTAGATCTCAAAGCCCAACAACTCTCTGACTTCCAGTCGCCCATGGTAGACTATTCTTACTCCTAAGCGTGGCAGGAGAAGGCCAAAACCGGTGTGATGCTATGGGGCTATGGACCGGCCGAAGCCCTCGATCTGCTCATTTTGGTTCTACCACTTGGCAACCATGTGCCAATAGCCGGGGAGCCGGAGTCCCCAAGTTTCGGGGGGCAATGCCATTCTCCGTATGGGTGAGTGGAATTATCTGGTAAATGGACATTATGCCGAGGCGCTTGCGGGGATATTTGAATGCGAGATCAACGACAAAGACGGAGGCTAGTGCGGACACATATTTGGACCACCGAACCGTGCTCGTCATCTTGAACGATGCAATGCTTTTCCAAAGATATCTTTGCCCATCATCGGTAGCAATCAGCACAGGACCAAAGCCGTTGTGAATGCCATGTCTCCAGACGTGGTTTATCGACCTCCACCTGGTCTTCGCACCAGTCTCGACGACTTTCGTGACCGGATCAATCGCGAATTCGGCCTCTCTCTGAACGACTACTATGACTTACACGACTTCTCTATTCGACGGCTTAACGACTTCTGGATGTCCCTTTGGAACTACTTGCCTGTTAAGGCCTCTGTTCAGCCGAGTCGAGCCGTGGACGAGTCGATAACGATTGATCAATTTCCTTCCTTCTTCGAGGAGGCACGTATGAACTATGCGGAGAATATGTTGGCGAAGGATGACGACAGCATTGCTTTGAAATGCATGTCCGAAGCAGCTCTGACGCCGAGAGCAGTTACTTGGACCGAACTAAGAGAGCTGGTGCGCCGTTGTGCCGACGCAATGAAGGCTTCGAACGTCTCGAGAGGCGATGTCGTCTGCGTGATTGGAGGCAGCACGGACTTGTCACTGGCACTGCTGCTAGCGTCCGCTTCTCTGGGTGCAATTTGCTCCTCTTTTGCAACCGATGCAGGAGAACGAGTCTTGCTTGATCGAATCGGACAGTTCCGTCCGAAGCTGGTCTTCTCGGATTCCGCATATCGATACAACGGCAAACGTCACGATATCTCACAGCGCATAACCAAAGTGTACTCCTCCCTACAGAAGGCGCCTGGGGCTTCCCTAGTCTGCACGTCGGCTGAGACACCCGATGGTTGGCAGTCGCTGGAAGCCTTTTATCGTCGTGGCACAGGCAGACCACTGAGCTTCGAGCAGTTGCCTCCTTCACATCCATTGCTCGTGGGCTTCTCGTCCGGCACGACCGGAACGCCGAAGGGAATCGTCCACTGCCATGGCGGGCTAGTCATCAACGGCATGAAGGAGAATTTCCTCCACCGAAACTTTGGCTCGCAGAGGGAGGTGTATTATCATTACTCAGGTATCGGGTGGATTTTATGGAACATCATGCTAGGTGCACTGATGACTGGAACGACACTCGTTCTGTACGATGGCTCTCCATTCTATCCCTCACCACAACGGTGTCTCGAAGCTGTGTTTGCCGCCGGTACGACTGCGTTCGGCGCGGGGCCTCGATACTTCTCCGAATTGCAGAAAGCCAACGTCAATCCCAAACCGTTCACCAAGAAACTGAAAATGGTCCTGTCTTCAGGCGCGATCTTGACAGAATCACAGTCGAAATGGATCTCGGCTGCATTTGGCTCACCCTGCCAAGTTTCCTTCAGTGGAGGCACAGAGCTGTGTGGCAACTTCATTGACGGCACCTTGAATCTCCCTGCCTACGCCGGAGAAATGACCGTCAAAGCACTGGGCATGGACATTGACATCTTCGATGCCGAAGGTCATCCAGCGAAACCCGGCGAAAGTGGGGAGCTGGTCTGCAAAAAGCCATTCCCAAATATGCCGGTCTCCTTCTGGAACGACCCGGGCAAGAAAAGGTATAGCGAAACTTACTTTTCGACGTTTCCACACGTCTGGAGACATGGAGATTTCATAAAAATGAACCCGGAGACAAAGACACTGGTAATATTGGGCCGCAGTGACGGTGTATTGAACCCTTCAGGCATCCGCTTCGGCACTGCCGAGATCTACTCCATCATGGAGCGCGAGTTTGCGGATCAGATACTGGACAGCATATGTGTATCGCAGCAGAGACCGAGCGACGATGTCGAGCGAGTCTTTCTCTTCGTACGTCTGAAGCAGGAAGACCGCTTATCACCTTCTTTGGATAAAGCCATCCGCGATCAAATCGCAAGGGACCTGAGTCGACGGCATGTGCCGCAGTACATCTTCGCGATGCCGGAGTTACCTTATAATGTGAACGGCAAGAAGCTCGAGATCCCTCTGAAAGGTGTGCTCTCTGGTGGCAAAGACTTCCTGGCAAAGACTCGCAATACTGCGGAGGAAAAGGCTGTCCTTGAGCAATATTTGCCGTACCACGAGGTTGAACAGCTACTGGCCGAACAGAAAGGACCGATCAAGGCCAAGTTGTAATCATGCATGTTACCCATAGCGTGCCACAGGGACTTAGCTCTCATTGTTGGCGTTTGAGAACCTATAGAGGACGCGGATATCAGCAGATAAATTCACAAGCAGATTGGCAGCAGCCGCATGCGCCCATAACTTCTTGATGTGTACCATGGTACTTTTGATGATCTGCAAAGACCTCCATGTTATCGGACACGTCCGCAGGGCCCTCTCTCGCGAGTGGCGTTTGGCCAGAGCCTGGGCATTTCTTCCCCCGCCAGGCGCCGGTCGAAAACCCCCACAGACAAACACCGAGAGATGAAGTAAAATCCGAAGGGCGATGGCACTTGTCCACGGACATTGTCGAATGTTTTCCATACCAAGATATCTTGCCTGGGTTATCAGCGTGAGGAACCATTACAGCATCTCTCAAGCACGATGCCGGATAAGGAGTCTTGGTCCAGTCGACCTCCGAGGGTCGATGACTGTGTGTTGACTTTTCCAAGCCCACACATCCTCCTAGTCACCATCAACAGGCCCAGGCAGATGAATACCATTCCCTATTTACTTCACTGGCAGCTTGATGCTCTCTGGTCCTGGTTCGACGCTGAGCCATCCCTTCGTTGTGCTATCGTCACCGGCGCCGGGACAAAATCCTTCTGCGCCGGTTCCGACCTCCTAGAGATTGATGAGGTCAATATTGCCAAACAGTCCGGAATTGCATCGAAAGAGCCATGGAAGCATAGTCACCCCAAGTCAGGTTTTGCTGGGCTCAGTCGACGAGAAGGTCGTAAGCCCATAATCGCGGCTGTCAACGGCTTTGCGCTCGGTGGTGGAATGGAGATTGTTCTGAACTGGTAAGTCAATTGAAGTGCGGATCAATAGTATTGCGCTGATAAGTTGGTGCTAATGATCGTATAGTGATATGGTGATTGCATCTCCAACATCGTCCTTTGGCTTACCTGAAGCACATCGTGGGCTTTATGCCAGTGGCGGCGGGCTTCCTCGTCTCCTGAGAACAGTCGGTCTTCCAGTCGCCAGCGATATGGCTCTGACCGGACGGCGCTTCAGCGCTTCCGAAGCTTTGAGTTACAGCCTGATCAATCGGATATCGCGGTCACCGGAGTCTTTGCTGGATGAAGCCCTGGAAGTCGCGAAGAGTATTGCAGCCATCTCACCGGATGCGATCATTGTAACCCGTGCAGCGTTGAGAGAGGCCTGGGAGACAGCTAGTGTGGAGCGAGCATTTCAGCTCACTCATGAAAGATACGACGAGAAGTTGATGAAAGGGTTCAATGCGAGGGAAGGGTTGGCAGCTTTCAAGGAGAAGAGAAGCCCTAAGTGGCAGGCTTCGAAATTGTGATAGCTCTTAAAGGGGAGTTTCAGAACCCATTTTTGCCGTCCCAAGGTCTCAGCCCTCCTCGAGGTAACATAGCCATAACATTGTCACCGGTATGCCCAGGACACATACCTAGCACTGAAGGATGAAGGCTGTACTGCACACGGGGCTCTCGAGTCAACTAGGATGATCGTCTCGTCGTGGATGATCAACTGGGATGAGCGTGGATGACTAAGCGCTCGCCAAGATATTAACGACACCATCACGTGGGTCACCTAGCGTCTAAGGATCCCGTCTTTCCGAACTTATGCGATTCGCCTCTTTTCCTTCCCTCAACCACCATACTCAATCTCAGAATTCAGCCTGATGGCTGAAAATGGAGGCTCAAAGGCAAAGGATGTCTTCAAGTATCGTAAAGGCTACCACAAGCGGTCGCCGCGGGCGTGTGATGAATGTCGTTTACGCAAGATAAAATGCGACGGCGCGAGGCCTTGCAAACCCTGTGCCGTATCTCAAAACAGTAAGCCATGCTCTCTCGCTCCTACCAGAAGCCTCTTTGTCAAGAGCAACAACGGACTCGCTGACGTGCATCAGCTTGCTCCTATGAGTCTGGGAGAAAGCCACGACAAACTCCAACAGAGCGAATCCGGGTGTTGGAGAATCGGCTACGAAGTGTCAGGACGTCGTTGGAGAGCTTGAAAGCGCAACATCCGCCTGACCAGACCGCGGACGTCGACAAGATCCTTAGGACGGTTGACCTTTCCATGCCACCACCTTCAGACAATGAGTCAAGCTCCGATGACGATGACCCGGATTCCTCGCGGCTGAACAGCATGATGGGCAGTTCTGGCCGAAGCTTTGCACACGGCCCATGGCAGACCAGCTTCTATGGCTCGTACTCCGGCTGTTCTTTTGTCTTGCGAACGCTTGAACTCTTTCGCAAGCCGCCAGACACTGTGGCCGCAATGGACGGGACTCGACAGGTGATCACTGATTTGTACGAGGCGCCAATACCGGACATAGAATCCTATACACCTGCCGAATCGCGGACCTTGCCCAGTCAACCAATGGCCCTGGACTTGCTAGGGGTCGTCTTCACGAGAAATTCACTACTTGTGCAGTTCCTCCACGAGGCGAATTTTCGTGACATGGTGTACCGGCTCTACAACGAATCTGCGGTCCAGTTTAGCGCATCTGGCCAGACTTTCATGCCACTCTTTCACGCAGTCATGGCGCTAGGTCTTTTGTCCGACATACAATGTCGGAGACAGGATGGTTGCGAATATGCCGTGTCTGAAGCGTAAGTACACTGCCATTGCATCATGACGCTCGCTGACCTGCTCTTCTCAGGACCAAACATTTTCTTCTTGCCAGAAAAGGGCTTGATGTCAGTCAGTGTGCTGATCTGATATCACTGCAGACTCTGCTTTGCCTGATCATCTTCCTGATTTCCACTTCACGAATAACAGCGGCCCACGCTTACCTTGGCGTAGCAAGCTCGTCAGCTACGAGACTGGGTCTCCACAAGAAGGTTGAAGAAGGTATATCCTTGTCTCAGGCTCAGAGAGATACCCGCACACGAGTATTTCTGAGTCTGCTCCAACTCGACCTCTACGTGAGCTTGGTACTTGACATCCCTGGCTTCATCAATCTGGACGATATTGACACAGAAATCATTGGCAAACTTCAGCCCAGCACTACGGGCAAACTGCCCTATCCGTTCGACATTACAGCGGAAAGCAGAGCTCAATTCTCGGCCTCAGCAAAACACTTGGAGCTCCTAGTTTTGGCAGCTACGGGCGTGCATAATGCGTTTTATCAGAGTCTTCGCGGACCTGAGAAGACCCGCAAAGAGCTAGACTTTACGAGCGTCGATGTCAAAACATTGAGAGATGTCGAACACAAGTTTCGCCAATGGACAAAAGGGTTGTCCGGCTTGCCAGCTTTCCCAGAAGATCCGGAAACATCTGCAAAGTAGGCTGCCGTCCCGCAACGTCCTACAGCTGGCTGACTTTAGAATAGCATGAAATTCGAACTCGAAATGACGTTCTACTTCGGGCAGTTGGTGATGTATCAACCCTTCCTGCACTACCTCGTCCCGATGGCCCGCGGCTCTCCAACGACAAAGACACAATCCGAACACGCATTGGCATGTATGAAGATTGCAGGCACAACTATAAGTCGTACAGATGTCATGTACCAACGAGGCCTCCTGTGCCCTGCGTCGTGGAACACCATTTATACGCTCTTCCTTGCAGTGTCGTCTCTACTCTTCCTCATAGCTACGCACCCCGGCACGTCAAGGCCCAGCAACGCCTGGAAGAAAGGTGAGCGCGGCATTACGCTACTGGCCGCAATGCGCTGCGTCGACAACGGTGCAGTCAAGTGTCTTCTCAACATTAAGGTAGGGCCGAAACCGATTTTGGGCGCATTCTGGAGCACATGGCCCTGCTCGTTTCCAACCAATAGCTGACATCAACCCTTGCAGATGCTAATCCACCAGCTATCGCATACTGTATTGTTTGACGTCGACCAGATCGTTGCGGCGACTGCGGGTATATGTCCATGCAGCGCAGCCGGTGCTTTGCCTCATGAAGCATTGAGACGCAGTATGTCCAAGGACAAGGCAGGCAGTTCGATCCATTCTGCAGGATATCCTACACCAGATACTCCTCTGGAGTCACGCTCAATTCAGTCTCCATGGAGTATCTCGGCTCCGGGAGCGGATCAGAGTCAGTCATGGTACATAGGCAACCACGATACCTTTTATCGTGACGCAGACTCGATCCTGGCTGAAGCACAAGCGATGTCTATGGCAATGCCTATGGACAGTTTTGACATTTTTGGTGGTATTTGAAGTCGACCCTCTCAATTGAGAGGATGCGTGCGACTCCGGTTGATAAACGAGACACGATCAGGCGGCGACGGCGCACATGGTTATGTACTTATTATCTTGCATAGGGCTGAGCTAACCGGCGCATTAGCGGTTCTTCTGGCCGGTAGTTGCTCTTGTGCAGCCGGAGTGAATACATATAACAATGTTTATCGACCTGGCTATGGAGTACTGCCCCTTGACTTGCGGATGCTTGAACAAGACATTGAACAGCACTAGTCTTGAAACCTGTGCTTAGAAGCGCCAACCATTGGAACTCTCCGTGATGAATCTAGGTAGAGGCTGCGTGAGTCTGCAAGGGTCCGGCCAAGTTCTGAAAGGTGCATGCAAGTCCGGAAAGGTCGAGGCCGTCGTCGCCCCCACGTGGCCGTTGTGAAGGGAGTCTTTTCTCCTTTCTCCCCAATCACCGCCCAGACCAACTTCACAACTCCGATCACCACTTCCAACCTCCGGTTTACAGTATGGCAACTGCTTATCGTTCACGGAGTACTACAGTAGTCCTTTCATGACTTGATTCTGCTCGTTTTGTATCATTCTCTACGGAGTACACTCGCTTCTATTGACACGGCGCCCATATCCATCCCAGCTTAGTTTCTTCACTGCAGCCGGCCTGCTGACGGAGACTGCGAACACCAAGCCATCTCCAATTCCATCTTTACGAGAGCCTTGCTCTCGAACCAATCGAAACCGATATGACCTGACCGCCTCTCTCTTCCCACCGCCTACTATGCCTTTACGGACTCTGTTGTCCCGGCCTGCCACTGCTGGTCCTCATCGAAGACACAGCAGCATAGTTGAGGATGCAGTGCAGGAAGGCCTGCCATCACGCGGCCGCGCTGACTCCATGAAAAGGCTAAGCCTGGGGTTCTCACGATCGAATGAAGAGACGTTCAATCCGTTCAAGGCACAAGAGTCGGGGGAAACACAGTCTGAGAAATATTGTTCAACGGACGCTCTATCGTCCGAGCATTCCGCTTTACCAAAAAGTGTTAGCACCCCAGCGGCCTTGACCTCGAAAAACAACAATCAGTCGGCCCAAGCACAGAATATGGACGCCGAACCCGACGAGCTGCCTTTACCCAAACCACAAAGATTCTCGATACTGGGCTTCAGACATGCTTCAGATCCGCAATTGTCTACACGATTCAAGCAGGGAGATATCACACCACCCAGGGACCCGGACCGTGAGCATCCATCTCTTGTGAAGCATATAAACTAGCTGACATCCTTCTTCTTTAGCTCCGAAAATCATTACAACGGCACCTACCACTCAAGACTTTGACGAGACTGCGAAACGGTCCAAGAGAAAATTGTTTGCTCGCGCCCCTAGTTCCTTCCGAAAGAATCTTCCCTTCAAACATGCCGTCCAAGAGTCTCTGCATGAGGACGACATTGAAGAAAGAGCTGGTCCCAAATCCACACCTCTGGGAGTCGGCATGCCGCAGGAGAATACTTCTTTCGAACGGCTGCCCCGGAAAAAACTGGCCAACAATTCAATGTCCCCACCTGCATACGGTGATGAGTCCTCATCGTCGCTGGCAATTCCGGTGACACGACTTTCCGACTCTTCTCGGTCCGACGATAGTGCCGGGAGCCACCATGTCTATGCCAAAACCACAACCACCCATACAATCTCTACCACAACTACCTTTTTCAAGCTCAAGAGACGGAAGAATAAAGGCCATTTGTTTCCGTTACCAGAAAAATTTACCCCCTCAGACTCAGGCCTCAAGAACACCACTTATGCTGGAGAAGATTCCCTCGGTGGCAGAAAATCGATGTCGCCGAGCAGGAGGTCCAACACCGCCGTGAGATTCGACACAGGCCCGAGCAAAGAGAATTCTGCAGGCCCATCACCCACTTCCTCGGCTGTTGCGCTCACCAATGCACCGTTTGGGTCTCCTGGACCAACAATCGTCCGGCAAGATTCGGCTTGGTCGACACATTCGGGCCATTCAACGCCTTCAGTCACCTTGGGTCCACCACGGAGCAATGGAAGAGGTAGGTCCTCCACCATGAGCTCCCTTGGTCGATCAGCAGAGAAGTTGCTCGACGCCGTCCCACAACCGGGGTCAGCCAGGACCTCGACTTCTACGAGTGGTAGAAGAAGCTTTGGAGACTTATTGAGCCTTCCGCATCGACTTCGTCAGAATTCAGCTCCTCCTGCACGACACAGTGCAGGTACGAGCCCGGGAACACCAGGGTCAAAATCGAACTCGTTACAAATAACGCGAGAACAAGAACCCGAGCGCGTATATCCCCGACGAGAAGACGGTGACACGCCTGCCAGTTACCTGGAAAAGCTTGAGGCAGCTGTTCCTAGAGGAGCTATGGCAACAGCGCTTTGTAAAAGTGCCGATGACTTCTCCAAGACCTGTCTCCGCAAGTACATGCGCGGTTTCTCATATTTTGGCGAGTCCATCGACATAGCAATAAGGAAGATGTTGATGGAAGTGGAACTTCCCAAAGAAACTCAGCAAATCGATCGATTGCTTGCTGGCTTCGCTGACAGGTACTACGAGTGCAACCCTGGTATTTTCTCCTCAACCGATGAAGCTGCGTTCGTTGCATTTTCCATTCTGTTACTGCACTCCGACACGCACAACAAGAACAACAAGAAGAAGATGCAGAAACACGACTATGTCAAAAATACTCGGCAAGGCCCGGTGCAAGTCGCGGGTGATATCCTCGAATGCTTCTACGACAATGTGTGCTACACACCTTTCATTCACTTCGAAGACGACGTGGCAATCAACAGTCATCGCCTGGCTGCGGCCCCTAAACTCAAGAAGAGTTTGATCAGGACGAAGAGCATAGAGAGTTTACGTGGCCCTGTCGATCCATACACCCTTATTCTCGACAACAAACTGGACTCCCTGCGACCTTCACTCAAGGACGTGATGGACACGGAAGACTGCTACAGCTCGTCTGGAACAGCTGGTGCTCTTGACCACAACGACATCCACAAGGCTTTTATCAATTCAGCTGTGCTGCAAATCGTTTCGGCAAGATCCCGACCTGATGCCTTCCTGTCCCAAGCCACTATCAGCAATCCTGGCGAGGCACAAGCTGGGCTTGTCAGTATCAAGGTTGCCAAAGTCGGATTATTGTGGCGCAAAGACGCCAAGAAGAAAAAGGCCAAAAGACCATGGCAGGAATGGGGAGCCATACTGACTGATTCGAAGCTATACTTCTTCAAAGATGTGGGCTGGGTCAAGAAGTTGATCACGCAGTATGATGCCCATACCAAATCCGGCTCAAAATCCGGTCCACTGATCTTCAAGCCTCCGCTGTCCTCGTTTGATCCGGATGCTCTGATGTCGATGGATGATGCTGTGGCCTTGATGGATTCGAGTTATAAGAGACACAAGAATGCCTTCGTCTTCATCAAACACGGAGGCTTCGAGGAGATATTCCTTGCCAACAGCGAGTCGGAGATGAACGACTGGATTGGCAAGCTGAATTACGCTGCTACGTTTCGTACAGCTGGTGTCCGGATGCGTGGACTTCTCGGGACGAGTTACGAGGGCCGTCATCTGCTTCGAAAGGACTCCACCTTTTCGACGAAGAGTGGCGAGACGCCTCAGAAAGACAAGAAGCTGGATGCTCAGACATCGTGGGAGATAATGTTCTACCGGCGACAACTAATCAATGAAAAGATTAGCGACTTTGAGGAAAAGCTTGCCGTGGCACAAAAAGAGCTGGACAACCTTTTGCGAAATGCTCGACATTTGCAGATTCTGCTGCCAATTCAGCAAAAGACCCGCGAACAGCTTGTTCTGGCTGCTGGACGCATGTCTGCGAAATTGAAATGGACCAGAGTCGAGCTGTGGAGGACGAGGACGCACCGAGACACTCTGTCAAGGGATCTCGAACACGAGGGGGTGACGGCATTCCCTGCCCCACGGACTCCATTGACAGTGACACCACAGAAAACAACACCTCTGAAAATCACTCAGCCGACCCTTGGACGAACAATTACGGATACCAGCCATCTGACATTGTCACCCGTCAGCGCTACATCGTCGCGACCGTCGCATCTAGCTGAGAGAATCAAAAGCCCTGAAAATGGAAGCACACGTACCGCCCAGAGCAATCTTGACCTTCCCGCTGCCGGAAGTGCCGATCCGTCCTCTACCGATCTCCCACTAAGTAAAGCTGACGGCAGCCAAGACTCGCATTCTCTGGTTCATCAAGTGTCTATTGCCAGCTCTCGCCAGAGCCGTGACAAAGAGCGACTGGTAAATAGTGCAGACGGCACGGAAGAGCAGGTCCTCCGGGACGCAGGGCTAATTGGAGTCGACGGTGTCGTGTCGAAGAGCAAACGACCCGACACAAGTGAGTCGGAGCGTGATCGACTGGGTACAATTGCAAGCCCAACCGACACAGCAAAGAATTCAAGCGTCCGTCGCAGCCTTCATCGAAGTCTACGTGAGGGCCATTTGCGCGAAGGGATGCATCACCATTCTCCTAGTATACATCGACACAGGAAGGGCAGAGACTCTGGTTCTAGCGTGACAGCCACCGAAGACGGTGGCAAGTCGATCAACAGTGAGGCTGAGGAGCTGAAACGAGGTACGGGAAGCTTTATCTTGCATGGCAAGAAAGCCAGCGTTATTACCATGTCATCGGAGTGGCAAAGTATGTCGAATGAAGAGAGGTTGAGGTTGAGGAAGGTAGCACAGGATGAGGATGCTAGGGACAAACCTCCGACGGTCCAGGATGACGAAGATGCTATCGAGACGGCAAGCAATCTGACGAGACCCACAGACGATCAGTATGAATCTCCTGTCTCAAGCCGCAAACCGAGTATTGCCACTACTTCTGGAGAACATTTTGTCGACGCCGAGACCGGTGAAACGGGGGTTGAACAGCATGAAGTGAGTGATAAGGAATGAGAAAAAGCTGGTGTATTTTTGGGCGGGAGATTCTCGTTCCTTCTGCGTGGGAAAATTGGGCGTTATGAAAATGGATTCCGAGACACGATAACGACCATCTTATGACCAGAGGCTAGAGTAATGAACATAGACTGGGTTTGATCGGGTCTTTCTATGGAGTCAGCTGGAGCAGGTCGAATCTTGAACAGTCCTGTAGGAACTGTGGATGTACGAAGTTGAGGGCGACGAGAGTACGGAGTACATGCAATGGTTCGAAGGGCTTGATGTTTGCAGGGCGACCGTCCTATTCACTGGACTTCTGGGAAATCGGTGGACGAGTGGTTCACTAGGCTGAGTAGCCTTACGGTGCTATCCGTTGTCTATTAACATATTGCTGAATGCCAAAGTGAGCCTTGGGTCGATCTCTCGAAGAAGATTCCTATTCCCCAGTGTTTCTCTGCCTGCTAATGTTGATATGAGTAGTCATACGGAGTACTCAAAGTCCACCTCGGTGACCCTTCTAGAAGTTCGTGGCATTAAGAGCCTCGTTCGTGGGCGACAGGGAGTGCTAGTGTCTTCACATCGTAACAGTGTCCAGCCAGTGACAAGCCGCAAGCTGGAGACGTGAACTGAGAATTGAGATGGCTGATGTGGAATGGTCTACGGAGTAGGTGTTTGAATACCTACCTGCAGGATGCCGCCAAAGACGTGCTGAATAGCTCGGAGGAATAGTTCCGCCGTTCCGCTCACACAAGGCTGGCATTTGTGCTAGGTCATGGAGGGACTTTAGAGGGCAGACTTCGACAACACTTCGAGAAATAGCGGCTCAGGGCTAGGGTTTACTCGATTGTAAGGCACTCCATCGAAATAAATGAGCAGTTTCGCTCAAACGAGGTGGTAGACGTCCCTTGGCGGATCCGGCGATAATGTCCAACGCTGACACTTGAATGCCACTAATACCTATACCCGCCTGTCTTCCAGAGGTATATCAGTAGCACGGTCCCCAACGATCCCGCTGGTGTCTGTCAACCTGCGATATTAGTATTACTCAAAATTCAGAGAACAACGATACTAAGTTAGCTAGTACTGACACCACCAGCGACCGCCAGCGAGCACCAGCAACTGCCCGCATCCGAACTATTACTACCTACCACTTAGGTGCCTACTGGGAATAGAGTCAACGCAATGGATGACCCGCAAAACCCTTACGCCGGCGCCCATCGTCACCCAAAGGGGCCAGGCGATGCAAGGCCAACCGCCTTACAAATCGTCAAGGACAATGATCGCACCTCCAAGCTACAGGACCTGGTCATCCTGATCACAGGCTGCTCGAGCGGTCTTGGAGTCGAGACTGCTCGGGCTCTCGCGACGACGGGGGCGACATTGTACCTCACGGCGCGCAACCTTACCAAGGCGCGAGAAGCTCTCGGTCCAGAGATCCTGTCGAATTCGAATTCCTGCCCTGGAAGGGTTCACTTACTAGAACTGAACCTCGACTCGCTCGCGTCGGTGCGAGCCTGTGCATCGGCCTTCCTCGCACAGTCAGGCGGCAAGCTCAACGTTTTGGTCAACAACGCCGGGATCCGGCACGTCCCCTTTTCCAAGACGGAAGACGGCTTCGAGCGGCACTGGGGCGTCAACCACCTAGGCCACTTTTTGCTGATGCGACTGCTGTTGCCGGGCTTGCAGGGTTCGTCGACGATGGAGTTTCAATCGCGCGTCGTGGTGCTGAGCAGCACGGCATCGCGGAACGAGGATATTAGTTTCGACGATGTCAACCTGGAGAGACCGGGAGCGTACACGCCACCGAGGGGCTACGCGCAGAGTAAGTTGGCGAACGTGTATATGGCCACGGAGATCACAAGACGGTATGGCATTGGCAGCGGCAACGACACGGCCAACAGCACCGGCACCAGCACCAGCAACAGCGCCCAGGCGAGCAGACCAGGCGTTTGGGGCCTCGCGGTCCATCCTGGCGGAATCAGGACGGGCTTGCAAGCTCCGAGCGGTGGACTGCGGGAGGTGTTGACGTGGTATTACATGCGTAATATCATGCGGGTGCTGAATTACATGAAAAGTCCCGAGCAAGGGGCCGCGACGACGGTGTTGGCCGCGGTGGGCAAGAGGTTTGAAGGCCGTGGGGCCATGTATCTGGAAGATTGTGGTGAAGCGGTGCCTGTGAAGAAGGGGTGGGGTCTGATTGATCCAGGGTACGTGCCCGGTCGGACGGATAATGAGGTTGATGCAAAGCGGTGTTGGGAGATCAGTTGTAAGATGGTCGGAATTGAAGATGAAGGGTAGATAATACCTCGACACCTAGGTAGGAGGGGTCCGTTCCTTGTGGTCAGGGCCGTCTACGGGCCATGATGGGGCTAAGTTGGGTACAGCTTAGTAATCCGAAAAAGGCTGGGAACGGTCGACACTATTAGTGGTGAGAACCATGTAGGCTCGAATTCTGGGGTTATATGAATGTTGAGACTCCACGAGTAGCCTGCAGAGCGAGGGATGAGCCTCCTAGGGCCCTGCAAGGCTGAAGTATCAGATTCTATGGGTGACTTGTGCCGTGGTGTGTTGATGTTTGTTGTAGAGGTCCTTCGATAGATGTGGAGAGTACCTCGGCCCATACTGTTTGTAAGCCCCAGCTAAGGGTTGCATCAGAGTAAGCTACGAGTGCCAGGACACGAAGTGCTCCCAGGGTATAAGTGCTGCGCTTTCCCATACAAAATCTGTGGTACTTACGCTTAGGCTACTCTACTCGTCCCCATCGAAAACTCTTACAGCTTCGTGACCAAGTCGCTGGGAATAGCTCTGGCGAATCTCAAGAGGTACTAGTAACGAAGCGACTATGACTATAACTAGACCAACATTTGTCCTCGTCCACGGCGCCTGGCACAGTCCAGCCCACTTCCAAAGCCTGATCGAAGCCCTTACCGACCATGGATACAAGACCGTCGCTCCCTATCTCCCATCAACTGCCCAATCTCACATCTCCCCATCGACAGACTGTACGGAAGATGCAACGACCATCCGAGAGACAATCCTCACCGAACTCGATTCCTCCGATGTCATCGTCGTCCCACACAGCTACGGCGGCATTCCAACGACGTCCGCGCTCAAAGGGCTTGACACAATCTTACGCACGGCCGCAGGGCACAAGACCAGCGTTGTGGCCATTGCGGCACTGACGTCCTTCATCATCCCGGCGGAAACGGACATGCGCCAAGCGGAACAGCGACCGCCGCTGAATCCAGCCGAGATGCCTGCGACCCTCGATCCGCCTCCGGTGGACATTTTCTTCCACGAGCTGCCCGACGAGGAGAAGAAGAAGTGGACGGCCATGTTGAAACCCATGGCTTCAGCCGCACTGGTCGACAAGTGTCGTTTCTCGGCGCATGAGGTGATTCCTCTGCACTATCTGATAACCGGTGCAGATAAGGCTATTCCTCCCGAGACTCAGGAGAGGATGTTGAATACTCTGAGGCCGAAGGCTGTCGGAGAAATCAGGACCGAGATAGTCGAAGGGTGTGGGCATGCTCCGTTCTTGACTCGTGTAGAAGAGACGGTAGCTTTCTTAAGGAGGACTGCGGGTGAGATGGTATAAGTATGGACGGCTCGATTTTTGGATCTCATGCAGAGGAGTTGCGGGAGCTCGCATGTCAAGGCGCCGCAAGAACGAACGTCCCACTGTCGATGGCAGATGCTTGGGCGTCTGTAAATGTGCAAGATTGCATGGCTAGGGCAGCTGTGAGCATTCAAGACAATGTGAGCCGTGCAGTCTGTCGATGGGAAACGTGAGACCGAGGAGTTGAAAGCGTTGCCAGAACACCTCAGACGTCGTGCAAAATGATTGACGTCGGAATGAATAACACATGATCAGACGCGGCTCAACTCGATCCTAGAGGATCCCTATTCTTCCCATATTCCCAAGTCTTATCGACAATGCTCTTTCTTGCCTCATTCCGCGGCTTCAAATCGAAGACGAATGGTTTTGGTTGCACGTTAAAGCCCGCAGTGTAGTCATAGAGAGGCACCTCAACTCCCGGCCTTTTTGATATCTCAGTGGCCCAAGCCATTCGCGCAATGAGCAGGTGGAGAGAATTCTCCGCGATATTCTGGCCGGGACAAATGCGACGCCCAAAGCCGAATGCTGAGAAGTTCTGTAGATTTGGGTACTTGTCGAGTGGCTCTCGGAAAGTTGGATACTCGCGAGATAGCCAACGATTGGGATTGAAGGTCTCTGGGTCTGGGTACAGGTCTGGGTCACGGTGGATGGCCCTGGAACGGTGTTAGTATTTGTGGAGCTCAATATCAAAAGGAAACTTCGCACCATTGGTTGGCATGTACGTTGGTGCCAGCAGGGAAAAAGAAGCCATCGTACACGTCGTCTTTGATGAGTTGATGAGGGACACCGCCAGCAGTCACTGGACGCCATCTCAACGTCTCCTTCGCGACGGCCCGTACGGTTGGCAATTGAGGAATATCACTGAAATCGGGCATTCGTCCGTCCCCTACGACTTGGTCCACCTCCTGCTGTATCTTCTGCTGCCATTCCGGGTTGTGACACATCGATAATACGAAAGACATCATTGCAGCGGAAGTCGTTCCAGCCCCTGCTTCGAAAAGAGTCCCAATGACATATGCACCTTCGTCGTCCGAAAGGCCAAACTCTGCTTGCCGCTCCAGGAAGGTCTTCGCGAAGCATTTGGGCGCTTTTCCATCTCTCATCCTGTCACGGACTTCGAAAAGCAAGCTTCTGAACAGCTTGATCTCGAAGTCGTGCAATCGTTCTGCTTCTTGCTTGAACGGTGCCAACCACTTGGGCAGAAGCATCAATATTGGGAACGTGTCGACAAGGTAAGCTCCAGGTGAAGCAACGCGCTCAACGGTATGCACGACCTTCAGGATGTCTCGCGCGTAGGGCTCCTCTCCTGTCTCCATTTCCTTGCCGTAGCCCAAGCGTATGACGAGAGCTCCGGCATATCGCTCAAAAAGGAGCTCGTACTTTTCAGGCATCCTCAGCAAGTCGTATAGCAGTCGTTCAGATTCCCACAACTGCGCAGGCTGGTACGAGGTGGCCGCCGCATGCATCGTGACAGCATGTATCACTTTCCGTTCTCGTCGCCATAGCTCTAGGATGAATCAGTCTCAAAAAGATGATCGCCAAACTGGGGGCTTGATCTCACCTCCATATGGGATGAACAATGGTCTCAGATTCCGTGACAATAATCGTACAGCCATGGGTAATTGTTCGCGCGACGAGTAGAGATTCCCACGCTCTCGTAGAAGATCATTGGCTATCTTCTCAGTCGATACGACAACATGGTTTCGCCCGAAAATGTTGAGTCGGAAGATGGGCCCGTACTGATCTGCCCAACTTTTGAACTTGATCCAAGAGTGCTGAACGGGGATATCCAACAAATTGCCGACAAGAGCTTTACCTAGAATATGTCAGACATGGCTGGTGACTAGCGTCGCAGCTTACCCTTTGGACCAGGTGGAAACCTTGCACAACTTGGAAGTCTAGTTCGCTGGCCGACATTGTGAATGAGGATACCCAGTAGGACAAAAGCAGCAGCCCCAATAGCGATGAGCGATGCCATTACCATCGCATCAACCCGGTACAAAGTCTCAGGGTTCCGCGATGTCAGTACTTGTTCCTCTGTTCGAGCTTGCGGAGAGTTATGGCCTGGCTTTTCGAAGTGACTGTTCGATTCGGTAATAAGAGCGTTCTTCAAAACAGCGTTGCTGCTCCGTTATAGGGGGATCCAGAAAACATAGAACCTCAGACAGATGCACACCTAAAGGAATAATCTCTGACAGGTCACGAGCAAGACTAAGCTGACTCCAAGTCTGATTGTGCTGAAACCAACACTGCTGATGCATTTCCCCACACTTATAATACCTTGGTCGCTTCGGAAAAGCTGACATGCAACTGGAGTCAGCGACACTCATCCGTGGGGTTATCCCCGTCAGTGCCAGGTACCGGCTCTTGTACCATAGGGTATTTCCTTCTCAACCCCTCAGCACAAACGATAGCCGGCCGTAAAGCAAAGTGCGGAGCGGAAAGCCGCAGCAGAGCGGACAGACTGGTGGAGGTGCGGACACGCGGACGATTGCTCCGCACTTGCCAGCCATGCTTGCCTAGCATTCTGGAAGGCCCAAACCTGATGCCACGATCTAGGTGGGCCTTGAATTGGCCGATGGCTCGTTGAGATCCCAGATTTACTCCACTGCAACGAGAGCGCCATAGCACTCAACATAGCGAGATTTGTGAGCAGATTTCACGACAAGATGAAAGGTCGAATGCTGTTTTGTCAGCAACAGTCTCCGTATCCATCGATGGGCGTGAAGATAAATTGACATCGGTTTCACGAGCTGCAAAAAATGGTCCGGTCAATCACTTTCTGTGCGTTTCAAGATGTCGACCGCAGTGCAATTCAAGAAAGTCGTGTTGATTGGGGTAAGCTTCCGGGCCAAGATGACTGACTGTATCTGACATGTCGAACAGGCTAGCGGTAACCTGGGCGCCATCATATTACCTAGGCTGCTCAAATCCAAGGCCTTTGAAGTCACGGTGCTCACAAGAACATCCAGTGCAGCCTCGTTTCCGGCCGATGTGTCTGTTGTCAAGACGTCATATTCCGAGGACGACCTCGCGGAAGTCTTCCGAGGACAAGATGCAATTATCTCGGCTGTAGGAGCAAATAGTTTCCAGGAGCAGAAGGTCTTCATCGATGCAGCGATCAAGGCTGGTGTTCAAAGATTCCTGCCTTCAGAGTTGTCATCCAACACACTCAGCGATGTTGTCCGGGAATTGGTACCTGTTTTTGAGCCAAAGAAGGCCATACTGGATTACCTGAGAGAGAAAGAGAACACTGGATTGACCTGGACAGGTCTATCAACCGGACCGCTTCTTGACTGGGTAAGTCGAACAGAATCTTCAAATTTGCTTTACTTACCTCGAACAGGGTCTCAGTAATGGCTTCCTAGGATACGACATCGCAAACAAAAAGGCTGTGATATGGGATGACGGCAAAATTTCCTTCTCTGCCACTAACCAAGCAGATGTTGGAAATGCCGTTGTCTCGGTGCTTATGCATCCAATCGAAACAGCGAACCAGTACCTCTATGTCGCGAGTCTCACGACTTGCCAGAAAGCCATCCTGGACTCACTAGAAGTACAGACTGGCGAGAAGTGGACAGTTGAGCATGTCAAGACAGAAGAGCAGATTGCGCTCGGAAGGAAGTTGGTTTCTGAGGGAGACTTCACTGGCATGTTTGCGCTTGTACGGGCAACGGCATGGGGAACGATCCCAGGCATCAGGTCGAACTATGTTGTTGAAGAGAAGTTGGCCAATGCAATCCTGGAATTGCCTGAAGGCGATCTGGACGAAACGGTCAGAAATGTCCTTCGTTCTCACTGAGGTTCAGGTAGCCTCGGTGAAAGGGGTTTCAGATGGGCCATTGAAGTGCCGGAAAGATCCTGAGTCTCTTTTCGCGCCCTAGGAGCGATCGCTGGGAGGATCATGAAGATTAGCGATGATGGAGGTGATGCCTTGTGGTATTTGGAACTACGTGTGGAGTGTTGAGAACAGCAGAATCGGAGCCTGGGCACAATGGTGGCATCTTCAACTGGCAACCAAACCGAGCGCTAACTAGAGCCACTGGGGCTCGCTAAGTTATTGATGTAAGCTTACCTAAGGTTAGCGCTGCTGTGGGTGACTGTAGGCACTGAGATAGAGATTTGCAGGCTGGACGAGCGCCGAACCTCTTGAACAGATTCAGTAACATTGCTACCGAGAGCACTCCTCTCCCATCAACCAACCGTTGTATTCGAGGTGATGGACTTGTCAAACGTGATGACTACGAATGTCATAATACATGGATCTACACCTCTAGATAAAAGATGAGTGAACAAGCTCGGCCTCCCAGAGCTGCACCCGGCCGTTCTTGCGCCGTATGTAGGAGGCGCAAAATTAAATGCGATAGGAAACAACCATGCAGCTACTGCACTAAACTGAACCTCCCATGTTCTTATCCAGGCTCAATCCAAGATGGAAAAAGCCGACCTCAAAACGACCTGCTCTCCAGACTTGAACGGCTTGAATCATCTTTGCAACGGCTAGCCCCCAAAGTTCCAGCTAACGAAAGCCCGCAAGTGTCTGAACCTACCTCTTCATCCACCAATGCAACGGGCATTGCTACGAACAGAGAGCGGACACCAGACCCAGGGAGTGGCAGACTGATCCTTGAGGGAGGAGACACGAGATATGTCACTACCAGCTTTTGGGCAGATCTTGACGCCGCCGACAAAGACACTGCTGATAGGGTCGAGCACCCAACAACGGCGGCGGTCGACTCAGTGCCCTCCACAGACACCGTCAATGAAGCCGGTCGGTATCAAGGCTTTGTCTTTGCCTTCTACTCCAAATCAGTAGATCTTCGCCAGCTACACCCCGTCGAAAGCCGCATCTTCACCCTGTGGCAGGTCTTCCTGGAGAATGTCGACCCATTACTAAAACTTATTCACGCTCCTACTATCCAACGTCAAATCCTCCGCGCCAGCCAAAACCTCGCCAACATTCCTCCGGCTTTCGAAAGCTTGATGTTCTCAATGTACTACGCGGCTGTCACGAGTCTACAATGTTCGGATTCTTGTCAGAATTTGTTGCAAGAAGAAAGACGGACTTTGCTCGACCGTTATCGCTTTGGGATTGAGCAAGCCCTGGCCAAGGCGAATTTCATGAGCAACCCAAATGTGCCCACGCTTCAGGCCCTCACATTGTACTTGACATGTGCCCGCCAGTCTGCAAACAAGACCTACATCTGGTCCATGACGGGACTCCTCATCCGACTAGCCTCGAAGTTGGGCCTTCATCGTGACCCTGTCGCTCTTGGACTACCTCCGTTTCAATCAGAGATGCGGAGGCGCTTATGGTGGCAGATTCTGATTCTGGACATTCGAACAGCAGAAGACAACGACCTAGACCCCCTTATTTGTGAGCACCATTTTGACACGAAGTTTCCAGCAAATGTAAATGACGTCGATTTGGACGTTAACATGACCGAGGCCATCGCGGAATCTCAGCATCGAACGGAGATGTTGTTCACCTTGACCCGTTTGGAGGTCAGCTATGGTGCACGGAAGTTGGTCTTTTCTCCTAAGTTTACAGCCGATAATGGATACCCCAGTCTCTCATCGCAGGGGAGAATCGACATGATCGAGTCTCTGCTCAAAAACATCGAACAGAAATATCTGAGAGATTGTGATACGAAAATCCCCATTGGCTTCCTTGCTGCCACAGCTACAAGAATGGTCCTGGCCAAGATCAAGCTCACCCTCAGTCATCCTGCGCGCAGCAGAGCTTCTGGAATCTCGCATGATGGGCTTCAAGAACTCATTGAGAATAGTATTGAGATTGTCGAGTATGCTCACACTTTGCGGTCAAGCGAGAAGTATTCCCCTTGGGTATGGCTCTTCCAGACTTACATTGAATGGGATGCTGTGGCATTTTTGTTGCATAGCATCAATGCCGTACAATTTCCGACACTACTCGAACGGGCGTGGAAGACGGTCAGCACATTTTTCCGAGAGTGGAAAGACCAGGTCATCGATGGTGACATGCGATGGCGCCGACTGGAAAGCCTCAGAGCAAAAGCTGCAGCCAAGTTGACTTCACAGAAATTTCTTTCGAGCACCGACGGAGAGATCCAGCTGACTGCAACGTCTTTCGAGCGAACCCCCGGTATAAGTGCCCTGTCTATGTCGACAAGCTTGAGAGATGTCACAGCACTCAGCGACTCCAGGGCACAGCCCAACCTGGAAAGCGAGCATCACTCAGTCTTTGCCAACTCCAATTTCCCTAGCATTCAGGGTCAGGCTATTACCGAAGACTGCATCGATTGGAGCTTCGACAACATTCCATATGTTATGCAAGGAGCGCCGTCGTGGGAAACGGACATTGATGAGGATGCGTTCGATTCGTGGTTTGAACGATTCGGATCTTCACGATCCTTACAGACCTCATGACGGCGGGACGTTAGGCTTGGGTTCTTCAATACCTACAGCCTTGACTCCTAGTTTTTGACAGTCAAGTTATCATCTACATAACAGTAATTCCGTTTAGATTGTTGTCAAAGTGGAGAGACGGTTAAATCTTGATGCGATGAGCAGAGGGGAAAATGTTTCTCGTTTTCTCATAAGGAGAAGAATACTGAGTTAGTATTCCCGATGACGTCGTTCATGTTCCTGCATCGGATCGAATCCGCAATAGAATGTCATCACATCATGAGATGCGCAGACGCCGGATATGCCATGAAACAACCTATAAGACGAGAGAAGAAGTCTGCTCCATAAGGAAACAGCCAGCGAGCCGGCTTCTGCATTCAGTAGGGTGATTTTGAAGAACGTTCCAGCTTTTTTCATACCGACCTAGGTACCTTACATATGTCTTTACAGAGCTTGAAGCAATTGCGATTCGGATTTGGAGTCAAATCTATTCTACGTTCGTCATCCACCACACATATCCGACAGAGCAATTCTCGCCTTTTAGCAACCCCATCTCGCAAAACTCCAAGCTCATATCACCTCTCAAGAGCAAGGTCAATTCTCGGAAGTCGACACTTCGCAACCACCACCATGAAGTTCACTACTCCCTCGATGGATCCGCCGAAGCATGAGATGGCTTACTTTCCGAACATGACGACATCGCTACCCAGCGAATCTGGCGAGTTTCGCCGCGTCCTCTGGACGGGCTTGTACAGCCAGCTGGTGCTCATGACAGTGCCTGTAGATGGAGAGATTGGTGACGAGGTACGTCCCTGCTCTTTTGAAACGAGCAATAACTTCTCCTCCCTTGCAGGCGGTATTGTTATTCTTGCTCTGACCGTCTCTTAGAAACACACCGTCGACCAGATCCTGACATTCACGTCTGGACAAGGCAAAGCGACGATCAACGGCGTCGACCAGGACGTCAAGGCTGGTGATCTGATCATCGTTCCCGCCGGCACTCAGCATCAATTCATCAATACGGGCCCTACGCCTCTCATTCTGTACACAGTATACTCTCCTGCCGAGCACAAACCAACAACGGTGCATAAGGATAAGGAGCAGGGTGATCGTGAGGAGGAGGAAGGTATCGATGTGCCGCCGGAATGGAGTCAGAGGAGTAAGGCCGAGAACGAGAAGCTTGGGCTGGTCGAGCCGGAAGACCACTGATGACGCAGTCTTTCAGACCAGGCTTGGGGTTGAAGAGTCGTAGGCGCAGTCGTCGAAGCCAGGATCGAGCTCTTCGTATCAGGACGAGTCTTCTGTGACAGAAAGAGTTCTAGGGTTAGATTGAGAAGATACTCCCAATACCAACCAGTCTCATCTCTTCTTCTTGCCCACAACCTTGGTAAATCCGTCTTCATCAACTTCAGGTTCGACCTTTTGTTTTGGCTGGGAGGAGCCGACCAGAGGAGGCGCTTCGTCCATATCAACATCTTGATTGTCAGCGAAACCATTCCATTCCTCCTCTTCTTCGTCATCTTCGTCCCAATCTGTGTCTTGGTCTTTATCCTCGCCTTGCACAATACCCACCACTTTGTCGCCACCCTTCTTTTGCTTCTCTTGCCATTTTGTGTACATTTGATCTAGCTCAGTAAGATCTCCATTTCTGAGTTTGGCTGCTCCAGACCATATGTTCCGCGCCACTTCTTCCGCGGTGCCGTCGTCAACAACGACCTCGAATTCATCGACCATGACTTGTAGAAGAACTTCCTCCAGATCAGCAACATCTTCGAGTTGAGGAGGGGTAGACGTCAGGAGCTCCGAAACAGCGCCTGCCATCCAGTCTCGTTTATCGTTTGAGACCTGTGCAGAGCCGCCCCAGGCATTTTGAATGGCGAGGGTCAGCGCAGGCCAGGACCATAGGTTCAGGGCGACCAGGAGGTCGATTTGGGAGGAAAGCTGGGAGAGGTCAGGCTGGGAGGATGCGCTGGGTCCGGTCTCATTGCTTGTGGCCATGGTCGGTGTCCTTCAATATGTGTTGGCACGAGAAACGGCGAACAATTCCTCCTGCGCAGTTTCAGAGAACAATTACATCGGCCCTTGAAAAAAATATTTGCGGGGGGTCATTGCTTTCGGGGCATCCTTCGCCGACTGGAAGGTACACCGAGGGGTGATTGCCTTCCGCAATCAACAGTGCCATTTCGCCCGCCCGTCATCAATACCGATATCTGACTGCATCTGATCGAAAGAATGCAGAACATGTCGAGTCTCTGCCATCACGGAGCATCCACGAGCATGCTATGTCGTTACGCTGCCTGCCGTTCGGAGGAGATTCAAGTCCTCACGAGTCTTCGGGCCACAGGGCTCCGGTGAACAACGTCAAGTTCCACTTTATTCACCCCATGCACCTCATTTAAAAGAATCGTTGTTGGACTCAAAGTTATCTCTTTCTGTATCTCTTCTCATACGTCTAATCATAACTTCCTGAAAACCACAGGCAAAGGGTAACAAGGGACCGCCAGGCTAAGGCAATCGTGAGGCGAGACAATGGGTGACTCGTCCGCTCCTCCAGCGGCGCCAATGGCGTCTCGGGATGAAAGGGCCTCTCTTACTTCCAGGGTCATTCCGACTATGACTCTGTCGACCATCGACAATCCTCTGACGGCACCACTTCCTCCAATAGCATCCACATCTCCCTCTGAGAGAGCAGCAGCTCGATTCAGCATCGAGGGTAACGCTGTTCTCACTGGAGGCGCCGGCACATTGGCACTGGCCTCTGCTCGAGCTCTTCTGGAACATGGTTTGTCGGCTCTTACCCTTATGGACCTGCAATCCACCATCGACAATTCTTCAAAGTCAATCTCCGAGCTCAAGCAGGAATTTCCTCACGTACCCATTCACGCTGTCCATGTCGACGTAACCTCAGAAAGTGCTATCGAGAAGGCCTTTCAGGATGCTCGAAATCTGATGGGTAACATCGACATTTTGTGCTGCTTTGCCGGCATTGTCGGCTGTGTGCACTCCATATCAGCAACGGCTAGTCAGTTCCGCAAAGTGGTCGATGTCAACTTGAACGGTTCTTTCCTATGTGCTCAAGCCGCTGCCAAGCATATGATAGACTCCAAAAATGGCGGCTCGGTTCTTTTTACAGCATCGATCTCTGCACATTCAACAAACTACCCTCAGCCTCAAGCTGCGTACAATGTCAGTAAGGCTGGCGTGGCTCATCTTACTCAGAATCTGGCAGCCGAGTGGGCAGTCCATGGCATTCGTGTCAACTGTATCTCTCCGGGCTATATGGACACAGTGCTCAATGCTGGTGAAAACCTCAAACCAGTCAGGGATATTTGGGCTAGCCGATGCCCTATGGGACGAATGGGGAACATCGAGGAGATCACTGGACCAGTAGTGCTTTTGAGCAGTAAGAGAGCGGGCAGATACATTACCGGCGCTGACTTGCGTGTTGATGGCGGTGCTCTATGCTTTTGAAGCGGCAGACCGCAATATCAACGGGATTGATTTCATCCAACGACTTTCCGTCCTTGAAGTGGACGACTACCGAGCACGACACTTGCGATTTCACAGGCGCAACCAAGCTTGCTGTGCACTGTAGGGCTAGTCGACCTTGCATTCTGCCTTGAAGCGCCACATGCAGCCACCACCCAATCGCAGATTGAGGGAGGGACTTTGCCGCCGTCATCACTTTCTCGCAGACCAACACAACATTGGGCACACCCATGTTTGAAGCGAGCCAAAATGAATTCTAGTGGCTATACAGTGCTTGTACCTGAACCATGTTCAACACCGCAGTCAAGGGCTTGGTGTGCTCGTGTAACAGCGGTGTGTGCTGTGCGAATCACTCAGTCCGCAGAAAGCCACATCGGATGCAAGACAAATCGCATCCCTGCGACGTTCATGTATGCCTGGAATTTTTGTGCCCAGCCTCCCACAACCTGCATATGGCCTATGTTTGTGACGCTCACTCATGATGCCCCTCACCGATCATCTATTTTGCTTCTAACAGCCTCACCAACAACAGGAGCTCAAGTACCAGGACATCGCGCTCGCCCACTCTCGCACTTTTCCTCTCTGAAACCTCTCAAGCACTTTTCCATGCATCGAACACTTACGGGACCATATGCTCAAGCCTATCACCCAACAGCATTCCCAGTCGTTCCAGCCTTGCAAGTGTGATCCCAGGCCTCCGCTTTCAAGGCTATTGTGACACACCCTATCGGAAGTAAAGCGTTTGCAAAGGTCATACTCATCAATTCAGTACCAACTACCATATCAGCGTTTGTAAGATACAATGACAGGCGCTGAGGTTCGAGGTATACCTGTTCTTGCAGGGCCACTCGCCGTTGGTCTCTTGACCTTGGTCGATCCGCCCGCCCGTGCCTTCGAGTAAGCCATCTTAAAGGCAGAAATCGGCTATCGGTTGCTGACGAGATTAGCATCGTGTTTGTCCATGGCTTCGGAGGCCACGCCCACCGGACATGGGAACACAAAAGTGCTGTCACCAAGTCATCGGAAGAATCCGACGACGAAGGCCAACAGCCACCTCGAAAACTTCAGAAGTTACTCAACCCGCCGAAATTGAGACTACCCAGGCCACATTCTTCAAACCCCGTATTTTGGCCAACGGATCTCCTGCCCAGGACAGCCCCGAATGCACGTATCCTTACTTATGGATATGACATCAATGCTCGAGACGGTTTGGAAACCCCTATCAGCCCAAACGGTGTTTACGATATTGCCAGGGATCTGATGAGAAGCTTGGAGGCCGTCCGTCGATCTCACCCATCCAGGCCGCTTTTGTTTGTCGCCCATAGCCTTGGAGGCATCGTGGTCAAAGAAATGCTCCGCCAGTCGTGGGGACACATATGTCACCAGACCCATCTCCTATCTATAGCAGACTCAACGGTGGGAGCCCTCTTTTTTGGCACACCCCATGGTGGTGCGAATCCAGGAGGGCTTGTTCAGAGTATCGCCGAGTCCGTTGTTCGATTGTCGCAATGGAGAGCCAAAGAGAGGATCCTTGATACTTTACTACCCTCATCAGACCATTTGAAGCAGCTACGGGCTGAGTTTGGCCTGATTGCGCGTGAGAAAAAGTGGATCATCTATTGCTTCCAGGAAGAATACCCAGTCAAGGACCTCAACGGAAAGGTAGGAGCCGATGTTGAAGTTCCATGTTGCATCGCTAAGCATGTCAGGTCGTCGAAGATTCAGCATCTTGCTTTAACGACGCCACCATCAAGACGGTTCAACACATCGCGAGCAACCACATGGATATGTGCCGCTTCTCCGGCTTCGATGATCCGGAATATGTCAAAGTAGCGGCCGCTGTCGAACGTATCCTCACCAGTGCTTCCAACAGAACCTTTCCTAATAATGACGTTATCCTTGATCGACGACAACAACGAAAATACATCGAGCACCTGAAGTTCGCCCAAATTGACGCCCGACATGCGACGTTCAAGACAGCACACGTGAAAACCTGCAGATGGCTCCTGAAAAGACCTGAGTACCGAGACTGGCTCGATCCAACCAAGGTCATTGAACACAGCGGTTTTCTTTGGATCAAGGGGGAGCCTGGTACTGGCAAATCGACCATCATGAAATACGCCCTCACACAAACCAGAAGAGTCATGACAGACGCCTATCTTATCTCATTCTTCTTCAATGCGAGAGGCGAGCAGCTAGAGAAAATGACACTGGGGATGTATCGGTCGTTATTATTACAGCTTCTGGAAATTCTGCGAAATTCCACCATCGTCCTGAATAAAAGGCTTGCAACACAGCTGGACATCGCCGGCAAGGAAATCTCATGGGATCTCCAAGTAGTCAAAGCTGTATTCCAAGCGGCGTTACAAGGCCTAGGTGATAGAAAAGTGGTCTGCTTTATTGACACTCTCGATGAATGCGACGAGGACGACGTACGAGATATGATTTCCTTTTTTGAGCAAATGTGCGAGAAAGCTGTTGAGTCACGGAATCAATTCTTGGTTTGCTTCTCGAGCCGCCACTATCCCCACATTGCTATCACCAAGTCTATCGAGCTTGTGCTGGAAGAGCAGGAAGGTCATCGGGAAGACCTTGCAAAATATCTAGACAGTGAATTGAAAATTGGTAGCAGCAAGGAAAGTCAAGAACTCAAAGAGGAAATACTACGACGAGCTTCTGGTGTATTTCTATGGGTTGTGTTGGTCGTTCAAATACTGAAAAAGGAATACGGTAGAGAATGTGTACACACTCTCCGAAAGCGTCTGGACAAAATCCCGAATGGGTTATGCGAGTTATTCAGAGATATCATCACGGCCGACTCACGCAATGGCGAACTCATCCTCTGTCTACAGTGGATATTGTACGCCAAACGGCCATTGAAACGGGAGGAACTGTACTTTGCAGTCCTTACCGGCGTCGAACCCAGATCGGTGTCAGAGTGGGACACTGAGAAAACCACTATAGCTGACATGGAAAGGTTTATTCTCGACTGGTCGAAAGGTCTCGCAGAACTTAGCAAGACCAAAGATCAGACCGTGCAGTTCATTCACGAATCTGTGCGCGACTTTTTGTTCAAGGAAAACAGCCTTGGCCTGCTTCATCCCCGGCTTACCAACAACATCGCCGGCATCAGTCATGACGATCTTAAGGCATGCTGTCAGAACCGCCTCGGAATTGTCCTTGCGCAAAGCGTATTTGTCGAGGATATGTATGCTGCTTTTTTCGAGGAATCTGTCCAAATACGTCAGAAAATGTGCGAGAAATGGCCACTTCTCGACTATGCTGTGAAGTACACGTTCGAACACGCCGAGGCTGCTGCTCGGCATGAAGTTTCGCAGGATTCCTATCTCGAGAGCCTGCAGATCCCGGTCCACCCCTACTGGAGGACTTTCAACCGATCCAGCTGGATCTACCTCCACAACATACTGGAGCGATACCAGACACGCAGGTACACACCTGATGCGAGCTTTCTGTATATCTTCGCGGAGAAAAACCTGCCGAACCTCATTCGGACCGTTTTGAAACGAACACGTAATATGGATATTGCGGGAGAGCGTCGCGGATTTCCACTGAACGCGGCCATCGCACAGGGGAATGAAGATGCAATCAGGGAGTTTCTGAAGCCAGCAGCTGCACTTCCCTCAGCCGACAGACCCCCCTGGTTTGCTCAATCGTCTTCGAGAGATAGTGAGAAAGTCGACGTGGCCAGATTCTTCCTTCAACGTGCTCGTGACATTGCTACTCCCAAATATTCAGTCCTCGCTTGGGCGGTCGCTCATGCAGAACAAAGTACGATTGCTTGTCTTGCAGCCACAGGTAAGGTGGGCACGGTTGGCTTAGACTACCAATACACATTGGCGAAAACAACGACCGAGTTTCTGCACGTTTCGCTGGTTATTGAAGGCGCTCAGCTCGTGTCAACAAAGATACGTATGGACACCAAGCGTGTGCCGCTTGCTGTGCTACAGCCTACGGACCCGGCCAGCACGCCTAAAGGGTCACGGAGGCTTTTCTGGGCAGCCTATCTAATGCAGAACATCTTCAGCATCCGAGATAACCCACTGGAAGTACCCATCAAAGTTTTGTTCGACGAGGAAGGATGGATGGAGTTCCTCATGCACGACAAAGGGGTCGATCCTAATCAATGCGACGCTGAGAGCAGGACGTGTCTCATCCTTGCAGCAGGGCTTGGCCTCAAGGCTCAGCTCGAATCCTTGCTCGAGCAAAATGGTCTTGATGTCAATAAGGCGGACAACAAGGGCAACACTGCCTTGCATCATGCGGTAAGGGACGGCCACGAAGACGTGGTAAGAATGCTCCTGGGACGATCGGATTTGGACATAAACCAAGCAAACAAACTTGGCCAGACAGCTCTTCATTGTGCGGTTAAATCCAAACAAATACTGGTCGTAAAAATCCTTCTGCGGGAAGAGCATCTCACTGCTATCTGCGGAGCTGAAACGAGCACTGAGACGATGGTATCTGCCACTAACGTTGGAGATAATGCTCGTCTTCACCAGAGTCTTGACACAAACGTTACTTATCTTGGCTGTCCTCCATCGAGTTCCGACGTAGCTCGGACAGGAAAGCCTGCACAGACGCCTACGCTGAATCACCAAGGAATCAATGTAAATGTGACTGATAACTTCGGAAGCACTGCTCTGCACATGGCTGTCGAACTGTGCCAACCGCTGTTGGTGAAGATGCTCCTCGAACGGACGGATATCAACATTCATATTGCGGACAATAATCGCGTAACACCTTTGGTGGAAGCTGGACGACGTCGTATGCTGGCGCCACTGCAATCAGATGACCAGAGGAAAGCTTGTGCAGAGATTGTGGGTATGTTAGAGCGGAAGATGAGGCGAGGGATGCTTGTTACTGCTCTGTGAAGCTCCGGAAATACCGAGAAGCCGGGTGGAAGGTATCTGGGAGTCTGGTATACACATGGCGTTTTCTGGGTTTCTGTTGGAGGTCTGAATTGCTGCTGATGTTTTGTTTCTGGTGCACCCATCTTCAGCAATGCTCTCGTGGTTCTTGTGATGTTACCAGGGACCGACGCAGTGCAAGGCGAATAAATTGCTTGATCAGCCACAATCACCAGCCACAATATGCGCGAGATCCAACGAGCTGTCAATTCCGGGATGCCAGTGTCTTTGAGAAAACGTTGCTGTCAACTTGGGCATCATATGAGACGCGTGACAAGGATGATGTTGAGTGATCTACCTCCGTACTCTCCGGACGGGTCCTCGTGAGGGAGGATGATAGCGAACACGACGAGACGATTCGGAGGTGTTGATCCTATCGATCCTTCTGATCCACCACTTGGCTGACGATCTCGGACACGCGAAGACGGCTCAAGATGACGACGGCTGCCACATCTTAATCCCAGCTGTACCGTTATATCATCTCGTTTTCTTACCAAGTGTCATGCAGTTCGAATAGAATTGCTCTCGACGTCGCTCACGTCAAATCCCAATATGACTGCGGGCGGCTATTCCCGCCTTAATCTGGGATGTTGGACTGTGCCACAGGCGTCAAGTCGTTGAGTAGAAAAAGGGGCCGCATCGGAAACCGGACCTCCACCTTGAGATTGGACAATCTCTTTTCCTTCCCCAGATTTACCAAATCCGCCGAATCAGCGCGTGTGCAATTCCTCTGGTAGGACCAGGAACGAGAAGCGGCTCTATTCGAAAGGTCTTCCAGAGCGTGTCTCAATAGCGCTGTGATATGCAGCAATGGGAGGTGAGCCTGAGCAGCCACCCTCATCCCCCTGGAGTGGTTGGTCTCTCAGATCCCGGTCGAATGGACTCGTTAACCATACGGTTCAACTACAAGCTTGATCTCATCGGACGCGTCCAAGCTCAGACAAGGCGCAATCAGACACTCCTGTTAGGTTGACGGGCGGGACCAATATCATTGTCGTCGATGAACGGGCCCCTGATCTTGGAATTGGATTGGGTGATTGGGTAAGAGCAAAAGCCTCGAGGCTCCCGCGTATCGAGTATCGATTGTCTTCTAAGTTCTCACATTCACTTATCGATACATTCATTTTTCCCATCGAACTCATTGAACCCAGTCACTCCTTTGCTGCGTCTTGTCTCCGTTCTTTTTTGTCTCCGTACACACGATATCGCTACCTGCCTCTCACCGGGCGTCCACTCATTTCCATCCCCGACGAGACCACGGTTCTGGTCTCATATCACCGCCAACACGGCTTCCGCAGTTGCTCCACCGCTCTTTCGAGCCTCGCCCATCGATCCTACCTATCGGCCACCATCGACACCACTGAACGAATCAAGATTGGAGGAGTACAGGATTCACAGATCACACTCGCCGTTACCACCAACTGCGGTGTATGGGAAAGATATCTCACGACCTTCATCCACGACCCTACCAAGTTCGAGCAGCTTGTACCTGAGCCAACCTCAATTCCACACTCGAAGTGCCAGTCTCAGTCTGGGAAGGGGTTATCATTCTGAGCCACGACCTGCTTTGCCGGGATTATCTGCATTAGCATCACTGGGGGGTGCACCACCACTGAGGTATGCAGAGTTTGAAAGAGGGGGTTGCAAGAACACAACTGACATGCTATATAGGTCATTCTCGGGCAGTCATGGATCACCATTGGCACATTATGGATTGTTGAACCCAGTGCCGACACCTGGAATCGCAGGAAGCGCACCTGTAAGTACTCGGTAAAGGCTCGTTGAACCGATTTCCCTGCCACCCCGAAAATCGTGCCAAGCCTCGGCCGGGCTCCTGCGAATGCGGCAATGCAACCTTCCTTCCTCCCACCTTCACCTGCATCACCTGCACCTTATCTTATCGTCTTCTCCCTGATAACAATTCTTTTCCTCCCCCGACCCCCAGACACACACCATGGCCGCCTCATTACCAAGTGCTGACCATAGTCTACCCTTTTCACAGCCTGTATGTCAAAATTGTCAGACCTCCACTACGCCCTTATGGCGACGCGACGAAGCTGGGTCGGTCCTCTGCAATGCCTGCGGACTTTTCCTCAAGCTGCACGGTCGCCCTCGTCCAATCAGTCTCAAGACGGATGTAATCAAGAGTCGCAATAGAGTCAAGACCGCCAACCAAGGGCCAAAGAAGAAGGTGAGCTCTAGAGCACCCTCTCCACAGAGCGAGCGCGGTCTCTAACTTCTCCAGTTCGATCAGAATGGCCTCCCTGCGTCCCTTCCTGAAGCCACCACTCCTAATGGCATCAACCCCCACCGTCGCGTTTCACAGATGGCTACCTCGGTGACTTCTGATCGATCGCATTCACCCGTATCGCGGACAGGCACACCTGGCGCACCACATGATCCCAACATCGCTCCTCAACATCTGTTTGACGGGGCGCTGGCCGATCACCTAAACGGCTCCCCTTCACTACCTGGTCTACATGCTCTCAACCAACCATCCCCTGGCGCGGCCGCCCTTGCCAACGACCGCTCCGAATCGGTCTCATACGACCAGCTACTGGCTGTCAACACCACTCTCCGAACCCGAGTGTCGGAATTGGAAGTCATCAACATGGTATACTCGGACAACGAGAACAGCCTACGCAGAGAGCGAGATGCGGCCTTCCGAGAGCGCGATGAATGGAAACGAAGAGTAGAAGAGTTGGAAAAGCAGCTTCAAGAGCGCGAAGATTCAGAACATCCTGCAAAGAAACCTCGACTGTCGCAAGAACCGCAAGAATAATTGCGAAACGCAGAGCTGCAAAACAGACCTCAAATACATGTCCGAGTGCGATACTCCTACAACGACGGGAGTTGAATGCTGTTCATGTTATTACCGACATCTTGATTGATACCCGACCCACGTTATGAATTTCTTTACAATTGGCGCCAGGAGGGAGATCAGTCAGCATATCCAGGTAATCATCCAATAATGTGGCTATTGCTGGCCAACTGGGCGTTGTGAGAGTTACTCACGGGTGTGAAGGACTCACTATAATGGAATCAAATCATACCTAGGTACAATGGTCACGGTCTCCGACAAGGGGAAATGGAATGGAATGGTATGAAATGAGGAAGGGTTTCATGGTTCCAAAAGTATTGTGCTTGAATGACCGGGAGGTACTTGTCCATATCTCATCCTAATATCATGTGTTGATGCTCACCCTGATCTTCTTTACACTTTTAGAGCTATGTCTGATGAGTCGAAGATTATTTATCTCTAGGTTGTGGAAACGAAAGCGTCGCTGACTGTGTTGGGTTTCCGAGCTCCTATCGCCCGTTCCTACCATCAATACCCCGAGGTCCAACCCCATATTCACGGACCCCGCAGAGTACATACTACCTAGGTGCATACAAGACTTCTTCGTCTCGTCGAGTACTTCCATACTTTCAACCAACCAAGCTCTTGATATCTAGTACCTTCGGTAGGTAGGTACCTTCAAGGAACTACTGTATGCCCAATATTTACGGAGTATACGGGGTATATATATCAGACCGATGAACGGATGACCGACCTTGTCTTACTCTACCTATTGAGCCAATTCTCGCCATGACCTCCTCATCGTCTCCATCTATCTCGGTCGCCGTCTCCCCCCTCCGCCGACCACCTTCATTCAACTTCGCCAGCGACGTCGTCGACCACTGGGCCCGCCATGACCCGTCCCAAATCGCATTATACTGGACCGACCAATCCTTGAGGGCGACCCGGAAATTGACCTATGCTCACTTCTCGCGGCAATCGCACCGCGTCGCCACACTTTTGTGCACAACCCTAAACATCAAGCAAGGCGAGACGGTCATTCTGATCGCGCCCCGGATCCCGGAGTGGTGGGAAATCGCCACAGCGTGCCTCAGGTCGGGACTGGTGCTGTGTCCGTGCACGACGCTGCTCGTGGCCAAGGATATCGAGTATCGCTTGCAGATCAGCCATGCCGCCGTCTTTATTGGGGATGAGATTGCGGTAGAGAAATGTCAAAGTGTGCGGGCGCGATGTCCGCAACTGCGCTGTGTGATTCAGATCGGTGGCAGCAGCGGCGGCGGATCAACCTCGACCACGACCACTAGTACTGCCGGCGATGGTACTGGGGTTGGTGTTGCCAGGGATGCCGTTGTCCACTTCCACGACGCCTTGTCCAGAATTCCCGACGACGCCCACTTTACGGTTCCTGCCTCACTGACGCCGACATCACCGGCCCTCACATTCTTCACGTCCGGCACGACGGGTCCGCCCAAGATGGTCCTGCACACGCAGATCTCGTACCCTCTCGCGCACGCGCTGACGGGGATGCACTGGCTCCGATTGACGTCCCAAAATGTGTATTGGAACCTGTCGGAACAGGGCTGGGCCAAAGCGGCGTGGGCGCTGTTCGCGGCCTGGAACTGTGGGGCGAGCTTGTTCGTGCACGACGACAGATTGCCCTTTGCGCCGCGCCGGACGATTGAGGTGCTGAATAGGTTTCCGATCACGACGCTGTGCGCGCCGCCGACCGTGTACAGACAGCTCGTCATGGAGGAGAATCGACGGATTTTTGCGAACCAAAGGCCCCGCGCGCTCACGCATTGTTGCGGCGCGGGCGAGCCGTTGAACCGGAGCGTCATTGAGATTTGGAAACGCATGACCACGACCACCCGCGGGAAGACCCAGGGTATGGGTATAGAGATCTGGGATGCGTACGGGCAGACCGAAACGATTGTCGTGTGTGCGAATCAGGCGGCGCACCCTGTCAGACCGGGGAGTATGGGTAAACCGATCCCCGGTGTGCCGTTGGTCGTGCTTGATGCGGATGGGAATGTGGCGGGGGATGGCGAGGAGGGTGATATTGCGATTGAAATGAACATGAACACCGCGGGAGGAGGAGGTGGAGATGGACGAGCCGATGGAAAGGCAGATACTGGAAAGAGACAGGAATTGGACTTCTTCGGTATGTTCGAAGGATATATCGACAAGACAAGCGGCAAAATCGATAACAAGATCACCACGTTCGGCAACGGTAAGAGGTTTTACATCACCGGCGACCGCGCGACGAGAGATGAAGACGGGTATTTCTGGTTCGTCGGTCGGAGCGACGACGTGATCAATTCCAGCGGGTACAGGATAGGTAAGTTTTATTCCTGACTTACGGAGTACTGTGGTTTCTTTCTTTCTTCACTTTTTTCCCACCCCCTCCCCCATTTTCTTCTCGAGCTACTGCCATACGTCGGTTCTGATTTTGATGGCGGTCTGGATTTTGGGCTTTGTGTGTTGTTCGGTCATTGACACGTCTGTCCCTCATGCTGTCTCATACTTAGTTCTGGTGGTGATATAGGTCCCTTCGAAGTCGAATCAACTCTTAAAATGCACCCCGCAGTTGTCGAGTCGGCCGTCGTCGCATCGCCGGACGCCCAGCGCGACGAAGTGGTCAAGGCCTTTATCGTGCTGACCGAGTCGGCGGCGGCGCAGCTCGTCAAGAACGAGGATCCGACAACACGAAAGCCACAGGTCCCGAAGGACGGAAAAACAGAACGAGGAGAGGCCTTGGTCGAAGAATTGCAGGACTTTTGTAAGCGCAACGCCGCGCCTTACAAGTATCCGCGGAAAATCGAGTTTGTCGAGGCAAGTTTCCTGCCCAAGACAATCAGTGGGAAAATCAAGCGGGCTGAGTTGAAGGCTTTGGAGAGGAGGAGATATAAAGAGGCATCGGGGCCGAAGTTGTAGAGTATGATACCTCCCCCGTACTTACGTGCCTCCGTTCTTCCGTGCACCAGACAGTTCAGTGAGTGAGTCAAGTTGCTGGCTTCGGGATGTACTGTAAGGTACAGAGGTCACTAAATGTATAGAGTTCTGTGTAGGTAAGTTAGTGAGGGTGGGTGGAGGGTGGTTCGAAGGGTGGACGAAGATGACATAATCCTTATTACGGGCGTCGTCTAGACTTCCCAGGTTTCTCACTCCTACTCGCAACGTCATGCCTCTCTTTAATCTTCGTGTTTCCTGCAATCATACGCACACGGTGACAGACCCTACAAAGCATGACATGGTCTGTAACTGATATAGTTACCGACACGGACACAATGTCTCAGCAATGACATGCACCGCCGTCCGCCGGCCAGAGTAGTACATCCTACATCTCATACTAGTACTACGACTTTGTCACAACCACTCTATCTAGGTAGTTTTCTCGTCGCCAGTGCGGAGTACAAGCACAAGCACCCGAGAATATTTTTTGCGATGGCAAGCACAATCATCGATCTTACTCGTACCATGACAACCCCCGTCCGAGCAGCTGCAGGTGCAGCAGATGCCATCCTCTTCCCCCTATGCACATTCATCCTCAGCCTATATACGCTCGAGCACAGCACGTCACTCTTCATCACATCGACGGCCCGACTAGCCCAAAGGCTCCACGTCTCGGAGACGCTCATCTCCTTGCTCACCGCCGGCGCCGAGTGGGAGGAACTTTTTGTTGTGATCGCCGCCTTAGTCCAGCATCGTCCGCGCCTGGCCCTGGGAAACGTCTTGGGAAGCTGTGTCGCCAATATCCTGGGCGCCTTCTCCTTGGGTCTGTTGGTGCAGGCGCAAGCGCAACAAAACCAAAACCAAAACCAAAACGGCATCACCAGCTTCGACGCGAGTGCCAGGCTATATGCCACTGTCCTGTTTACAGTGACAACGGCTGTAGTGGTCCTTTGGGGTGTTGGCTGGCTGTGGACAAAGGTCTCCGGGGCTCTGCTCGTGCTAGCTTTTGCCATCTATGTCGTTGGTGTGGGCTGGTCGATTTATCGCGGTATCTTGGATGCTCCTGAAGATTCGGATTCGTATGGCAATTCCGACTCGGGTTCGGAGTCTAGCTCGAGTCCTGACTCAATGCCAGAAGGAGTAGGTGGTGGTGGTGGTGGTGGTGGTGGTAGGGCCGATGCGAACGCACGAAACGATATCGACGAGTCCGAGTCAACGGCCTTGTTAAATCGAAGGAGACAGAGACAACACTACCGATGCATCATTTGGGATCTCGGCAGACTTCTCGTCGGATTTGTCGCGCTCTCAATGAGCGGCTACCTACTTTCGCACTCGTCCAGACTGCTGGCAGCCAGATTCAACATCTCGGAAACCGTCTTCGGCGCCACACTCTTATCCTTCGCCACGACTCTACCCGAGAAATTTGTCGCTGTGGTTAGCGGAGCCCGTGGACATCATGGCATCATGGTGGCCAATACGGTCGGAAGCAATATCTTCCTGTTGACTCTTTGCTTGGGCGTGACAATTCTCGGATCTGCCAGTCTTGCAGAGTCGGCAAGTTATGCCCATGAAATTTTCTGGGTGTGGGCTTCTTCAGCCAGCCTCACTCTGGCCATCCTGGTTGGCTCGCATAGACTGGTTGGAGTGGCGATGCTGATTGCATACGTGACCTTTCTGGTCCTTGAATTCGTGCTGAACAGAGCCTGATACCGGCCCACAAGACTTCAGTTCTTAGATGGGAATACCAACGATATCTCCGCCCTCCCTACCGTCCGGGACGAGATCACCATACACCGTGATGGGAATCACGACTTCAAAGGTCTCACAATCCAAGTGCTCCACAGCAACATTGATCGCTCCTCGTTCATCCCTGACGACCCCTTCAAGCAGATTAGTCACATGCTTCATATCGCCCTCATCGGTCTCCACAGGCTTGATGGTCCCAAATTCAAAACGGAGACTCCAATCGAGATTGACACCACTGGTAACAAAGGTGGGCGTCGCTCCCGCTGGGATACTTGGAGCAAATGTGACTCGCTTGGCGAAGAGGATATTCTCGGACTGTGCCGCATAGATCTTCCTCGTTACCCTGTTGATCGTGGCGGCGGATCTGACTGCAAGAGGAGGACTGACTTTCTCTGTAGTTTCCAGCGTCGACCGAAGCATGGCGCAAGACACCTGGCTCTCCGAAAGATCAATCACAGCTGTGATGGTTTCGCCGAGTCGGTGCAGAGGTCTGTCGATGACAATGACGGCAACTCTCAGCCCGTTTCGCGCAATTTCAAACCGGTTTGAGCTCGAAGAGCTATCCGTGCTCTGATTACTGTAGAAAATAGCCCGGTTGATGGCTTGCAGACCCTGGTGGCCCTCTGCACCGTCACGTTTCGCTAAGAATGCATCCATCGTACCGCTACTAGACTGCCTGCGCTGGTTGCGGTCCAGCAGCTTGTCAACAAACTCGAGGAATTCGGTGGTAGACTTCTCGTGTGATCGTGTCGCGTGAGATTCGGCTTCTTCACCTTCTTCATGTTCCAGGGAGATGATCGATTTTGTTGTGGCGAGATCTCGCAGTATGACATGAGGCTGCATCAGGTCATGGCCAAAGATCTCGCCGTCGTAGTTGACGCCGGAAAACACGCGAACGGGGACGTTGACTTGTCGAACTGTGTGTACGTCCCGACCTCCAAGTGCACCCTGTACGCCAACAGTCAGGTTATACGATATCTTGATGGCCTTGCCTCGATGACTAGATGGTAGTCCAGGTGGAAGTGGATATGTGTACGAGTAGCTGTGCTCCTCTCCAGGCTCGAGGTGCATGTCGACAAACAGCAATGACTGCGGTGTCGACAACAACGGAATGGCTCGAGAGTTTCGTATTGCGTGCATTTGCGTCACGCTGCTCCCGTCGTCGCCGCTGATCAAGCTGTTCAATGATTCGCCAAAATCCTTCAGACTGAAGTTCCCCAGGAACCCACTGGTCGGGCGAGGTTTCTTCATGCCGACCACGCCACCGCCTGCTTGGCCACCGAGGAAGCCTTTGCTTTTGACCTCTTCAAAATGCGATTGGTCGACCAGTGACGCGTCCAGGGTAAATGTGGCGTTCAGTTGTGCATAGCCCATGAGCAGATTGACGCCTCGAGGCTTTTGCGCCGGCCTTAGTGGAATCCGCGGAAGAGGGAGAGAAAGGCTGGGGGTTGGTCGGTGATCCGACATGATAGAAGGCTGTTCAGACATGAGAGTCTCCTGCGAGTGATTGCTGAGAGAATAAAAGTCGCCACTACTTCGCTCGCTGGTCACTTGACTCGTCCTTGAGAGGATTCGAGTGGCGGGCTCACTGTTGTCGCTGGGACTCAGAGCCTGGCGCACGCGATCGGTCGGAGCCGCTGCTGCAGGAAACTTGAAGTCCGGTGTCGACTCACGACTTTGGCCAGCAGCTGGTGACAGCGGGCTGCGCGGACCATGTGTTGGTGGTTGCGGCGAGCTTCCACGAGAAGCCTGGCTTAGCTGGCTCGTTCTGCGATGCGAGTCTGGATCATTTCATTGAGCAACTAGTACAGGGAACCCGGAAGTGACAGTGAGCACCACTTACCATGGTGGATTTGGACCGTAGATGATCGCTGATGACTCAATCTTTGCTGCTTTGCCCAGCTGCCAGCGGACGCGTCCGCATGGTCGGTCGCGGCGATAGGAGATGTCATTGAGATGATGGATACCGATCTCTGCTTGAAGCCGGGTCTCTCTACTACAGGTGACGGCAGATCGTTCGCCGGTGGAGGGTTTTGTAGCGAGGCAGTCGGTTTGTGTCGACCGCGCGCGTCGGGGAAACACTCATTGTCGGTGGTGGCGGACCTCCCATTTTGACTCAATCTTGAATGACCATGGGTTCTGGACGAATGCGCAGCAATCTGACTTATGCTGGCTTGCCGGCTATTGCGCCTTTTTGGGATAGAAGGACTGACTGGTTCGATCAAGTTCGCAACGTTTTTGAAAGTGATTGTACATCGAAGCTCTTCGCCCGCGAAAACGGACTGTTCATGAAAGCGGACGATTACATGAATGTCCGAATGCATAACACGGCCTGAAAGGCTTCAGACCAGTCTAATTGAAAGACGGTATTGAAGGGTGAAGTATCTTATGGAGACAGAATCGCAAGAGGACTACACACCATGATGGGGACCATCATCGACGGTGTTGGCCGCTCTGGCTAAACATCGGCAATAGGTGGCCTCATCGAGGAATCACCTTGCAACCACCTTTGGACGTACCACGACCACCACGACACACAACGGGCGGCCAGTCGTCGATATAGCGAGGCTCCTAACCTGTGATGGATCCAGGTTGCAAGATCATCAGGGAGTTCGCATAATACAATCAATAACATTTATGATCTTTATACAGAATAGGTAATCACATCTTGCCATAGATGTCCAGCAACGTAGCCCCGACCAGTTCATTGCATCATCAAGATCAGTACTGCCATCATTCCATCAACCCAGGAGGTCGGGAAACCCCCTATGATCAATGATCTGGGTTCAGCCATCGAGGCTCTGACGAAGCCATCAGCTCGTTCACACAATCCTCCACCCTTCGCCATCACCATGCCCCGGACACTTCCAATCCTCTCACCCTTGCAGGATACCGACTCGTCATAGTTCCGGCTCGTTCAGGATGCTTCTGATGCAGGTGTGCATCCATCGCAGAGTTCATGCATTTGCTGCTACCACGCCCGGCCGTGATGTTTTTGCGCGAAGGGTGTCTTGCTTGCAGCCTCCGGATTCGCTGGTTCAACAACTGGTGGCAGGAGGAAAGAACGGCTGGCATCAGACTCTGGATCTCTGTCACGATCGACTCCTCCAGTGGCTCCATCATAGTCAGGCGCGCTCCTGACTTTTTGGTGACATACATTCACAAAACGCACTGCTCATCCCGTCGTAATGGTTTTTGGGTGAGCCTAGGCTCAGTCCCATCACTTGCGACAAAGGGCGGTGCTTGTGATTTCGGCATGGTCACAGCGCAGCGATTGCTCAAGGTTTCTTTCCCCAGTCGCATCCCAAGTGTTCAACCAGAGACTGCCACCTGAGCCGCGAGCTTCTCCGTCGTTCTGCCCAGTCCATTATTTGCATAGAAATCCATGGGATAGGTGCCGTCTCCCTGCTCCCACCCTTGTTGACCGCCTAGCACTACTAGAGCTTCATATGGTGTCAACAATGGTCGCGAAAAAGCATAACCCCAGTCGATACTCAATCGAGGACAGGCAATCTGGACCCAGCAGTCCACATCTTCAAAGAGAGCCAACTTGCCAGGGAATATCTCGCTGAGCATAAGGTTGATGTATGGTATACCTTGCTTGGTGAGGTAGTTTTGAATCATGGTCAGGGTATGCGGATTGCCTTGGCGGCCCAATGCTCCAAGAATCAGACCCCATTTCTTAGCCCTTTTTGCAGTGTTGATTGCACTGGTTCGCATGTCGAGCATTTCATCGTGTGAGTAAGTCTCTCGAGTCAATTTCCGCGAGTATGGGTCATATCGAAAAGCCGGGATGGTCGGATTTGCTATCATCGCAGCTTCAAGGTGGAAGCGCCCATCGCCAAGGTAAAGAATGAGGTCAACGCTTTGGTCTTTGGTAAGTTTAGGAGCAGTACAGCCCAGTACCTCGCCCTTGCTCAGTGGCATGACTTGAGGCACGACTAGCCTCAAGCCTTCCGCTTCAAGGGCAGGTCTGATGGTATGAAGTGTTGCATTGAATTGTATTGTACCCACCATGGCGATTGTCTTGCCTGGAGATATATTGCGAGACAAGGTGCTCACCAGATGTTTAATGTCGATAGATATGTCCACAAAGATGTAGAGAGTGGCTATCTTCGTGGCAGACACGGGTATCAGACAACTGTGTGCATAGTGGACCAGAAGATCACATCCTAGGGCTCTTGCGGTGTAGTCATCAATGCAACATGCGCCGTAAGTGACGTCTCCCATGATCAAGGTCTCGGTGCCAGGACAGAATTGGGTCAGGATGTCGGAGATGGTAGTGGCAAACATCAAAAGACCCTCGGGGAATTGTAAGGCGACTCGTTTCGCCTCGAGAGTCCGTATCCGATGGATGGTTTTGGGTATTTCGAAGCTGTAATTGTGAGGAAGCAAGGCTATTGCGGCCTGAATGTCTGGGTCATCGAGGATTTCTGCAGGTACCTGGTTCAGGGCCCGTGGTGACTTGCGCTGGACTATATCACTGTCAGTCAACATCGACTTTATGAGACTCGTCCGACCAGACCTTTGGGTACCACTGCGGTCGTCTCCTCGACAGACCCCTTCGCATCTTGCCCATGTTTTGCCTGCGCATCTGCCGTCCTTCTTCCAACGAACCTTCTCTTGGGTGTCCTGCTTGCAGGGACACTCTCCTCGGGCGCAGTAGGGAACGCCCCGGGCATGGAGGCGTCGTCCATATTTCGTGCTCGGGCCCGAAGGCTCAAATTGATGTGGTCTCGCTCGATCGTTGAAGGGTCAAGACTTGTCGGCGGCATCTCAAAAATTGTCGCAGATCTCCAAAATCGCAGGCTCGGAAGTGCGGAGAATCTGCCTCCGGATTTGTTTTGCTGTTGGCGTCATACATTTCCTGCTTCACTTTCATGTGCAACAGACTTTCGACCAAAAAAGAGTCCGGGACACAGATGAATGATTTGACAGTCCAAGTGATATAAACTTGGTAGGTCGAGATGAGAGCTGCGTCAGGACGCGTGTAATTCTCCTCGCACAATCGAATTGTCGATCATGCCTCTGCTACAATCTCTCCTGACAGCGACAAACTTCCGCAATCCTTTCTTGCGGAATCTCATACCCTCTGTTAGCCTTGCTTTTGGGATCCAAGCAGGAGTTGCCGCTCCATCTATACTGGCAGGATCGGAGAGGTTCTACGACCTGTCCGGCTCCCTGACCTATCTCTCGTGCACGGCATTGAGCTTATATCTCCCTGCTCTGCGCGCTCGAACGGCGGCCGCATTAGCAGGGCAGACAAAGCCAGCCTGGCTTAGCCTTCTCAATGCTCTCCAGGGGACAGGAGGCCCATATGGCTTCAACTGGAGGCAGGTGTTTCTAAGCGCTGCAGTCAGCTTCTGGGCGTCTCGCCGTGAGTTACACACAAGTTTGTACATGGTCGAGCTGATCTGAGCTAGTCGGCACCTACCTCTTCACGCGCATCCTCTCTGACGGTGAGGATTCCCGTTTCAAGGACATCCGCAACTCACCCCCCAAGTTCGCAGTCGCCTTTTTTGCTCAGGCAACCTGGGTGTCCCTCTGCTTGCTGCCAGTGCTTGCGGTAAACTCATTACCTGCGTCCACTTTCGCTGCCTTAGGAGGCGCGATTTCAATTACAGACATCATCGGCATCCTGCTTTATGTTGGTGGCATGAGTTTCGAGATGACGGCGGATAGACAGAAGAGCAAGTGGTCGCAAGAAAAGAAAGAGAAGAAACATGACGAGGACTTTCTGACCCGAGGGTTGTGGAGCAAGAGTCGACATCCCAACTACTTTGGTGAGAGTACATTGTGGACAGGGATTGCAACACTGTCACTTGGTGTTCTTGCATCAAATGCCGGCGTTGCTGGAATGGGGCTTGCCGGCGGTGTGGCAGGGAAAGCTATTGCTCTCCTAAGCGCCGGCGTCAGTCCTGCGTTTGTGACGTTCTTGCTTTTCAAGGTGTCGGGCATACCTCTGAGCGAAACCAAGTACGACAAGAAGTACGGAGATCGAGCGGACTATCAGAAGTGGAAGAAAGAGACCCCTATGTTCTTTCCAAAGTTGTGAAAGATCGAGAGATATCGGACTAGCCTGAATCAAGATACAGACAACCACTTCTCTATCCCAGATCACCGTCTTTTCAAACTCGATCTGAACCTATTCAAGCGTGCAGCCAGCTGATCGAACCCTCGCTGCTGTGATGACCCATGCTTTTCATGGTTCTCCGTCGGACATTCTTCTAAACGGTGGACATGAAAGACGAGGTTCCGGTGGCCTAAAGATTGACCATCTTGTTAATCGAGTCGCTCATCTTGAGGCTCGTTGGATGTAATCATGCTCCTGTATGAATGTCTTCGAGGTCGGGTTACTTGCCGGGTGTGACAAGAACGTTGCAATGCAAACCTAGGAGTCGTAGGCATGTCTCCTGATATGACGACCTAGGCGGCCGTAGCGACCGACATCGAAAGTCATGAGGAAGCGAAGATCAGAACAAGCGAGTGGCTCAGGACGGATTCGCTTGTCCCAAGAATAGCACAATAGGTACGCCCGATATTGCTCAGCACCAGCGGTATGTACATGCCAAGAACACCAAAACTGGTCCAGGTCTCAATTCTAATTATCATGTCAGCGTTCGACTCCAGCGAGGGCATCTACCTGGCCGGCCGAAATCGAAAGGTTGTCTGTTGTATGTGCTCGGTTATGACACAGCGCTCCTGGGCAACTTTTTTGGGTACCCTTCGTTCCAGAAAAGGTACGGCCAGCAATTCGGCGATGGCTATCAGCTCGCTCCACGCTGGCAAGCGGCTCTTTCCAACTCGACCACCCTCGGCGTGGTCCTGGGGCTCTTAGCCACCGGCTGGCTCGTCGACATGTTCGGCTTCAAACGCGTCAGCTACGTCTCATATACCTTCCCGGTGGGCTTCATCTTCATCACCTTCTTCGCGCCCAGCATGTCCGTCCTACTCACCGGCGAACTTCTTTGCGGACTATGCTGGGGTGTGTTCAACATCCTTGGACCCACGTACGCGTCCGAGGTCATGCCGGTCGTGCTCCGCGGATACCTGACGTCGTACGTCAACCTGTGTTGGGTCATCGGTCAATTCATCGCGGCCGGCGTGCTGAACGGGTTGATCCATCGGACCGACCAGTGGGCCTATAGGTTGCCGTTCGCGATCCAGTGGATCTGGCCTCTGCCTTTACTCGTCGCCACCGTTTTCGCTCCCGAATCGCCCTGGTGGCTGGTCAGAAAAGGGAGAATTGCAGAAGCTGAACATTCCCTGGCGAGACTGGCTAAGCGAGGAGCCACCGATCTCAAGGCAAACGTCGCCCTCTTGGTGCACACGGACAACCTCGAAAAGGAGATCGAGACCTGTTCGACATACATGGACTGCTTCAAGGGTCCGGACCGGCGACGGACCGAGATTTGCAGCATGGTCTTCGGCATCCAAATTTACTGTGGCCTGAACTTTGCCCAGTACTGCACCTACTTCATGGAGCAAGCCGGCCTCAATACCGCAGACGCATACAAGATGAGCTTGGGATACAACGGTCTGGCCTTTGTCGGCACCGTCTTGTCCTGGTTTTTGATCGGCACCATGGGACGAAGGACGATTTACGTCGGTGGCCTCGGCATATTGACGGTCCTCATGTTCTTGATCGGCTTCGTCTCCCTAGCCGCTTCGGCAAACAAGGCTGCTATGTGGGCGCAGTCGGCTTTAATGCTGGTCTGGATTTTCTTCTACGACCTTACCGTTGGCCCACTCGCCTACACGATCGCCTCGGAGACATCATCGACACGCTTGAGAGACAAAACGCTCGCAATCGGCAGAAACCTGGAAAACGTGTCGGCCATCGTGGCCGGCACCATCCTCCCCTATATGCTCAACCCCGGGTCTGGCGACTGGAAAGGCAAGACGGCCTTCTTCTGGGGAGGTCTGTCCTTGTTGTGCTTTGTTTGGGCTTACTTCAGGCTGCCGGAGTGCAAGGGCAGAACTTACGAAGAGCTCGATCTCTTGTTTGCCAAGGAGGTACCTGCGCGCAAATTCAAGGGCTACCTTGTCAATGCCTACTCTGCGGATGAGGTAACTCTTTCGACGGAAGTGGCCAAGGTGCAAAAGTAAGAGATCGATCATTCAGGCTGAGACCGTTGCGCGTGGACCTGGATCACTCTTGATATGCCATTGGATCAGATCAGCTTGTCGGCACTATAGAACAACATGGAAGATCCACGTTGGCAGCATTAGATCGGCCCATAGTACAAGTACTTGATATTCTCCGCCTTTTCAAATTTTGGCATAGATACTAGTATCTCTCGCTATCTTTTCGTATCGAAACGCTCTTGTAGGACGGTCGACCATTGTCCTACCGGGGGATACAGCGTGCCATATCTACTCAACACCCTGACCGCCGTCTTGAACGAGTTGTCTAACTGTTCTAGACCGAAAGTTACCTGTGCGTTCTTGACAAAAGTCATACCCAAAGATATCGTAAAAATGGAGGTCAGCGTCATCGCGATGTGCGGCAGCAAAACCGGCTTCGAAAAGAAGTCAGCAGCTGCGTCCACGAATGAGCAGTACGAGCGCACACATTTTTCGGCAGCCGATACGAGCTCTGGAGACTCATCGGTGGTAATGACAGCCTTGTAAAGCGCCAGCCAGAAAATCCCGCATGTGTGAGCGTGATATTGCAACTTGAGATAAAGACTCAGGTCGCCCCGGGAAAAGCCCACGTCTGGGAATGCCAACGCCGGTGGAAGGTGGCTGCGCCATTCGAGTACCTGGAATTCCAGTTCCTCAGCGACGAGCGTGGGAAAGTGAATTTCGTTATGATGTTGCAATGAACTTGACGAGAAGTTCCGATCGGACTGCTCCATCATCTTTTGGATTGCGACTTCGGCCATGAAAAAGATGCACATCCCACCATCTTACTGCCCATTCTCAAATGTGCCTGACGGCAGTGGGATATACTCCTCGAGGCTCCGCAATCCAGAACTGGCGAGGTTGAGCTGCACCAGCAATTCTCTCTCCATGACGTAAATGGAGTAGATTGAGGTCTATTCAGTGCCCAACCTGCAACGACCGTCTTTCCAAGCAGCGACCAGTAAGGTCAATGACTTCAAACCCACTGCAGTTGGGGCTCAGTTTGGTCCATCTTGGAGCACACCCTGGTTCCGCATCACCATTGAGATTCCCGCATATAAGGACAAACTGGAATTCCACTGGGACTGCCACTCTGAAGGGATGATCTGGACAGAGGATGGTGAGCCCATCCATGGCCTGACAGGGGGCCATTTCCAGGATAGGAGAGTGGAATTCATCATTCCCCGATCATGGCAGGGCAGGAAAGCATTTTACGTCGAGGCCAGCATGAACGGCATGTTCGGTTGCGCACAGTGCCTCGATCTCAGCATTGGCGGACCTCACCATCCTGCAAACGACATCATTCAACCGCCAAAAGCCGACAGACAGTTTCTGCTGGAGACGGCGGAGCTTGTCGAACCAGATCAGGATGCATGGGCTCTGTACTGGGATTTTCAGGTCATTTCAGACCTCGCACGGACTCTATCACCAAATACATGGGAAGCCCAAAGATGTTTGGGAATAGCCAACGAGATCATGAACGTTTTCCAACGAGATGACCATCCCAGCATCTCGGCCTGTCGGTCTTTGGCTAAAACGCTGTTGGCAGAGGTGCAGGCTGATCGGGATCACTCAACCCTGGTGAGTGCGATCGGACATTGCCACATTGCCACATTGACACTGCATGGCTCTGGCCTTTTGGTGAGACGAAGAGAATGGTGGCTCGATCGTGGGCCACGCAGGTGGACCTCATGGACAGGTATGCAGAACACCGTTTTGCCGCCTCTCAAGCCCAACAGTACAAGTGGTTAAAAGCAGACTATCCCTCGATATATGAACGGGTCAAACAGAAAATCAAATCCGGGCAATTCATCCCTGTTGGAGGCTCCTGGGTCGAAAACGACACGAATTTCCCGTCGGGGGAATCGCTTTGTCGGCAACTCATCTATGGACAGCGCTTCTTCCAGAAGGAATTTGGCATCACCTGCAAGACGTTCTGGCTACCTGACACCGTCGGGTACGCACCACAGTTACCGCAACTCCTGAGGCTGGCCGGCATGCCATATTTCTTCACGCAAAAGATGTCGTGGAACAACATCAACAAGTTTCCAAACTCGACATTCAATTGGGTTGGCTTGGATAATACGCAGGTGCTCACTCACATGGCTCCCACGGAGACCTACAATGCCCAAGTCGAAGCCGGCGAGCTCCAGAAGAGTGTTAGCAATCACGGCAACTTGGCAGAGGACAAGCACTCGCTGTTACTTTTTGGCAATGGCGACGGAGGCGGAGGTCCGCTGGCAGGCATGCTTGAGCGCCTCAAACGGTTTCAAAGTCTGTCCGATACGATCGGTGCTGTTCCGAGGGTGGGCATCGTCGACACCGTCGATGAGTTCTTTGAAGGTATTCAGAACAGAACTCAGGGAGGAAAAGAGCTGGTCACATGGCATGGCGAATTGTACCTGGAGTTCCATCGAGGCACGTATACTTCTCAAGCAAGAACAAGATCGAACAATCGACGCGCTGAAATCTTGTTGCGCGAGTTGGAATATCTCACCTCAATGGCGCTCTTCACCAAGAGGCACAGATACCCAAAGGACACACTAGACTCCATGTGGGAGGACGTGCTCTTGTGCCAATTCCACGATGTCTTGCCAGGGTCTTGTATCGAAATGGTCTACGAAGACACCACAGTCATCTACGACGAGGTGATGAGGAAAAGGGGCAAAGATCCGCCAAGACGCACTCGTGGCTCTCAGAACAGACCGCGACGGACTTAGCCTCCTGAATACTCTGTCATGGCCTCGCTCCGAGATTATCAAGGTCGACGACGTGTCCGGTTTCAGTAATGCACAACTTGAAGGTGACAGCAAAGCAGGAGGAGGCTTACTAAATGTGGGCTCAGAGGGTCTTGGGGTGACTGACCTGAGCGAAGTGCCATACACGCCTGTCACCGTGCACGAAGAAAACGGAACCTTTGTCCTCCAGAACGATCATCTGCGGGTGTGTATTCAAGGCGGTGAGATTGTCTCACTGATCGACCGAGGGCTGCAGAGGGAATTACTTCCTGAGGGGGTCAGAGGCAATCGAATGGTCCTCTTCGACGACCAGCCACTTTACTGGGATGCTTGGGACGTCGAGATCCATCATCTCGAGAAGTATCAGTACGTCGAACCAGGCAGTGGCGATTCTAGACCACGGTCCCCTTCGTGCTTCGGTCAAAGTTGAGCAGAAAATCTCGCAAAAATCGTGGATCACCTCAATCATCTCGCTTGATGCCGTTCTCAACGGACCGTCGTACGCCGATGGTTTCAACGACGCGCTCAGCCAGGTGCAGATCGAATGCGAGTGCGAGTGGCGTGAGGACCGGAAATTCCTCAAGGCCGAATTTGCATGGGATCTCTGCAACCCTTCAGCAGACTACGAGACTCAATTCGGGATCATACGACGGCCCACGCACTCCAACACGACCTGGGACAGCGCGAAATTCGAAGTGGTCTGCCACAAGTTCGCCAATCTCGACGAGTTTGGTTATGGTGTGGCCATCTTGAACGATTCCAAGTACGGCTTTTCCACGCACGGTCGCACGCAGAGGCTGAGTCTCTTGCGGAGTCCCAAGGCGCCCGATGCGCATGCGGACATGGGCCGGCAACGATTCAAGTACGCCATTCTGCCTCACCGTGGCATGTTGAACCAGTCGGCCGTGGTGCGAGCCGGTTTCAACTTCAACTCACCACTCCAAGTCGTACCCAGATGTGCTAGATTGCCCCGGATCGTCGTGGACGGCGGGCCAAACGTCGTGTTGGAAACCATCAAGAGATCAGAGGACGGAACGGACCTGGTCATGAGGGCATATGAGGCTTATGGAGGTGCGGCAAGCGTCACCATCAACGTGGATCTCAAGCTCGATTCGGCTTGCAGAGTGGACTTGATGGAGGAGAAGATCGAAGCTCTGGAGGTGCAGACCACCCCGACCGGGAGTGCCTTGCCATTGTGCTTGAAAGCTTTCGAGGTTGTGACGATCCATGCTGGTGTTGCTGGATTTTGACGGACGTACCTAGTAGACTAGGTGGTTGTGGTTGTTTCATGGCTGAGGCCAAAAGATCGATTGAACACCATTGTAGGGGGCCGGGGACAGGGCAGCCGGCTAAGACAGTAAGACATTCTGCACTGTTCGAAGTGAAGACATGACTCCGAGTCGGCGATCTCGATCATCTGCATGTTCAGACAAATATTATAATGCTGTTAGATTTCTGGGAAGCTTGCTCTGTTCGATGGAAATACCTGAACAACCTGCGTGAACCTCCTCAGGTGGGTGGGATGTCAGGCGTGTCAGGTCAGCATTCGCTGTACCTTCCACTTCCAGACATCAGGATGACGACGGACCATGGACGCAGGCCACACAGCTCGACGGTATCTCAGGTTTCACACACAGTCTCTAACTTTACGAGCACGCTCTCCTGCAGTACCCATGGCCTTTCGTTGACCATGGTCACAACCTCGGGCTTCACACACGCTCCCGTGTCTCGCTTCTTAATCCTGGGGTCGATCGCCACCAGCGTCCTCACCTCCATCCTCGACATCAAACACCTCCTCCCCATCAAGCCGACACCTCATCTCTGGCCGTACCTCCAATTCTCTCGGCTGCTCACCTTCCAACTATCCTACACATCCTCGACCGAACTGCTCTTCTCGACGGCCCTCTTCTACCACTTCCGCGTGCTCGAGCGTCTCTGGGGCAGCCGCAAGTATGCCAGCTTTGTAGCCGTCGTCTTCTTCTTGAACATCCTCCTCCTTCCCACAATCACCCTCGTCCTGAAAGCCGCGAGTCTGGGCGTGTACAACTACATCCCCGCGGGCCTCGCGACCGTCGCGTTTGCCGCCTTGAGTGCCTGGAGAGACGAGATCCCCCGGCTGTACCGGTACAAGATCGTCACCTCCACAGGCACAAGCACAGGCACAGGGCCAGACGGACAACAGGTCCCCGGCATTGTGTTCAGTGACAAATCGACGACCTATCTTCTCGCGGCGCAGTTGGCGCTGAGTCAGTTCCCCTATCAAGTGCTCCCTGCGGCTGTTGGGTGGACGATCGGGAGTGCATGGATGGGCGAGTTGTTGCCTGGCGGGCTGGGCCGGTGGAGGATACCGAGCTGGATAGTCGGCGAGACGAGCAAGCGCAAAGAACGGGGCCAGTATGAAGGGTTAAGAAGACGGCTGGAAGAGGAGGGCAGTTCGGCGGACGGTATGAGGAACGTTAGTGATAACGTCGACAGGGTGGAGGGGTCGGGTCGGAGAGGGTTTGGAAGGCAGATTCTGGGGTATTTCACAGGTTCATGACGACTTGTGTCAAGACAAGAAGTCCAAGAAGAAGATTCAAGATCGGTAGCTACCTTGCTGCGTTGACAGCTCAACGTAGCAGGCCGAAGGATCAGTATATATTGATACAGCAGTGTATGACAATTTGGTCCAGCCAGTGGTGATTGTAATTGTCTGGTCTCGATTTTTGTTCTACCTGACTATACATGATTCGCAGAGGAATTATCCTCTGCCCATACAGTCTATGACACTTTCGCAAAACCCGTCAAAACCATAGCCTCGCGGTATGCTGGGCCTCTTCCATTCGTGGGAAGCAAGTCAGGATGAGTTCACCTGCTTACTGTGGCGTGCTCGAAGACTTGTTGTCCAGCACACCGTTTTGAAACCGGGTGTCGACCTCAGTCGTCGACACAGAGCACCCAACACCTCCAGACTCTTTGCGATCGCACATCACGTCAGTGTGAACGTGACAAATGAGCAGGGAGCATCTTTTTGGATACTCTCCCCCTCTTGATTCGCGTGCTGTGGTTCTGATCCAGTCGAGCCTTGTCAACTCCCAAGGTCAGAACCGAAGGAAAACAACAACGTCCTTCTCATCTCCCTGGATAGGTATATTTTCATCCATCTCCCACACCCTTCGTCTGCTCCTCAAAAGCCTGCCTATACCTCTGTACGGCATTCGCCAGACTCCTGATAATCGGACCGAGCAACTGTTTCACGACCGCTCCTCCGCCCTTGATCGCTTTCGGATCCAGCCTATGCCTTCTGCCGGTCTTTCTGAACCGCTCTTCCAGACTGCGCTCCTGCGTGCGGATATGCTCCAGCCGCTCCTTCTCCGCGTCGTTGGCAATCACATTGATTCTGTCGAGCGCCCGATTGAGACTTTCCACCAGCGAGGCAATCTCATTCGCGCGCCCGGCTTCACCGGACAGGAAGGCATGCCAGAATTGCCGTAGGAACTCGATCGTCGTGGCTTGCGTGAGCGTTAACCGGTCATATATGCCCGTGCTCAGACCACTTGCCGTCGGAATCTCACTGGTCTGATCGCGGTGCGCCTGCACGAGCGAGAGGATATGCTTCGTCGCGAGACTTGACCCGGTCTCCGGCCTCGTCGGTCCTCCGTCGTCATCGCCCATGCCCATATTCTCATCCTCATCTTCATCCTCGTACGGGTCGATGGGAATCACACCCGCGCCAGGCCGTGCAAAGTGTTTTTTCAAGTCACCACAAATGTCCCGAATCGCCTGCGAGGCATCGATGGTCTTGAACGGGTTGGTATCGACACCATTGACACCCTCATCGGGCCCCTTACCCTTATCCGAAAAGAACCGGCTCTGGTCTCTAATGTTCAGTATGATCCTCTCCTGCTCCGGGTCGCCGCCTAAATCTCTCAGCCGTAATTGCTCGTACGTCGTCTCGGTCATGCCAATCGGCGCGCTGGCGTCGACGTCAGTCGGCCGGACCGTGGCCATGAGTTTCTCGCTCAACGCATTGAGCCTCCTGATGATAGGCGCCTTATCCAGCGCAGTCGCGCGCAACTCGCTGTCCGGCCGGTTCCCTTTGCGTTGACTGTGATTCTCCTCGTTGCCTTCCAGATCGATGAATTTCGGGATATGCATCTCCGCGGCTGTCGTGCGTAGACCCGTCAACTCGGGATGATTCAGGTACTCCTCTGTATCGAGGTATTTGTCCCTGCTCTCTTTCGTTGGGTCGAACTTGAGCCCTCGAAGTCGCATGTACAACTGGCTTTGGAAGAAGCGGGACCAGAATTCGACTTCGGACTTACATTTCTGGGGGACAACTTCGTCATAGATCGTGCGCATGACGGGATACTGTTCGAAGATTGCTCGGACATGGTCCTGCGTGAGGCTAAGTTTGGTGCCGCCGTCTTCGCGCCGGAGCTCGGAGAAGACGTTGTATTTGCCACGTCCTTGGTTCTGGGCGATAGCGTGGGCCCGGAGGAGGTGGACGCGCGAGGACCAGAATTGGGCTGTGAACTGTGTGGTGGAAATCGATTCGGGCTTGAGGCTCAGGGCTTCCATGAATGTGCGTTGCAGGGCTGCATCTTCTTGCATGAGCGACTGTTGGAGTTTGACGTCGGATTTCAAGCGGTCGTCGTCTTCCCAGAGACTGCTGCCGCGACCAGCGCTAGATATTACATTTGCAATGGTCATGGCTGCGGACTGGCCGCCGTTAGATTCAGCCGCCGCGGCAGCATTCTGAGCGGCTTTCTGCGCTTGGATGACATTCGCTAGGGCGTCTTTGATGGCGTTCGCTTCACCTCTCGGGTCGGCCTTGGACGTGAAAGTGAAGACGTGCGCAGTGGGTTCTGATTGTCCTGGATCCTGGACGAAGATTTTCAGCATCACTTTTGGACTGGATTCCGGCGTCTGCTGGAGGTTCACAATGTTTGCTGCCGATATCACCAGGCTGGGGGCGGCATCTGGTGGTTGGATAGGCGTCCATGACACCGATTTACGATCGTTTGATATGGCCAAGGTTCCAGGCTGCTTCTTGTATGAGGCTTGTCCTTGCGGCGGAGCCATGGCTATCTAGCCTTGAATCGCACCTGTATTGAGGAAACGGAAAACGAGAAAGGCGACCCGCCCGTGTGACGGATCGAGGGAGACCAAAACCAGTCGTAGGGTTTTCTCATGTCGCTTGTGGTTGGCTTTTGCGTTTATTTCATTCTCATAAATAGATATTGGAAGCGGTCTTTCTCGACACCAACAACTGTGACCTGCAGCTGATGTCGACAATCGTGACCGCTTTGGTAGTAGACTTCAAAATTGTGAGGTTACGTTGACAATCTGAAATCATTATCATGATCCGCGCCAAGACTCAAGCCAGGCAAAAACTCATCCACTACGGCATGATCCGTGCTTTCCCTTCATCACCGTCGAGGTACAATACAATCGGATTTCAAGGCTTCAGATCTTGCAGCCGCTCTGACCTCCTTCCTCAATTATTCTTTCTTCAGCGGTACAGACAAGAACAAGGCAGGCAGGCAGAATTTTGTTGCTTTGCTCGACAGAGATCGCTTATTCGCACTCCAATGAGAACATTATTTCTTGAGCTCTGCTGGGATGATTGCGCATTTGGACTAGCAGTCCCAGGCTGACAGCAGAAAAGCACGACGATTCGATATGCTTGTCACAATGCGTCTAGACTGCAGGTTGATCCTTGCTAGCTACACTGGTGACTGGGGTTCGTTGGTCTCCAAAGTAGCAGCATGGTGGTGGCTGGCGTGGCGGCTGTGCAATTGCAAGGCAGCCTCACCACCCTGCACAGCCTCCGTCTTGTCTACTGTCTCTCTTCGCTTCCTATCCCATTCTCTCATCTATAGGGAAATCATTACGATGGCACATCCCAGGCAGCATCAGCCATTATCATGTCTATCTCACAACTTACCGCTGCACTGGGCTCGGCCTCCCTGGAGGTTCTCGCGGCTTTGGTGAACGCCAAATTCGACTTTTCGATAGTCAAGATTGAGGCACCCGTCGAGTTTCAAGGCGTTGGCCAGGCTATTTCAGCCACACGAAGAAACGTCGCCGAGAATGGCCTTACGCACATTACGGCAATGAAGCTTGGGGCTCTATTCGAACAGATTATTCCGGAAACCCCTGCCCTCGTGCGAGCATATGGAACAAGAGCATCCGATATCATGAAGTCGCCCGTCGCGAATCCGACAAAAGCTGGGAAATTCGGGTTCCTCCAGGAACATATTGGCGCTGATGCCACGAGCCTTTGGGCAGCAGCAACCTCTAGCAGTGAAGCAATCGCGGTACATCTGCTAGCCTGTATCCTCGCGGATATCTGGAATGACTTGGAAGCGACAGCAATCTGGGAAGAGCTTGTGAGTCGCCGACAGGAGCAGCTTTCCGACAATGGGCAGTCGTTTCTCAGAAGCCGGATATCCATTACTCGCGAGCAGCTGCGTGAATGGGATGCCAGTGCCCGCTCCTGGCTCCAGTGCGCTAATAAATTCATGCCAAAGCAACATTCTCACCTCACCATTGTGACCAACAGTTCTGGACTTAGTGTTGACACTACCAGAGATCTCTATGATGACGTGACTAATGCTTGGATATCTGCCTTACGGGTGACTGAGTGCCTCCTACATGGCGAGTCGCACGAGGTGATGAATGGGGCGATTCTTCTGGCTCTCAAGTCCTGGCAATTGTATCCTGACATGCTGTATCTGAAAGATACTCGAAAATTCGAACAGGACGATGCGCTATTCCCCAGGAGTGCACTTCTCACTGTGGGCGTCACATCGGCCAGTCCGGATCGTATTGGTTTATCGTGGTCTTTACCTCTCGCCTACCTTCGATATTATGGTGACCCAGTGGTCGTCACCCGCTCAACGGCAGAAAATGCATCCTATGTCAATGTGGACGAGTTTTGCCAGATGGTTTTGGGTAGTGCCACAGGATATTGGTGCAAGACGTACGATGACATTGATATTGCCGTGGACCTTCTAGTTGCTTTGTCTCAATCACTCGAACAAGTTACCGAAGGGGGATTCATCCTCCCCCGTCATCCTATGCGTCTAGTGGGTTGGTTTCAAATTCTGACCAAAGCCGCAAACGCCTCCAAGAATGCCTCTCCGACCAAGAAACCCAACCTAGACCAGTACCGCGCTCTCGGGGTCAGGAAGGGCAAGAAATTCTTGGCCGCTCCTAGCGACTCCCCGCCACCCTTTTTTGGATTCAACAAGTTTTCCACGCTCTTTAAGGCCTTTGATCACGAAGAGTGGCAGATCAGCCTTCTGAGGGAGATGGCAAAAGAGGCTGCCATAGGAAAGGACCCGCGGGCACTTGTCGTTCGATATAGGAGCGAGGAACTCAGCGAACTACATGGGAGGACCATTTGGGAATACGCGACTGTCTTGCCGTTGCATTCCACACTTTCTTTGGGAAAGACAAGCGGGCCCCGGCACAAGCGGTGGACCTTACTCTCCGATGCACTCAAGGCGCATCCATGCCGTTGTACAGGTCGCTGCGTGCAAAATTGCCCTTGCAGCAAAGATGGCTTTTGCGGACCTAATTGTCATCCGAAGTCGTGTATGCTGGAGGGAGATGTCGCAGACTGTGGCATGGGCCTGGTATCGAAGTCATCTGCGAAAAGTAGCACTTCAGGGAAGGCGGATATCAAGCAGCGCTCGATATCCTGGAAGGTTGCAAGACATGCTATGCTTCTCGGAGCGCAAGAAGATTGCGTGGAAATCCAGTATACCACAGCGTTCAGATGGCCTGACGAGGATCGTTTCCAATGGGCAGAATTCGCCTACGAAATGAAGACTACGTTGCCATGGGGCTCACGTCATGCAAATCTAGCCAATTATGTCAGCTTGTCGGATGATCAGGAGAAGACGCGGTCTTGGGTTTTCCGCTATGGTGATCCGAAGAGGGCTGCAGTGTTTGAGCAATGTGAACAGGCAGGCGATCCTTCCATGACCAGAGATACTCCCGACATGAACGCGGTCGTCACATGCATCAAGAGCAATCAATCTTCAGTGAGCTCTCTGAACTTATACTTATGGCGCTTGTGTAGGTCATGGACTTCCCAGGGTAGGGACGGCGAAATTGTAAGGTGTTCAGACCCGTACCGAATCAATTCACTCACAGCTTTATAGGAAATCACAACGTTGGGGCCGACACGATACTTCTCATCGTTGGCTTTCTTAGCCGCGGTTGCTAAGTTATACCAGCAATTCCCCGCCGCCCAAGTCTCCTTGGAGATATTGTCCAAACCGCTGAATATTGACTGGTGGCACACTAAAGGACAGTCAGACGCTTATTCGAGAACACAGATCTTCTCCCTCGCCGAAGCGTTCACTTGCATCACCTTATTAGAGACAGGGTCGGTGGAGGTGACGCCATCATCGCTGGACAAAATGTTTGCCTTGGCTCGGGGCAACTCACTCTTTGTAGCTAAGACCTTGGTGCAAGATCCATGGACGGTGGGAGATGCAAGCGCAATTGAACATCTTAACGGTAACGTGGGGAAGCCTGGATTGACGCTGTTGATCCCTCCACCGAATCCGAAGATGAAGAAACTCGACATGAAAGGATATAAGGTGCTGCCCTATGCAAGATTCGACGGCAATCTGCATGATGCCTTCTCCAACACGACTCTACATTTGTCGTTCACAAAGTACGAGCAGCCTGTTTCAAGCCAGACGTACGGCGAGAAAGATGTCCGAGCCTACTTCCGGGAATCCCTGGTCTCAGTTCTTGACCACGGGGATTGGATTGCGGACCTCGACATACAAGCGGCGCGCAATGATGCCCTCTTTATTCGCGTACCACTGTGCAAACACAATCCCAACCACTGGCCGGAGAATGCTAACTACAACGAAAAGGAGACTCCAGCCAAAGGTCTGACAGCCATTGACGACTGGAAGGAACTGCTGGATCTGCCCAGTAGCGACGGTATCATCCGCGCGCACAAAAACTGGATTGCTAGGTTAGCCGCTGCCACAATGAGCATCCAGAGGAAGAAGCGGACCCTGGTGTTGCCACCCGAATTTTGCTGGAAGTGTCTTTACACAGCGTTGGCCGACGTCAGCAAAGCGCCTGATCTGAGATATATGACTGACAGCGATCCTTCCGAGGACGAAATCGCAAAGAGTAGGCCCAAACGAAAGGGTAGGAAACGGAAGCGACCTGTTGTCGTCGTTGACCAGAAGAAGTCTGCTAGGGTCAAGGAGAGTCGACATGGAGCAGTTCTCGTGGCTTAACACCATTGTATCCTTGTCTCTTACTCTCACAGCAAGAGTTGGCCGACTACCTATCGTATCAAGCGCATGATCATTCCTAGGCGCTAGGATAGTTGATACAACCGCATATGAGTTCGGAATCACCCTTTCAGAGTCTCTCAGATTCTATGTCAAAGTTCTCATGAGAAGGGCTGAACGCGAGCAAGAGCCATCGGATCTCGGGTGTTTACAAGGTCAGAATCATGGAACCACTTGATCCAGTATTTGATGTTTCAATATTATTGGTACAAGTGAAGTTGAAGTTGAAGTTGCAGCTACACTATGGGACGCGACACAATCCATAGGGCCAGCAAGGTGGAGTGAAATACAAAATCCTCAAAGGCTAAGACAATGTATAGATGTGGCCATGGCCACACAACGACCCAAATGCCACATTCTCCCGCAGCGTCCGTGATGGTAGTTAAGGCAGGCGAATAGCAGCCCAAGCAGGAAAATCCAGGTCACCATGAGATGGCGCCACGATATCGTAACACGACCCATTGCGTCCGCAAGCCGTACATTTTTGATGTCGAACAGGAGATTGTGTCCTGCGCCATGGTGAAGTCCTTGGAAGGACATTCTTTGCATTTCCGTGCTGGTAGACCCATAAGCCTCCGCATGAGAATCTGGTTGTGGTCGCGAGCATTCGTGCTGCATTTGTCGGCATCGTCGCTTTAGGGCTCCCTCTGCTCGAGACAAATGCCAAATGCGACCGAGCATTGATCGCTTGCACCATTCGCCGCGTTGTCGACCTCCCACTTCGTCTCATGCTCAGCAAATGAATCCGTTCGCGCAAGGCTTGTACCAGCGACCACAAAAGGTCTGACTCTCTTCCCAAGCTTGGCTACTCGAGGCCATCTTGCTCGAGCAGCAGAGACCTTCGTTCAGCCGTTCCGGGACGGAAAAGCTCTTCTCAGGGTCTGTCTTCACGGCGCCTTTTGCTCCTCACTCTTGGCCTGTGAGACAATTTCATCCTGTGTGACCGCCTCCTGTGCAAGCTCTGCCTGTCCCTGCTCCTGCGCCGCTTGCGCGGCCAATTTTTCTTGATGTTCAACGAGATGCTCATATTCAAAGGGACTCAATCTCTTCCATTCTCTCAGAAAGTCGAGTCCATCCACTTTTTCGGGAGTCTGAAGGGTTCCATCCACGTGTCGAACTCGAGGCGTCGGTTCCATTTCCAAGCTCACAAATGGTGTGAGCTAGCGGAAAAGCTATTAGCATTTGTCTGTACATGCCTGTTCCCAGGAGGGTTGTGCCCAACTTACGTAGAAATCGTCCATTTCTGGGACATTGTAGTGTGTGGTCTTCCGCCAATCGATGATATATCCTCCAGCCGGGGTATGGGCACCTTTGGAGCCAGTTCGATTTCCTCGATAGAAGCCGCGTCCGACTTGTTTGGTGGTGAAGCGCAGGCGAGCACAAAGCTGCGGCGAGGGCTGGAACATGTTGCAAGGTGGCCGAGCGGCGATAGCGAGCTGAGAGATGGGCGTAAGTGTGGTTTCTTTGCTCCTTCTTGAAGAGATGGTACAAAGTATTTGCATTGAACGGTGCAAATAAATGTGCTCGCCGGGCTATCGTTCTAATCAGGACTTATATCCTGCTGCTTTTATTTCAGACACAGCCTTGCGCAGCCTTGCCAGGAAGAATGACATAACTCTCTTATCAAATGGCGCCATAGAGTAATGCTCCTTATCTACTATGACAATCTCAACAGTATCTACCATGTTAATTGTTCGATCCTGACCCTTGGGCGGAGGGTTGATCGTTCGTGTACAAGATGAATCTTGTGACTCGTTTATGATGCCACCCTTGCGGGCAGGTCGAGCCTCCAAAGCATGCGACTCATGCCGCAAACAGAAAACGCGTTGTTACGCATCCGACAACGCTAGAGGCATCTGCCTCCGCTGTGAGACACTGTCGCAGCCATGTTCACTGGAGTATGCCGACACCTACGGCAGCCTGGCTTCTCCGGTTCAGCGACATGAAAGAATCACCGCAGAGAGGAGTCCAGCTAGAAGCAGAGCAACTTCGGTGGACGAAAGGTAACACCCCAATACCTTGGCTGCTGGGCGATGCCTGGTTAACAACTTTCGAAGGCTTGAGAGATTAGAAAGCACTGTCCAGACGTTGGTGAAACGGCTCGATTCTAGCAATGGCATCGTCAGCGCTCGTTCGATTCCAGATCGGCATCCACCGAGAATTCTGGCTCAGACTTCGTCAGAAGACCAAGATCAAGACCAGGCTCCCGTGCTCTGGATCCGAGACGCCGCTGCAGACGCAGGTGTTCAGTCGCCGCAGCAAGTGCGACCTCGACCGCAACAGCATTCAGATGTTATATCTACAGGATTGGTCGCATTGTCGACTGCCCATTCTCTGCTTTCTTTGTACGTGCTGGCTGCGGGTTCCCTAGTCGCCGAGATAGAAAGGGTGGTAAGGTCTGACCGAGACGGAGCCTGCTATCATCAGTGCTTATTGAGCGGTGGCTCACCGAGGCTCAAAGTATGATTGTCCACTCGGAATTCGGGTCGACTTCGATACATCATGATAAGCCTGCTCCTGCCCCTCAGGTAGACATCGGACTTACTTACGAAGTTCTCCCTTGACGTACGGAGCGCCTCGGTCAGACCACAATGCCACGTTTTCTCTCCACTGGGTGTCGCCTCGTTGCTAATACTGGAAACAGATTCCATGTCCACTATGGTCGGTGGGTCAGATTTGAGGAAGCCATGGCCACTGAAGCACTGCTGTTGCATGTGAGGAAGTCGCCGCTATTGTTGTGTAGCATCTTCTTGATTGCAGTGCGACACACGACGCAGGAGCTTGCAGACCAGCTAGCGCCTACTTTGTTCGAAGAGGCAAAGAAGCTTGTTGCCTCGTCATTACTGGTTGTGCCACAGTCGGTCGAATTTTTCCAGGCCACTCTCGTGTTGAGTTTGTGGTCCACGACAATCGGACAGGTCCCGTTAAGCATCGACAGCTGGCTTCTGACAGGTTATGCCCTCCAGCAAAGTCTTGCAAGCCCTCATTTCCACCGAGTCCTTCAAGATGAAGGAAATCGATCGGTGGCAAAAGTCGATCTCGACGCGTGGTGTATCTGGAATCATCTATGTGTGGCCCATCTGCAGTAAGTCATGCCCTGCTCACCATCTTGTCACTTGATATTCTTTCCTTGAATCGGAAGGACACCAAAGAAGTATTCCGCAGGGTTCTGCTGCATCGATAACACTGTTGTACCCCATGTACTACTCCACGCAAACTCGATATCCCAAGCCTTGTACTTGACATGTCCGGCAACGCCATCCTCTGACATGCAAATTTCAGATATTGTGTCGGCACCCGTCGGCAAGCGCTTGTGAATCAGGTACAGGTTGATCGTGGTCTCCACTTCCTAGAATCAGACAGTATTACCAACTTCGAAGCAAGAATGGCGGCCGAGGTTAAACTTTACTGGATTATATACAACAATTGCTGTGGTACAGACGTCGATCTGGTGGATGCTAAGAGCGCACTTCAAGCATGGCAACGAGAATGGGCCGCACTATTCAGTATGAATACCTGTAACTTCGTGTAAGACCGCTTTTTGCTGACCACAATTTGCAGACCAGCCACGATCCCAGTTCCTCCAGATGGGCTTCCATTTTGCTCACCTACTGGCTTACTGCCAGTCGCTTAAGTCGACGCGTGCAGTCATGCGCAAACCCCTCCTTACCGAGATGATCCAGCTTTCCAGATCAATCATCAACCTTGCCATGGACTCAACTGATGAACGTACTCGACATTTGACTGATCACATCTACCACATAATTACCTTTTCTGCGCTTACTCTCTGTCGTCTTGTCCACACCTACGAATCAAGGCTTCGAGCAGCCAACCAGGACATCGATGCCCTCGATGCACTTGTCTTTCGGCTTATCGGCTGGCTGAAGTCCATTGGCCTGCCATGCCACGCAGCTCATCTACTTGGCGAAGCTGTATTTGCACAGTTCAAGAAATTACGACCAAATTTCCAGCCTGAGGTACCACCTCATTCTAGTAAAGGCTGGGAGGCTAATCCGGCCGCTCTCGCCGCGGACTACCAAGGGTCCTCCAACGACATGGGCTTGTATTATCCCGATTTCATCGGATCCGAGTTATTTGACTTGAACGACGCGTTCTGGCCACATTGGGACATGATGTTATCAGATACTGATATGTCCGTATAAGAACCAGGTTAACTGACATCGGCTCGCAAGCTAAGGCTACTGGTCTGGAGATGCATGCAAATAATTGGAGCAATTCCATTGAAAAGAGCAGAAGGGGCCGACATTCAAACCATCGACCCCAAGCACAATCGACTCCATCTCCTAGTTCTGGCATAAAACCCATCCATCCAATCCCATGACTCGGCTCTCCGGCTTTGCGGCCCAATCTTCATAAGACGCCTCGATCCGGGTACATTCCTCGGCTGTCAGCAGACCGGATTTCAGAAAGTTCTGCGTTGCGTTGCATGCACCTCGAGCCCATTGTTTCATCGACTCTCCAAACCATTGCTGAGAAGACGTACCCAGCTGAATTTGGCTCCATTCAAATCCCGCCTCGTGAGCCCAGACATGGTTGAGCCTTCCTCCATTTGGAACAATGCCTCTGCTTTCGCATGATTTGTACCAGATCTCTTTCTGTTTGTCCAGGGCCGAGAGCGGAGGATAGTACAGCATCTCTGCCATGTCCGTGGATGCGACAAGACCCCCGGGACGAGTGAGCTGTCGCATAGACCGCAAGACCGTGACCTGCTCGGTCAGGTGCATAAGGACCATGTGTGCATGGACAATGTCAAAACTACCCTCCCCGAAGGTCTCGAGCAACTTGTGGGCGTCGCCAGTCTTGAATTCGACATTCTTGATGCCCTGTTCAGCAGCAGCATCTCGAGCCATTGCAATCTCGGTCTCTCCCACGTCGATCCCGACGACATGTCCTTGAGGTACGAGTTGGGCAAGGCCAATAGTGATCGAGCCGACTCCACAGCCAACGTCGAGTATACGATCCGTCGGCTTGATATGCTCGATAAGGTATGGGATGTTTTTTGCAACCGTGCGCTGGGACATTATATCTCTCAGACTGTCGTATGTTCGACTTCCATCGCCGCTGCTTGGAGTCTGTTCCTTGGTCGACATTCTTGGTTCTGTGGGAGATGTGGTTGGACTTTTACAGATGGCTAGACGCAAATGTCAGAGGTGTATGAGAGAGAAATGTGCTTACACTCTACGGCGAAGGGTGCTGTCTCTCCCAGAGAAACACCCATCCCACTAACCTCCATCAAGGGTCCAGGGTGGTCGCCTAAACTGGTCAGATTGAACGGATTGGACCGATCATCTTTGCCAGTGAGTGAGAACATGTCGCTTACGACGGTCGGTATTCGGATGAGATCAGGCGGCCAGCGTCAAAACGTACTGTATATTGGCCGGAATGTGGAGAAGATCTTCCTAGGGCGAGACTGTTCGGATGTCTAAATATTAACTTACTTCTAGCTGTAACCGTACAGTCTGGAGAGCTGCTTGGTAGACTCCGAGGGCTGAAACGACTCCCTGTCTTTTGATGTCCAGGGTCTACAACCAGGACTTGGGCGAGGCTAGGGTCCCATCAGGGCTTTATGTGAAGTAGAATGTATTCCACCGAGATTGGGTTAAGTTACAGATAGGCTCCAATTGGAGCCTAGGCGAATAACCACTATCATGGACCTAATAGGTATCAATAAAATCCATCAATTACAATAAGAAGGACAATGGAAAATGTTGATGGCCGAGAGCACAAAGACATTTGGGTGGGCTTATCAATGAAGGTTGAAGAGATCTCTGTCGAGTGCCTAAGGGTCCAAGGGGGACCCCTAACTATATAGCTTCTAGGTGGCTGGGATGCCTATATCTGGCAGGGCTCGACTATCCTCGCCTAATTCGTCGAGAACTGCCAAGGCAGTTGGTAGTTCCGTGGCTGCCGGGCGAGGCACGAGGCACCCGTTGGCCCAGTCAACAAGGGATGGCGACTTCACTTAACCATCCAACATATTATCCTTCTAACACAACAACAGCGTTGCCACCTGTCGGTGGCTTGTAAGAGGAGGTCCAAGGATGTTTGATGCCGTTCGTGCCACGACGAAGGAGACTGACAGACTCTTCGCAAACAGTTCGTACACTTGGTCAACTTATGCGATCTCCACCGATGGAACAGGTCGGTTGCCATCCGATTCTGTGAATCTCCTGGGAATGTTGGGTCATGTTCCAGCCTATGTGGATTTCCGCAAAGAACCAGTTCCTTCGCGAGTCAAATTAGAGCCCATGGAGTACGACGACATCAGAGAATTATGGGTTCCTGGGAGCTCTGCGTGGAGAACAACAAATGGCCAGTGCGATCTTCAAGAGAAGATCATATCACAACGCCTGCTCCTGGGAATCTCTTCCCCTGCTACGCTCTCTTTCACTGCTGCTGATGATCGGTTCAAAAATTGGCCCGGCGTTGAAAATATTGATCAGCCAGTAAGGGGTAACTGCATTGCAATACTGACGCTTGCCTGGTGCTATATTCTGTCCGCGAAATGGGTGGAGATGCAACCGCCTAGTCACTTGAACAGAGATCCCGAACCCGCCGGCTTGGAACGGCCGGCGTATCTCGACGATACAGCACGATTCGGTGTGGGTGACACTGCTGCCCGCTCTGATTTTGTGCACGTTGATCTAGGAGGAATCAGCGACGACGCCGCACGGTGGTGGGCTGCCATCCTTGCTCCGGAGACTGGGTGGGAAGCTGCGATCGTTTGCTCCGGAAAGAAATACCTCTCCCCATGGTCAATTCGTATCCGGGCCCGGGAATCCTTCGTCTTGTCGAGAACCGAAGCAACATCACAAGAACGAGTGCCGAAATCCTTCAGAAACGCTCAACAAATTCCTCCATCCTACACAATGGCTTTACAATACCTGTCTGAATTCTGCTCCCACCATGGAGTTTCCGGTCAATGCTTTGCGGCTCTCGCAACCGCTTTACTTATCCCCTTCCAAGGCCGACTACGCCAGCTTCATCTCCCAAGGCCAAATATCGAGCCCACTTTCGGAGTTCCCCCTTCGTCTACTTCTTTCGATGATAACTTGCAGCAGCAGGCTCAGCTTCTTCCATTCTACATGTCGATCAGCTGCAACACTCAAGGTATTAGGCCCCTCTTGCATGGCCCCTTCTACGAACCCAGTTTGTCATGCAACCTTGTTGGTGCATGGTTGGATGGGGCTCTCGAGACGATTGATTCTATCATTCAACTTCGTGACTATTCCAAACTGGCAACCGTGATGTGCAGACGACAGCCCAGGATTGCGCCGTTGTGGCTTGGAGCTATCATTCTCGGCATTGAAAATCAATTTCTTCAGCCTGTACGTGCCGGCATGTTTGCAATCGACCTGAACTCAGCTGCTTGGACCAATACTTCTCACTCGTTCACTGGTCCGAGGCAGCATATCCCTTCAAGTTCGCACGGTTCAGAGATCAGTCGCGCTGATGAGTGCCGACTTCTTTACATTGCGCAACCTGATCACAGCAGAATCCCGGTGTGTCCGTGGGAACCATTTGGATACACAGATCTACAAGACGTCGATATTGAGGTCCGAGAACATGCCCACTGCGCTGGAAAACACTGTTTACAGTATGAGAGCTGGGCTTGGGATTTACGAGACGGCAGCAAAAGTGCACCGGATCGTGGTTTCATCCCCAATGATGGGTTGATTGACACTAATGAGACGGCATGTGACCTGCTGGTCAACCCTCACGTTCAGCACAGGTCTAGTGCATCAGAAAGCCAGGCCGAAATTGCCACTCGAAGTATATTCAGCTGGCTACGATTGAATGGATATCCTTTGCGAGAACGAGAAATCTGGATGCATCCCTGGCTCAATATCGACGACTCTGATGACGAGGAGAGTGACGATCCGGCCGAAAGCACCGACGCAGACAGCGAAAGGAGGTCAACTATTGAGAAGTGGGTATCGAATGCTGCTGGCAAATAGCCTGGAGAGGCGAGGTCTCTGATTATCGTCAACGGAGCCTCAGACTTCGCTGGGTCCATCAAACTGTCAAGTCTTTATACTCTCGAAACCCGTCTGGTCCATTATAGGGATGATCATCACATTTCCGACAGATAGTATACAACCCGAAAGTGGTGTTGGCGTGGACCCCACATTGGCAGATTTTCCACCTTCTGCGGCATCCTCGCACGCTGCAAGGATAGGTGGTGTGCTCATTGTTTTGGTGTGTACACTTCGAATTCTTGCATTTTCCGCTTTGCCCAGAACTTGCGGTCATGCTTTGGGCGTAGTATTTGAACTCGTCTTGGACTCTATGTGTGCTGAGAAGCGCTACTAGTATTTCTTATTTCTGGATACAACATCAGCTTCTGTTCAAGTCTCAGGCAGGGAGAAGTACACTTGGGAATGGGCTTGGACTAATTAGAGCTTGATACCTACTGTCCAGAGCAAAGCTATCCGAGACGTCGCAGACACATCGCGGTGATATAACAGTCTTACTGCTGGCACTAGTGTTCCCTTGAGAGCATGCAAGCTTGCATCTTCGTGCAGTTGGGTAGGCAGCCATCGGCGTTGGGATATCACATGAGTCGGAACGCGATGCAATGGCTTCCCATGATTGGCAACCTGCCCTGAACTGTCATGCAGACCGCCTGACCGGCTTTGGTACTACCCCTATTGTTGATGGTGCTATGGTTTCGATATCGACGAGTGAGGCCGGCTTGAAGTGAGTTGGACTGTTTCAACGTTGAGTGAAGATCGCTCATATACTCATTGCGACCTTCCGATGCCAAACATGGTGCTCTGGAAGGAATCGTTCTGCAAAATGACTTGATGAACTCTTCCCTGTCTCTTGGCCCGGCATTCTATGAGACCGGTGCCACAGTAAACCCCATGCGATTGGGTGGTAGTACCCAATGATTGTGGAAAGTACAACCGTGTTACGACCCTTTCACCAGCTGACAGCTGCATCTAGACCCGTCCAGTCCAAACCAATGGAAGGACTAAGAGCCGTGACAAATGTAATATTCTGTTGCATTAGCCCCAATTGGCTGGCTGCTCCTGGGGTCACATTGTCGTTGGGTCTTGGTTATTGTTGCTGGGAGTGCTGTGTCACTTTCCGGCCAAGGTGCTGCTTAGAATAGACATCTTTTGACGTTGCTGCCTGTTTACCCATGTCAGCTACTCCGACGTCAAGGGCCAAGAATTCCTCGACCGAGATGTTTGCTAATCAAGAGGTTGGGCAGCAACAGCGCACCGGACGACCGACAGAGTGGCATTGTCGAACAAGAGCACTATTGCCCGAGCCTGTAGTCTTCTTGACATTCGAGGCGATACCTCCCTGAGATGTAATGACTAGCCTTACGATCATAGCTAAGCGTCTACCTCGATGTTAAGTGCCATGATAATGCTCGTATACAACTTCTGCCCCTGTATTCACCTTGGTTACCTATGCCCCGAAAGAGGTGACCAGTTCGATTAGACCAGGGTCCGGCCGCCCTATTCCTTCTATGCACTGGCTTGCAGGGTTGCCGAGTGGCAACAATTGCCCGTTGTAAGTCCAAGTAAGGGCTTCGGTTGCTATCCGCAACGTGCAAGTCCATATCTTGTCATGACAGCTCTGAAGAGCCTGAAAATCCGAGGAAGGGATATGCGGATTCTAGCGACGGTGAAGGTGAAGCACATTATCCATGAGGCTATTAGAAACCCGATCAGAGGAAATGTGGGTGTGACCCCTCGCGTCGTAAAACATGTGTTGAATGGATTGATAGATGTACTGTCCGAATGTGCTTACCCGAAGTAGATTCACAAGCTCCGTAGGAGTCCAACGGGAGCGGACGGGCTCCATAGTGGATTTTAACGACGACGACGGAACCCACAATCGACTTCTGGAAGCGCCAATGGGGAGTGTGAGTGCAGGCTCTCGGTGTTAGGATACCAAGGTATGTGTCGAGATGAGAGAGAGATGTAATGTTCGAAGGTGCTTAAATAAGTGTCCACCGGCTCAGCAGAAGCCAACTGCGCATACACAAGATAGAAGAGGGTGGCCCAAAGAACGTCCAGACATACGGCCCAATCTCTTGGTCCAAAGTCTACATTGGAGAAGACTTATTTGGATTCATGCTCGGGTTAAGTTCGTGCGTTGACTGGTTCTCCTGGCCCTTTTCACTAATAGTACTGAAAAGATCCACTTAACCAGCTAAAGAATGTCTTCGATAACTTAAAGGAGGATCCCCTTATCAATTTATAATGCTATTGTAGTATTATTAATATTGGAGAAACAATAATATTAGCCTTTTGAATGATATACTAAAAAGGTGAAAGGTAAGTTCTTCAAGAACAAAAAAAGAAAATCTCCTCGACAGGGAATCGAACCCTGGTCTCCTATGAATTTGTTAGTTTATAATGTGATAATAGAGGAGAGATTAGACTAACCCGCGCTCGTTATTCAACAATTGACTGAATCAATTGGTGTTAAATGACAAGCGGAAACTGGAGAAATTAGACCACATGTATATGAGCTGGAGTGTCGATAGGACTTACTCATGACCACTAGACCATCGGGGATGCGCTGTATCTGAAGATGCAGGATGGACTAAACGGCACGTTGATGTGTGTGCTAATTCTGACACAATTTGGGGCATTTTGGAACTATAAAATCTCATTTTTTTCGTTCGCTACCTGGTCTAAGCTTAGGCCTAGTGACCTAAATCACATTTAGCTTCATAACTTATCCGCCCTCGAAGGTATCCAACCTCGGAGATATATTCACTGCAGATTATCAATTACCCAGTCCCAGATCAATTGAAGGAAATTGTTGATTGCATCCTGCCTTTTGCTCACCCGTATCCTCATGGCCAGCTACGTGCCTACAAAGCAAGCTGCATACCGTGATCTTCACGACCAGTGAGCTTATTTAAGTGAGTTCTTGACCCGCGCCTGATCTCGGGTCTTCCAAGTGGCGTGCTATTGGTTTGCGCAGCATTAGCAGTCTTGAAGATCTTTGGTGGATGGATGAGCATAATGGGTCTGAAGCGCAGATACTTTTGTGTGAATTCTCCGCGATGGATTCCGCAGGATCTCCTCTAATGCATTCACATAGGTACTAGCCCACACCTACCACGAAAGCGGCGTAAGGTCTTCCTTGCCGATCCGGACAGCCTCCATGACGGAACTGACCTTGCGACACCGACTGGCCCCAATGAGTATGACGAGGATATCAAAATACTCCACGCTCTCGTGCTCGACTACCTCACACACAGAATGATCGAAGGCGGCCAGGATTCACGTTTGATAACGCAGGACGTGATCTTCGGAAGTAACTGCCCTACAGTGCTCGGACTTTGCGAATGGCTAAAATTCCTCGAGAACCCTCTTCTCGTCTCGATTGACTGTGTGACACGCCTCCTTAACCTCAGAATCTCGACTCTCGAGAGCCCCCCTGCAAAGCTACCGGTAGCGGTATTCTACGTACGAACATACACTTTGACTGTTGCACAGCTCAGCAGAGTAATCGAGGTTTTGTTGAAGGCCAAGATAACATTCAAGAACAAGATATTCGCTTGGAAAAGAACCATCGATTCTCTCTCAAAGGGTATATCGGTGGATCTTCGCTATGGCGGCGTTTCCTGTACAACGAATGCATGGGGACGGCATGTACATGACCTCAGAACCACAAGAGGATCTTCTCTCATGCGAATATTGCACGTCATATCCGACCTGTATCCTAAGGTTGTCGCAAATTGCCTTGTACAAGACATTCCTCATATGGAACTGCCAATATCGGCCGGTGACCAGCTCATTGACACGAGGGAGCAATTACTGATATGCATACTAGGGCAAGGAGCTCTCAATGTCAGTGTCGGTGGGTCTGTATCTTCGAGTTCAAATCTTCCCGGCAAAAAGTTGTTTCAGAGTCTGGGAACAAGGTTCTTTGCTACCGCGGCACATATGACTAAGGAAATTTCTCCCACTTCCCGACTGGCGGTACAGCGCTATGCACAAGAGTCTGCAGCCAAAAATAATGAGAAGGCAGTGGTATCGACTACTCGAGTTGCAGATGCCGCCGCATTGGCTAAAGTATTGACTGATCAGGCTACATCCAGGGTCCTGAAGAACGGTCGAGCCATACTCCTGATTGTGGGCCTTTGCCCTCCGGCGAAATCCGTGAAGGCTCCAATGAGCTTCTGGAAGTCGGACTCCGAGTCTTCTCGGATATTACGAGCGATTATGCAGGAGTTCGTAATATGGGAAGAGGGGGTTACAGACGGTCAAACTTCCACGGCAGCCAATTTCGCAAAGACTAGGTTCTTAGCGTTCGTCAATCTATACCCGCAGGGGCGGGCTGGAGAAGGAAAGACCGAGTCTGCCACAGCTCTTCTTCAAACGTACTTGCAAGCATTGCGACCGCTTATGGTTTTGTGCCTGGGTCATGATGTACGTATGCTCCCGGTCCTGAGATTCCTCCTGACAGACCAATATTGGCTGAAGTTATGCTGCGGACTAAGCAATACATACTGTACTTCCAAGTTGACGAGGAGGTCTACGGTCTCGCGTTTCCAAGCGATATTGCGGGCACCTGCTGCTCATATCCTTGTTCCCCCCGAGGCACGAACGCAACTTATGATTCGTCTTGATCTTTGGTCTTTATTAGTGGTGCACCCTGCACGAAGAACAGAAGCCTCTTCCGCTCATAGAAGCTGAACCTGGCATTATTATCCAGTCTTCGCTGGGCTATAACTACGGTGCCGGTGACGTATGCGTACAACGAAGAAATAAAGATAAGGTTATGAACTCTATTCCCTCTCAAGGGCGCTAGAAAAAAAGTAAGATCATATTTTTGTACAGCTAAAATTTTCCTCAACAAACGAGCAGCTTTCCTAAAGCCGTTTAGTCCATCCTGTGTCTTCAGATACAGCAAAATTCCCCGATGGTCTAGTGGTCATGAGTCAGTCTCTCCTCACTTTCTGAGAATTCAAATTAACATGTACAGTTTCCGCTTGTCATTTAACACCAATTGATTCAGTCAGTTGTAGAATAACGAGCGCGGGTTAGTCCGATCTCAACCCTTCATCACATTACAATCTAACAGATTCATAGGAGACCAGGGTTCGATTCCCTGTCGAGGAGATTTTCTTTTTGCTTTCTTAGGCCTCAGAGGAGGTCTGGTTTGATTTTTGGGTGTAGAATAAGTGTCCCAGCCTTTTATTACTCTAGATCACCCACCTAGATCAACAATGAAGGCGTAGGCTGTCAAAATTGTATTGCGGCCTTTCCCGGAAATGAGGTGAGATGAGAACTTACTTTCCTAACCGGCATCACGTGATAAATCGCTCAAGTGCAAGGGGTCGCCAGCCTTGTATCATTTTGCAGGAATAAACTCTGTAAACACACGGAGCTTGTAGAGACTCGGAATTATCTAGCGGATCACCTATAAGCCATACTTGTCGCCTAATATCCTCCAAACATGGTTCACACAACTGATGTTGTCCTCTCTTCGACAGGTGGGACACCAAACTTGGTCTCAACACCTCCGTCACCGTGGTCAAAAAGGCGATACATCAACTTCCACACCAATATCACTACAGCTCCGGCAATGGCACAAGATGCTGCAATGATCAAGCCATGTCTATATCGAGGAGCATCTGTTCCACCCAGTCAGCTTCTGCCTTTAGGGGCCAAGGACATCAGATCATCTCACCTTGCGTTCGGAAGAGCTGGGCGCCCGGGAACCCAGCGAGCTGGATACTCATAACATAGGCTGCCAACGCAATTGGTCGTTTATAGTCTTGCACCTTGGATGTAAGCCATGCGGCGCTGATAGCCTGAGCGGAACCCATTCCCATTTGGGTCATGACAACGCCACCTAAAAGGGGTCAGCGTCTTTGTCTTTGAGTAGGGTGAAAGGTAAGGTATGTACGTACCATAAAGGACCCATTTGCCGACTCCGTTGGGTGCCAATGCCAGCCACAATAGGCCTGCTGCTCCCCACAAATAACCCACGACAATATGGATGCCGCGCTCTCGGAATTTGTCGCTGCTGTATGCCAGAGAGACGGACCAAACTAGTGCACACACGCTGCCCACGGAGTTGAGTCCGTTTGCTTGAAGACCACTGAAGCCGAGCGATTTGATGATGGACGGCGCGTAGGTGTTCATTGGTTGGATCATCATCATTGAAAGAAATGCTCCGACTAGGTGGCCGTATATCCGCCAGTCCATGAATGTCTCCAAGATGTGCGACGGCAAGACGGGCTTACCGTATCTAAGGGCTTTGGTAGGGTCGTTGCGGATGACACGAGTGACCAAGATGCAGGCTTGTCGTTCAGTGAAGAGGTTGGAGGATTTGCCGAAAAAGGACTTGGGCTTCGCGGGACCGTGAGGTAGATAGATATAGGCTGCGACTGCCAGGATGCAAGTCAGTATTCCCTCGATGAGGAACAGCCATTGCCATCCATGAAGACCATGAGTTCCCCGAAGAGAGAGCAGGCCGATCGAGAGAGGTCCACCAAGGGCGCCTGCAAAGCTGTTTGAAGCCCAAAAAATGGCGAACCGTAGGGCAAGCTCCTGATTCGTATAGTACTTTGAAATATAAAGAGCAAATCCAGGAATGTACCCGCCTTCCAGGGCACCCACGAAGAATCTGGCGGCGTAGAGTCCTGCTGCATTCTTGATGAACATTTGTGACCAGGTCACAATGCCCCATAAAAGCATTGTGGCAGGCAGGAATCGTTCAGGACCAATCCATTTGGAGACCATGTTGAAGGGTATTTCGGTGATGACGAAGCCGACGATGAACAGCGTCTGTGCGAGGTTGATTTGTGTGTTGCCGACATTGATGTCCTTGCGCATCGTGTCGGTCAAGGCATTTCCGATGTTTGTACGATCGAATTGAAGGAAGCAGAAGCATAGCACAATAAAAGGCAGAATGAAGACGTCCACCTTCAACAACGCCTTTCGAGCTTCGGCCGGCTCGAACTGAACGTTGGGATCGTAGCCAGGAACATGAGTGGAATCTTGCGGGAGTACATCGATGTCACTGTTGGAGTGTTGCATCTGTACAGGGGTTTTGAGCTCGGAGGAGGTACCCATTTTGAATTGATCGTAAGGGCGAAGATCTGCTTTGCAGTTGGTTATTTAATAGAGAGGGTGGCTGTGGAATGGTCTCTTGCCGGTTTCGATGTTGAGTACTCTTCTCCGTCCATGTTGCGATCGGCCGTTTCTTATATGCATTGTGAAACTGCGCTGAGGAGCAGGTCTCTTGCAATGCTGATCGCATCTTGTGGACGACTGAAGGTATCATGATAGCGAAGATGGCGTGCTGATTGCGATTGGCCTATCGCATGGCCGTTTCCCATCGGCAAGCCGCAGGGCTTGAGCCTGGACCGGCGGAGTCTTATCAAGCCGCCGCACGCCCATGGTCATGCCGACGGTTAGCCTACGGTATGCCGTAGGTCACCTATGTTACTCTATCACAACATATCTACTGCCGCAGGATGGCCGTGCACTTGAACAGACTTCTGGACGATGCCAGCACGGGGTCGGCCGAAGCAGTCGGGTTTTGAGCTGTATATATACTGCAACTGGGGAACATTAACTCATAAACAGCCATAGTCAACATCAACTTTGTGCCAGAAATCGCTCGAAAAGACGGCTGCATATCTTAACTTTTGCGATGGAGCAGAATACACTGAAACGAAGAGGAGTCGGCTTGACAGGCGTCGACAAACAACACTCCTTCGGAGGTTACACTCTCTTCTGTCCGCTCACCAGCGACACTGCACACTTAGTTGACATCGACGGCAAGGAAGTTCATTCTTGGAAACTTCCAGGAAGAATTGGTCGACATGCCAGGATCCTGCCTAACGGCAATCTTGCAGTTAACACACTTCGCCCGTCGCCACAACGCACGACACAAGATGGAGGCCCATACCCTTTTCCATTCTTCAATAAATATGGCGGCGGCATCATGAGCGAATTGGACCCTGATGGAAAGGTGGTTCGTCAATTTACTGACCCCTTCGGTCACCACGACCAATACCATTATGGCGATGGTCGCATGTTGTACACCAGTCTCGAGGCATTGTCACCTGAGGACTCCGCCAAAGTGATCGGAGGCGTCCCCGGATCTGAAATTGATGGCATAACGTATGCCGATACGATCAACGAGGTCGATGCGAACGGCAAACTCGTCTGGCAGTGGAAAGTGTCGGAGAGACTGCCAAGGGAGGAATACCCGTTGCAGCCACATTACACCCGAGAACATTATCCTCTGATCAACGCAGTCCTACCGATGCGGGATGGGAAACATATTCTGGCGTCCATGCGGTCGGTGTCAGCAGTAGTCATCATCGAGAGATCCACGGGTGATATTGTGTGGAAACTTGGGTCAGATGTGCTCGCCCAACAGCACAATGCTACCGAGCTGGAGAACGGCAATATCTTGATCTTCGACAATGGTGCCTTCCGAACTGGTCAGTCCATTCAATATACGCGTGCAATTGAGGTGGACCGTAAGACCAACGAGATCGTCTGGGAATACCATGATCGCTCACAGATGGTATACTTCTTCACGCCATTCATGGGCAGTGCACAAAGGTTGGCCAATGGCAATACCCTGTTATGTGAGAGCGCTTTTGGCCGTGTTTTCGAGGTCACCACGGACGGTTACGTCTGCTGGGAGTACGTCAACCCGCATTTCGCGCCATATCCTGATGCGGCAACGGCCAAGCTATTTCCAGGAGATTCAAACGCCTTGTTCAGGGCATACCGGTATTCATTGGAAGAGATTCCTTGGTTGCAGCGTAAATTGGACGGTGTCGAGAATGGTCAAGCACGGGCTGGTGGCATAAGTGGTATCTGCAGACAACAATGAGAACTTAGCAGAGAGCTTTGGGCGGTAGGCAGCATAGGGCCCTCCAATCATTTTAGGCGTTGGGAGGTTTCGAATCATTCAAAAGTCCAGACTTGGCGCGACTTCATTGTGTCCTTCATCCGAATCGAATCGCAACCACAGGCGTAGTTACATCTGTGAAGTTGTTGCCGGGAAATCCGTCTGTGGTTTAGGCGGTCCTGCCGTTTCGGGCATGGTCGAAGGCTGGGCCCGCCGCCGCTTTTGAACCCTTGCGTTAAACGATCGTCCTGCTGGTATGACCCATACGAGTTGGGACACCTGATATGCCTTCAGAGCATCTACAGCACATCGTGATTCTGTGGAATAAGACTCTCCTGAATCATTGCTTTTTTCAGTTTCGCAGAGACTTTTCTTCAAACCCCAGAGATATGGACCCTCCAAAAGCAGAAACCGATGGATTTGAAGTGGGCGAGGTGCTTACAGGACCAGACGATTGTCGAATAGTCCTGTACTACGATCATCTGCGATTCATCCTCGTCATGACGAAACCAGAGATCCGAGAGGATGGTGATGTTGTGGCAGACTTGTTTCTGAAGATCGAGGAGGCCGAGAATGATCCTGATGAAATGATGTTCGATCGCTACCTGGAAGATGTCAGAGAACTTGCAATCTTGGCCTGCAAGCATACGATGTATACGCTTGCAGCATCAGTCCCGAAGCCGAGGAGCAAGCAACTATCTCTTGAGGACTTTCTGCACCCCGCAACTTTCTGTCTACAACTACGCGCCATGAAAGGAAAGCTGCAGGCCGTAGGAATAGACGACATCTCGGAGTTCGCCAGCATGCACGAACCTGTACCCTTGGCAATGGACTTCGTGCCCCGTTCTGTTCCGGCTCTCACTCCTTCCGTTGAAATAGAGTTCATTGAGGATCTCTTTATGAGGAAAATACTCAAAGTCTCCAAACACGGTGAAGTGTGTGTCTTCAAATCAGCAACTCAAGGTAATGAAGACCAGCTTAGACGAGAAATAAGTGTCCTCCAGCAAATATCCGATAAATGGGAGCCCGATCACCCCGATCACCCCCATGTTCCACGGCTTCTTGGTCTCGTGACATCTGGGGGTCAAGTCATAGGAATGCTTGAGGAATTTATCGATGGCACGAATCTGCACGAGCTTGACCTAGATGATGCTTCCTCCGCGCAGCGCCGAAAGTGGAAGCGTCAGATCGAGCAGGCTATCAAGCAACTACATCAGAGTGGCGTCGTCTGGGGAGATGTGAAACCAGAAAATGTTCTGATCGACAAAGCAGCCCATGCGTGGCTTGTCGATTTCGGCGGCAGCTCGACCGATGGTTGGGTGGACGAGGATCTAGCGGAGACTATGGAAGGCGACTCGCAGGGCTTGCGCCGGCTGGTGGAGTTTTTGGGCGTCCGACATTGAGATCTGGTGGACTTTGATGGCAAAGCACTCACGAATCACTGGTGCTTATACCTCGAGACTGGCCCCCAACACTTCGGTTCGCCTTGATATGGCTCCAAGTTACACCTATCCAAGCATTGTTATTGCTGATGGCTAAAGGAACCCTTATAGTTTCGGAGCGGAACTACGTCGTTAGCCAACATGCCAAGAAGATCATTCTGATTTAGCCTACGCAAGGACACCATGTGTCAGATATTGTCGATGCTCTTATTGAGGCTGGCCACGACAGATATGAGTTGACAGGAACGGTATTTGGATGCAGTATGTAGACGACTAATGCCTTGATACTTCGTGGCGTTACGTGGATGGAGATCAGGAGGAGAAATTCAAAGCACTCAAGATGAATCTGGATGGGAAACTGAAGGAGGCCGAAATTTGATGAGTAAGGGAGTGATGATGATCGTATATGCTGGGAGGAGATCGCTGGCATTTGTTATGTAGAGGTGTCCAAGGGAAATCCGCCGTCATCCGCCTTCAGGTTAGGCTGGTGACCGTTGTGGGCTAGGTGCGCCGCCGCTTTTGAGTCCTAGAAGAATACTCTTCACATCCTAAGTTAGTCCTCTCTTCCTGCCAAACTGTTCTCCCACATATTCAAATCAAGGTTCGCTCTCTGTGGCACTCGAGATTTGCTCAAGCGCCGTGATTCCTCGCACATGAGAGAACGAGCTGCGTCGCGCCAAAAGGAACGGCATCTGTCTAAGCCAGTCATGGCCCGATACTTGGGCCAACAGTCAAGATCATCCCGCTAATTGGATTACAATCGCTTTCATCACACCAGCTTATGCTGGCTCTACTAGCCTCAGCTCGCACTTAATGTTCGTCCCTTCTATTGTCCATGGCTGGGCCTAGTTCACAACATAACGACTGAAATGAAAGCCAATCCGCCTGAAATTGTTCCAAAGGCAGACCTGGAGGTCTTGGACCAGGAAATTACCGATGAAAGGGGTTTATACCGTATACGAGCTGGCAACAGAGTCCACTACCTTACCATCCCAACGACTGTTTTTGATGATGACACGATGAGCAAGCCATTCCTTCTAATACCTCACCTTCCCGACTTCCCCAACACGAATTGGACCAGAATGACGATTCCCCGAGAAGAACACGGTGCATTGGCACATACTATCTCCCTTGACCCGCTTCCGGAGCTTCATTTCACCTTCCACGAAAATCTGGTCGATATCCTCTTGCTTGACAAGATAACGCAGCTCCATCCGGGCGTCCTCGAGGTTCTCTATAATGGTTGGCCCGCTATCGCGAAGTACTCCTGCTTTTGGGACTTTCACCGAATACAACGCGAGAACTGGGCTTACGATATTTTTCACAACGATCATGACAAGGGTCAAGCACTCATTGCTCCAAGAGTCTTGGGTCACTTGACAGAAAACGGGCGTCCGATCGGGCTGTTACTCGAAAAAATCGAAGGAGTCCTTGTGTCAATTAAGGACAGGGAAAAATGCGAGAAAGCTCTCCGCATTTTACACGCTGAGCCAATACGCTTGGTCCACGGTGATGTCAACAGATACAATATGATTGTGGACGCCAATGATAGCAATGTGCGACTTATCGACTTTGAGCACGCCGAGCAGTATGATGAAAGTAAGGCACGGAAGGAGATCGAATCATTAACTGCTGAATTGACAGAAGAGACCGGCAGAGGTGGCACTGTCTGGTTCTAGCTGAGTTTTTGATTGATGGAACCGGATAGGGCGTGGGAGTTGATATTGTGTTCCATCGTCTTTTGGGCATTTCAACGGCGGCTACAGTAGACCTTTCTGTAACACCACTGAATCCGATATTGCTGTTAGTGGTAGATGTGTAACAAGGTTGAGGATCTGCCTTATCATCGGTCCCGGGTGGTGGGCATTCCTTCGCATTCCCATCCTTCGCGCTGTCGCTGTGGAAAGGCGACCACTCCCTTGTTCATGGGTGGACGAGGTTTGCCCCCTTGATTGTGCAATTCTGCGGGCGAGGGAGATCGCGTCCCTGAGACCTGCAAGATTTGATAGAGGTGTAACTCCTGATGGCTAATGGTAAGCTACACTGTCGTCGTCCGTGGCAACCCCTGCAGGAGAAGCCGCGACAGATATTGGAGAGTCCATGAGAGTCTTAGGAAACACACAAGGCTGAGCGGCAAGGCTGAGCGGCAAGGCTGAGCGGCAAGGCTGAGTTTTGTGACACCCCACACAGAATCGGCGACAGCGAGGTCATGTTTATCCTCCACAGAGTAAGAGCAAGTTCAATAAAATAATGACTTAATTGCCATACAAACCATCTGTTGAGAAGCCCATGCCGGTCTGACAGTATGAGAACCTGGGACAATGAAGAAAAGGTTACAGTAACGTTCCTGGCTTCGATTATGTAAGCGACGGGCAATTGGGTGATCGAGATAAGATAAGATGTCCAGAAACTTTTCCTGCGGCAAACGCAGAAAATATTCAGACAACATCTTGCAATTCTAGGACGTAATCACGGACCAAATACAATGCCTCGGCAAGCGCATGGAAGACCGTTGCAGCCAGGCAAAATCATCAACTCTACAAAGAAAAAGCCAGCCAAGAATCGCAGACTCAATGCCCTCGAGATCGCCGAACGAGAGAACCCGGACGAGACCAAAATCCGACAACATCGACTTGGTATAGTCGATGATGACTCGGACGAACCACGCAATCGCGCAGATGTGGACGAGCGGTCGTCAAAGAGGAGGAAGATTGCCACGACAGAAGAGGATGAATCTGTAGATGAAGGCTCCGACCTCGAAGGAAACCGGTGGCACGTGGGTGTCGATGACGAGGACGAAGACAGTGATATTGACAGTGAGGATGCCTTTGGTGCAAGTGATGAAGAGCGCTTTGCAGATTTCACATTCCGTGGCAGCACTAGCACTCATGCAGAGGCTAAGAAGCGGACTCGTCCTTCAGCCCATGATCTCGACGAGACTGAACATGACGGCGAAGACGAAGAAGAAGATGATGATCTTGGAGATGAAGCAGTCGATCTGGCTACCGCTTGGGATATGGATGATGAGTCCGACGCCGAGGGAGGCAGGAAGAAAAGGCCAAAGGACAACCGCGGCTTAGAGAGCGATGCTGAGGAAGATGGAGACTCAGAGTCTATGTCTTCCGATGATGAAGCGTCGGAACCCGACAACGATCGAGTCTCGCTCTTCTCTGTGTCGGACGATGATGGCGACCATTCCCGTTTGCAAAACTTTGTCGAGGAACTCTCCAGTGGAAGACCGGATACTGCGTCGAAGAAAAAGCGGATGCAAAGCAATCTACCTGACAAGCCGTCGCAGTTTGGTCTAAGCACTTCGAAAATCACGGCAGCAGACCTCATGCCTTATATCAAAGATCCTCGCCAAAGACAATCATTAAAGATTTTGCAGAACAATGAGGAGACGGGCGATGGAGCTCATAAGGGTGGTATTCCAGGGAAGCTTGCACCGCCACTGGCCAAGCGGCAGCAAGACCGTCTTGACCGTTCCGCCGCATATGAAGAGACTAAAAAGGAACTCGGAAAATGGGTTGAGACTGTCAAACACAATCGACGAGCAGAGCATATTTCCTTTCCTCTGGTCGACCCTGCAGTAGCCGGTGCATTGACAAGCAAGCAACTTGGACCGATGTCTAAATCGCAACCCATGACCTCCCTGGAGGCAAAGATCCAAGACATCATGGTGGAAAGTGGCATGATGTCCAAAGAACAAGGCTCGCTCAATGAGCAGGAACGGGCTTACGAAGAGCTTCATGAAAAGAGGCTTCCCCTTGAAGAAGTACAGGCCCGTCAAATGGAGCTCAGGAAGGCAAGAGACCTAATGTTCCGTGAAGAGATCCGGGCGCGACGGATCAAGAAGATCAAGAGCAAGGCCTATCGTCGTGTACATCGGAAAGAACGAGAGAAAGCCAACCAGGAACATCAGTCTTTGCTGGCTGCACAGGGTTTGGTCGATTCTGAGGAAGATCGAGAGAAGAATGATCGTCGACGTGCCGAGGAACGTATGGGAGCGCGACATCGGGAAAGTAAGTGGGCAAAAAGTGTCAAGGCCATGGGTAGAGCAGCTTGGGATGAAGATGCGCGGCATGGCGTCACAGATCTTGCTCGAAGAGATGAAGAACTTCGGAGGCGCATTGAAGGCAAGACAGCCAGCGGTTCAGACGACGAGGGGCCCGGGTCATCAGATTCAGACGGATTGTCAGGTTCTGATGACGAGGAAGCAAGATTCCAAAGCAAGCTTGACAGCCTTGACCAGGATGGTCCTGGTGATGTCGAGACTCGTTTGGGCAATATGGCCTTCATGAAAAAGGCAGAAGCTGCCAGGAAAGCTGCCAACGATGCAGAGCTTCGAAGTCTAAGACGAGGCTTGCGTGAGGATGGGGAAGGTGATTCGGCGGAAGGATTGGACTCTGATGATGACGAGGCCATTGGGCGTCTCAAATTCGGGACTCGGAAACAAAAGGAGCTGCCCGAGCCCCCGGTGTCTATTCAGAAGAGCGAGTTCGAAGAGCGCGAGTCGGATGCCGAGTTCGACGAGGGCGAAGATGGCGAAGAAGAATCTGGACCAGGGGTCCGCAAGACATCGTCCAGCATTGTACCTGTGAAGAATGGCACGTCGAACCGTTCGCAAGCTTCAGCGCCTGTCAAGAGCGGCAAGGCAACTGCGAACGAAACGCTCAGGTCTAGGGGCATGAAAACAAGCGCCCCCCGGCCCGCCTCGAAAGGGACGGCAATATCCAAAAACCAGGCCAAAGTCCCGCAGACTAACCTTGACGACTACACTAGTCCCTCAGAATCCGAAGGGGAAGCCGAAGCCGAGCAAGACACCAAATCTGCTCTTGCGAATGCCATCTTTGCCGGTCTCGATGATGTTGAGCAAGACTTTGCCAAAGAGAAGAAGGAAGTGGAAGCAGAAGAAGGCGACCAGGTGGTCGATAACAGCTTACCTGGCTGGGGAAACTGGACTGGGGAGGGTATCAGCAAAAAAGCGCAAAAGCGCACCAAAGGACGGTTCCTCACCACCATCAAGGGTGTCGCCAAAGACAAGCGACAAGACGCCAAACTCGATCGAGTGATCATCAACGAGAAGAAACAGGTCAAGAAGCACGGCAAGTACCTGGCAACCGAACTGCCTCATCCATTCGAGTCGCGCCAGCAATACGAGCGGTCTCTTCGTCTACCTCTGGGTCCTGAGTGGACTACGAAGACTACCTTCCAGGACGCGACCAAACCCCGGGTTCTGATGAAGCAGGGTATCATTCGGCCAATGACGCGGCCTCTGGTGTAGTTTGACGTGAAATATATATGACTGAAGCCTACTATGCTGCGGTCTCGTTGCTGCTCTGAGTCTGTACGATTCTTCTGCTGTTGTTCCTTATCACTATCTTGTTTGTACTCAAGTCACTTGCGCCATCATCGCGCATCCCAGTTCTTCACGCCTGGTGTTCATCTGTGATTCAGAATAACCCAATGATTGGCTACTCCAAAAGGTCGAAAAGAGTCTAAGAAAAATCTCCGATCGTCGTGCTGATTGTGGCTTGCTGCCGAAATTGGCCTTCAACGCGGAAACGTCAAATTGTAAACAGCTAGGAAACAAACTTTTTGAGGCGACCCTTTCTCGCGTTGACCAGTTCGTTAGGTGTTCATCGTTGCAAAGATGGAGCCGCAATACGAGAGGAACCAACTTTCCGATGACTACTGGGCGCAGCGCAGTGACCTTATCCTGCCATGTCCTCAACATGTGGGCTCTAGAAGGCCGCCTTTTCATCATCAGCTGTGGGCATATTCATTCAGCTCTTCATTGGCAGCAGGGATGTCCGGCGACGAGGAAAGTGCAGAAATTCCTCTGCTCGAAGGAAGGGGCAGCAGCAATAATAATGAAAGGCAACAACGGCGTTGCAGCACCAACTCATCTGCGCTATCATCTTCTTTTCTCCCCTCTACCCTTCTACAACCAATCATTCTCCTTTTCAGGAGCCTCAACCCTCCTAGCAGTCAGGTAACGACATATCTTCTCCCTCTTGCTTCGTATTACTATCCCTAGTCTCCGTCCTCGGTTGCCACGCTACCTCTCGGTCACCATCTCAAGCTCGAGCCTCCCGTCGGACGGACACACGGATCACGGCCTTCGCCGTGCATATGTCCAGGCCAAAATCTACGAGTCTAGCTCTGGTACGCTTTGACTCCTCCTCGGACCCTGTCCTGGTCCTCTCATACCTCAATTTGGAAGTCTGTTGTCTCTGTCCGTCGTCATCGTCTATCAGGAACTTTTCTGAAGCATATGGGCAAATATACACTTCGGCTCCCGTTTTCTACTGCATCGACATCTTTTTGGACATTCGGATCTCTCGTGTCTTCTTCTGTCAATCGATTGGAAGATTGCAAATCCTCTAGGAGTGAATCTCGGAAGCAAAGAGCGCTCAATCCATACTCTCGAGCTCCTGCCACAGTTTCCTACCACATCTCTTCCTCCTGTTTCTGCGCATTGGATTTGCTGCATGTGCAGACAACCCAGACTCCAAGATTTCATACCCTCTCAGGATGTACAGATTATTTTGTCCGATTTTGCTAACAGTATCACAGGCATTTCTTGCTGGAGCCCTACCTGCTCCTCGTTTTATCAGTAAGTCCAACTATTTCTTGCCTCGAAAATCTGGGATGTCAAGCTCAGACCTATGGACTGATGTTTGCCTTTCATTGCTAGGTGCACATGGTCAACGTTTCGAAGTTGGACCTCCTCTCATCACCTCTTACCCTAACGGGAATCCCTTCGCAAACCCGTCGACCACTTACTTCTTCACACCCGCTGTAACAGCCACAGAACTAGAATCAACAATATCGACACCTCTCAGCAGTGGCGTGAACGCTGATCCAAATCCTGACAGCCATCCAGGCGGCGTAGCCCATGACGGCGAGTACTCGTCGACGATCACCTTTGTCGATCCACACCTAAGTATCCAAACCATCACTCTCACCAGCCTAAACTCCTCACAAACCGCCACGAGTACTCTTGAAAACCAATCGTCTTTGTCGCCTACGGGGGTAAGGCTAGTCCTCTCGATGCGTGTGAGCTTGCTGACAAAAGCAGAGCATTATTACCACGCTCGAGACAGGAGGAAATCCTCCAGTGCAGCCGTTTCCCACGAGTGTTCCGACACTCTCGTCCGCGACTATTCAGCCTCTTGACAGCACCGTCCCGTTTGGCAATCAGACCGCAACAGCTTCTGAAAGCACTCTGACAGAGACTTTCACAGTTCCTTGGACGACGTTCGAAACTGTGATAGTGACGCAGACGGTGACCACCATTCCAGTTGAGACAACTGCCGTAATTACTGCAGTGACCGTTCTCAACACCACCGTTACATCTGACGGAACAGTGATTGCAACCTCGGTCGCAGGAACAACAGTTGTAACGACGACGGGTACTGATTTGGTCGAAACCACCTTGTCTGCATCGTCGACTGTCACCGGCACTCTTTCCACCACGTTAACAACAGAAACGTCAGCCACAAATCTGCAAACGGCCACTCCTTCGTGCTTGCTGAGTATGGGTTGTAATGGTCAAGACATATTTCAGCCTATTGCAATTGGTCAGCCTCCGACAAGCATTGCCCAACAAGGCGGCCATCCGGTTCCACGACTGGGGATCGACAACACAACAGGGCCTATCGAGACCAACAAATTCTACCAAAACTTCGTCCTTGGTAGCCAGGGCTCTCCTGCTTTTGTGATGCCATATTCTTTGACGTGGAGCAAAGGCAGCGGCAATGCGCAAAGTTGGGGCATGGCCATTTCACACTTGGAACAGAGTCAGAAGGCTTTTGGGCCTGCTAACACGGCTATTCCGAATTCTCCAGTTTCCTACTATATCAACCCTCTCGGCATCCAGTCACTGATATTCTCGGCCGCCGAATTTGGCACGAACACGGTGCTCACGACCGATTCACTGCTGGCATTTTCTGCCCATGTCCATCTTCGACCAGGCACGGGTTCGTCTTCGGTGCTTAGCATGCCAGTTGTTCAGGGCATGGCGTTCGTCACTGGCCAGTACACCAACCTGCAGCCCAATATTCAAAGCAGTGTGTTCTTCCGCAGCGTTGCAGCTGATGGCCAGCCAAAAGCGGGTGTGTTCAAATACAGAATCACATTGGAAGATGGAAAAGTCTGGCTGTTGTACGCAATACCAAGCAGCGGCATTACTCCCAACTTTCAGCTCGTCTCAAGCACATTGCTTCAGGGTCCAGCCAATTGGTATGGCGACATCCAAGTGGCCAAACTGCCTGATGATGATCTCGACTACATCTATGACGATGCGGCAGGAACTTATCCTACCTCTGGGAATGTCGGAGGGTATGCTCACGACGCTAAAGCTCAGTACAGTCTGTCCTGGACCAAGGGCGGTGCTTATGCAAGCAACTCGACTCTTGTGATGTTCGCTCTACCTCATCATGTCCAGTCGTTCGCGGCCAACAGTCCAAGCACCATCACAAACTTGACCCTTGACACGACCGTGTCCGGAACTGCGACAGCAATAATTGCAGACTACTGGGTCTTGGAGGAGGACCAGCTTCCTACCTCCCTTGGTTTTGCACCCTGGAGACCCTCGGATTCGTCTCAATCCACCGTGAATCTGACATCAGCCGCAATTGCCGCCATCCAGAGTGTCGCAGCGATGGAAGCTTCCCAAAACATGTCTGCTCAGACAAATCTGAACAGCATGTATTACTCAGGGAAGGCGCTCAGCAAGTTTGCAGCCATTGTATATACGATGCACGACCTTGTCGGCCAGGAAGACCTGGCGAAGACTGCGCTGCTTGAATTGGAGAGTTGTTTCGAAGTTTTCTCGAACAATCAGCAAGAATTTCCATTAATCTACGATACGGACTGGAAAGGACTCGTGTCGTCAGCAAGTTATGTCACTGGAGACAGCGGTGTGGACTTTGGCAATTCCTACTACAACGACCACCACTTCCATTATGGCTACTTCCTCCACGCTGCAGCAGTCATCGGCTACCTCGATCCTACATGGCTTACCAAGAACAAAGACTATGTCAACGCCTTGGCTCGAGATGTGTCTAATCCCAGTTCGCTGGACCAGTACTTTCCGGTATTCCGATCATTTGATTGGTATCACGGCCACTCATGGGCCAAGGGACTCTTCGAGTCGGGTGATGGTAAAGATGAAGAGTCATCTTCCGAAGACGCCATGTTTGCCTACGGTCTCAAGATGTGGGGAAAGACCATTGGTGATGCATCGATGGAGGCTCGTGGTAACCTGATGCTATCTGTTATAGCACGCAGTCTGCAAAGTTACTTCCTCATGACTTCAGATAACGTCAACCAGCCAGCGTCCTTCATTGGCAACAAGGTGACGGGTATCCTGTTTGAGAACAAAGCGGATCACACTACCTACTTTGGTACCGACTTGAGTTACATCCAAGGGTGAGCTGTTCTGGTACTTAGTCCCCACGCTTCCAGCTAATGATCAACAGCATCCACATGATTCCGGTCATGCCTTTCTCGACTTTGACGCGAACACGTAAGATCTCTCTCCCACCTACGCGGAATGGCTTTGCTGACGGTCTACAGAACAATTTGTGGCGGAGGAATGGACGACGTATTTTGCCGACGGTGCTGTAAGAGACGCTTCGAACATTGAAGGAGGATGGAAAGGTGAGCGCGTGAACGAGGTGATTGATTTCGACGCTAATTGACGTCCCAGGTATTGTATATGCGAATTTTGCCAATATTAACCCAACAGCTGCATATGACTTCTTCACACAGGACAATTTCGACATGAGCTGGATCGATGGAGGAGCTTCTCTGACATGGTACATTGCACTGAGTGCTATGCTGGGAGGATCTCCTTGATCAACAGCCTAGGTGACGATTGACGACAGCGACTCTGATTACGGCAAAGCGACGGAAAGGGCTCAGGACGGATGGGACGGTCTCTGTGTGACATGAAAGGAGTCACGGTTTGGCGTTACCTCAGGGCAAAAGTGTGGCGTGCAATTGATTCGATAGACTTGGAATTACGGGCCTCTGGAAGGCGGTTTAATACGTGTAACAACAGGATTGAGCAAACAGGATGAGTAGGGAATCTATAAATAATATCGATCCCTAGCATCGAACTTAGTCTGGTGTCTCTGGGTATCCCTACCGCAGGCGCTTTTGTTTCGTGTTACATGACTGGGCCTCCACCGGCAGAAGCCTTTTCTTCGCGAATGGACAGCGCATCTCGGTCAGCCGAAGAGGAGGTCCAGCTGCTGTTTATTGACGGCTGCGTTCAGATTTCCAATATCTAGGCGATTGCTCGACTGAGCATCGTCCCAGCGGAAGGCCAGACTGGCCCTTGGCTTCTCGGCACCAGTCATCTTAACCAGCGGAGTCTGTTTCAGGACACTGCGCAACAGTACGTGTCGCAACAGCCGTGGCGTGATGTTGTGAGGCCGTCCGTACCTGTACTCCTTCATTCTGATTCCTGGCTTGGGACCTTCCAGGATCAGCGAGGATTGCTTGTCCGCTTCCTCTTGCTCTTGGTCTGCCTGGGAGCGACGGGCTCGAGGTCGACGCGAAGGTAGGCCTGGCATCTCCGTCTTCCCGGATACGAGGTCGTGTAGGTCGTTGTACTCGTTTTCGGCGAGCGGGGGAAGGGCGAGTTGAACGTTGTGTTTATACCACTCGTGCTTGAGGTTCTTGTAGCGACATCGTGGGAGGGGCTTGCCCCAGATGTTGGTCTCGGGAGGGTGGAAGCGCAGTCTTACATTGGGCTTGCGGCGGCCGATGCGGTCGAAGTGTGTTTGTTGGATGGTTTGGGACTTCAAGAGAGCTTCGAGGCGTGGGGGAATTGTCCACTTCTCGATCAACTGCTGCCAGTGGGCTTCGCGGCGGGCTGCTGCTGGTGTAGTGGTGGTGGTGATAGGTGGGGCGGTGGTCGCGGCGGTAGGTGAGTCCGGATTCGTGTTGGTAGCCGTGGTGGTAGGTGAGTCTGGAGGAGAGGCGAGCTCGTCAGAGGAAGTAGCAGGCTTGGTAAAAGTGTCGAGCAGCGTGTATCTTCGAGGTCCGATGCGACCGTATGTCATGCGGAAGATCTTCTCGAGGTGGATGATGTAGCCTTCGTTTGCGCGCTTCAGACCGGTGAGGAATTTGCGGCCGCGGTGGAGAAGTTCTATTTGCCGGGAGAAGGAGATAGGGTTACCGGTCCGAGTGGTGGGTTTGTGGTATTTGGGAATGTATCGTCGGAAGGAGGTGGTGATGTAGGATTTTATGAAGGTGCGGCATTGTGGGAGGGGGAGGTAGGAGGCTTCCCGGAGGAGAGAGCGGTAGAGGTGAGTTGGGTTCGTTGTCATAACATTACATTGAATGCAGTGTTAGGGTAGTCAATGAACTGACGACTACTCTACTCCGTACACTGCGAGGCGGGCGTGGTCTGTATGAGGATTGAGCGCAGTTTGGACAATGACAGGCTCTCGCATGTTACAGGAATAAGGCACTGGGTGGCAGGTGGTGAATTGTTGTCGGTAAACCTGCCACGGATCGAAGGGAAAAACACGCTAGTGGGTTAAGGCGAAAGTCAAGCGGGGTCGAATGGTTAATTGCTAATTGCCTGGGCTCCGTGGTTCACACTACGCGTTGAGCCACGAAGCGACGTGATCAATTTCAATTTCGTCCTCGTCAAGTCCAGCCCAACGAGCCCGGACCAGGTTTGTTGCGCCGACATATTCACATCCCAGTCTGTTGGATACTCATTGCCTATCAAATATTGAGCGTACTGTTTATCATCGCCTATTCACCATACCGACAAGGGGCCAAACTGCTAGCTGAGCAAATCCCCAACCCGAACGACCTTCATCCCCCCAGCAGCCATAGCGGCGCACCCTCCAGCCTTGTACGGGCATGCAATCTCACCTGTCGCATACACTCACAGTTGTCATCGCAGCTTGACTGTTAGCTGGGACAAAAGTTTTCGTCGCGATATCGCAGCGCTGAATGTGCAGCCTCCCCTTAATCGAGCCCACCGCATCCCGATAGCGCATCAGCGCCCGATATGTCCTGACAAACGCACCGCAAAACATCTCAACCGCCACGATAAACGGGCAACAAACAATGATGGCATCAGGAGGCTTACAACCAGGAGTTTATGCGCAACCACCCCCCTCATTTCCTCAACACGGTCATTCCAGCTCTATGAACGCTTCTTATCCTCATCCTCCCCTAGGCTATGCCGAGGCTCACTCTGTGAACAACACACCTGCGCCGACTCCTCCACCTCCCAGACCTGCGTCTCAACACCAGCAACAGCAGCAGATGGTGTATAATATGAATGGTGGTAATCCCATGGCAAATGGAGGTATGATGGCCGCGCCGAATAGCTATGGCGGATATGCCGAGCAGAATGTGTTTCCACAACCGAACTACTATGTGAATGGTAACAAGCCACAGATTTATACTGTGAGTGCGCCGAGAGTGGGCAAGCGGAGATAGTTGTGCTGACCGGGTTTCAGGCTGTATATTCGAATGTCTCTGTGTTTGAGATGGAAGTGAACGGGATCGCTGTCATGCGCCGTAGAGCAGATTCATGGCTCAATGCGACGCAAATCCTGAAAGTTGCTGGAGTCGACAAGGGGAAGAGAACGAAAGTGCTGGAAAAGGAAATCACCGGCGAGCATGAAAAAGTTCAAGGCGGTTACGGCAAATATCAAGGCACCTGGGTCAACTACCAACGAGGACGAGAGTTTACGAGACAATATGGTGTTGAGCAACTGCTCCTGCCGTTACTTGAGTACGACATTACCTCTGATGGTATGCCTGGTATGGGTCAAGGCATGGAAACACCCACGAAAGAACAAGCAATGGCCGCGCAACGCAAACGACTGTATGGCGGTGATGGACGACCGCTTTCACAGACATCGGGAGGCACTTTCTTCAAGAACATGTCCAGCACGGCTGCCAATGCGATCCACGCTCTGAACAGAACACGTCTCGATTCGCCGAGCCATGCGGATGGTCGTCGCTCGATCGGACCACGAAGACAGTCCCAATCTCAATCATTCACATACGGCACGGATGGCTTATATGGTCAAGCAGGGAGTCAACAGAGTATGCCAAGCATGACTTCTCAGGACAGCTTTGGCACGAATGGAGGCATCATGAGTCAAGGTGCGAGCTTTGCCGACTTCCCAAGTGTGGACGCACAAGAGCCACCGAGAAAGCGTATCCGACCGTCTCCTCAGACCTCGTTCCTTGCTGGCCCATATGATGCATCCCTGGAGATGGCACTGGCGGATGGCACACCGACCGAACCGAATGCTTCGTTCTTCTCTCAACCAAGCCAGTCGTTCATGGCACTCGACCCGCTCTCTTACGGCCTGGAACCTTTACCTCACCCTTCCGGTGCAATTGACGAACAGAAGAGAGACCTTCTTCTCGACCTCTTTATTGACCCGCACCGAACGGATTTCGAGGACCATCCAGCATTCTTGAGACTCAGTGGCGAAGAATTTGAGTTTCCCATCGACGGCTCATGTAATACTGTATTGCATTGGGCGGCGACGTTGGCCAGAATACCCCTGGTACAAAAACTGCTGCAGAAAGGCTTCAACATGAGGCGAGCAAATAGTGGAGGCGAAACTGCCTTGATTGCAGCGTGTCAAGCACGAAACAATTTGGACCAAAGCAGCTTTCCGGCACTCCTTGACCTTCTTGGACCTAGTATTGAGGTCAGAGACGGACGTGGTCGGACGATACTTCACCATATTGCAGTGTCTTCGGCCATGAAAGGGCGAGGTGCTGTGGGCAAATACTATCTTGAGTCGTTGCTCGAGTATGTCGTCAAACAAGGCGCAACGCAGTCTATGTCATTTGATGGCCTGAATATGTCGAACCAGGGGAACAAGATGACGTTAAACCGATTCATGTCGGAGATTGTGAATGCACAGGACAAGGCGGGCGATACGGCGCTGAATTTGGCGGCGCGGACAAATACAACCACGATCATTGAGCAACTGATTGAAGTGGGCGCAGATCCTCACATTCAAAATCGTGGTGGCCTGTGTCCGGTGGATTTTGGGGTTGGAGGTGGTCAAGTCAAGAGTCAAATGCTAGATCAAAGCATGACCATGTTTGAGCAGCCTTCGGCGGCGAATGGCTTGCCACAAAAGTCCTTCGAGGAGGCTCAAGAAGGACTCATGACTTGTAAGTTGACATGTTGCGAAACCCGAAGGCAAAAATGCTAACCATGTACAGCCATCCGAGAAATCCTGTCCCAATCAGAAGCGGACTTTACAGCCGAGATGAAAGAAAAGAAGGAAATCCTCGACAAGACAAACGCGGCACTGAAGGAGTCGGGTACGTCATTAGCAGAAGAGCGACGACGACTCGAAGATGCTCGAGCGAAGGTGCGCGAGAAGGAAGATCTGGAGCAGAAAATCCAGAATCTGCGTCAAGCGGCAGCGAAATTGCGAGCCGAATTGCATCAGTCCAACCCACCAACGACGATCCAAGAGAATGTTGGAGTCGGCGAAGCAGATAAAGGTCTGGACCTCGATGGACAACTTCCAATGGTTGCACAATTGTTTGCAGATGGCGAAACAGACCCTAGCAACATGGCGCTGACCCAGGAGCAAGCCAATTTCCTGGGGTGTCTGGAACGTGTGGAGGTGCTGTCTGGTCGGGCCAGCGTGTATCAACGACATAACCAGCAACTTGAACAGATCGCAAAGACTCTCAAGGCTCGCAGTGCAGAACTGGAAGAACGGTACAAGAAGATTGTGAGTCTGTGCACGGGAGCTGATGAGGATAAGGTGGATGGCTTGCTGGATAATCTGGTTCAGGCGGTCATCAGCGAGCAGAAGGAGATGAACAACAATTCCCAATTAGGACGAGTCAGAGACTTTCTGAGGTTGGTGAAAGGGTCAGGCAATTGATGATGGGCACTGTGCTGGTGCATGAATTGGCTACACATGTGGGAGGTACGCCAATGTACTATGGTATCCCAAAGATGTGGTCTTGTCCATTAGTGACAATGTCTCTGTGTAGCTATTATTGTAATGTGAATGATCCACGTGGCGGCCTCCCGCTATGGTCACGCAATTGAAACAAGACGGAGTACTACGTAGTACGTAGTCCTGAGGCATGCGATGAATGGGTGGTCCTGGGTGGTCAATGTTTGCTTACCAGTACGAGTACTCCGTAGAGTTGTGGAATGTATCCAAGCGCGCGCATGGACGCGGCCACCACCCCAGCCTCGTTGTAAATTGGGATGGAGCCTCGTCGACCTGGCCAAGGACAAAGAGTGCCATCAGTGCCCAACAAGAAGAAGATGACCTACGTGCCTAAACAGCACAGGTCTATCGCCATGTTCGATTGGACGAGAAAACAATGTGGTTTGTTTCATTGAAGGAGGTCGAATTTGGGGGGGGACGATGGGGGGAGTTGTAGGCGAGCAATTCATGGCCAATAGATAAACTGCGGGCGGTTTCAAGCGTGTCGCGGAATGGAGCGATAGGCGGAGACGCGCCTTTCTATAACTAGTAACGCCTACGATGCGCCCTCCTTTTTCCGCCATCCACGCCTATCCACTGGCCATCCGTTGTCCATCCTCCTCGACCAAACAGGAAGCTCAATGGCTTTCTGGAGGCTCGTCTCCCTTAACCCCTGCTTCCTTTCTCATGCACGCCATTGTAGGAAAAAGAAGTTTGTTTCTACGCCCCTTCTCCTGTCCACCCACTCACTCACCGACACCTCACGCGACCTTTCGCCCTCAACAGTCAAAGGCCACCGTTCCTTCGCAAGTTCGCCCTCCTTGAGTCGAATGGGAGGTCTACTCTTGAGGGTGCTCGACCCTGTCTTATGTCAATGCCTTTGGTGGTTAAGAGGCCAATGGGAAGTATCAAGCGCGACACAACACAGCTACCCCTGTCTCTGGCCCTGACCCACTGCTTGACCATGGCCAGCGATTCGCTCCCTTTCTACGGTTACGGAGTTGCCAGTATCTCGCTCTATTCCATGCGAGCTCTTCTGCGACACTTCCAAGACTACTCTGGCACGCCAAAGCCTTGCGAGACTGCAACGCTGATCGTGCTCTGGAGCATGTTTCATGGAAAACCCACTGTCACCATACCACTTATGGTGGAATCCCAGATCGAGCACCGATGATACCCTCCTCCCGAGGCCTCGGTTGGCCGACAGACTCGACACAGACCCCGTCTATCCGACAGACGTCCCTGACGATGGATCGCTTTCTTGACAGTAGGTGTTTTATACTGGTCCAGCCCCTCCCCTTCGACCACGAGTTTCGCAGCACTCAGACCACCTTCTCTTTCGCACAGGCCATTTTCTCTCTTTCATCCCCTCTCAACTACACGCTCCCTCTCTCTTGTGAGCTCATTACATTCATTCGGGGCAGTCGCTGGCCGTGCCTACATTCATTTCTTCGATCAAGCCGTGCTTGGTCTGTTCACCGGTCTCGACGACCATTGTAGCAATCTCGAACCTTCCGTCTCCCAACCTCGTCCCTTATTCACCATGCACTTCGCCAACGTCATTATTTCCACCTTGATGGTGATGGCCCAGGCCGATCTCATCTCGGCCAAGGCAGTCGTGCATCTTCCGAATGCACTTCGACGGAGGCACCTCCTCAACCAGATCGAAAGAGATGTGAGCAGAATTCTGCGGCGAGCACCAGAACCACAGTCCTCCGGCCCTGTTCTTAACGTAGCGACGCCGAACAACATGACCAACGCAACGATCGCGACGGCCTGCTCCGATGCGCTGAGCAAACTCACCAAAGTGAACAACCCTGCCGGGTTCGCGGCTTGTTACAACATCCTATCCTACGATGCCACCAACAAAAACTTTGAAGCCGATCTTCGACTATACCAGATGTTTGCGCCCTCGGGAGCATTCTCCGGCCTAGCAGCCAACGATATCCAGATCGGCCTCATTTATCCTACGAGTACTACCTTCCAACCAGTCACCAACCTGAGGAGGACGAGAAGATCGCTGGAGGGAAGACAAGGCAACATGGCTGAGATCCAGCAATATTCCCTCGTCGGCAACTTCGAGTCCAACTTGGACCTGACCAAACTCAACGACACGCAAGTCATGTCTTTGATGTGGCCGGACGTCAAGCTCAACGCCGTGGATTCGTCGCAGAGCATCATTAGCGGGAACATCACCGCTGATGACGGCGCATGGTTCGTGGTGGGCAAGTTCAGCGGCGAATTCAAGACAAGCCTCGTCACACCGACCGTGGCGACTGCTGCCATCGCCGCCGCGGCACCTTTTGTCCTGCCAGGCACGACTTTTGGAATCTTCCCCGTCGGGTTTATCGTCACGATGGCTTGGACGGTCTTGTTTTTCCTGGCGTTTGGTCTCGGCACCATCGGCCGCATGAAGTATAGAGAAGTGTACAGGAAAAGAAAGGCAGCCCAGGCTGGCAGGACGGGGAAGAGAATATAAAGAGAAACCGGGCAGGAAACTGCAAATGCGAATATCTTTTATGGTGGACTTTGATTTGGAAATTCGGACGCCTTTGAGCAACTTCTGTCAGATACCCTCATTTACAATACGGACGAATTGAGAATTGGATTGATTTGGCTTGGATTTGGCTTGGCTTGAACTGAGCTCTTGTACCAATAGCGGCATTGCAATGGTGTTCTGGTCCTGGCCTGGTCTAGTCCGAAGGACTCGCAAGATGGCGATGGAAGAGGATGCGATGAGAGAAGAGAAAGAACAAAAACGTCGAGAAATAGAATCAAGAATCAAGAATCAAGAATCAAGACACGTGATTGAAATTTTCTCTTTTTCCCCGCCAAACCAAAACCCGAAAACCAAGAAAAGCCACCAAGTTACAGTATCAACCAGCATCAGCCAGTATCAACCACCACGATTTACTGGACGAGTGACTGGACGACCACAGGCTTATGGATCTTTCGTTCGTTTCGGCTGATTCTTTACGCAATTGATACCCATTTCATTGACTTTTCACTTTACAACAGTTCGCTCACATACTGTACTTCCAGCTTGGGACTATCCTGCATTTTACTTGACAACCGCGGATCAGACTTTGAATTCGACCTTATGAAACCAGATACCATTGACAGAGAGAGAATCTTTGGAGAGCTTACTACGACTACGCTTTTTATCGAGTCCTAGACTTTTGCGCTCGATCAAGAAATAGGGTTCAGAGCCCAGTCGAAGCATTCAACCACGCTGCAAATGTCTCCCCAAGGACAGGGATCTTCAGCTTAACATTCATTGACTATTCTCTTCGCCCGAGTGGACCGATCCTGACCACAGTACTATTCCTCGAATATTCTTAGCTAGAGGCCGCCGGGACGAAATCTCCTCCCCAGTGACAGTCAAAGTACAACAATGGACCACCTATTCCCTTATCCCAAAAATGGCACATCCTTCCTTGAGGTCTTGCACCATTCACTTACACGAAAGCTTCTGGGTTTCGACGCCGTACACGCGGAGAAGACGCCATTCATAAGCGGTGTCACTTCTCGGCTGAAGTTCCTCCTCAACGATGCCATGAATCACCTCTCGTTCATGAAGATTGGATATACCGCGCTCGAAGCATTTCTCCAAGCAAACGTTACAGGTCCACCGTTAAACTTTGACCCGGAAGGAGTCGTGTTCCCCGAGTCGTATCGCGATGACAATCTGAAAAGTCTGAAAGAAGAGCTTTTCCAGTATCTCGCCGTCGACGGTAGCCGGCCGTACCCGTTGACGCCATGCATCGAACTCTTCTGGCTTGCGAAAGTGATCTTGTCAGATCCCACGCTTGCGGATGCAGGTTTCAACGGCCGAAGAGCCCGGTTCAGGCTGGCTTTCTGGCATCAGAAACTCCTTTCTGAAGAGTCGCCGACTCTGCGCGACGAGATGTACGCCGATGCCGAAATCCTAGAACATCAACTCGCTTCCCGCCTTGCTTCTCACGCCGCGGCCGCGCAGGAGCATTTCGTCGAGTTCCTGATCGAACGGGCTGTCGTGAGGATGTACTATGGAGACGACGCCCTTGCGCGGGCGGATCTTGCCAGAGCCGCGACGATACGAAACTTCCAGTTCGCATTGACCGGCGCATTGGGGAAGAGGACGAAATTCCAAGATAAAGAGACGAGCCAGCTTGTCGTACTGGCTAAGAGTAGCGACAGTGAGCACGCAGAGCACAGCAATGCGAAGAACACCCACAATGCTGAGGAGCAGAAATCGCCTCGACCAGACGATCCCCAGTACGATAGTGCTTCAACACACGCCACTACTACCTCTCCACCGCCGTCAACGACGGTATCTCATCGACCAGCGGATACGGAGTCAGACAACCGTGCACCAGGTCCAGCTTCCACCGACGAATCCACAAAACCCGCAAACGTCCCCCTCAACGACGACACTCTCCTCGAAGAGATCTCTTTCCACCCGACCTCAAACACAATGACCCACACCGTTCCCGACACCTCGCTCCCATCCTCCATCTCGTCCCTCGACCCGTCCAATCAACCCCTCCTATCCCCCATCGACAGCATCATCCTCCTGGCCATCGCAAGTTCCATCTCCAACACGTCACCCTCCGACGGCCTTGTCCGCGAAGAAACCCTGCCCTACGCGATGCGCGTCCTCGACGGCGGCTCCTCGAACTGGCAGGTCTACACGCAGGCCCTACTCGTCCGAAGTCGCATCGAAGGATACCGCGCTCGTACCGCCGAACGCGGCCTCCTCCAACTGCAAGCACTAGTGGACCAGGTCATTGCCGAAACATCTGCATCTGCATCTTCCTCTGCCTCTCAGCACGCCAACGGCGAAAGTGTCGAGTCTGAGCAACCAGCAAAGAAGACAATCACGACATTCCTGCCCAAATCTCAACCCTCGACCACCCAGTCCGAGTCCGAGGCAGACTCCGAATCCGCCAGCGTAGCGGAACGATTGAGATACATCTATCAACTCTCCCCACCCTTGCGCTGGGAACTCGAAGCCGAACTCGCCGCGCGGTGGACGCACATGGGCGGCTTGAAAACCGCGCTGGAGATTTATGAGAGACTGCAAATGCACGCCGAAGTTGCCCTGTGTCTGGCCGCGACGGACCGCGAATCTGAAGCCGTCCGCCTCCTCAAGGATCTACTCTTCAAAGACCAAGACACGGTGGCGACGACGACGCCTGACGAGTCTGAGTCTGCTGCGGCCGTGAAAATCGAATTTATACTGCGCTCGCCGGCGCCCGCTGACGCTCCGAGACTGCTGTGTATCCTTGGCGACATCACGGCGCATCCAGAGTATTATAGTCTGGCGTGGACGGTGTCGGGTAACAGATATGTCCGGGCGCAGCGGTCGCTGGCGCGATATCATGCTAAACGGCGCGAATTCGAGAAGGCCAGGGAGGCATACGCTCTGGCGCTGAATATTTCCCGAATCGATCGGACGAGTTGGTTCAGCATGGGGTGCGTGCAGCTCGAGTTGGAAGACTGGATGGGTGCGGTGGAGAGCTTTACGCGCTGTGTCCAGCTTGACGATGGCGATGCGGAGAGCTGGTCCAATTTGGCGGTTGCGTTGCTGAGATTGCCTAAGCCTGTCCATGTCCAGCAGGAGAAGGAGGAGGATGATGTTAGTGCTGCGCGAATATCGACGACTGGCAACGGCGGAGAGGGTGCGGTGACGGATGATCCGCCAGATCGTGATGCAGATGCAGATGCAGGTGAGAACGAGCATGCGAGTAGTATCAAGAAACAGATCGATCCGTACCGACATGTCCGCGAAGCACTGCGGGCCTTGCGCCGTGCGGCGACGCTCAAGAGGGACGACGCGCGAATCTGGGATAACTATCTGACAGTCGCGGCGAGTATACCGCCTAGCGCGGGCACGCCGTGGGGGGAAGTCATCCAGGCGATGGGGCGTGTGGTTGAATTGAGAGGGAAGAAAGAAGGTGAACGCGCCGTGGATACGGCGATACTTAGGGTTTTGACCGAGTACATCACTCAGACTTTCACGTATCCCGCGTCCGGGTCAGATGTGGATGATGTTGAAGGTGGTGATGCTGAGGAGGAAGATCAGAGGACGCGAGCAGGAGAAGATGCCGGCAGGGAAGACTCGACGACAACAAATTCGAGTGGGAAACAATTGCCCCATCTACCACGCTCGTTCCTCACGCTGGTCGACAACTCGATCGCGCCACTGGCCACGGCCAGTCCGACACTTTACGGTTCGTTATCCGACATTTCGCTCTGGCGCGCTCGGCCCGCGCAAGCCCTGTTGTATGCGGAGAAGAGTTGGCGGTCGTTCTTGACGTCGGTCTCGATGGCGGAGGAATTCGACCATGTCTCTGAAACGCAGTGGGCTGGCGTGGTCGATAAGACGGTCTGGTTGATGCGGAAGTACAGAGACTTGGGACCCATGGAGCGCGAGAGGACCGGCGGTCAAGTCGAAGCCAAGTGGAGGTTCAAGGCGAGGAGCGCGGGGAGGAGGGTGGCTGGACGAGGGAAGCGATGGGAAGGGGAAGGGGAGGGCAATGAGGCGTGGGAGAGGTTGAAGGGCGAGATTGACGCTGTTAGGGAGTAGAGAGCAGAGCAGGAGAAAACGACAGAACATCGACCATGTAAGAAGGTTGGACGCCGCGAGTAACGTTGGTTGCCAGTCTACGGCAGTACTGGGGAGTCAGCTATCCGCCATCATCTGCCTTTTCGCAACGGCTACTTTGCGGATTCTTGAACAATAACACCCAGGGTCTTTTCAAAGCATCTCCGCCCCAATATCTCGAATTATCCTAAAGTACGTTACACAAAGCGCACGCACAGCTTGGCTCCAACCCTCCCTTTTGGGGTCTATCTGATATCGAGACACAGAGACAGCCTGCGGTCGTATCAGACCTCTGGACAGGCCATCAGACCCCAGCTCTTTTCTGGCACTCCAAGCAGTTCTTTGACGCCTGTCTTGCATGTGGGGCCAAAGAAAAGGCCTCGACGTCGTTCGACCTGCTCGCCCCAGAGCAGTTTGAGACCTCTCGCACCCTCGAACCGTCGAACCCAAGCGACACACGCTGTTGAATCGATCAACGCAACGCGACGCCACGAGTCAAGTTCTGCTTCTCGATATGCGGAGCGCGTCATTCAGACGTACAGTATAGCTGAATTCGTTTCTGAATGGAAATATGAGACTCCCGCATGGCCCAGGCCAGGCCAGACGCGGTTTGTGTAGAGAGAGCCACTGTTGCTGTTGGGCGCATGCCCCGGTGCCGTTTGCCGTTTGCTGTTTACGACACCTTCCTTTTCAACCAGCCGCAGAAACTCTCAAACAGGACCCGATCGTGGCCCTGGAGATGTCGGATACGGATTCTGGTCTTTGCCTGATTGCTTGAAGAACCATACTCGGAAGAAGGCGTGGAGAGTTCGATGCGTACCACGAGCGCGGGCTCTTTGTCTAGTTCGTCTTCGTCATTGGAACCCTCGCCTTCAGCGTCTTCAGCGTCTTCCTGCTCCACGGAATGATCCTTCATCTCCTGGTCCACGTCTTCCGCCTGGTGATGTTGGTGGTCGTGATGGTGCAGCTTTTTCCGTCTGGCCTTCCTGCTCCAAACATCACCTTCTTTGCTCATCAGCATCCCAGCCCGTCTGGCGTGTACGTACTTCCACAAGACTCCGGCCCCGGCTCCCAGCAACTTGCCGATCTCCTCGTTCACACGCTTCTCGGCCACAGACAACCCGTCCATGGAGGTCATCGGCATGTCGTACTCCATCTCTGTCGGAGCAGGAAGATATTTCTTCTCAACACCAGAACTGCCAACGACGCCCCGGCTTACAGCCATGCTGGGCCGCAAGCCGAGCCAGCTCCATGCCACGCACCAGCGTCTCGTCTTCTGGCCTTGGATGAACTCGGTCACGGCAAAATTCGTGCATCCTTTTTCCCGCAATTTGTCCACTATGCTGCCGACGCTGGAGAGTTTACCGAGCATGGCGCTGAACCATTGGATGCGAGATCGATTCTTGGGAAGGGCGGATTCGAGAATCAACCGACTGACGAACGACACCTCGCCGCCAGGGACTATCATCTCGATGGGTGCGCCTGTGCAACTGGAGTTTGCAGGACGGGATTTCGACCGTGCCGAGGCTAGCATGGACGCTTCGGACTCGTAGAATGGCGGATTCGTCATCAGAATGTCGAGCCTAGATTAATACGTGAAGTGTCAGCCACTTATGTACCTTTAAGTGTATCAATCCAAGGATCGGCCAATTTTGCCGGACGTGTGTTGGGAGAGTCGCACATTAGGGACGACGTACCGGTCAAATCGTTCCAGTTCTGTGCTCGGGATCAATTGCTGGCCACTCATGTCGGTATCGATCAATTTGATACGTGACTGTAAGTGGTTCGCCGCGATGTTCTTCGACGCATAATTCCGATTCGTGTCGTCGATCTCGGTGGCGAGGAATAGCCATTTCGGCCGCTGACGACAGGATAGAAGCGGGTAGATGGCGGAAGAGCCTGTTCCACTGTATGTAGTGCAGAATGTGTCAGTTTCAGTCTTGGAAGCGTATTACAGACGTCCACACGCTGTCTTGTCTCGTCTCGTCCTGGAGAGGGGGGCTGGTGACGGGGCGAGTCTCCCCAACAACGTACATATCAAGCCCGATCACCTGTCTGTCGGGGTCGTAGCCGTCGTGGAAATCAGGCGCCGTGGTATCGAGGAGACGCTGGATGAACAGGATGTAGTTGAAGCTGCAGTGGAAACACAATATGCAATTAGTTATCTGGGTTGTTTATCTGATTTTTCCCTTTTCTTCCATTGACAAGAGGCATGGATTGTATGCATACCGGTTGGGGACCTATTATTTCCGACCGGTTAGTAGGGTACCTAAATTCAAGCAGGCGGTTATTGAAAGTTGGGAAGGAATTCGAATAACATACGGGCGGACACAGCCTGTCATCAGGCAAGTCAATGGAGAGGTCGAAGTCTCGGTGTAGAAGAGCTTTTGTGAGCTGTCTGGATAATCATTGAGAAAGCGTCAGCACAGTACAGCACAGCACCGGCACGGTATTGGAAGGATGGTATGCCCCTGTGGGTATGGTAGTAGCTCTCTGCTCTTCGATTTTCCTGCATGTACAACAATAGCATAGCATAGCATAGCTTACCTCACGCTCTCCGGGTCCGAGAAGTCAAGTTGGCGGTTTGATTTCAGCCTGTATATAGCCCCGGATTTTTTTGTCAGCGAAAACCTGTATGACAATACTATTCGAGCCGGGGTCCTGTCTCTGTAATTCTTGGGATGGATCTCCAGCTACACAATTTTCTAGGTGTCGCTGTCCCTTTCCCAGGCACATCTTGCGGGCACACTTGCTTGTACGGCAAGTTCCTGTTAAGAAATTCTTTCTCACCTCTTTGCAAAGTCAGGGTACTGCAGCGCCAGCGTGGTAAAGTCGACGTCATTCTTGTAGATATCTTCCGGTGCTGGCATCATAGCTTGCTGGGCCGTAGTGGTGGACTGAATTGAATGTCCCGGTGGGTTGTTACGGTGTGGAAGAGAAGAGCCCTATCACGGACGAAGCTGCGTGGACCTCCGTTGCCGTGAGACCCTTGGTAATTCGTATATTGTGGTAGCCCCCAACAGGAGTGACAGGTTATCTCAATGATTCCACAGTTTCAGGTGACGACGAACAGTGCCTTTTGAGACAGCTCAGAGAGTCAATACTGCACTCTGAAGGGTGAATACTGTGTAGTAGTGTCTGTTAACACCATCCTCGAACCGGATGGCTTGCTGCCGTTTTGTCTTCCTCTGAAGCCAATATTAGACGAACGGTCCGAGTCGTCAAAGCGAAAGAGACTCAAGAGCATCAACATGATTGTACTTGTATCTAAACGAAGGCGTGTTCCATCCAACGCTGCGTATGCACCAGACATACGCCTCGCCAAACCAGCGCCAGGGGGTATAGGCCATCCCAACTAACCTATGAAGCTGAACGAACAGGACCACTCAAACGCCATTGATGTCCACCAAGAGCCTCATAATTCATCAATGACGTATTCCAACATTCCCTCCTATCTGAGCACTGTATAGTTGCACCGCAAAAACCAACACGCGCAAGTGATTTGGCCATTCCTTGTCTTTCATCTTCTCCAACCTGTGCAGTCTTCAAGCTTTATTTCCTCAACACAGCATCGTACAAGCTGACTGCTGCACCGAGGCCTGAGCTGATAAGGATGGCAAAGTATCCGCCCAGTATGCTCTCATTGACCGTAGCAATGGTGAAGTGTTGGTAAAGGCCAGCAATGTTGAAGTGCTGGGCGTAGACCAAGTAGGCGATCAAACCCTTGGCGAGGTTGAAAATAAAGGGATCAAATTGCATTTGCGTGTTATGTTGGAGAGCTGCTCGGCGCGTCGAGTATGTATGACTCGGGTGAGCTTTGAGTGGCAGATTGATGAAGTACGAAATCAATCCCGGAAGAATGAATGATGTCAATGTCCACAGAGAGAACGGTGACCAGAACTTGGAGTCTAGCAGCAGGAAGAGATCCGGCACATTGATTGGTGTCTTAGTCGACTTGATGTAGGGAATGGCTGGTACTTCAGTCAACAACTTGTTGGGTAGAACTTGGGCGCGAAGGCCGTATGCTTCAAGCAGGATGGCTAGGACGGTGACGGTCAATGGTGATGAAAGGTAGTCACGGGCCTGATCAGCGACTTCGTGGATTTGCGTCCTGTCATAAGCTTGGGAGATGGAAGCGCGCATGCGACGCGTCTGTTGATCGATGGCATCTGTAACCACCGCCGGCGATGGTGGGATGGGGATTTGCGAGGTCAAGATGGAAGTACGACGCGCGATCTCTTTGGCTGGCTGCCTAATGAGAGCATTGGCCGGCGAATCCGTGTCGGTTCTGAGCGAGGGTTAGCTTGGTCGCGCGTTCGACATGTTGTTTCCTTACGTCTCTTCTGTGGGAGAAGTGGTCTTGCGCCGCGACTTTTTGGGAGGCGCCATTGTCTCTTCATCAGATTTGACCGTGTCGGAAACCTTCTCGGCAATTCTCTTGACAGGGGATCTCGAGGTACTGCCCAGACGTTTGTAGTACTCGTTCAGTGAAGGTTCTTTGCTATAGGTGGTCGAGTTGCTGCGCAAATGCTCGTCGAGCGCGACTTCGAGTTCGGCTTTCTTCAGACTGGCATAGCTGCGGTCGCGTACATGTCAGCAATCATGCGCAACGAGTAGCGACTGGAAACGACGCGTTTGAAGGAAGGGCGGGTTCGCTGGACTTACTCTCGCAGCTTGGTCGTCTCGGCGAACTCGGTCAGATCGCTCTTGCGCAATTTCTGGAGGTAAGGCAGCGCCGACATGATGAGATATCTGAATGTACAGATGCGAGGGATGGATGTCGCGACAACGTTGATGTTGTTGTTGATGCCAATGATGATGGATGGAGAACTACTACGTAGTGATTGCGACCGCGGCGGGTGTGCGGAGAGGGAACAACAACAAGAGTGACGGAGGGGGAGGCTGGGATGTTGATGTTGCAGGGAAATACGAAATACAAGTGGCTGGGATGATTTGCTGGTGATTTGGTGGGAGCGTGTAGGAGCTTGATTTCTCTGGGCCCGAGCTGGAGAAAAAGGTAAACAACTCGTGACAACTCGAGGGCCAGCGAGGGCTAGAGACGCCTAGTGAGTGCCTAGTGGCTAGTGAGTGGCCTTAGCTCATCACCGGGGCTACTTCAGGCATCACCACCCATTCTAGTGACCTAAGCGTGCCTACTTAACCGCCTAACTTAACTGCCGTGCAAGTAGCGAGGCACTCGAGGTAACTGGATCAACGCTGGGAGTGAGTGTGAGAGATTCTCGCATGACGTACTCCTCAGTACCAGTCTGTTGTCGACAATCACAGGACTCGTATGAGCCCATTGTCAGAGCGACGCCCGACCTTATGTACCTTATCCTTATGCCTCTGTACTGTGGTAAAGTGCACAAGATTCGACTTTGTTCGTCTCCTGCTCTTCTCCCGTTGGCATGACCTTCGAGGCGCCAGATTCCAGACCTCAGACTGCAGACACTGTGACGCAGCTTCTCGCCGTGACTTGGAGAAATTGTCAGATTACAGACTACTCCGTACAGAACACACTGACCGTATCTCACATATTCGTGTCCTCCAAACACCACTGCATATTTCACTCATTCATGAACAACACCTCGTACCTCTACTCCGTCCTTCATGGCTCAACGCTGATTCATCCTCGTCCACCTCTGCTCTTCTCCTCTCACATGCCAAGCTCTTCGTGTCATCACCTGGCATTCGCCTCCGCTGCCGTATTGCCATTCGCATCTCTTTGTGGCCTGACTCATCCCGTACCCTCCCATCACTACTTCATCTCTGCCTAGTAGTATATCCCTACCATGGCTCCTCCAGACCTCAACTCCCTCCCACCATCGCGATCAATGTCCTCTTCACCCATGCAGCCGCGCTCAATATCAACCGCAACCTCCCCTCCCAACCGCAATGAAACACCCTCTCCACGAGCCTCCTCGATATCTCTGGCCAGCGCCGCCATGACAAATGCTGCCAATGAATCCTCCAGACGCTCCTCTACAAGTAATCGCGGCTCCCCTCTCCTGGGCCGTATGCCTAGCGACCGCCGCCGCTCCCAAGTTGCCTTGAGCCTGAACCTGAATGATCCTTCCCTCCCCAGTCCTGGCGAACTCTCAAGCAACGACCCCCGTCTGAACCTGAGCCACAGCTTCGTCTCAGCCAGCCCTCCAACCATCGGTGGCCGTCCCGCCATCGCTACTGGCGACCCTCACCACCAACGCCAACCCAGCCTCGGCGAGATCCACAACGAACTCGAGCAAGAGCAGGAAGCCCAAGTCAACCGCATGCTCCAAATGATTCGCGAGCAACAACTCCAACTCGACGCTCTCCGGAACACTCAGAGCAACGACCAACACCACCATCATCACCACCACTCGCGACGTTCCTCACAGCTCAACTCGGCCTTAACAGGCAACAGCACAGCCGTCCTCGACGACGAAACCCCCGCCTCCGAGCGCTCTATATCCTTCCCCTCCGTTCACCCCGCTATTCCTCCAAACCCACAGGCCCCGACAAGACGCATTTCCCGCGACCCATCTAGCGCAAGCCGGTCACCCGCTCTGAGGCCACTGCCAGGCCATGAATCCAGCCTGGGCACCGGCACCGATTGGCCTCCTTCGCCAATCGAGAATGCTCGAAGGAACAGTTTCCGTGACGAGAGTGCCTTCTATCAAGCCGAGACAGCGATGCTAACCAGGGAGAATCAACTGCTGAGACAACGCATTCGAGAGTTGGAGAAACAAATTGCCGAAATGGAGGCACTGCCTGCAAATACCCCGGCCACCCCGAGTAATCTGGCGATGGATCCGTCGGTGGCAGCGCAGGAAGAAGCCTCTGCGGCAGCGGCGGTGATGAGGGTTGTTGCGGAGGTGGATAAAACATGATCTTGGAATCATTATAATGTGGAATCAGAATGGCTGGAAAGACTTGCAAGAGCTTGCATTGCGGAGGCGTCGAATATCAATTGGCGTTGTAACGTTCACCAGGCGGCACATAATGGTCCATCTTTTGGGGCGTCGACAAGGAGTTGAAATCGCTGTTCAGTTCAGCGCTTGGAACGATGATATTAAAATGGGAAATGGAAAGGCAAAGCCAAAGGGAAGACTACATTACTTTGTGGTGATATGGAAATGACCGGCGTTATGGTTTTGGCTATGGATGGTATCCTCAATGTCAACCAATACTCATACTCATACTCGTACTCACGCTCACGCTCACGCTCTCGCTCTCGCTCTGCATCCCTCAGAGCGAAGACAACGCTACTTCTGGACTACTATAGGGACATGGAACTCTCGAATGTACGCAAGCTCTTCGAAGCGCCCGGCTGTGAGACATCGTTTTCGGGTCCAGTTGGTATGTGGTATGTGGTATGGCTTGAGGCCTACCCTAGTCTACTAGTACTGACTTATACTATTTTTTTCACTCTCCTCTACGGACAGCACTCGCGGTGGCCTTTGGCCCTCTTTGAAAGGTCCCGCGGACTCGGCATCGTGACCATGACCATGACCATGACCACGACCGCGGCCTCAATATCGTTGGGATCTTTGGTATTCCATACTAGTACTTTTAAATCCCAATCTTACTTCTTGAGCATGAGCATGAGCAAGAAGCATGAAGCAAGACCAGTTGCAATGGGCTGTGCTGCTCGTTTCAGTTCCTCGCCTATTCTATCCCTACTTCAATCCCGATCCTTTCTTATCCGATCCGAGCTGATTTGATCATGCGACCGGAACCCCTTTCCATATGCGTTAACTTGGTTTTTCCCACCGCGAGAAGCGGGAACCATGAATTGAAACCAAACAGAGAAAAGAGATAAGCGCGGACGTGTTGTCATGCCTGATGATTTTGAAAATCGAACCACCCATCAGTTGACACGCAAAGCCCATGCCAACAAATGCCCATTGTACTATCGCTCTATATGAATCTACACAAGGCATCCGCGATAGCTTACGATGTCGCCTCCACAAGTCGTATCTATATGCTGATGTTCATGTTCATGTTCACGCCAAATATCAAAATGCTCTCTAAACGGTGTTTTGGTTTTTGAAGTTAAGCACCTTCGTCCAATCGTACAGCGACGACGGCAAGGCAGACAGGCACCCAGTCCAAGATTCGGATTCACGCCGTCCGCTCATGGTCACCCACCCGCTCTTTACTCTCGCGTACTTTGTGGACCTGGTACTCGTGCCAGATACTCCAGAGACAGCATCCCACGCCGAGAACCGCCGCACAAAAGGTGACCCAGTACGCCGAACTGTAGCACACTCGGCCCTGCAGACATTCCATATCCCCTGCTTCATTCTTGACCGAATGGCTATCGTAGATGCGTCCATACAAGAGATTGAAAATGTTACCGGATATGACGGGCGCCAGCGTCATTGTGCCCCAGTTCTGGCTGAGGCCGTGCACGCCAAAGCAGTGCGCAACAAGGCTTGGATAGACACCGAAGAGCATGCCGTATGCAAAGCCCGTCAGGCCGGATAAGAGGACCAGCAGATTTGGAGTGGCTATCGCAGTGCCGGCGAGTTGTGCCAGGCAGAATATGATTGCTGAGGCGAAGAGACACCAGAATCGAGAGCGGTGGAGTTTTGACACAAGGAAGTCGGAGCCGATGCCGCTGGTCAGACGGCCTGTGAAGCTGCAGAACGAGAGGATCGAGACGTGCATTGCTTGGCGCTTTTCGATGAAGGCTGGCGTGGTAGACGGGTCAAAGTGCTTCCACAAAGCTTGCGCGTCGTTGCCAATGTTGCTAGACAGGTCAGTGGGAATCGCTACGGGGGAACTGGCGCACTTACTTGATGGTCATCAAGCCAATGCCGGTTAACAGGCCAAGCATGGAGAACAGCTGCCAGAACTCCGGAAGAGGTAGTAGAGCGAACCCCCTAATGTCTAGATGTGGGGATTCACGGTTCCTGTCAGATGCAAGGTGCTTGGAATTTTCAAGGTCTTCGGCGCCGTCAATGGAGGATTTGGAAATGAGGGAGGAATGCTCGTCCCCGGAGTCAGGGGTCGGTTCGGGGTCTTGAGATTCTGTGCTGGTTGAGGATGGGATTTTGTGCATGTTTGGAGGCGCACCTGGTTCTTCGGAAGGAGAATATTGATGACTTCCTGATGATCGGGTCCTGTGCATGACTTGACGGTCTTGCTGGGGGACATGATGGTAGCTTTGCGGTGGGAGGACGCGTAAGAATGGGAATGAAATTAGCGGTAGCACGACTGTCCCGGTAGCCAGCAGGATGAGGAAGTTATAGGTGCCGGAGGGGAGCAGCAGTGCTATAGCCGCGAAGAACATAGCACTCAGTCCGAACGCAGCCAGTGGAAACGCTGTTGCTGTTCCCCGAGACTCGGGAAAGTTGAGGGCGGCTGTTCAAGTCAATGATGGCTCGATAAGCTGGTACAATGCTCCTACCAGCTTTTATGGATGCTGTGAATGCTGTACAGCTGCCAGCTCCAGTAAAGAAGGAGAAAAGGCATATCAAGCCCACGCTGTACGATCCAGGCCCAGCTTCGTATGCTACATCATGCCGTCAGTCTCGTTCATATCAATACCGGGCATTTCCGTTGGTACCTTGGGCAATTGGATAGTATCCCACGGCAAACAGTATTATTCCCAGAGCGATACCCCATCTTGGACCTTTTGCGTCTACCATGATTCCAGAGGGGATACCGAACGCGTACATTCCCAAGTTGCCAATGGTCCCCTGTATGTTCCCAACATATCAGTCTATCTCTTTCCCCCATGGAAGGCTGGGCTTCGTACAATCAAGTTACTGTCGGTAGCGGACAATTTGAGACGGGCAGCGAAACTTGGACCCCATATTGAATATCCATACTAGTAACGCGGTCAGTCATGTTGTCTGCAGGGCCGAGAGAGCCACATACGTTTGTGCCGCAAGCAAGGGCAATTGTCGTACATGCAATGACGGTAATTATCCTCGCCCTCTTCTGAGGGTCGGCAGAGAGCAGCATGGTGTTTTGGCGCTTTGCGGGGGAAGTCTCGTCACCAGCTCATCTTGTAGGGAGAGAAGTAGTCACCCCTGAGGAGCACAGGAAGTGGCAAGTTGAACAAGATAACGAACGGTTCGAACACTTGCTGGTGTCAATCCATCAATCAATCAATTATCGGCCTCAGTTCCGGCTGTCGGACAAGTACGAATAATTGCGCGTCAATCGACTTATCCAATGAGGGCAGGCCATATCCCGGCTTACCTTCCTCGAATCCCACTATGTCACTATCGTCATCGCCCTTTAGCCGAGTCCCGGTCCTTCCCATTGCCGCCGCCGCCTGCGCTTCGAGGCTTCTCATCCAACCTTGCCATCAACATCCATCCAGTTTTGTCAGATCAATATTGTACACCTCAGATAGGCCAGTCTCATACGGTCGACATCAATCATATCACTGAGCGAGCATTGATTTGGCCTGGCGCCAATATTCGAAGGACTTTCTGCACTTCTCCCTCTTCCACCTCCGTCACGAGACCTTGACGAACTCCCACCATGGGGGCTGTCCTTGCGATTCCAGCCCTTGTGCTGCCCTCTGCAGCGACACTATGGTCTGTGGGAGCGTCATGTTGCGGTGCCGCATCATGTTCGATGCTGTGCGGTCCATGTGGCGTCTCCAAGTTCAGGTCATCGATCGCTACCAGACTGGCCTATGCCGTTATACTATTAGTTAACAGTATCCTCGCTTGGATAATGCTCACTCCTTGGGCTATACGGAAACTCGAACATCTTACTCTCGACTATATGAACTTCAAATGCGGCTCTTCAGAATGTTATGGCTACTTCGCAGTCCAAAGGATCAACTTCGCCCTTGCCCTCTTTCACCTCATCCTCTCGATCCTTCTCATCGGCGTCCGAAGCACAAAAGATACGCGATCAGGTCTACAAAATGGCTTTTGGGGTCCGAAGATACTGACATGGCTCGCTTTCGTCGTCATCTCCTTCCTCATCCCGGAAGGATTTTTCCTCTTCTGGGGAAACTATGTTGCCTACATCGGAGCCATGCTTTTTGTTCTTCTGGGTCTTGTCTTGCTGGTCGATCTCGCACATACCTGGGCCGAACTCTGCCAGGATAAGATTGACGAAGGAGATGGGCCAAATTACAGGCTATGGCAAGTCTTGCTTATGGGGTCAAGCCTGAGCATGTATTTGGCCGCCTTTGCTATGACAATCGTCATGTACATCTTCTTCGCCAGCAGTGGTTGCAGCATGAACATCACGGCCATTACCATCAACTTGATCATGATTTTTGTCATCACAATCCTCAGCGTCCAGCCGACTATTCAGGAGGCCAATCCCAAGGCGGGGTTGGCTCAATCTGCTATGGTTGCGGCTTATTGCACATACCTCACATTCTCCGCCGTATGTATGGAGCCCGACGACAAGCACTGCAATCCTCTTGTTCGAGCCCGAGGCGCAAGAACGACCACTGTTGTTCTTGGTGCTATTGTGACGATGCTCACTATTGCATACACAACAACAAGAGCAGCCACGCAGGGATTCGCTATGGGCACGAACAGCGCAAAGACGAAATATGCTCAGCTCAGCCAGGACGAATATGAGCACGGTCTTGTCACGCAACAACCGGCATCACGTCGTGAGATCATGAGGGCGGCAGTCGAAAGCGGAGCACTTCCTGCCTCGGCATTGGATGAAGACTCCGACGAAGAGGATGAGACTTCTTCGAGCTCAAAGGATGATGAACGTCAAGGCACGCAATACAATTACAGCCTGTTCCACGTCATCTTCCTCATGGCGACCTGTTGGGTGGCCACTCTGTTGACCCAGAAAATGGACCCCGAGAATTCGAGTGATTTCACCCCTGTTGGTCGAACATACTGGGCAAGTTGGATCAAGATTATCAGTGCTTGGGTGTGTTATGCTATTTACAGTTGGACTCTTGTTGCGCCGGTTGTGCTTGAGGGTCGGGAGTTCTCATGATCGTGGAGAAGAAACGGGTAATTTCCCAAAAGCCTTCATCTGGTGGACTTGCAAGAGGTGAATGAATGAAGTCGTTGGGCGTCGTATTGGCTACTTGTCAATTGTTCATCAAGTATCATACCGCCTCAATGGCGTCAATGTCATCATGGTGTAGGGATTCTTCATCCGCAGTCGTTATCATGGGTGTACGTTCGATAAATGGGTCAGCATCCCATCAGTATCCATGAAGTAATTGACCCTTTTGGCATAGTCGTCGCTAACTAACGACATTCAGCCTCAACAAGCTCCAAACTCCAAACGGTTCACCACCACGACGCTCCCGGTTTGCCTATCATGCTGACCTTGTTGCTTTAGCGATCTGCATTGGCTCAGTCATGCTGAGAATGAGAGGTCGCTTCCTCTTGCCCGATGTCCCTTCAAGAACTATCGTCCATTCTTTGAGCTCCCCAATGGATCTTACGCCATTCCGTCATTCATAGCGATATGTGGCTTGACTGAAGACGGTGGATGGGTCGGACTTCTTCGCAGCCACATCATGCCGTCTCTACTGTGTCCCTAATACTCCGTTATCCCCTTCTGGTCCTCATAAGATATAAGTGGCGATGGGAAACGACTCGGTATATAATGACAGCTTCTTGTTCATCAACAAAGAAGCCAAGGACATCGGCGTTCGAGACAAGAATCAGGATTTCGCCGTCAGATCTCATGTCAACCGCCATACAGGCGATGGCAAAGAAGGCTTAGGGACAAGGTACTCAAGCCGAACGATACATTTTCCAGACGTTGGCCTCGAGCCAGCAGCAGCTCCTTCAGCACCCTTGCTCCAAAACAAAAGCTTCCGCTTCACAGTGAGCGTATATCAACTAGACTTCAACCACGCGCTCCTGCGCCACAAAGTACTACATCCACATGGCGTGCAGGACGCGCTCCTGCTGCTCAAGAAAGACTCAAAGAAGCGCAAACCACAAGACTTATTCGAGACCATCCTGTAGGTCTATCACAGCTGGGCAACGTAGCCGTACCATGTCCACCCACTGACCTCAATTCTTTACAGCTCCGCGGCCCGGCTCGAAATCCTTCTGTGGACCCGCTGTCTCTTCTGGGAAATGGTAGCTCTGACCCCTTTCCTGCTGCAGCTCTTCCGATCACTGCACTTCATCACGATCTCATTCGCTTCTGGGAACACCGTTTCTACATGGTATTGTGTCCGCCTGGGTAGAGTCTTAGATTGGCTATCACGACGAATTCGATGTGGCTCACCGAAATTCGTGGTGCTGTTGCAGACAGGACGCAACTTCATGCGATTTTCGCCAGTGCACTGACATACATGCTTCGAACAATGCCTCCTTCCCAGGACCAAAGGAAGGCATCTTCGATGGCGTACGAGCACAAAGTTGCGTGCCTATCTTCGCTGAGAAGCTTGATGGCTCAATCCATCCTCGGTCCTGGAACATTGAGAGCGATTTACCTGGCTGCCATGATGCATTTCTTTGCTGGGGAGGTCAACGAGTGCGACCTTCACGCCAAAGCCATGTTCACCATTTTCAGTCGCCTAGGTGGCTTACGCCGTCTCGATCAAACTTTGGCTTTGAGACTCGTGATGCTCGACACAATGCTTGCTCATGGGGTCCTGCAGCGGCCGAGATTCTCGACTTCGGAATGGGATCCTGGCGCTTGTTCAAAGCAACCATTCGTGGCATCTTCCCGGCTTTCGTCAACCCTGCACTTGGAGGATTACATGTCGCAGGACTCACCAGTCCATCCTGACATCTCGTTCGGAATGCAGCACTATCTGAAAGGCCATCGAGAAGTGCTCTGTGGTGGACACCTTGCTCAACAATTAGGACGAACCTCGACACGAGCGACCCAGACGTCGACCATGCTCAGCGACGGGATTCAGCAATGGATCCTCGTACGGCGGTATGCTGTTTCTGCTCACTACGTTTCACTCTACCATGACATACCCCGATGGGAATCTTCTTCATGGGAAGCGAAATCTTACAGCGCTGTCAACGTCGACTTGCAACAATCGCTTTGTCTAACAATTGAATATTGCCAACGCGTCATCTTCCTGTGCGCCTGGGAGAGGGTCGCCGTGTACATCCCGTTTCATCATCTGAGAATTTCACTGACTCGGCTTTTGCGCAGCATGACAGACGCTGCCTGTCTGGAACACGGAGAGGCATTGCTTTTCTTGTTCTTTGTCGGTGCTGTGGGTGAAGAATTGGCGCTTGTCGATTCCGGGAATACGACGACGACGACGGCAGCAACACCTGCAGGTCTGTCAGATCGATGGTTCTCGAAACATATGGCGACTGTTGCCGTCAAACTTGGGTCTGTCGAATTTGATGCAACCAAGGCCTTGCTGAGTCGGTTCCTATACGACGCCGTTGCTTTGGATCAGACACTGGAAGCTCTTATCGCGAAAAGGGATGAATTCCTGCAAGAAGCGCCAGACTGACTGCCTTGACACGAATCAACTACTCGTATTCCGTACGGGTTTATCCCTTGCCGTGGCTTTCGCTTTCGCTTTTGCTTCCGAAAATGAGGACATCGGGCGGGGACATTTTGCCGAATTTACGTGTCATGGTGCCCAGTGACACGATAAGGAGAACCGAAGCCAGACGAGTACGAGGAATAAACTTTCCGTGGCCGGGACACTGTCACTTAGGAGGTGTGCCTGCTCGTGTACTCCGTAGAACTTTTTCGAGAAGTAAAGAACAACATGGTGACGCTGGAATAACTAGTAGTAGTAACCATCTATGGTGAGGACTCGGCCTGGTCGTTGATCTTCCCGTATTCCGAGTAATGCTGTCTTGTCTCGCCTCGGCTTGCCTGACAGCCTCATCCCATCCCTAATTCGCACAGGCACGACAGGGGCAAGCCAGCCTTGGGGATTGACTGTGCGGTTTACGGATACTTACCAACTCGCCGGACAGAGTACCTAGGTAACTGACAAAGATCGGCAAAAAGCTTGACATGTCTGGTACTACGGAGGTACTCCGTACAGTACAGTGTATGTAAATCCCCAAGGGCTGGGTGCGCCCTGTGCAGCCTGCCAATTTAGAATAAGAGACACACCCCCCCGGGGGGCTCGACTCGTCTATCACCGGCCCAAAAGGGATCTACACGACTCCTCCGTAAAGTACTCGCCCGTTTCAAGTGCAGTGCAATTCAGCTGGTGCCGTGTTTACTCGTATGAGGTTGCCCACATCGCCCTTGCCCTTGCCCCAGCAGTGCCCTGCCCTGCGAGGGCCTTGCGTGCACTCCGTGATTATCCGTAAGAGGTTTAGTACTAGTAGTAACGAGTCGATCAGTTCCAGTTGGCGAGCGGCACCGCCAGGGGTCCTTTTTTTGGTAATGTACGCTTCGCATCCATTTGTCTTCTGTGCCTCTTCTGTTCGGATGTTGCTGCTATGCCTTCATCACTCTCCGAATCACACGCCATCGACACTCTCAACCTCAACAGTCCCTTGACGTCGCCTACAGTCTACTACTTGACACACTCGCGACCTCGTGGGTCTTGGACAAGACCGTCGATCTTGGACCCCTATGAGAAACTTGGACCAACTTTTGTACTGGAAGCGGCAAGCTTGCGCTCCGGCATCCACGATTGTACGGAGTAACTCGTACGAAATAGTAGGATAAGTAAGGTAATGTCTTTAAAGCTACTAGTATGAGGTAGGCGGGCTAAGGTCAGGGCCGCCATTGCTATTGCTATTGCTATTGCTCGAGATCCGCGGATCGATCAGCAGTCTACTACGTAGTCTAGGTACCAGTAGTACAGTTGGCCAGGCCAGGCGGAGTACCCGTTCCCCAAAAGTACATTAGGTAGTCCTCACACACTCTGATGACAAGCAACAAGATACATAGTACCTGAAGCACTCTACGCGATGAGCTCGGTGTAAACAAAGCGAGGAACGGAATTGTACCTGACAGGAAGATGGTTTTGATCAGTCATTTTCATTGTCGAGTACTACCGGGATGTCTGTTGGACTCATACTCCAGTAGCGATCATTGAGCTCTAGACCGTGAGGTCCATCCCGTAAGCCCTGTGACAGCACCACAAGCACAGGACTTAGCACGCTTGCCGCCGACCAGGTCTCCAGACGCCTGCCATGCAAAAAGAAGGGGGAATGATATGAAATGCCTGAAAAGGTGGCCATGCACAGGAATAAGTCTAAACCTGTGCCTTGAAGAAAAGCCTCCCAAGCCATAAGATGCAGTCCTGGATGTACTGTATCTCATACAGTGTCTAAAGGTCCATCAAGGTTCTAGCAAGCTCGCAAAAATAGGCAGCACTAACACCTCCGTCATGATTCTGGTGTTGGGGTCGTACGTTCGTCGCCGGGAGGGAGCTAGATAGAGGTCGGCACCTAGGTGGTCGGAAGCTGACATCGTTAGCAGAGGACGAGTACTCTGGACATCGTAGGACATCATCACAACTCACAGTGTCAATGATCAACCGTACTTCCGGTCATGGTACTTGGGCTGTTCCTTCGCTCGAGTGCCTGTCACATTCTGGCTGTACTGGTTGCACATATTGCACATGAGATGGCCGCACTTTCGACACTCCCAGACCTTCAGGGTTTGTCGAGCACATTTCGGGCAGTTCCACACCATTGTCGTTTGTCCTCCGTCGTTGAGTTTACCGACATATTCATGACCGGGACATCGGTGCACTTCGTATGGGAAGCTAAGGCGTGTGTTGGCCGGCTGCAAGAAAGGACATATCAGTAAGATGGTCGTGATATGGCAGGGTTCAGGTGCGATATACTCCTGTATTCGTTCGCTTTGGGTAGCTCATATCGACGATACCCGGTGTAGGGTGGTGGAGGTTGGGATTGGATGTCAGATCGGATGATAGTCCCAAGTGGCCTGAATTTCTGAGCTTGTGATGGTATTGTTTCGATATAGGTAGCGACAGAAAGGCAGCCTCAGGCTGCGAGATATTTATATGTCAAGTATGCAAACGAAAGATGTCCAAGCTGTCACTCTTTCCCGTGTTCCCTAGTCATTGACAAGTGACAGAGGCATCGATTCCTCTCCACAAACGAAGGGTGTGAGGCAGATACGGAAGGTCGAACAGATAACACAACATCATCCCATGAAGCCCAGGACGTGAGAAGTCTCAAGTGACATGTTGATGGGAAGAGACCGTAAAAACAAAGGGTACTTCCGTTCCGATGTCCGTCAACAACGGTGATGGCGGCCCCGGATCAAAGGTTGATGATCACGACAAGCTTCTGATTTGACCCATTTGAGTGGGAAGCTCCAGATTGTGTGCCAATGGTCACCATCCTTTCTTTTGCCTTCAGAGGATGGTCTAGAAAGGTCATGGCTTAGCGGGCAGCGTTCCACCCGAAGTCTAAAACTTTGAACACGGTGCTTGACGAAGACATTGGCACCACAAGGCGGTCCCATCCTTGAACAGACCCTTCACCGTGGGAAGGGAACCTTGTCGGAAGCAAGGATCTCAAGCCCCTAGTTCGTGAATTCGAAAAGCCTCGCATGAAAGATAAAAGCCCCAGGACTCTGAGTCTCTTACTGTCTTCGAAGGACTTACGCACTCAATCATCTAAGAAACGCTGGCGTGGGGTGAACTGACATCCCCGGGACGTAGTGTGGGGGTCGCTGATAGCCCTGCAAGTCCCTGATGCCGGAAATGCTATACTTTTTCAGAAGTATCAGGACGGTCTCAGCTGGCGACGACGTTGTAGAAGGAGTGACAGAGGAACAGAAACAGGAAGCTAAGGAAGTCGTGAGGCGACTTGCGACACAAGCGACAAGCCATTCCATGTGCAAGATGGCAAAGATCCACTGACATCGGTTCAGGGAATATCGCTGGTCAGGGCATGGCGATCGAGCCTAAACGCGCAAACAGGAACACCCTAAGCCCAGTATGCTGAAGGAGTTCCGGAACATCGATCCCGGGGGGTTAGCGAACCCGTATAAGCGGAACCGGACCCTTGCAAGCACCCAGGATCCCAGGCGTTTGAGGCGTTAGTCAGCCCCATAGGCTATCAGCACAGGGGTTCGCAGATCGGAGTGATTGTGCAGCCAGCTATATGCGGTTGAGAGCTCCATGTTGATACATCACGCCGATCCAGGACGAGCTGCAAGATTTTCTATTGATCGCGAGCTGTACGAGTAGCTGTTTGCATCTCCCACTTCCAGCATTCGCAAAAACCCTCGACTCGGGAGAAATATCTCGTAATCGGAGGCTGGCTGGATATTTGGATATTTTGATAATGTACACATTCCATTAGGCCGAGAAAACGCATGATGATGTTGTGTAACAATCCTCAGAAGTCTGGGGTTGGACAAAACCGTAATTCCACCCTGTCCGCTTCTTTGATCGCCTGCAGTCAAGAGAAAATGTGGCTGAGAATCCGAAAACGGGTTTGACAAGTTGCAGGTCTCTGCAGGTCTACAGGGATACTGTAGTAATCGAGGTGACGACGACATACTACGTCCACGAATTAACTTGCCCCGTCGACAACTTTCCGTAGGACCAGCAGAGAATCATCTGCTTCCGCCTCCAAGGGGAAGCATGCCCGGCTACGTCGGCGTATGGTGAGACAGCTGAACGCTGAGATTGACGCTTCAAAGACGAGTGGGGAAGGCAGTGGCCTTCGCACGAGAACCGACAGCGCACTGCCCTTTGACCTATTCACTCAAGCGAAACATGGTCGACATGTCCTCTGCGCGTCATTGAGTGAGCGAACATTCCCGAGATGATGACTTTATGCGGCTTACCTCCGTGATGATTACGACGGATCGCCTCAGCTAGGAGATTGGCAAGGTCGATCACAATCAGCTTCTTCGATTCCCTCATTCGTTCCGTCGTGATGGGAAAGGTATTTGTCACAACGATGTGGTCGATACACTCGCATTCTTCCAGTTCTTCCAAGGAATCGTCACCAAACAGTGCATGCACAGCGACGCAGTATACCTTTTTGGCATGTCCGATCTTGACACAGGTCTCCGCGGCCGCTATCCAGGAACCCGACTTGTCGATGATGTCGTCCATCAGGATCACTGTCCTATCCTTGACATTGCCAACCAGAGTAATGGTATGTTCGAGACCGGGGTGCTTCATGTGCTCGTCTTCTTCATCGGAGGTAGCGGCAGCATCGAAAGAGCCGCCCAGTGCATGTTCTGGTTGAAAGGACGACGCGTTAGATACGAAAGAAGCAGTCATGGGATCGTAATCGATCCTATCTTGCAGAGTTGGCAGATTGTGATCGCCCGGGAGGCCGGAGACTGAGGCCGAACTTGAAAGTGCAGGTGATGGATGGTCGTCATCCACCAGATGACCCTGTACCAAGCGACCTACAATCACATCGCGTGCTCTCTCGTCGTGCAGGGCTTCACTAGGTTCGTATTCGGAGGGACGGCGTGCGCTTGGTGCGGTCTCGATTCGGGTCAACTCATTCGGCGACGCAGGTGCGGGAGAAGACTCCACTCTTGTCGTCTGCACAAGGGGGCTTGATGCAATTGTGACTGCCTTGGGGCGTGACAGACGGTTCGATCCGTTCTTTGCGGAGCTCTTGTTGCGGTGAGGGAGCACATTCCGGTGCTTGTCCTCGAAAGGATCTTCCAATTCGTTGTCAGCGTGATCGGCATCATCTCCGTCACTCTGGCGATGCTCCAGTCGTATGGATTGCGGCTCGATAGCATCAAAGAAGATGGTGCTGTCCATCAAGTAGTTGCTGTGATGGGATGGCCGAGAACGGTCTCTGTCCGTCGACACGAGGGCAAAACTCAGCTTGAGAGCATCTGCTAGCGACGTGACTCGTTTGGTGCCACCCACATTCTTACTGACGACCACCGCTTCTTTCCAGTGGGGCACGTTCGTCTTGATCCAGCGAGCAATGATAGGTTCAGCAAACAAGTTGTCGACGGGCTTTCCGAAGAAACCCTGCATCTGCGAGGCATGTAAGTCGACTGTGATGACATGGTCCACGCCGGCAACCACCATCAGGTTGGCTAGCATTTTGGCAGTGATTGCTCCACGATGGCTCTTCTTCTTGGATTGGCGTGAGTAGGGAAAGTAGGGTATGACTGCTGTAATGGACTTTGCTGAGCCGCCTTTACATGCAGCAATCATGATGAGCATTTCCATGACACTGTCATTGATGTGAGGGCTGCCACTCTGAACGATGAAGACATCTTCATTTCTGACCGAAGTCCCAATCTGCACACTGATTTCACCGTTTGCAAAGTTACCCAATTCGACGTTGGCCGGTGTAGTTCCTAGCCTTTCACATATTGATTGGACTAGGGTGGGATGAGACCGGCCTGAAAAGACCTTGACTCCTCTCATGGTGAAGATGGGCGGACAACGAGCCCCGCGACAGAACTGAAAAAGCAAAGAGCGCTGAAGGCAGCAATGAAGTGGATGTTGCGAGGTCAGTCAACGCATGTCAATCCATATGGGTGTCGAGATTATTTTTCTGGTGGAACAAACAAACGAATGAGGTGTGAGTGAAGCAATACCGGAGTCATTGGGATGAGCATCACGTGACTGCGCCGTACAACAATTTTTCCTCGCCGCGTCTTGTGCCCAGTGGTGCCAGTGTTGCCGGCCTTATCAGTCAGTGACTGGGTCGCTTCAGAGTCGACTGCATCATTGGTGAGAAATCTCATCCATCTCTCAGGTGCTTGCTTCATGACTCTGGCTGGCATGATGCCATTATCATGTCTACCAAATTTCCAGAGATACAGGGAGGGGGTTCCTTGATTCTCGCATGGCAAATCAAGGGCAAAGAGGTCCTTGTCGTAGGTGGTGGTGAGGTGAGTTCCTGTTATCCCATCATCAACAATGTGGATCTGACCATTATCCAGGTTGCGGCCGGTCGCATTGTTAACCTCCTCAACGCCGACGCCAAAGTGACTGTCGTCTGCCCTGCTGAAGGTCTCAATGAAGAGGTGGCATATCGAGTCGACCAGGGCCAGGTCAAGCATGTGGACCGCGTCTTCCTCCCCCTTGACCTCGAACCTCAAAAGAAAGTTGCAATGGTCCTGACTGCAATCGACGATCCGGACGCATCTACACGGATATGGAAATACTGCAAGCAACTCAAAGTGCCCGCCAATATTGCCGATGTCCCCTCGGAGTGCGACTTCTACTTTGGCAGTGTCCACCGCGACGGACCACTTCAAATCATGGTGTCGACGAACGGCAACGGACCGAGGATGGCAGCAGCCATTCGCAGACAAATAGGCCAGATGCTCCCAAAGGGGACCGGCGACAGCATCAAGAGAGTAGGGCAACTCAGAAGAAAGCTCCGAATGGTCGCACCCGGAAAGGGCACACGAGACATCAGCAAGAGGATGGGCTGGATGAGCGAAGTCTGTGATAAATGGAGCACTGACGACTTCAACGATATGAACGACGACGATATGGAAAGGTTGGTTCAATATTACGAGTCGGGCATAGTTCCAAGTTTTGAAGAGATCAGGCTTGGGGATCGAGGCGACGTGGTGTGGGAGTTTGATGGTTCTTTTGGATGGATGTAATTATACGGAGTACCTGTCAGCGATCTACTTGTACTGTGATAATGGACCATACGGCCGGTTCGGAGACCCTCGCGGTTACAAAGTACTTTACCACGTAGTAGGCGAGACTCGGCAAAGTCGGTATGAAGCGAGGATTGAAACCTTGGTAGAAACTTGGAGCGACGACGATGACGATGACGTATGCGAGGGGAGTCGAGGGGAGGTTGGATGTTGCAATGAACTCCCTGTACCACATTGGTCCGTACGGCGTAAGTGGGCGTAGTGTCTACGAGTCTACTCCATCTACTCCATCTCTCACCACGCCATGTCGATGGTGGATTCAAGGAAACAGGAATCTCCCCGTCCTTCCTTGCTTCTCTACATCTTCAAGCATCGACGAATCTACCCTGGATTGATTGCTCTTCGCTTCTGTATTCGTCCACCCGTACATTATTCTTACTGGCAACTTGCTGGCCCAAGTGCATTCTTCTCCCTTCAGCGCCTGGTTGCGCTTGTGACCCTCGTGACCCCTCCAGATACTTAGGTACCAACAACTATCCCTGTCGATCTCGGACTCGATCTTGGACCCCTAAGCCTGCAGAGTCGTGTCCAGCCTCGCGCAATACACTTGGGTCTCAGAGCAATCGTCATAATGCAGTCGCTCAAGCAGAAGCTCAAAGGTCAGTCTGGTTGCTTACTTCTTCCCAGCCGTCCCAGTAACAATTCTGGCCAGACACCAAACTTCACGATGCCAAAATCGAAGCCATCCATCTCAAGCACAAGATAGGCAAGCTCAAGAACATTATCAATCCCAATCATCGACATGACGAGGAACATGAAAAAGCCACTGATCAAAAGAGAGCTGCTATTTGCGACAGTCATCGCTTCAAATCCTATTTTCCGGAGCGAGATAACAACAAGATCAAATGGTATGTCGATGGTCGTGACTACTTCTGGGCCGTCTCTGTCGGCCTGGAAAACGCCAAAGAGACCATCTATATCGAGGACTGGTGGCTCTCTCCCGAGCTCTTCTTGCGACGCCCACCCTTTTTCTGTCAGGAATGGCGTCTCGACCAGGTCATCAAACGAGCTGCCGAGCGGGGTGTCCAGGTTTATGTGATCGTGTATAAAGAAGTTCAGCAAGCGTTGACCTGTAACTCGGCTCATACAAAACATGCTTTGAGAGCTCTCTGCCCAGAAGGCTCGCCCGGCCATGGCAATATCCACGTGCTGCGCCATCCGGATCACAACGTCTTCGAGAATATGGGAGACATGACCTTCTACTGGGCACACCACGAGAAATTCATCGTCATCGATTACCACCTTGCTTTTATCGGTGGGTTGGACTTGTGTTTTGGAAGATGGGATTTGCGCCAGCATCTCCTTGCTGACGTCCATCCGTCTGGCGTCGTCAACGAACTTTTCCCCGGCCAAGACTTCAACAACAACAGGTAGGTAGCGATATTCCCTGGGCTTTTGGGCTTTGCTAATCATACCAGAATCATGGACTTTCAAACCGTGTCAGATTGGTCCAACAACGAACTCAACAAGACCGACTACGGCCGTATGCCCTGGCACGATGTGGCCATGGGTTTGGTCGGTGAATGTGTCGTCGACATCGCCGAACATTTCGTCCTTCGCTGGAACTTTATCAAACGCGACAAATACAAGCGCGACGAAGGCGTCGACTATCTGTGCATGACCACGCGCGCAAGAGCCGACGGCTCCAACGAGGACGAAGACCTGATCTCGATCCAGCGCCCCAAACATCCAGTCGGCAAATACATCGAGCATCCACTTAGCCCTCTCGAGTCCAAAGGCCTTCAGAACGTGGGTAGTGTGCATGCACAACTCGTTCGTAGCAGCGACGACTGGTCCAGTGGCATTCTCAATGACCACAGCATCCAAAATGCATACGCCGAAGTCATCGAGAATGCCCAACACTACATCTACATTGAGAATCAATTTTTCATCACGGCGACCGGGGAGGAACAAAAGCCCATAAACAATACCATTGGCCGTGCCATCGTCAACGCCTGCGTGCGTGCCGGCAAGGAAGGCCGCAAATTCCGCGTCATCATTGTCATTCCCGCCATCCCAGGTTTCGCGGGCGACCTCCGCGACGACGCCGCCATCGGTACCCGTGCCATCATGGATTACCAGTACAAATCCATCCATCGCGGCGAACAGAGCATCTGTGGACAGATAGCCAAGGCCGGCCTCGACCCCTCGCAGTACATTTTTGTGTTCAATCTGCGCGCGTACGATAGGATCGACAAGACCCCGACGCTGATCCAACAAGAAAAAGAATCCGGAGTCTCGTACCAGCAGCTCCAGCGTGCCGAGGCCGAAGAGATCATGGGCAGCGGGATCCACGGATACGAGGGCGAGAGGCGAGAAGGTGAAGCACGTGGCGCGGGCCCTGGTGCCAGCGAAGACGAAAAGCACAGTATCATTGACCGCAAGCGGAAATTCGAGGCCGCCAGGCACCAACTCGACGTCAAAGACCCCGTCACATCGGCCGAAAGCATCGCCGAGGACGCCATGGCCCGTGGCGGCCTCGTGTCCGAAGAGCCCTGGGAAGGCGACCCGGAAGACGAGAAGGCCCACTTCGTCCAGGAAGAACTGTACATCCACGCGAAATTGCTCATCGTGGATGACCGTACCGTGATCTGCGGGTCCAGCAACCTGAACGACCGATCGCAGATGGGCTCGCACGACAGCGAACTCAGTATCGTCATGACCGACACCCGCACCATCGAGTCCACCATGGACGGGAAACCCTACCAAGCCGGCTTCCACGCCGCCACGCTCCGCCGACACATCTGGCGCGAACATCTCGGCATTATCGAGGCCCAGGGTCCCGATGCGTCCGAGGACCCCAACGCCCAGCCTCCGACCGTGTGCATGAACGACGACTACAGTGGCGAGGAATGGGAATTCGTCGCAGACCCGCTCGGCGACGCTCTTTGGGACAAGTGGAAGACGCAGGCCACCGTCAACACGGATATTTACAGACACCTCTTCCGCGCGGATCCGGATGACCACATCAAGACGTGGAAGGACTATGACGACTTCGCCCCGCGCAAGACGATCAAGCAAGGCCATCTGCATGATCCGCACATGCCGGCCGCCATGGTGCGCAAGGAGCTCGACAAAATCCGGGGCCATCTCGTCTGGATGCCGCTGGATTTCTTGTGTGAGGAGAACATGGCGGAACGAGGAATGCAGGTTAATGCTTACACCGAGGTGAGTCCACTATCTCCAGAATCTTTGACCGCTTTTCGTGGGGAGTAATCACTGACCTATTGTGATTTCCAGTCTATCTATACTTGATCAGATTCTGTCCCTCAGTCGTACTGAATTTATCCTCAATCCGGAGAACGGGGACGCAGTACGCGGGCGCCCCTCCAGCAGGTTCCAAGGGATTCTGACAGTAGTGTCACCTACTACTGGTGAAAGTGTCGAGCACGGCTCGGCTAAAGGGGTTCATTTCTGTCTGGGTGTACTGTACTGCGACTCGAATGAATGCGACCGTTTCTTCCAAACTTGATCACTGTTGTGGACAAGGGCTCGCGAGAAGCTACCTAGGTACTTGATGGGGTATGTGCGAGATTTGGGCTTGCCTACCTACCTAACAGTAGTATCGTGCCCCGAATACGGAGTACATGTAATGTAAAATTCGTGCGGTTTTCAATGCCTCTCTCATACACAACACAGCCAGAGCTTCGTGTACCGCTTGCTGACTCCACCACTGGAAGTCCACGGCCTGTTCTGCCAACCCCCCTTGAATTGTCAACCTCAAAGATGAACACAAGTCGATGCACGCCCAGGTGTAACAAAGTCGGGGATCAGATCAAGTCTTCGCCCCGTGGCTACCGTAGTACATACTACTCCGTACAGGAAGCCTAACTCAACTGCCCTGGCCTTCACACTTTTAATATTACCTCGGTAAGGTACTGTACCAAGGAATGGTGATGGTATGAAAAGTGTACCATCAGTAATGGTACTATACTGGTAATCATACTGGTCCCGTCCGGCTGGCTCTACTCCCTCTCCTCCCACGAGGTCCATAACCGAACGTCGTGGAGGCATGCCCAGGACTCGTAGGCGTGGCACTTACACTACCATTCCTCGTCGAGCCCACACTGCCGTCTCGGCCTCGAGTCATGACAAACTCGGGCATTCCAAAGTTCACCTCACCAACGCGACGGAACATACCCCAAAGAGCCGACCGAAGGTCATTGTTGACTTCTTTCTCCAGCAATCCGACTGCGAGAGGATAGAAGGTATCAAGATGCTTCTGGAAGCTGTCCTTGGGGAAATTCGTGTATCCTTCCAGCACATCAATGACTACGGGTCGCCACGCAACGATATTCCGCTGCTGAGTTTCTTCGTCGAGCAGGACAAAAGAGCGAATGATGTCCGCACACAACCTGGAGGACACAATGTTAGCAAAAGAAGTCTACAAGACTCGCGAATAGCCCAGTACTTACGGTACCAATGCTCCCTCGGTTTGCTCCCTGCTTGACCTCCTCTCCTCGCCCTCATCGTGATACATTCTCAGCAAGATACTGACATAAGTATTGGCGGATCCAGACTCTTGTTTCAACAAGTTGGGTGGCTGTCGCATGAATCCTTGCCGCCATAGCGCCATTCTCAAGTCTTTGTCACCATTGAATTTCTTTGCAAATTGGTAGGATTTCTTCAGCAGAGTCATAAGCCGCAGAAGTTCCGGTGACGGAATTTGAGCGTAGACGGAATCGTTGGAGAAGAGTTCGGCCACCGTCTCGATCATAAGCAATTGGAGAACGCAATTCGTGATGATCTTGTTGAAGAAGCGTCGGCGTGCAGCTGTCACTACTGGCGCAGGAGCCTGCATGTCAGATTGGGGACGGTAGTCTTCCAGCTCGTGTGTGGTCTGAGTGTGAGGAATTTCGGGTGTGGCACCAACAGGATCCGCCTGAGCATCCGAAGGAGGACTTGCAAGTGGTAATTCAGTCGGTGCGCCGTTCGCTGTCGGAGTCTCGACAATTGCGGCCCCGGAAATACTCAGACCGTCAGCTCCATCAGTCGAGGGGGTAGGTCGCGCATCAGACATGGTGGCAGCAGCGGAGAAGAGGTCATAAGCTGTAGTGCGGTTGAACAGTTCGACAAATGCTGTCACAATCCGGGACCAGTGCTCCGGCTTGAACTTGGTGACATTCTGAAGAATCAGTTGCTGTAGGCAGTTGCTGCCTATCCGAGCTATAGTGTCGTTTTCCTGACATATACACAGTGTCAACAAATCCAAAAACCGGTCCAACATGTGTTCCAGTGAATCGAAGTAGTGTGTAAACAGGGTAATCATGTTCCGAAGAGCCTGAATCATGGTCGTGGACAGCCACACCGATAGCTCTTCGTGGTTGGGAGCTTTGGACATTTCCGACTTTGATTGCAGGACGACGAAGATTGGATAGAGCACTTGACGCCACAGAGTGTCCCAGAAGTCGGTTGGGAAGTCTCCGCCATATCTGATTAGTGTCTCGAAAAGATAGTTCAAAGCTCTTGAACGAACTTCTAAATCTTCCCCTGTCATCAACACGTCTTGATAGGCAATCAGAACTGGGTACCAGAACTGTTCTTCCTCAGTCTGCGACGTCGGCTGCTTGACTCCTGCCACAATGCCGGAAGTGTCTGACTCAGCTTTGCGATGCCGTCTCGAAAGGGGGCATTCAGGAGTCTTCAGCATTTTAGGCACCGTCGACTTGAGCAATTCAATGGCTTGAAGGGATTTCTTCTGGAACTTCAGATTCTTAGAAAACTCCGTGAGGCAGATGATGAGATCCGGAAATGAGCCCTGCGATATCACAACACCAAATCGAGTGTTGTAGATTTGCGTAGTATAGTCGAAAGCAATGTTGACGATTGCCTCGTACTGCTCCCTGGCCGCAACGGAGAAAACACCAAACATCGTTTTCCAGCCAGACCTGATGTTGTCTCCTCGAGCTTGGATCATCTGTATGAGGCATCTCAACACCATGTCTTTGACTATGACGACGGTGCTGTTTGCCATGACATGCTCGAAAGGTTTAAGGAAATCTTTCTGGAACTTGAATCCGGGCAGTTCCTCGATCTCCAGAAACCTCATCGAAAGTTGTCGAAGGGAGTCAAGCGCGAAGAAAACGACAGCGGTGTTGTTGTGACAGCCAACTTGGTTGAAATGCTCCCCCAAGACTTCCCATATCCGTGTCCACTCTATTCTCACTCTAGTCATGTTGTAATAGCTTATCTCAACCAGTTTCTGAAGGCTGTAAGTCCTTGGAGACTCACTGTTGCCCGACGACTGGATCTCCTGCCAGCTAACTTCGCTGAGGGCTCGGACAAAATCCACGATTGCTTCCGAGGACAACTTCGCCGTGTTCGTGAAGATCCGATCCACACCACGGACCATATCGGTGGACTTCGTCTCGTCCGCAACTTCTGGTCGGAAACTGTGTGCAGATCTTGGTCGAGGACGTTTGGGAGCCTGCATCGACCTTCGACTTCGGTTGTTGTCCTTGGCATTGGAAGGTGTCGGGATGGTTGCCCGTGTGACATCTGGTATGACACCTTCGTCGATGCCGGTAGACAGCAGCTGGAGCCTATCAAGCTGGCTAATACACATTAAGACCTCCCGCCAGGAAGATTTCAGCAATTCGCCTTCGGATAAGGCGACCTCAATCAGGACTTTTAGAGCCTCCAGATTTTTGGCCATCATTTCTTTCAAATTACTCAGGTTGGTGAACTTTGCCAACGCCGTGACAAAAGCGACTCTCGGTGTCTCCAAGTCAAAGCGGCAAGATATCCTTATGGCCAATCTCAGGCCATCCAGGCAGTGTTTGATGAGGTCGAGGTTTTGGGCGTCCTGCATTTGACTCGAAAATGCCGATAAGAAGGACATCCAACTCACATTGAACATAGGTCCGACATGCTGAATGGAGGTTGCCGGGATGAATCGCGACAAGGCTTCCCGGACAGCGGATCGCTTCTGTGCTCTGATGAGGCTCCGATACAGCTGTTCGGTCTTGTTGGCCATTTCCTCGGAAGCTTGTGCATACTTCTCTTTCTGCAGGTCTCTTCCGACGTTTGCAAAAACCTGGCCAGCCCTGGAGGCTAGCCCAGCTGGCATAGCGGCAGTTGCAATACCCATGTCTGCAGCATGTTCTCGTTCGGAAGCCAGGACAATCTCATTACTGGCTATCTCCTCATAAATCCTTGACAGGTAATCCGCAGGTAGATCTTGACCATCGTTAATCCCACGATTATTTTTGATGAAGTCATCCACTGTCATTCTTGGTCCTTTCATTTTTGTACTGTGCTGATCAACATTGAGCAAGATAACCGAATACCCAAGCACATAGGCGGTATCCGCGTTTGCAAAAGCATTCGGATTGCCGGTCAAGTAGCGTTCAGCGAATTTGAGCATAAATCGATCGATCTTTTGAGCTTCTCCAGGAAGCCGAAAGCTTTGCAGGAATTGCCTGAGAGCGTCCACAAAGCGCCGCTTGCTAAAGTCCATGAGGTCGACAAATGCATGCATGATTGCGACGTTCTGCTCATCGCCTTCACCAAGGAATTCTCCAAGCATCGCCTTGTCGAGTCTGTCATTGCCGTAGAGAAACTTCGCTATGTCCTGCGGACTATTGGTCTGAATGAAGCCTTCAGATAAAAGGGCCTTGATCCCCCGTTTGGGTTTGAAATTGAATTGTCTTATTGCCTCGTTTAGAGCAGACTTGCGTTGCCTGACTTTCTCGATCTCGTCAGGATCATCTTCCGCTACGGGAGTGGACACGCCAGAGGAGGAGACAAAACTAGGTATTCGAGGCGATGGTGGAGGCTTCTCGCCATAGTCGAGAGATTCTCTTGAGTCCTCGAACGACCCTTTCGAAGCTGGATAACGCGATCCATTAGGTCGATCAGGAGAATCCTGACTGGACCAATTGTCCAGCGACGTCAGGATATCAATGAGACAACGAAGCGACTGCTGTTTGAGAGCGTATTCAACAGCGATCGGGGGTGGAGGAGGCGGTGGATGACTGAGTGCTAAAGTCGTCAAGGTAGGCAGTAGAGAGCCCTTGGAGTTCCACTCGGAGTGTGATGCGGGCGATTTCGCTTGTTGCTCTTGGTACTGATGTTGTTGCACTGATGTTATCACAACAGGATTGCTGCAGATTCTGGACAAGTGCTCAATAATCTCTTGGTACATGTTATCCAGTGCGGTGCGATCGCAGTCATAATTGAGGTAGACTTCGACAAGGGCTCGGGGATCATTCGCTAATCGCTCTAGGACGTCCATAAACTTCTGCTTTTGGAATTGAGGTGCACTTCGCCTTTCCAGCACCGCAAGGTAGACCTCTTTCAAGAAGACTTCGAGCTCTTTCTTTAGCAGAACACGCATGTGTTTCAGAGAAAGCCAGAAGATTTCGCAGCATACTTCGTATACCCGTGCTACGGAACTCGATGCGTTTCGTGAAAGGCTGAGACATAAATGTGGTTTGGCCACCTGCAGAAATGGGGTATTTTCATCATTGTTGCCGCTCTTTATAGTCGAAAAAGAAGAAGTGAACACCGCCGTATAGTTGTTGATGACATGATAGATTAGGTGCAGTGACAAGAGCTTCGACCGCATGTTTTGAGTCCTGAGATCCTGTTGCTGGTCGTGACTCAAAACTTTCTGGCTGAGTTTGCACAACGATCGGAACACAAGGAAGGCGTCTTTGATGTAAATGTCGTCTTCATCTTCCTCGGCCTCGTCACGGTCTTCCTGCAGACTTGTTCTCCCAACAGGTCCGGAGCTGGAACGGGTATTGTTACGCTCCCGCTTGGCTCGTGTGACTGTCGTAGGTGCTGAATCGGCGACAACCGCATCATCGAGGTGCTTGTTATTCTCGAAGCTTTGCAAAGTCAGCTTCTCCTGGGGTTGCGTTAATCCTTCTGAAAGCTGAGGCGGAGTTCCTTGATCGGGAGTGTCCACCTGTTCAGTCAAACCATTAAGTCCAGCATGTTCGAACATGGTCGCATCGCTCGGCAGCGTCTCCTCAGACTTCGACGCATGCTCCCTGAGACGAACCTCTTTGACGTCTATTCTGACTCTGACCCTCTCGAAAACTGTCGCGATCATCTGCAGTAGCGAACCTTGGGCGACTTGCTGGTTCTGGCTAGACTTGGAATAGATGAAAATGTTGTATATCTGGCGGACAGCTTTCAGAAGTCCAGCACCATGCACTACTATCTTGTCATCCAGTACTGCTGCGAGCAAGGACTTGATAATTTGCTGCTGGATCTCGACGGCGGTCGCTTCATTCTCAAAACAGTCGCAAATGGCCTCGATAGCCCTCTCGATCAGCGGCGGTGTATCTGCCCCACCTGCATTATTTGTCGCGACAGCTGGGAATGCAAAGTACGAGTAGCTAATCAGCTTGCCAATGCAGTCCAAAGCGGTCACCTGCAGGGGCACGTTGAACGACTTTGTGGCCATCTGCAACGGACGGAAGATGGTTTCGGGGTTGACTGCTTGCTCAGTATTTCTGACGTTTGCCAGAGCCGCTTGGACAGCATCAGTGAATTCTTTGTTCCTGCGCACCTCCTTGGCTGCGCCAATAGTCTCCAACGCGCTGACAACGAAGACTGTAGAGTTGACTGGTGAAGGACGTGATAGGGTTGTGGACCTTGAATCAGACCTTACGGGCCGGACGTCTGGAGGTGCCTCCTGCTGGCGTAGGGAAGCGCCGTCGTCTTGTGATGGCGTCGACGTGGTTTCCACCTTGAGTTCTTGCGGAATCTGTGAAGCATCCTGGTCGGCCGTAGTATCGGATGGGGAACCCCCTAGTTGTTCGTGAAGATCAGCCACCTCCCCGGAGCCTGATTGAGACTCTGTCGCTGTTGTTCTCTCATCTTCTGATTCACGGTCGCCTACTTGGTCCTGCGGCTCATCTGCCAGCGTCTTATCCTCGCCGTCATCCTCACCCTGGTCGGCGTCCGCGTCTTGCACTGTTATTGTGACCGCATGGTTTGCATCTGCTTCAGTAGAAAGTTGTTCTGCAGTGTTTTCGTGCTCCGTCTCTTCCACTCCATCCTCCGAGACACTCTGCGGATGCGGGTCGCGATCAGAAATGGAGTCGGCTTGATGGGGCTCACTTTCGACGCCAGCCATTTGGCCGGAAAATGAGGAACAACTTCGATGAGCAAGAAGGGGTAGTTAGGATGGTTGTAAAATAGCGAGATGCATCGGACGCATGGCAGTCGTTCAGGCCGCTGGGCTGTTTGAGATCTGGTCAATGTACAGATCTCTTTATTCCCCTGGCGCATGTTGCGGAGAGCATAAAGTTTCTGGGTCCAATGTTAGGGACCATCAGACGCAGCTGACTAACCACAGGACTAACTAGGGTCGAGCACGAAGGCACCCATAAGCAGACTGCCACTGAAGGTCCAAACAGCCCAAAAAAGGCGGGTACGCGGCGTTGAGCGAGGTTGAGCTTTCGGACGCCGGGACTTCGACTCATTTTCTTAAAAGAAGCTGCCGCCAACAGCCCAACAAAGTATTTCCTACAAACTCGCCGTCGGGGCCTCCATTTCTCTTCCTTTGTCGCTCCTTTGCCCTGCCCGATTGTATAGCGACCTGCAATACTCTCTGCGCTGCGTTGCTAATTGCCATGGCGACCTCAACACTCCTGGCTCGGTCGGGGTCAAGACTCCTTCTACACACTTCTCCCAGCTCCCGAATTAACCGCAGTGCTCTGCAACGACTACAGAATGCTGCAGGGTATGTTGCAGCCTTCAAGGGAAAGGTAGAATGAAACTAATTAAAATTTAAGATCCCAGCCGTTCCCTTGCCTGTCCGTTCTCGGTCGCTACTATGCCTCGAAATGTGCGTAGCCATACTGGGGTCTTTCTTGCTCGAACGTAAAAGGCTGACCGGGATCATAGCTTTCCCTCCGCATACGGTGATCACCATGCCTGCGCTTTCACCTACGATGACGGCTGGCAATATTGGCACCTGGCAGAAGAAGGTGGGCGATACTTTAGGCCCCGGTGATGTCTTGGTCGAGATCGAAACAGACAAAGCCCAGATGGATTTTGAGTTCCAGGAGGAAGGTGTACTGGCCAAGATCTTGAAGGAGTCTGGAGAAAAGGATGTAGCAGTTGGAAATGTAAGAATTCTACGAGTCACCACCGCATGCTGCACATGCTAACAGAGGACTAGCCAATTGCTGTGATGGTCGAAGAAGGCGAAGACGTCTCCGCATTCGAGTCCTTCACCCTCGAGGATGCCGGTGGTGAAAAGGCGCCTCCCAAGGAGCAGCCTAAAGAGGAGGCCTCAGAAGCAACAGAGAGTCCAGACTCTGGTTCACCCACGGCACCACCCGGAGGTGCGAAAGAACCCAAAGAGTCTGCGCCAGAGCCTGTTGAGGCCGACACCAGTGGCGAGCGACTCCAAAGCGTACTTGATCGAGAACCTCCCCTCAGCCCGGCCGCTAGAAAGCTTGCGCTTGAAAAGGGCGTCCCCGTGAAGGCCATCAAAGGCACGGGCCCCGGCGGCCGTGTCACACTTGCTGATATTGAGAAATACAAGCCCGCAGCAGGAGGTGCCGCACCTGCTGGTGCAGCCGCAGGCCCAGCCTATGAGGATATCCCGGCGAGCTCGATGCGCAAGACGATTGCGACGCGACTCAGGGATTCCATGAACCAAAATCCCCACTACTTCGTCTCAACCACTCTCTCAGTAACGAAACTGCTCAAGCTAAGGGAGGCCCTGAACGCGGCTTCCGACGGCAAGTACAAGCTCTCTGTCAATGATTTCCTGATCAAGGCTTGCGCAGTCGCCTGCAAGAAAGTCCCCGCTGTCAACTCGAGCTGGAGAGAGATTGATGGGCAGACGATCATCCGCCAACACAACACCGTTGATGTTAGTGTGGCCGTCGCTACTCCTGTTGGTCTGATGACTCCCATTGTCAAGAATGCTGATAGTGTTGGCCTCCAATCTATCTCGGCATCAGTGAAAGACCTTGGAAAGAGAGCACGAGACGGCAAGCTCAAGCCTGAAGAATACCAGGGCGGCACATTCACAATCAGCAACATGGGCATGAACCCCGCCATTGAAAGATTCACTGCCGTTATCAACCCACCTCAAGCAGCAATTCTCGCAGTTGGCACTACCCGCAAAGTCCCCATTCCCGTCGAAACCGAAGAGGGCACGATTACCGAGTGGGATGACCAGATCATCGTCACTGGCAGCTTTGACCACAAGGTTGTGGATGGAGCTGTCGGAGGCGAATGGATTAGAGAATTGAAGAAAGTGGTAGAGAACCCTTTGGAGATGATGTTGTAGTGCTCTCTATCTTGGGTTTTGGCTGGGATTTAGCGAGGTGGTTGCGGAATGGGCGTGTATAAAACTCGTTTCCTTTTGCGGCAAAAGTTGCGACTGCATTGCCTTGCCATCCGACGATAGTAATTGATTGTGTCTTGCACATCGTAACTTCGACCTGGGTTTCCTGCCTTCTCGTGATAGACGGATGCAGCCCTCAGAGCCCTCAAGGCATTTAGAGCGTCAATCCCGCAAGGCTGCGAAGGTACTATTATTATATGTAGACCATTGAATGCGTCAGAGCGATTTTCAGACGCTAAGATGGGGGTGGAGCGCACCCTGAGTCCCTGACCGGCTTAGCGAGCATCACCGGGAAGTCAAGCTGAAAATGGACGGTCCGGGCGGTTGGACCCATGGGCGGGCGCCTATCAACCTTAATGCATGAATTATGGCAGCTCATGGACTTACTTATATAATTAGCCAAAGCACTTTGGATGAGTATTTGCATTAGACGGACTTCGTTGTGCTTTTCCCCTCTCGTTCTGCAAGCCTGCCTATTCTTGCAGAGCTCACCACCGGTGAGTCGCCCGCAGTCAAACCAGCTCAGAAAATGAGACAAGCGATTCTTCAGAAATTCCATCGATTCACCGCTGCTCGCGCTGAGCATGTTCTTACCAGCCCAGAACCGGTCGACGCTTCACACGCGGCTCCACCCACTGGTCTGAAGCTCTGGTTTGAACCCAATGAAGCTGTGGCAGAGTACATCAAGCCTAAGCGTCGCCCCATCGATGCTGTCCTGACTTTTGACTTCGAGCTGACGCTATATAGCCTGATTTTTGTCCATGGACTCCAGGGCCACCGCGACCGAACTTGGACTGGTCCATCGGCTCAAAGCCCATGGCCGAGAGACATTCTCCCCGACATCATCTCTAATGTTCGCGTCCTCACGTTCGGGTACGACTCATCGGTTACGAGGTGGGATAGAATGGTCTCAAAAAATACTGTCAATGATCACGCATTGGGTCTCATGAACTCGATCGCGACTTATCGGGAGGCAGACAATACCGTAAGTACTGATCCATGGTGCACTCGGTCCAGGCTGACCTGCAAGCACGATCGACCATTACTTTTTATTTGCCACAGCTTGGGGGGTTTGGTATGCCAACAGGTATGCACAGCGAACAATAGCCCATGCGCAGAAGCTGAATACTCTTGAGGCTCTTGTCGCCGCGACCCTCAGCTCAGAAGCCTACCTAAACCAAGTTGAGGTACGCACGAGAGGCATTCTATTCATGGGAACTCCTCTTCGAGGTGCTGACCTTGCCCAATGGGCGTCGCGTCTGGCACTGTCCATCGGTCTAATCAAACAGACCAACCACAGAATACTGAATGTTCTCCAACGTGAATCAGAGACTCTTTCACAAATACAAGATAACTTCTCGCATCTGGTCCCGTAAGCGCGCATAATGGTCCTGCAATTGAACTCACATGCATGTTCGAAGAAGTACCCGTCCCTGGAGTGGGTTTGGTATGTTTCAACTCTTTGCGGCAAGCCGCATAGTCTAACAAATTGTTAGATTGTCTCTCGAGAGTCCGCAAGAATTCAGGGCCGGACTCTGATTCCGATTAACGCAAACCATATGAACATGCCGAAGTTCGTGGGCGCAGCAGAACCTGGCTTTAAAGAATTGGTTGGAGTGCTTTCACGCTGGGTGCGCCAGCTTGTCTCTATGCAAAATGCGTCCCGTGCTCCTCCATCGCCTATTTGTATGTCCTCCGACGGCCAAATCGGGATATAGGAGCTTGAAAGCTAAGTCTAGGCATTGAAGCACTCGCAAGTTCAGAGCAGACCTATATCCATCCTTTTGGTCACAGGTTCCTGCCAGCCAATCTGGATGACCCCGTAGAAGGAACATGTCGATGGTTGACCGAGACACCTGAATACACCGCATGGACACACACCAATGAGTCTAGCATTATTTGGCTCACGGGGCACGCAGGATGTGGCAAGACGACACTAACAAAATTTCTGATTGAGTATTTGCAGCAAACAGCAGACGGCGCTCATAGCCATTACCAAGCCGTCTACTGGTGGTTCTGTACACGGGACACTGAAGTTCTGCGCGACGTACGATCTCTGCTTCGGAACTTGGATCGTCCAAATCTTGAGCTCGAAACAAGAAATCATTCGCAAAATCAAGCACAAATTCCGTGAAGATAAATACGAACTCGATCACTCGTTCGATTTACTGTGGAACATATTCCAGGCTGCACTGGCAAGTATTCCCTGCAAACAAGTCTACATAGTGATCGATGCGATCGACGAATGCGACGACTTGTTACGGCAGCGGCTGCTAGACAAGATATTCGATAGCCTTCGGACACACAGCAACCTAGATGGGCAATCTCATGTGGTGAAATACCTTATCAGCTGTCAGAGGACTGCCTATCGGCCTTCCTGGCTAAGGGCACCACACATCAAGCATCTTCACCTTGAGATTGAGACGCGCCCGGAATTTGCGAATGACCTCGAGCGTTACCTCGAGTGCAGAACACGAAATCTCGTCGAGGATGGGCTATGTTCGTTCCAGTCCGCTGCGTTCATTCACAGGAGACTAGCGGAACCCGCAGGAGCCTCGTTCCTGTGGCTCCGAGTAGTTCTCAATGAAATCGAACACAGTCTTATCCCAAGATACGCAGAAGGTGATATCGAGCGTCTGATGACGGATCTCCCTTTGAGTTTGAGCGATGCATACTCGAAGTACCTGCCAAAAGTGCCGGACAAGGATCTCATGCTCTTGAAGCAGTACCTGCAGCTCACGGTCATGTCTACGAGACCCTTGACGATTTTCGAGATTGATGCTTTCACGAACTTGGAGCGTCATCCGCTGGGTTCTTCACTGGCGCCAGATCAAGTCCAGGCGACCAAATCCAGTCTAAGCAAGGCGTTTGGACCACTAATTCAGTTCTCAAATATTAGTGCCAAACTCATTCACCCTAGTGTTCGCGAATTTCTGCTCAAGATTGGATCCAATCCACATCACACCCTACACCAGTCGCATAAAGTGAGCCACGACACCGCTCATGGTTTCTTTGCTGTTGCTTGTATACGTTATCTCCAAGACCAGAGGATACCTAGCAACCTCTTCGTCCCACACAGCCCAGACCAGATATCGTTGGCGGATAGTCCAAAGGCATCTCATTGGTCGGAGAACCGTCAGGCAGAAGTCTTTGATGTCGACAGCTCATCGGCTCAGGATCATGGTCTAGACGACCTGTTTGGCATCGCTGACGTTGTATTCTTTCAAGACGAGGAGGTCGTATTGGAGAGATGCTGCGAGGACATCAGGCGACGGCTACCTGCCTTTGATTATGCTGCTATGAACTGGACGTATCACTATGCTCGCTGCGACAGAATCACAGCAGAAGAGCTCAAAGGGGACAGCATCGCGCTGCTGAGTCTTGAAACCGAATCACTGAGCAACTGGTATCGCTACAGTGTGCAACAAGCCAGAACCGACATGCCTCCTACACACGATGGCATTGTTCTTGCGTCATTTTTTAATTTGCCTGGGGCGGTACAGGCGCTGTTGCGAAGAGATAACCCTTCACCAAACGAAATACGCCTTCATGACGCGTTGTACTGGGCGTCGTTCAGTGGAAGCAGAGACTGTGTGGCCATCTTACTCCAGGCTGGTGTTCTTACACAGAATCCTGGTTCAACCAAGGTTCCATTGGCGGTCGCGACTCGAGGTGGCTTTCTCGACATCTGCAACTTATTACTAGGGATGGCGGACGTCAATCCCAATGCCTGCGACGAATCTGGCCAGCCACCTCTGACCATAGCCGCCAAGCAAAACCACACGGATATTCTAACAGTCCTGCTTGCTCATGAGCAAATATCCTGCAACAAGGAAGATTTTGGGGGCCGGACAGCGCTTGCGGTAGCTTGCCGTTGCAGTGCGCTCGAGTCTCTCGAGATCCTGCTGAAAGATGGACGCTTGGATCTCAACGCGAAAGATGGCCGTGGCCGCACAGCCATCCACCACGTAAATATTGCTGGTGATGATCGTGTCCTAGAGCGGCTTCTTGCAGAAGTTGATGTCGACATTACTGCGGAAGACAGCCTTGGCAGGAATGCTGTATCTCTCGCTGCTGAGAATGGCCATCTAGCCGTGATAAAACGACTGCACCGTAAATCAGTTGACATTGCATCCAAGGATAAAAAGGGTCGAAATGCTGTTTCATGGGCAGCCAACCAGAGGAAAGCAGCGGTCCGCAGTGGAAGTACTGAGAGCGTCCTCGAATTCATGGCCAGAAGACGACATGACTGCCTCGACGAGCCCGATGAGGATGGATGGTCGCCGCTGGCTTGGACTTTAGATCCGCCCGGTTTCACCCAAGCTGCTCGCGTGCTTATCGCAAGTGGCCATGTTGATGTGAACAGGCGCGATAAAACAGGTCGCTCAATACTGGAATGGGCGGCAGGGGAAGGGTTAGTCGACATCGTGAAGATTTTATTGACGGCACCGGGGATTCAGAAGACCAGCTTGACACCTAGCGGGGGCTGTCCGCTTAGGTCGGCGGTAGCCAGCGGTAAGATTGCGGTAGTCAAAGTCCTCCTTGAGGACCCAGAAGTGGATGTCTCCGTACGGGATGAGCGCGGTATGAGTCCGGCGGATTGGGCAAGGCTGAACAATCATTCGGATGTGGTGGCACTATTGCAAACACGTCGATAGAAGCCTCTGTGGTTGTAGCGGCGGAAGAGATTGATTATTAACTAACTAATCTAGGAGGGAAAGACTGGCCGCTATATATAGTCACCCGTAACTGAGTGCAAGGAGCGGGGGAGTACTAGACTAGGCAAGTATCCCGACGCTAATACCACAGTAGAGCGGTAGGCCGCTGTCCCAAACTGGTGCCGAGACGAGGCGCTCTGTGGCCACCGAATACCCAAGGATTTAGTCTCGTACTATTTGTCTTTGTGCCATCCTGTTCTCCTGCTGAACGTCCAAAGTTCTTAACCCCAGTGGCGTTCGGTTTGGAAGTGCCGAGATATACTCGGTGATCGAAAACAACTTCGTGGACAGGATAGCGGACAGTATTTGTGTAGGCCAAAGGCGGGCCAAGGATCAGGATGAGAGGGTTATGCTCTTCTTGTTGATGAAGCATGGCAAGCAGTTCACGGGCGACTTGGTGAGAGAAGTAAAGGCAGCGGTCAGGAAAAAACTCTCGCCACGGCATGTGCCAAAATTCATCTTCGAAACACCTGAGATACCGGTAAGTTTCCTTGGGCGTCATACCTAGGTACAGCGGCAAGCTAATTCCTCCTACAGTGTACTGTCAACGGAAAAAAGGTCGAGCTTTCGGTTAAGCAGATCGTTTCGGGGGAAATAGTTAAGCCATCGGGGACGCTCGCTAACCCACAAAGCCTACAATACTACTACCGGTTCGCGAAAGATGAAAATTTGGTCATAGAGCCGCAAACAAAACTATAGTATATAGTCACGGTAGTCCCCGTTATGTATCACTCTTCTCCTGGGGAGGGGCTTAAAAGGGTGCGGAGGAGAATAAGGCCGCCACGCCCTACTACACGCAAGAGACAAGTCCAAAACCTTGACTCCTTCGATTTTCAGCACTTCCATACAAGACCATTGAGACATTTCTACGAGCATAGCGTGTACTGTCGTACGATGTCTTCAACACGGACGCGAAGTGTCGAACTCCGTGACATTACATCTACAACTACGAACGTTGGAACCACGGGCAGCCCATCGATCGTCCCCGAAGACACAAACGTAGCTACGTCCACATCCACCGTGGGAGAAGACCGCAAAGAGAGGCTCTGGGTAGGCTTCCGGGCCGCAACGATCATCTTCCAACTCTCAGCAATCAACTTCCTGTCCTCCTTCGTTAATGGCGTTATCGTCGTCGGTCTGCCCGCAATCGCAGCTGACCTCGGCCTGTCCCAAGAGCTGTATCTTTGGCCGTCGTCCATCTACGGCTTGACCAGCGGCGCGACGCTGCTCCTCGCTGGATCCATTGCTGATGTAGTCGGCAGCCGCATGGTCGACCTGATCGGATGCATTGGCGCTGGCGTATCCGCTCTAGCCTGCGGATTGAGCAGGTCTGGCGTGCAACTCGTCGCGTTTCGCGCCCTGGCCGGCGTCGCGATGTCGATGCACCTGCCGTGCTCGGTGAGCATCGTCACGCAGACTGCCGCAAGCGGGAAACCGCGGAACATTGCCTTTTCTTGTCTGGGGCTCAGTCAGCCTCTGGGATTCTCGTTCGGACTGGTCCTCGGTGGAGTATTTGTCGATACAACAGGGTGGAGAACGGGGTTTTATATTCCTGGTGCTGCGGTGCTGGCGTTTGCTGGGCTCGGGTTCTTCGTGCTTCCACGCGATGCCGTGGTTGAAGGGTCATCACGGCTCTCGGGGCTCAAGACCAAGGTGGATTGGGTGGGTGCCACGATTGCCAGCGGCGGACTGGCTATGTTCTCTTATGTCCTTGCGTAAGTTTCACGCACAAGTGGTGGTGCGAGTGAAATGGTCCCATGCTAATTCCTTTCGGCAGGGTCTTGAGCGCAGACAGTGCGAGCATTGAACGCCCAAACGCCATTGCCCTGCTCGTTACTAGCGTTGTGCTCATGGTCGCGTTTCCGTTCTGGATTCGCCGACAAGAGAAGGGCGGTCGTCCTGCCTTGATTCCGAATTCGATTTGGAAGAACCAGGCCTTCACCAGCGTGTGTGTTACCGTGCTGCTGTCCAATGGGGTGCTGAACTCGATGGAGTTGTACTCGAGTCTTTTCTTCCAGGAGGTCCAATCGCTCCCGGCGCTCCAAGCGTCACTCCGCTTGCTTCCAGCACTCATCTTTGGGACGGTTTTGAATTTGAGCACCGGACTCCTGGTCGATGCGATACCGGTCCTGTGGCTAGTGCTGTTTTCCTCGGCTTGTACAGCCGGGTCGCCGCTACTCATGGCCTTGATTAGTCCGAGGCTGGAGTACTGGCATGGGGCATTCTTCGCTCAGATTCTTGAGCCAATGAGTGCGGATATCCTGTTTACCGTCGGCTTGATCGTCATAAGTGACGGGTTCCCGGAGCAGATGCAAGGTCTTGCGGGCGGAGTGTTTAGCACAGTCAGTCAGTTTGGCATCTCGCTCGGCTTGAGTACCATGCAGGTCATTTCCAACCTTGTCACGGAGGAGACAAGGTATCGGAACAAGAAGTCCTCACCAGCCTTGCTGAAAGGGTATCGAGCGAGTTTCTGGGCAATGTTCGGCGCCATGATCTTGTGCTGTTTGGTCGCAGCGTTTGGACTGAGGAAGGCGGGCAAGGTCGGCTTGAAGAGGGAGTAAATAATTGTCGCGGCCTAATTAAAAGTTCGCTTGAGATGGTGTACATCATGTATGATGATCTCCGCCTGAGGGCTATCTTCGAAGTTGGCTGAATAGCGCGATAGTAGCCAATGCGATCAGGGCTATATCTGGACCGTAGGATTTGCCGGCTTGGATTTGCATCGTCAGGCCTAAAGAGATGAACACCACGGAGGTGGCTGCGCCTAGGAGTCGCAGTGGTCGACTACCGAACAGGAGGCTGAGACCAACTAGCGTGTCGATAATAGGTGTGATGGTGGCTACTGTCGACCCGTCGTCTGGACTGTGGTACTCCTGGAAAGCGTACCATTGCGGTGTGTACACGCCGTGAGTGAACCTTGAAAACGCGCCGAGGAAGACGATGGATGAGAGCAGATAGATTGGCAGATTTTCGGTGGGAGACGGCATCTTTGCTTCTAATGGCTTTTTCATGATACTGGCCTGGCCAGATGTGGTGATATTGAAAATTGAGGGTTGTTCTTGAAGCACGAATGTTCTGTAGGCAAATCGATGAATATATCGCAGTACTACGTGGCATATGGCTTATTGAAACGGTGTGGCCTGATACTTGGCGGCGAGGCGGCCATTGCTTGTGTCCGCCAAGCGAGAAATACGTGGCGCCAACCATCACCTCATAAATAACCGACTTCACCTTTCATTCCCACACAGTGACTTCGTAAGGTGCTCAGAAACTCTGCATCGACTATCAAATCTCGTCATGGATCCCTGAATATCACTAACTATGGCCGAAATGCACTCAGCATGAAGACGCGGACGACCCTGCAGAATTGCAATTACTCCCGTCAAACAAGGCTGACCCTGAGACCGTGAGCCCTCCACCGTCACTGATATCCGTGTAAATGCAGCTGCCCACAAGTCAGTCTCTCTCCATGCATATTCTACTAGTCCATCCGAACTTACGTATCCCCGCCCGGGGTCAACTGATCTTCGCACGCACAAATATTAGGACAAAAGTTGTTGTCTGGCGATCCTCCAGCAAAGAGATCAAAATGCGGTGGATCGGCCTGACAGTCGGTGCAGGAGTCCTCGTAGGTGAACCATTTCTGCAGGTAGGGCACGTAGAAGGATCCGCACTCTGCCACGGGGAGGCCGTCGCCCGCACTGGCGGCAGTGATGGGACTGTCCTGCGTACCTATGCCGCCGGCAAGTCCTGAACGGCCGGGACACTGCATGGCTAATTGAAGATTGCCCGCTGTGCCACCGGCATTGCAGTTGGCGGTGCAGTCGCCGTCGAGATTGTCCGTGTTGTCGACGAAGCTGTAGAAGGTCAGACGGACATTGGCCGTGTTGAAGGACTGTGCGGCTGCGATTGATAGAAAGCAAAATAAGGCTGAAGCCGTCGAGGCGAGCAGAGAACGGCAGTGCATTCTTGACGGCTTTTGGCGACAGCAGTACGCGCCTTCGGCGAAAGAGAGAGAATACTAGGAGCCAATTGGAAACGGTACAGTATGGGTGTTGAGTCATCACCAGTAGGAAAGAGAGGTTTTATACCTTTCCCCTTAGTAGACATATCGTCGATGTCTGGCACAGGCGGATCCAGGCAATCTCTGCCTAACGAGCCTTGTGAGCCTTTAGGAGGTAACACCTGCACGAAACGGACGCAGATTTGGTGTTTCAAGTGGTTGCCTTCTCGGAGTAAGCAGGAGATAATTGGAGCCTCATCATTCCGCGGTGAAGAGGCTGACGGTCCATTGACGATCGTACCGCTGTTTGGATTGATTACAAGATCACCTTCATCATTCGGGCCAATTTGAAGCGGGATGCTGGGACAGGTCTGGGATGATATAGACTGAGGGCATGCGTTTACCGGTAAGAATCGTCATTCCATATCCCTCGAAAAGGTTTCTCAAAGGCTTCAGCATGAATGCCACCTTGACGCCCGAAGAGGCAGAGGACAGGGGGGCAGTAAAGCTGAGAAAGGCTGAATGGATATAGATATAGAAAGAAGGTGTGCCGAGTAACTACGCCATACCATTGCTCCCAGCGGCCGACAGCCAAGCCCCGAGAAGGCGAGCCAAGGGCCGAAACTTTTTGCGATCCGCGGCGAGATTCGTACTCGTAGGCATCACAAATGTTGAAAGTGAACCACTCTCTCACGAGCATTCATCCTTTCGTTTGTCTATCATCTTCTCGTGTTTTTTTTGGTGTGGAGGGCATGAAGCCCTAACATGAGCAGGCTAGCCTCCCGTCTTTCCAATCTCTTCTCTCAAGATAGCTCGGCCGGAGATACTGTTAAAAGTCAGCGCAATGGCTATGCGGAACCAGACTTTGACCTCGACGGCGCACGACAGATTAAGCGTCCGAGAACGATGGAGAAGTTGGCAGAGGAGGAGATAGACCATGAATTGAAAAGACCGCCTTACCTTCATGTACGGAAGTTGTTGTCCAGTCAGTCGTCTTCTGTTTTGCTCACAATGCGCAGTCAATGCTCGCTGGAGGCATTGGTGGAACGAGCGGCGACATTTTGATGCACTCCTTAGACACAGTCAAGACCAGACAGCAAGGCGACCCTCATTTTCCGCCGAAGTATTCCAGCCTCTCCGATTCCTACGTCAAGATTTTCAGGCAGGAGGGTATAAGAAGAGGTCTGTATGGAGGTTTCACGGCGGCTATGCTCGGTTCTTTTCCCGGCACAGTCACATTCTTTGGAGCCTACGAATATTGCAAGAGACACATGCTCGATCGGGGCGTGAACCCGTCACTTGCATACCTTGCGAGTGGTAAGGTTTTTTTGGGCTGTGTTAGAGAACTCAGTGACTGACCGAAGCCAGGTTTCATTGCCGACTTCGCCGCTTCGATTGTCTATGTTCCCTCCGAAGTCCTCAAGACCAGACTGCAATTGCAGGGCCGATACAATAATCCTTTCTTCAATTCCGGCTACAACTACAAGTCGACCTGGGATGCTGCAAAGACGATAGCACGAATAGAAGGGTTTGGCGCACTTTATTCTGGATACAAGGCCACGATCGTCAGAGACCTCCCGTTCTCAGCGTTGCAGTTTGCCTTTTACGAACAAGAGCGCAGGTTCGCACAGAGATGGAGCGGAAAGGATGATATCGGCCTTGGTCTCGAAGTCTTGACCGCAGTCTCTGCAGGCGGCCTGGCAGGTGTCATGACGTGTCCGCTGGATGTGGTCAAAACAAGAACGCAGACTCAGATTTCACCAGAGAACCACACCCAACACAGCCAGGCTGCCCATTTGGAAAAGGTTGCCAAACCCCCGCAGCGATCGAAGACACAGACACGGATGTTGCATTCGGGACCACGAACTGTACCTGCCACGGCTCCTACGCTGGACACTTCGTCCGTCATGGTTGGCCTCAAGCTCATCTACAAAACCGAGGGGATACCGGGCTTGTTTCGAGGAGTTGGCCCACGATTTGTGTGGACAAGTGTTCAGAGCGGAACAATGCTTGTCATGTACCAATATTTGTTGAAGCAAATGGAACGATTTGACTCTGGGGAAGGATCAGAAGTGATATAAATTCTTTGTACAGTCTTTTTTGGTACGGGATTGTGGCTACAGCCTGATGAGCCGCTTTGATGGGATACCCTGGGCTAGACATGCAGTGACAGTTTGTGTGACAGACGGGAATGAAACTAGACTGTACTATAATGAACAAAGATTCAACTCTAGCAGTATCGATACAAGGTTTCTGGTGTCACCAGGACTTATCTTCGCGGTGGATGTACTTGGACTTTGTCTTCCACTGTCCTCTTTTTCTTTGGTACGGCAAACCACGTGAATGGCATCTGAAGACGGGCTGGCACGGCGGCACCCAGCTGGGGAAAGGATCAGGGGTCGTTCCTTGGTACTGTGGAAGGGTCTTAGTGGTCGACTCACCCAAGGAACCTTGCAAGCTGCAAGCCTGCACCAGCCTAAGAAAAGCTCCGATGATTTGACAGGTTGATCCCCAATCACAACCATGCTCCGGCACTGCCCAAATGGACTTGGCGCGATCCCCTTTTTTTCCCAATGGTGGCTTGATTGATTGCAGCAGGCCAGCAACGAAAGAAAGACGAGACAGATCAACGGCCTACATCCTTTCAACAAACTGACCAACGACTTGCTTCTTGTGCCCTTTTTGCTGCTTTTCGTGTCGAGCGCATCTGCTTCCTTCTTACGCTCGTTTGGAAGGCCACCACCGCCAGGATCCAAATTCTTCAACACCGCGTATGTCCAACGACTTCATTCTCCTTCTCCACGCACGCAAGCCCACCAGAGACACCTCTGGGTCCCCCCTGCGTCGCAGGCGGTCACTTCCATCGTGCTGTGTTGCGATTCTTGGGACTATTCCATCTCGTGCGCATACTGACGGGTGCAGGTCGCAGTTGCCTTTATTCGATTCACAATCCGTGTCTTCGCAATAACACTTTTTTTCTTTCAGAAATGGGTTCGTCACCTCTCCGGTCTTCCTGCCTCCTTGCCTCACTCTGCTCCTCACCGTCTCTCTTCATTCTACCACAAGCCATACGTATCTCAGCCCTCGCCTGAATTGCATGAGATCTCTCGAACTTATGAACGAGATGGAGTCAAAAGGCGAGGGTCGTATGAGCGCAGGCTCCAAGAATTCTGACAATTACACCAGTCAAGAAGGACAACCTTCACACTTTACTCTGCCTTCAATCGAGTCTGCCTTCACTCAGTCGAACATGGCTGACCTAAATACAAATGCAGCTGCGGTGTCTCCAAACGGCGTACGGTCCTCTCCCTCTCCCAGCCTCCCAAATGGCAAGCCTGCATCTCCCTATGTGAAGGAAAGCAACCCCATGGGAGCCAATGCAGCCCAGACTGTTAGCTCAAAAGACCCAAAGGCTGCGGCTGCGGCTGCAAATGATATGCGAAATGTGGTTAGAAGAAAATTGACAGGCTATGTCGGGTTTGCAAATCTTCCCAACCAGTGGCACCGCAAGAGTGTCAGGAAGGGCTTCAATTTCAATGTCATGGTTGTTGGTATGTTTAAAGATGGGAAGCTGCCGCGATTGTGAAACTGACTCGTTCCAGGCGAATCTGGGCTGGGAAAATCTACTTTGATCAACACCCTCTTCAACACCTCTCTTTATCCCCCTCGCGAACGCAAAGGTCCAAGCTTGGACATCATTCCCAAGACTGTATCCATCCAGTCCATCAGTGCCGACATTGAAGAGAATGGAGTTCGCCTACGATTGACAGTAGTTGACACACCAGGCTTTGGGGATTTTGTCAACAACGACGACTCATGGAGGCCAATTGTGGAAAATATTGAGCAAAGATACGATGCATACCTCGAGGCGGAGAACAAGGTCAACCGAATGAATATTGTCGACAACAGAGTTCATGCCTGTGTCTACTTTATTCAACCAACTGGACACTCTTTGAAGCCTTTGGATATCGAAGTGATGCGCCGGCTGCACACCAAGGTCAACCTGATTCCCGTCATCGCCAAGGCCGACACCTTGACCGACGAAGAAGTGGCTTTGTTCAAGCAGAGAGTAAAGCATGCCTCCCCTTGAAGCTAGCGAGATACTGACAAAGGCAGATACTTGCCGACATCCAACACCACTCGATCCAAATCTTCGAAGGTCCAAGATATGAACTTGACGACGAAGAGACCATTGCCGAGAATCAAGAGATCATGTCCAAAGTTCCCTTCGCCGTCGTCGGTGCCAACTACGAGGTGACCAACCCTGAAGGCCGTAAAGTGCGAGGCCGTCGCTATCCATGGGGTATCATCGAGGTGGACAACGAGGACCACTGCGATTTCGTCAAGCTGCGCCAGATGCTGATCCGTACACACATGGAGGAATTGAAGGAACACACCAACAATTCCTTGTACGAGAACTACCGATCTGACAAGCTTATCCAAATGGGCGTCTCTCAAGATCCCAGCGTGTTTAAGGAGGTCAACCCTGCAGTCAAGCAAGAGGAAGAGAGAACACTCCACGAACAGAAGCTTGCCAAGATGGAGGCGGAAATGAAGATGGTGTTCCAGCAAAAGGTGCAGGAGAAGGAAAGCAAACTGCAACAGAGTGAAGAAGAGCTGTTTGCTCGTCACCGTGAGATGAAGGAACAACTGGAAAGACAACGCGCCGAACTCGAGGAGAAGAAGGTTCGCATTGAACAAGGTCGCCCAATTGAGAAGGAAGGCAAGAGGAAGGGCTTCTCACTCCGATAGACGTCGACAGCGACGTTCTCGGCAGTGTTTGGCATGTCCTTCATTCTCTACTATTTGCACTTCAGCTCAGCGACGAGACGACGATGGCGATACCTTGTTTTCTAAACCACTTTCATTTTCTCTACACGTCTTGTTGGTATTGTCTGAAAGTAAGTGACAGACTGGGGCTGTTACCGTCGCTACGTTTTTAATCACATACATGATTTTCCAAGATGGAGGGGTTGGATTGTGCATAATGCGAAGGTCCAGTCCTGGTTCAGCACCTCAAAGTATCTTGATGGATGGGGACGGTCAGGTACTTCATTCACAGCCATCATGTATACCCACCTCACGTTGCCCTGGTGTTTTCTGTGTGTGTGTGTGTGTGTGTGTGTGTGTAGTAGGGAGGATGATGCAGGGAGAAAAAGTTGGCTTCATTTCAGAAAAGGCCATGTCGTTACTCGGTAGAATTTCTTTGGCATTTCATGCATCGTCGTGCAAAGCCCCAAGCGCTTCGGGCAGGTGTCACTTGATGAATTTCCGTTTGTAGTGGCACCAGACGAAGTGCTGTGCAGACATGGCGATCACGAGTAGAGCCAAGGATCAATTGCAAAGGTCCCTGTGGTCCCTGCAGGGCATACAGATTCCAGCCACGGTTGACATGTTGTGCATGAGGCAAGCGGCGCAATTCTAAAATGATGTCTTTACCTAGGTATGAGTAGTACTGTGCGAGTTGAATTGTGGGCATTTTGACGTAGACACTGGCACGGTTGGTCTGTTCTTTGTCGTTCTTGTTCCAGTTCCAGCTGTGGCTTGCTTGGAGGGGTTGACATCATCTCCCACGGAAAAAGCCACCTTCCTACTTTACTGCTTTACCTACTTTATTCACTGCTGCCCTTCACCACCAAACTAAACTGCTTGCTTCAAACAGCTATTTGTTCGTTTGTCTGCACCTTCTACCCGCAGCTTCGTTTCCCTCGCTCATAAACCACTCTCACACTTATCATCCACCCGCCCGCGTTCTCCCTCTCAGGTCGTCGCTCAAGATCCACGCGAAACTTCCCCCAACCTTCCACCTTGACCGCCCCTCCATTGACTTCGTGACAAACTTCCAGCAATGGCTCCTCCTCCACCTCCTGCCAATGCCTCGCTCGGTGAACGACTGACAAGACTCGCTACTACCCTGCAATTGTGAGAAAGACCCCCTGAGATCCGAACAAAAGAGCTGGCTGACTTGGGACATAAGCGCGTGGTTTCTCGGCCACTTCACTCTCCTGGTCTCGGTCTTCCGCTATGGCCTTTCCTACTTCACCTTCAACTACTACTCGAAATGGGCGGCCTTTACCTACAGACTGGCTTTCATCTCGGCTGTCGCCACCTACGGAATCGTCGTCTTCAAGGCTTATCGAGCTCGCGTGAAGCCTGGTGACCCTATCGGTCGTACCGCCATGCTGCTTCTCTCAGACGAGAATGTGCAATACTTGCGTAGGTGTCACAATGCATAAAAAGATGACAATTGGCTTACACATCTTCCAGTTATTAGCTTGGTCTGGCTCTACTCCAGGCAGATTCCGCTGGCCTTGCTGCCATTTACCGTCTACTCGGTTTTCCATGTTGCAACCTACACTCGCACCAACATCATCCCGACCCTGTCCCCTCCCAAGGCTGCGCCAGGCAGCACACCCACCTCTCCCGGTGCTGCCAAATCTCAATCACCTCTGGCCAACTCTATCGGACGATTTGTCAAGGAGTACTACGACAGCTCGATGATGCTGGTTGCTGCACTTGAGATCCTCCTGTGGTTCCGCCTCTTGCTCTCTGCCTTCACCTTCAGCAAGGGTTCTTGGATCCTCTTGGCCATCTACACTGTCTTCTTGAGAGCAAGATTCCACCAGAGTCAATTTGTTCAGGGCGCTTTCTCTCGTGGATCTGCCCACATTGACCAGCAAGTTCAGAACCCCAACTTCCCACCTGCGGCCAGACAAGGTTGGGACACTGTGAAGGGTCTTGGTCGTCAAGTTGTCGATGCCACCGATGTGCGAAAGTATCTGGGTGGAGCGACTGCGCAGAAGAAGCCTCAGTAAACGGATAATGACACGGTGCACCGAAAACGTTGGTTCAAGCAGATCTCTGGCTATATTTCGAACACGAGAACTCGTCGAGGTAGCGCTGGTGTATGCCAACAAACGTCTGCACGTGGGGGACGACCACGCCTCGAAACGGTAGCCTTTGGTAGAGACAAAGTGGTGTCGACCTCTGGAAGGTGTGGTGATGATGCCTGTCTTGGGCAGTCGGCAGGAGAGTGTTGGCTTATTGTATTGTGATAATGGCTGGGAGGTCAACAGCTGCTCGGGGACTCATTTAGGGTCTCGATATCGGAAGTTGAGGATGAAGACGCGCGGTGGTGGGATGAGAAAAGGGACAAAGCATTGCAGTGGCGCTCAGACTACGTTGTTTGAATTGTACTACAGTCCTCAGTCGGACAAGAAAGCAAAGTGGTTCACTTGCTTTTGGACAAAGGGTAAAAGGATAGGAGTGCACAGCAGACATTTATTGCATCAGTATTGATTTATCTTGCGCGTCTGCTGTCTCTTGAAGTAACGAGTGATTATCAATGTTAAGAATGCTGAGCCTAGCTGCCTCTCCCAACACGAGATGTGAGTAAAGCACGTGTAAGGTAACCTGGTTACCCTCGTCTTGACAACCTGGAAGGCAGAGGATAGCCCAGCCTTGCCAGACAAATCAGTATGCGAGCGATGACTGTGCCGATGTTCTCCTCGAACATGACCGACACATGGTCCTCGTCCGCGCCCAGTGTGCACACGTACATGCCCAGGAACCAGAAGAAGATGGCGGAGGACTTTTCTAACCATCCTCGTCGCCACCATTACCATTGTCATCGACATCGACATCATCTGCGGACGGAATAGAAGGATTTTTCTAATCGTCCTCATCATCGTCGTCCTCGTCGTCCTCGTCGACTTCGGCATCCTCATCGTCATCGTCGTCGGGTAGATCGACTTCGTCATCGGCATCATCGTCTTCGGTGGTATCGCTCTCCTCGTCCTCGGGGATTTCGGCGTCCTCGTCATCATCGTCGTCGTCGTCTACGTCGTCGGATTCGTCTCCCTCGGCGGCGACGGATGCATCTTCCTCTTCTTCGTCGGCTTCATCGCCACCACTCGAGTCCGACGACTCGGCTTCTGCTTCGGCTTCTGCTTCGGCTTCGGCTTCCGCGTCTTCATCTTTGACACTAGCCTTGGCCTTGCCCTTCCCGGGATCTTGTTCGTCTTCATCTTCATCCGCCTCGGCGTCGACATCAGCGTCCTCATCAGCCGGGGCATCGGCGTCGTGATCATCCGCACCCTCACCTCCACGGGGGCCCGCAACCGTACCCGCACCCACACTCGCAGCTGTTGCCTGGTTACGGCGGCTAAGAGGACTTGGCTTGGGAGAGGCGACTTCGATGGTGTTCTCGATGGTGTTGATGTTCGCGAGCCCACTTCTCCGTCCACTCCGTCTGACCGGCGTGTTCGGCACCGAGAATTTATCTTTATCTTTATCCTTATCTTTATCCCTGTCGACCTTGTCGAAACTCAAACTCGCGCCTCGACTCCTGGTGACGGTCCCGCCTCCATTCACGCCGGCGTTGCGTGGCGAACTGCGCACCGCAACGGCCGAGGAGGTGTCGGTTAGACCGCCATTCGGTTTGGGTCTGCCGAACGCAGTAGCTAGACTGCGCTTCTTCGTGCTCCGCTGGCGCAGCATGGCCGGCGGGATAGGCGGGTCGATTTGGAAGCGCGACGGCGGGATGTTGAGAGTGCGATATGCGAGGGCGTAGCCGGTCAAGGCTGGCTCTGGTTCCTGGGGTTGAGCTTCGTCCGCTTTCTCCTTGTTACCTTCGCCTCCGCCTTCGACATTTTTGCCCTTGCTTTCGGCATCGACGTTGGTGGAGACGACAATTGTATCATCGTTGGACTTGTCATCGCCATTGACGAGTTCCAGGCCATTGACTTTGACTTCGGGTTGGGTGACTTGTGTGGAAACTGTGCCATTGAGGGCCTCTGTGGGTGGCGGACCAGGGGCGACCGTGCCATGTTCATTGACAAGCGAAGAGTCCTTGACGTCGACACTTTCCTCTGCCGCGGCGGCGGATGGTGGCTGTGACATGGCTGTCGTGCGTTTCGTCCTGGACTTGGGCGAGAGGTGGCCTGGCTCTGTCGCCTCGACGACTGCATCTGTGGCAGAATTGCCGGCTTTGGAGATAGCTTCGCTGACGGGGTTATCTTTATCTCCTTCATCTTCATCCTCGTCATCGCGAGGCGCCATAGTGTGCAAAGGCTGCCCATCGAGTGCAGCCTGGTCACTACGGCCCATGATGTACGGCGTCCATACTAGATTCTCAGGCCTTAGCTGGCGATGTTTCTTGGACTCGAACTCGTGAACAATGCGCTCGTAGAGTTTCTTGTCATAGCGCACGGCGTACGTCTTTGTTACGGGATCTCTGACGAATGCATACAGTCGTTCGAGGGAATGAATCACATCGTCGGCCGTCATGCCCGTCCGGGCCATTAGCGCTTTTGTGCTGAACGGCTTGAGACCGATAGCGAGCAGGTGTCGAGATACGGTCAGGTCCCAGTACGATCGGTATGCTGTCAAGCCCATATCTGACAATGGCTTTTCCGGTGATCCATCCTTGCCCTCTATTCTCGTGAGGAGGTATGAGAAGTCAATCAGGAACATGGCGTAGCCTTTCCTCTGGTGGATTGGCATAACCAAAATACAACTGACGTTGTTCTGGCTGGCGGGCCGCTTCTCCTTGCTGAAGTATCCGACGAAGTGGTACCCGAACTCGTCATATTCGGTCAGGATGTAGAACAGAAACGGCTCCACGTCGTAGTACAGCGTCTTCGATCCGAGGAACATCTTAGCCATAAGACATAAGCATTGACAGTATTCTGTCTTCTTGCGGCCATCGACTTCCCACACTGACAGCGTGCCATCACGGTAGATCTCGTCGCCTGGAGGATGTTTGGCGGGACATTTCAATTTGTGTCGGTACGCGACGAATTCCGAGGGTAGGTATTTCAAGCAGTATTCGCATATGAACAGTCTCGATTCATGGGAGTACTCTTCTGGGTACGGCGCTGCGTAAAACGTGTCGATGACAAATTTGCCGAACTGAATGCATTTGATCTTGGTAGGCGGCCCTGATACCGTTCGGTTAGGCTTAGCTGTGCCCTCTTTGTCTACATTGATCTCCGCCTCGGCCGCAGCAGATGTCTTCCGTCGTTCTTCCTCAGCTTCTTTCCTGGCAATCTCGAAAATCTCGCGGTCTTTGAGTTGCGGTAATGATCTGGACGTATCTGCGTCTGCTTCTGACAAAATACCACCGTATGGTTTGGCGTTTGGTTCGGCATCGCGATCTGTAAATGCCGAGGGGAAAATGAGGTTGTGGGTTGGTAGGGCAGGGAATTTGGGGACAGGGGGTTGGAAAATTGGCGGAGCGATTTTGGGGACCTTTTTCTTTTCTCTGCCTCCTCTTCTTTTGCCTGGTCGCGGAGGGTTGCTCAGAATTTCCTCAATTTTCGACTGATCTAGCCGAAAGGCGAGGATGAATTTATGAGGAGGTGCTTTCTGGAACGGCCGATGCTGCAATATCCGCGCAGTCGGTTTTGTGATTTTCAGGCTTGATCTTCTGGTTGAATGGGCGATAGCTCTCTCAGTTTCAGCCTTGCTGTCCGCCGTCATGGCTTCCAGCGCACGCGGTGTAGCTTTCCGTCGTCTCTTTTCTGTTGGAGGAGGTTCCACAGTAAGTGATTTTCTCTTTCTGAGCGAACGTCCTCCATCTTCACCCTCTTGTATGAGTGGTTGGGCAAAGATCGAATGCGAACCAGGCTTTTGCACTCCGCGTGTGACAGGTAACAAGTCTCTAACAAGTCGAGGTGCTGAGTTCTTAGACCGCACAGTCTGCTCTTTCGGAGATTCGGATAGCGGATGTTGCTTGACACAATTAGGACATTGCCAGTCGGAATAGTCCTCATCTTTGACTGCGTCATCTCCTCGGGCGCACCGCAGATGCGCACGTCCATCACAATCGGAGCAGGACAAAAGCGATTCGACCTCTCCAGCCTCTGCATTGGGCCCTTGCTTGCAGAACATGCACTGTAGCTTCGCTTCTGCGGCTGGTGTTTCTTCTGCAACCTCTTCCCCGGGCTCTGATGGCGACTGTACGCTTTCTTCCACGAGCTGCTCGGATTTTTGGCTTTCGTTATCATCGGGCACGTCTTCGCCCTCTTCTTCTTCTTCCTCTTCTTCTTCTTCCTCTTCTTCTTCTTCCTCTTCTTCTTCTTCCTCTTCTTCTTCTTCTTCTTCTTCTTCATCTTCATCACCACTTCCCCCTTGTTGGTCTGCCTCTTCATTGGCCTCCGCATCAGCATCAGCATCCGCATCAGTCTCAGCGTCTGCATCCGCATCCTCGTCCTCGTCTGCTTCAGCATCCGCATCCGCATCTGCATCTACATCTTTGGTAAAGTTGTCCTTTTTCACTCCGGGGTGCGGGGCAATTGCTGACTCGGCCTCACCATCCTCGCTTTGCTCTTCTTCCGCTGATCTCTGTAACTGTTCACCCAAAGCATTATCGTCCGGGTTTGGTGTGTGCGAGGAATCAATCTCTTGTTCTTTTTCCTCTTCATCGTCATTCGTTGTCATCCTTCCATCCTTAGCACCAGCGGTGTCACTGCCCACCAACGGCTCTGCTGCTTCTTCTTTCGTCCCGGCCTCTGCAGTTGTCTCTAGCGTGACACTCTCTTGGTCAAGGCTGGACGCATCGTCCAACTCTTCAGAGACAAGAGGCGGCATGGCGTGCTCGTACAACGTAGTTCTTTGCTAGTCCACAGCGCCGCACCTATTTTTCTAGGTCTTGGCTCTGGAGCACATCTAACTCTCATAAAGTGAGATGTAGACTCTCCGCTTCTATGCGACCGGGACCACGGATCGATCAGACATTCTACACTTCGCGGTCGCTTCGAGTTCGTTGAGGTAGTGCGGCGTCTCGTGGAGGAGGCAGGTGGGTTTCTAGACGCGTGAAATTACGGTCGACATCGCTCGGAAGGTGATTCGGGTCGTTTCTTCAATGATCGGAGAGAGGGATACACGTCAATAGACCATCTGTAACGTATTCGGACCACTAATATGTGGTTTGAAGACCACCTCGAGTCCGCACCTCCAGCAACGACCCTGCGGCGACGTCCAAACTCAGTCACGTGAACGCGCCTCGGCCTACTTTCCTTGTACTTACCTGGTACCTATGGGCTTCCCCCGTTCGTGCCCGTTCTACAAGATGAAAGTCAAGAATTATGCTTCTGAATTACACCTACATCGCAAGCTATTCAAACAGATTGATACACGTTCCTTGGCTTTTCAGAAATGTGGCCAGAACGATGTCCAATTCACAGTCTGGAAAGCACTAGCAGGGAGTGCTCGAAGACCAATGATATCCTCAACCAATATATACACTCGACAAACCGTATATGCCGCGCAGATTGGAAGAGTGAAAAGGAAAGTCTTCAGAAGAATATCCTGGTTCGGATCATTTAGCGGCGAGTTATTGATCTTTTTGGCCTCGAACCTTCTTATGGCTCCCCTGCAAGCATGACCAAAACGTGTCAGGATGCCCTTTTCAGCTTCACCGTCAGGCAGTTTCTCATTCCGCGCCTTTTCGAGTACGCTGGGTAGAATCTTGACCAATCCCATCGTAATGGTGAGGCATATCGTCATCGAGCTAGAGATTCGCCAAAGCAAACGCTCCATCGCAGAAGGGAATTCGAAGTTCCATGCGGCCATAAATATCGCAGAATAAAGCATGCCAAGGAATAGGGTGAAGCCGGCAGCTCCTCGAGGAAGCTTGGGAAAGTTGAAAGATGAAATCCGTTGGGCTGGCCACACTTTATCCCGTTGCCGTACAATGCGCAGTTTTCTCAGAATATTGACGTTATACCTCCAGAGCAGGGTAGCTGTCCATTCCTCGCGGCTAACGAAGTCGAGCGGTGTCATCGGGAACGACTTCCTGGCACTTCGAGGGATGACAGTTTGTGGCGTGGCGGACTGGGAGACAGCCGTCTGAGTAGCAGCCTTCTGTGGAGAAGCGTTCACGGGATCGACCTCTTGAGGAGCAGCATGTTGAGGGACGGCCTCTTGGGCAGCGGCATTCTGGGCAGGTGCATCTTCAGACGTGCGTGTCTCGAGAATCTGGTCCATCGTATAATCGCACCGCAATGGGGTCGGAGTATAGACATCCATTGGTTTGTTTTTCCAGCTGATATTGACTCCCAAGGTGCAAAATATGAACCCGATAGTGGTCATTTCCAAGCTTGACACCGCGAGTTGTTTTGTCGGTCTCGCTATGACGTTCAAAGAGAACCATATGATTTGACAGGAAGTTACGAACCTGCCTAGTTGTGAGCCACCAGTGCCAAGCGAGGGCATCTCACAAACCTTGCGAGTCCATCAGCTATATCCTTATCTCCGATTTCTTCTTTCGTGAGTTCGGGCAAATCGATAAATCCGTGAGCTACCAGGTAATGTAGCTGTTTTGCGCTGACTGGGAATTGCTTCCAACCACGGGGATGCAAAACGAAGCCACCCATATCTGCATAGGAGCTGTGCTTGACGGTCCAGAATCGGCAGCCAATGTCTTGAAAAGCATCCCTGGACGAAAGGGCTGACACGTACTGACCGATTGCCATCAGCAAGACAAATTCTGGCCCAAGCATAGAGAGGCAAAACATGTGCCATTTGTCCCAAAACAGATCGGTTCGAGGGTGAGGTGGACTTGGAATGTTGACGCAAATGGAAGACCAGCTGCACAGAAAGATTGTCACCGCGTAAGACATAGCTATGTCGAAAGTTCCTCGGCTGTTGGGCTGCGATACCCAGCCTCGAATCAATGCATCGTCATTCATGGTATTGACGTCGGTAGCATTCATGCTGGGACGGGGCAGTACAGTGATGAACTGCAATCGACTTTGCCGGACAGGTGAGAGTCTTCATGGCAGGAGTTCTGAGAGAGAGGAACGAAGATCATACTTGTATAAACGTGGAGGTGCCTCGTAGCGGTGTACCTTTGGCCCTCCGCGGGGGACTGTCTTTCGTACTGGGTCGGAATCACGTCTTTAAAGGCACACGCATTGGACCTCTCCGTACGGTGGCGTCAATAGGCAACCAGTCCAGTGTTATAGTCAGCCCAGGGTCAGGCTCACTAACGTAGGCCAAGATCCTCATGGAAGGAGCTTCAGATCTCGTCTCAACATCCTAGGCTCAGGTGGTTTCCATACTGGGAGGAAGTGGTACATTCTAGCGGAAGGTTTCCCTCTGAGAGGAGTTTACAGTCAATCGAACTCAAAGGTCTAAGATCGCCGAAACAACTCGGTTTGACTTGAAGTATGTGGGTGGCATGCACTTTTGTCGTAACTAGAAGTACTATGTAGCTGAGTACGAAGTACAACTCCCCTTAAGCGCCATGCAGGGGGGTAGCTGATCGGCCAGGGGCGCAGCAACAGGGATCACACGACGGGAGGTTTACATGATAACACTACAAGTATCCGTACAATACCATAGTACACGTTGTACAGCAGACAGGAAGAATGAATAGGCGCTGTTCACGGCTGGGAGTATTCCGACAGTCGACAGCAAAACCACCCGAGTTGTAACTCATTTCGCGTTTTTGTTACAGACGCCATCACGTGCAACTGCATCACGTCTCGCAGGCAACAAGCACCTTTCCAATCGTTCTTGTACATCGCGGGCGTCCCTTTGCATACTCTAGGTATAGGTGTGGTGGCCTCGGAGACAGAACTATGGCAGGAAAGTTGTATCGCTCTCAGACCACCCGAATATTTGCTGACTATGAAATACAGGCAAACCTTCGCGGCCTTTCCGCCTGCGTTACGTCGCTACCCTGTTGATCGCGCTGGCCGCTGTCTTCTTTGGTATAACTCCACCCCCTTTTGCTTTGCTCGAGCCTCTTCTGACAGGAGTCCGCAGGGTTTGTCGCCAACGACGGCGCCCAGAATCCCTCCGTCCAGGAATATTACACCAGCATAGAGTCGCGGATTGGCTACTGGCTACTCCTAGGGAACACACGACACTGTGGGCTGTACCCAAAGGGTCAGATATGGCCCTTCCCAATAAGCAAGGCCCAGCGAGCCATGGAAGATCAGGTATACAACAAGCTAGGCCTGGGCCCTGGCTCGCGCGTGCTGGATGCTGGTGCAGGGTCAGGCTATGTCGCCATGCACATGGCAGAGAAAGGCCTGACGGTCCAGGCCATCGACATCACACCCCTTCACGTTGAAGATGCTGAGAAGAATATCAAGGCTCGCGGCCTGGAAGGCAATATCTCCGTGCGCTTAGCCGACTATCACAACCTGACTGACTTCTCCGACGGATCTTTTGACGGCATATATACGATGGAGACATTCGTTCATGCCGACGATCCTTCGAAGGTTCTCCATAACTTCCGGCGGCTGCTGCACCCTGGTGGTGTTCTGGTCCTTAATGAGGCTGACTTCAACCGGAACTCTGAATTGTTGCAAGATGTGCTCCGTCTGTCGCATTGTCAGAATACTCTAGAAGAAGGCGCTCTGCCCAGAATGTTGGAGGAGGCTGGCTTCACGGATGTCGAGCTGGAAGATCTGACCGATGAAGTCCTCCCATTATGGCGGCTGTTTGGCTTCGTTGGATATGTCCCATACAAGATCCTACAGGTTTTTGGGTTACATACATGGTTCACGAACCTGATGGCTGGTGTGGAGTCCTACCTACACTGGGGAGAAGGGCGATACGTTTCGGTCAGAGCAGTAAAGGCCTAGTCGACGCGAGCTTTCAAGCTGCATCTGGCGAACAACATTGTCTCCCAGGCTAGCTACTGACATCGTGGTCATCTCCACGCATTCGTACTGGCCGTTTTGCGAAAGCCGCTCTGCACTTGGTATGCCACAGCAAAGCTTCAACTCTGGCAGGACTTCAATGTCAAAACCTGCATCAGTAGCGTTGGACTACAGAAAGGCTGGCGCGTCTCCAGTGAATCTCATGCAGCCTCTGGCATGGACTCAAACGTTTTCCTTCCGCAATACCTCTCAGAGATTGGCGGCTCAAGCAAAGTGAAATCTGCTCTGTGGTCACGTGGGCGCTCACCTAGATCGTGCCGCTTTTAACATCAACGGCCCGCGACTCACCTTCTCACCTCTTCTTACCCTTCGGACGCACGCACCAACTCACCCTTCAACTCACCCACGCCTTGACGGCCTGACCTTCGCCTGATGCCGGTAAACTACAATGGGTAGTTCCCCGACGGTGGGGATGCTAAGGAGGATGAGGAGGAGTACGAGTAGACTTCGTCATGATCGACGCGAGCGTAAACATGCGACCTTCCTTCTGGGGACGTCCCACCTTCAAGATGAACACCTTCTTGCGCCAGCGTCCTACTCGATAACCTACGCGTGCTTCTGCTACTCCCACGAGCTACATGCCGGTAGATGTATTCTCTCCGGAGCTTCTCCCGCCGCTGCGTTTCCTGTACACATTGCCTTCGCCCCACAACTCGAAGATGCACTGCCAGGTACATATTAAAGGTTGCTCCCAAATCCAGGCGATGCCTCTGAGGCATCATCGGTGGTTGAGCGTCCATTCTTCGACTCTTCCACGCAAACATGGCAACGACACCAAGTTTGGGAAGGACCTTCTTGCATCTACTCGTACGCCTTCTATCGATATTCGCCCTTGTCCACGCTCAGAGTGCCTCAACTTCAGTCACTCAATGGCCGGTGCATAATGATGGCCTTAGTGACTATGTCCGATGGGACCACTACAGTTACATCGTTAACGGACGGAGGACATTTCTCTTCGGTGGCGAGATGCACTATTGGAGGATACCAGTCCCAGAAATGTGGGGTGATATCCTCGAGAAGATAAAAGCCGCCGGTTGTAATGCGTTTACCTTCTATGGTCACTGGGGGTATCATGCTCCTAATCCGACAACATTGGACTTCGAGAATGGTGCACATAACTTCACGAAGCTGTTCGAACTCGCTCACAACCTTGGATTATACGTCTTTGTCCGACCAGGCCCCTACATCAACGCAGAGGCAAATGCTGGAGGCTTTCCTCTCTGGCTGACAACAGGAGACTATGGGACATTGAGAAACAACGACACCAGGTACACAGCAGCTTGGACTCCTTACCAGACAGAATTCGCACATATAGTGTCCCAATACCAGGTGACAAGTGGTGGCAATGCTCTTACATACCAAATTGAAAATGAGTATGGGTATCAGTGGACCAATACGACCGCGAAAGCACCCAACGAGACCGGGATTGCCTACATGGAGCTTCTTGAAGCAAACGCCCGCCAGAATGGTATAACCATTCCCCTGACCCATAACAATCCAAATATGTACTCGCTATCCTGGTCTAAAGACTATGACACTGCCGACGTGGGCGGCGATGTCGACATCTACGGACTGGACTCCTACCCAGCCTGTTGGAGCTGCAACCTTGCCGAATGCACGAGTACCAACGGTCCGTATGTGGCTTTCGAGGTACAAGAATACTACGACCACTTTCAGTTGGCAGCTCCCACACAGCCGGAATTCATGCCTGAGTTCCAGGGTGGATCTTACAATCCCTGGGGCGGGCCACAAGGGGGATGTCGCAACAACACAGATGAGTACTTTGCTAACCTCTACTACCGGCACAATATTGCAGAACGTGTAACGGCAATGTCCCTGTACATGTTCTATGGTGGAACGAACTGGGGTTGGTTTGCCGCTCCCGTCACCGCTACCAGTTATGACTATTCGGCACCCATCTCTGAGGATCGGTCAATTAGCTCCAAGTACTATGAAACAAAGAATTTGGCCTTGTTCACGAGAGTCGCACAGGACTTGACCTTGACAAACAGAATTGGCAACAGTACATCTTATTCGACGGATCCTGCAATCTCGACCACGGAGCTAAGGAATCCGGAGACCTACGCTGCATTTTACGTGACTATTCATGCGAACTCCTCGTCATCTTCTGTGGACTCGTTCAAGCTCAGCGTCAGTACGTCTGCGGGAAATTTCACTATTCCACAGAAAGGCAGTTCTATCGTCCTCGATGGTCATCAGTCGAAGATCGTTGTTACAGACTTCCATATCGGCTCAGAGACCTTGATCTACTCGACTGCGGAGGTCCTCACATACGCAGTTTTTGATGACGCTCCAACGCTGGTGTTATGGGTCCCTTCTGGTGAGGGCGGCGAGTTCTACCTGAAAGGCACCACTTCCGGCTCGGTCTCTAAATGCGATGGCTGCTCAGATGTCGGGTTCTATCCAGAGAGCGACGGCCTCATTGTCATGTTCCAGCAACAAGCAGGATCAACCGTTCTCAACTTCAACACAGGGACTCGAGTTGTGATTCTAGACAGAACCTTTGCCTATCGATTTTGGGCACCTGCACTGACTACAAGTCCGCTAGTATCACCGAATGACACCGGTAAGTGTTATCAGATCCCGTCCTACATGTGCTGACGTTTTATCAGTCCTGGTGCAAGGGCCATATCTGGTCCGTGATGCTACCATACAATCCCAAACACTTGCACTTACTGGCGATATCGACAGCGCGACGGAAGTTGAGATCTTTGCTTCCAAGTCTGTGCAGTCAATATCGTGGAACGGGAAGTCCCTGAATACCACGGCGACCGCCTACGGAAGTCTTGTCGGTCAGTTGGCCGCGCCAGCTGGGTTTGTAGTACCACAGTTTGGTCCCTGGAAGGTGCATGACAGTCTTCCGGAGCGTCTGACAAACTACTCCGACGCAGGTCCTGCCTGGGTCGACGCAAATCACAATGTTACACCGAGCGTGTATCAACCTGCGACACTGCCCGTGCTGTACGTGGACGAATATGGGTTCCACAGCGGCATACACCTATGGCGAGGATATTTCGACGGCCAAGCAAGCGGAGTATTTCTTAACGTCCAAGGTGGAACGGCATTCGGTTGGAGTGCTTGGCTGAATGGGGGTTTCGTTGGGTCTTTCTTGGGAAACGCTTCCCTCGAGGCAGGCAATATGACTATTTTCTTTTCCAACGCAACAGTGAAGGCTACCGGCAACGTGCTACTTGTGGTCCAAGATAATAGTGGCCATGACGAGACAACTGGTGCTCTCAACCCACGTGGAATAACAAATGCCACTTTAATTGGCGAGGCGGGATTTACCGCTTGGAAAGTCGCGGGCACCGCAGGAGGTGATGCGGCTCCTATCGACCCTGTACGAGGGGATCTCAACGAGGGTGGGCTCACAGGCGAAAGGCTTGGCTGGCATCTCCCTGGGTTTGACGATTCGGCTTGGGCGACCAGCTCTCCTGCAACCGGATTTACTGGGGCAGGTGTGCAGTTCTACCGCACCACCTTCTACCTGGGTATTCCATCGAATCAAGATGTGTCACTGAGTTTCAGGCTCGGTAGCCTGGGGCCAGTCGATTTTCGGTCTCTCCTTTTCGTCAACGGCTACCAGTATGGGCGTTTCAATCCTTACATTGGCAATCAAATCGACTTCCCGGTCCCGCCTGGTGTGCTCAACTATAATGGCAACAATACAGTGGCAGTCGCGATCTGGGCACAAACTGAAGCTGGAGCAGCGGTGGATGTTGATTTAAATGTCGAATATATCACTGACACATCGTACGACTTCACGTTCGACAGTGACTACCTCAGACCAGAATGGACTGCAGCTAGGCTACAATGCGCATGAAGGTCAATGAAGCAGCAAGAACGCGTCTAGCAAATCATATTAGCCGTTAGGATTGCATATTATTGAATACTCGTCACTTGAGAAGTGAAGACCCGTGATGATATTGATGTTCACGTGAGTTGAGATCACGTGGCATCACGTGATGGATGATTAGAGTCGATCTTCAAGCTTGGTACATCCTGACCGAGCTTCAAGCTGGCATGCGATACCTAAGACACCCTCCCAGCAGCACCAATCTTGAAACACTACACTTCCACGTCCAGGTGCTTTGATGTCCTGGAGCAATCCGTTTCCTACGCTCCAATTATCATATCAAGTGGAGGAATCGCGCCACAGATCCTGCCCTTAAGGGCTTCTCCGAACATTCAACAACTCGATCACTAACCGCACTTCGCCATGGGTGTCCCCTTCGAATCCCTTCTTCCTTACGCCATTATGGTGGGCATGTTCGGTGTCACGGTACGAACGTCCTCATTTAGCATAGAGCTTGGGGCTAAGTGCGTTTTATAGGGTGCTGGTTTGGCCTCGCTCAAATACTACACAAACGACTACAAGCGGCCGCGGAGACAGTTGGACGTCTGGGACAGGCAATGTTGGTCACATGCGACGGTTCAAGAGGATATCTGCTGATGAGAATAGTGATGGAAAGAGACTACAGGATAACAGGGAAGTTCAGAGGACAGTCGGATGCTGTGGAAGCGCCGGTGGGATTTGAAGGTTGGCAAACATACCTCTTCATCTTTATGAAACGCTAACCTTTTTTTAGTAAACAGCAGATGGAAGGTTGGTACTCACTGGACGAGGGGATTCAGGCAGACTTCTAATCATTCTCTTAGGCTGAACCACGAATCACATAAGTCGACATGCTACCCGACACCCAAAACCTCGACGCCCAGACTTGTACGTATCGATGAGAGGCATACAAAGAATCAGATGTGGAGAGAAGGGCTGCATTGCTCAAGAGGCACGCGTCGGCTTCTTTTTGAAAGAGGTAGCCCGGGATTGTCCCTTCCAGATGAGAACAAAACAAATGATACCATTAAGAACCAATAGCGCTCTCCGTGTTGCCACCGTTGGCTTTCAGTATCATCGCACTCTCTGCATTGCAGGCTAGGGCCTCCTTGGAATATCATGAAGTGGCTCCCTTTGTTGAGTGCGCACGGAATCCTGCGAAAGAACACGGTCAAGCCCTCACGAACTATCCTTCTGCAATCTGTAGACCAACACAGAATGTAGGCTGTAGCGAATCCTCAGTAGGGTCCTTGTGGCTTTCACCTCCCTCAATGTTGGTACTCACTCTTGAGCGTCTAGCATCTGCCACCACAAAGTCTCCGAGTTCGGAGTGGCGGCTAAGGATCGACTGACGCCTCGGCCATTTCGTGAATCTCCAATTTCTATTCCCCTTCACGCTCCTTCACAGGTCCATAAATGATGCTCAAGTGCCAGTTTCATCTTGCGTTGTGCCAGAGTGCAAAGCAGATAGTATTTAATCGCAGTGCTCTTTCTTTCACACGAGTTCAATCATCCGTCCGTCGAAGATTCGTTATTGGCGTCAGGAGTATGTCAGCTGGAAGTTCAAGCGATCTGCTGGAGAAGCTTCGCCAGCTGCATGAATATTCTCCCTGCGATGTAAGGCGCACGAAGGCAGCTGTAACTTCCTGCTCACAGTCCAGGTCTCGGATGCTCTCCTCAAGCTCCAAAAGCCTAAATCAGGCGAGGTCGCAAGAGCCGGGTTCCTGGCAGATATTGGTAAGCTCGATATGTATCTGTCCGAGCTTCCCTTGTTAAGACAGAGAAAGTGCCTATCCCACCATCACAGGGACTCGCAGCGGATGTTAGCGCATCCCACAAGGTGATTGCACCTGCATGCACGCTGAAACTGGTATCAAAGAATTCGCCGCCAGCATCAACGCCGCCAGCCGAGAATGCAATACCCAAGGGAAGCCATTGGGTAGACCTAACTGAACCTGGCAGCATTGTCGTCATTGATCAGCCAGAAGGACAAAAATGTGCGGCTGTTGGTGGTATCATGGCACAAAGGATGAAAAAAAGAGGTGTGGCAGGTTGCATCATTGGCGGTCGTGTCAGAGATATGGCTGAACTGAAGAGTTCTCAACTTCCGGTATGTCTTTATCTTGATTCTTGTTTGAGTTCTTGTCTGTTGCACGTCAATATTCATCATCCCGATCACAAAACTGATAGTTTTTCAGATCTTTGCACTGGGAAAGTCAACAGTGGGGACGGGTGCTGAATCGACAGTATATGCTCGCAACGTTCCAGTATCCATAAGTGGTGTCACTGTCTCTCCGGTAAGAGTGACTGCCAGTTGAATCGTTACGCCTTTCAACTCACCATTTCTAGGGCGACATTGTCTTCTGTGACCCTGTAGAAGGCATTGTTGTCATCCCGCAGGAACTGCTTGATGAAACTTTGTCGCTGATGCCCAAGTTGGTGTCGGCTGACGATAAAGTGAAAGAAGCTGTAGAAAACGGGATGACTGTGGCAGAGGCATTCAAAAACTTCAGAGGGTGAAGCAACGGCTGGCTTCTGTCCCACCATACCTTTCTTCAATTGCGATGTATGGTAGTGATATTGAAGACTTCGCGACTGCCTAGCAACACCAGCCAAGTCGGCCAGAGAAAATCACTCGTCGTGCATCCCCCTCGATTTGGCACAACGACATGATCGCTGCCTATTCATCGCGACTATAGATACATTGTGTTCTTCTGCACACCACACAGTATGGCGTCGCCTACGACGACATCACAGTCGTCAATCGAGGCTGTGCTGAGTCCCTCCAAACGTTCCCTCTCAGCAAACAACATATTCACTCCCATGCCCGCGCCCAAAAAAGCACGCCTACAGATTGCACCTCTTGATTGCAGCCAGCCAGGCTGTCCATCACCTCCCCCAGAGGCAAAGCCATCGGTGTAAGTAGAGCATTCCCTCCCTGCGCCTTGTCAATCCGCTCCATCCCTTTGCCCAGTTGCCTCGAGGTCGCGCTCAAAGTCAAGAGCCACAGACACCGATATCTTCGCTAACACTCTGGCAAATAGAAATCCGGCCACTTCTACGAAACTGCTTCTACCCTTTCCCTGTCTTACGATTCCTCCTACACCCGTGTTCCCACCGTCCACCATTCCGGACACCCCAGAATCACGGCAATCAAGTCCTCCAACTCCTCCCGCGCTTCTTCCAGCTTTCGTTCCATTCATTAAGGCTGAGCCCTTCCCGGTTATCAACCCGGTCCAAGATCTTTCCGCCTCGGAATTCTCTAGCACGTCAACTACCGACAGTTTTGACTTCTGCTCAGGACCAGAGGTCATGTCTTCGGCATCAATATCTTCGATCAGCTCGCACGCTGGCGCCACAACTACTTCTCAACAGACCAAAATGACCACACCTGATCCGATGCAGAAGAATCCTTACTTCCACAACCTCCCGGCCCGCGTTCTGAACAGAATCTTCTACTTCGTCTTCGCCGATCACGGATCCTTGGACGATGCCGTTCGCCCTTACTATCGAAAGGGTATGCTGGCTGTTTACATCAAAACCGGACACAATTTCAAGCCAGGAGAAGCATGCGTGGTAGTCCAAGACAACATCGACACTGATGTCATGCTCGTGAACAAGCAGTTCCTTGAAGCCGGCAGCCGGGTACTGTACGGGATGCGAACATTCAGATTCAGCGACCCCACCTCTTGCAAGTGGTGGTTCAAACATATCGGCAACCAGAACGTCTCGAATGTTCGGAACCTCAGCTTGGGAATTGATTCCGGCTTCAACGTCAGAGTTCAGGACCGATGTACGATTGATCTCTGTTTCGAAGAACAATGGTATCAGTTCTTCTGCTGGCTTCTGAACAGACATTGCTTGGATAACCTGAAGATCGAGTTCTGCAAATGGCTTGAGCCTCGATTTGTGGTTCCTGATAATCTCGACATGCAATATGAGATCGACGACTGGCGCAAATCTCTGATTATCAAGCTTCAAGACTTTCGCCGCGTTGGGAATGCTCAAATCCTTGATGTGAGCAATGTCTTCATGATGGCTTCGGACTGTCGAAAGATCGCTCTGGTGATGATGCAACCGAAGGACACCGGTATTGTTTCCCCGATTGTGAAACGAAAGCCACCATTGCTAGAACTGCTACAAGAACTGCGAGTCAAGAACCAGGAAGAGCAGGACAAGCAAGCTCAATCCCGAGTCGCGGAGCAGGGGCCGAGACAGGTGGTGAGAATGAAGCAATCGTCGATCAACCTCAAACAGAAATCGGACAAGCCAAAGTCGTGGAGATTGACCCAAGCATCGAGAATGGATAGTTTTACACCCGGGAAGTTTTACAGTCCGATCACAAAGAAACTGCATCAGACCTATTCGAAGAAGAATCGAGGACGGCTTTTCAACAATTCGATGTGGGAGGAATGATGGCCTACGTCTCGATGGGTCCATTGGTCCGGAGTTGTCGATCAAAGGCAGACTGCGGTTTGCATGATCTTTACTATGGGTTCTCGAAGAAACTGTAATGTCAGCAATAGTGGCAACTGGCTAAAGAGTCTCAATTGCAGTTCAGGACAGCCAAGGAAAGCGTCTGGTGTGGAACAGTGGGACAATGGCTATCTTGGAATCGAGATCGGGTAAGAGGAAGCTACGCGGTCTATTTCACATCGCACGACAGGATAGAGATTTCGATAATGGCAAGGTTTCTAAATCATGAAAGTTTCTTGATTCGTTGAGAATAGATCTTCCTCCATCCGTCGCGTAGTCGGGTCACGCGGGTCACGCTGTCCCTTGCCGTAAGAAAACACCTTCTCGCTAACCATATCACAAAATTTGAACGTCCTATTCCGGCACTTGGACAGTTCGAACACGCGTTTGACAAATGTGTTGTTCAACACACAGCTGCCCTTTCATCTACACACTGACGGTGACTTGAGAGACTCATTCAGTCTTGAACGCGATCTGGCGACTCTTGACAATCTCGTCGTCCTCTCCAATATCGAGTTCCCTCAACTCGCCGGTGCCGACGTTGTAGATGAGGCCATGGATCTGCAAGCCACGTTCTTGCATGGCGTCAATGACGATAGGATTCTCGGACAGGACCTTTGCGCCATTGCGCACGTTCAACTCAACCAACTTCAACGCGCGCTCCTTGGGGTCGAGACTGTTGAGCAAGGTCAAGTTTTCCTGGCGGATGGCCCGCAACGGCATCAGCCAGGTGTCGATCAGGCCGAGTTTCTTGTTGTCCAGGGCGGCGGCGATGCCTCCGCACGAGGTGTGGCCGCAGATGATGATGTGCTTGACCTTGAGGTACTGGACGGCAAACTGGATGACGGACAGCGAGTTGATGTCCGTGGCGGTCAGGATGTTGGCGATGTTGCGGTGGCAGAAGATCTCGCCCGGTTTGAGGCCGAGAATGGTGGTTTCCGGGCAGCGTGAGTCGGCGCAGCCGATCCACAGGATCTGAGGGGATTGGCCTTTGCCCAGGGACTCGAAGAGTTCCGGGTCGGTCTCGGCGAGGGAGCGGCGCCAGGCCGAGTTGTTGTTGAAGGCCTTGCTGTAGGCGTCCTCGGTGTTGGGCGGTGCTGCGTGGAGAGAGTTAACAAGTTGGTCTGAGAGAGATTTGTCATGGGGCACATTGTAAACAAAAAAGGAATGAGAAGGTGGTGTTGTCATGGGAGTGCATCATGATGTTGAGTGAAGGGGTCCAGACGGCCGGGAGAGGAGGACGTCGAATGGAATGATAGTCCGGGACTCCGTATTGAGCAAGCCAAACAGAGTGGGATGTCATGTCACGTGCTCGGAGTCGAAAATGTTGAGATGAGGTCTTTTGCAGTAGCTTTTTGTGAGGGCCGGAAAATGCCTTTTGCATGCCAATGTTGATTTTGCAAAAAAAGGCATCATTTTCCAATAATCATATGTCCTCCTTCTCAAATGTGAAATGACTTGCACGGCTTATCAAGCAGGGGAGGTGACTTGGGCCCAGTTGCGAGGGTAGTGGAGGGAGGATCTTTAGATAGAAGGAGAAAGATGGTACTAACATGAAGGCATCGTGCTTGGTTTGAACTCGGTTTCTTCGCTTTCGTCGTTGCTGTCTGCTGTTGTCGAAGAGTCGGATTCGTCAAGAACTTGAAGCTCCTGTGGGTGTTTGGAGCTACTAAATAGTCGTCGTGCAGAAAATGAGAGTCGGCGAGATATTGAGATATCGGACGAATTGAAGGATGAGGATGACGGTGACGGTGAAGGTGGGAAAGAGAGGGTCCGAGTAGTAGTGTGCAAAGACACACACCAGATCCCGGAAGCAGATCTACGAGTATGGAACTGGGACCGGGACCAGGACCTCGAGGACCAGTCAGAAGCTCGGAACTGCCTGGATTGCCACGATTGCTTGGATTGCTGCGGCTGATGCTGTTTGGTCAATAATAATAATCCTGATTTGGTGCCAAAATCTCGAGGTCGAGGGAGACTTTGTCGCGGACAGGCGAGATTGCTGCTTGTGAGACGTCGCAGCGTTGATAACGACGCCGGACAGTGCCAGTGCCTTGATGAGGGCGACATGATACGAGTACGTCCTCCAGTGGTCCTCTCAGGAAAGGAGGAAGAACGATTATGCGTGACTCGCGAGAAGGGCTCGTATCAAGAGGATTGCATTGCGTTCTGCCTTGGCAATCCTTTTTTTTTTTATCCTGGCGAGCTAGGTGCCTCCACGCAAGCACCCAAAGACCAACAAAGGGACGGATGATTTCGCGAAAGATAATAAGCCGTGACGTGCGATGAGTCGATGACACCGAAAGTAGCCGCCTGGGGCCCGCGGCTTTGACGAGAAACTTCGGAGCCTGTCAGTGGTGCCGGGGGTGCTTCACGGTGACCGATTAGGTGCGCGAGGTGGGCTTCCAGGCACTAAAACGTCAGCTAGGCTCGCCTCTGAGATCCCCCGGTCGATCGCACCCAGATCTCGCGCAACAGGAGCTCAGAAAATCTTTTTTTTCTTGGCTCTTCATGATTGGTTGTTCGTGACCTCAGTCATCATCGTGCCTGTCGACATGGGCGCTTTTTTTGGCCTGCTCAAACACAAAGTAAGCTGGTCGAATTTGTTGCTTTTCTCATCAAGGTCCGCGGAGCTCCTCATGCGTCAAACACAAGCCCCATCATCCATCTACTGTAATGTCCCTGAGGATACTCGTATCTATCGAGAATGAAATGTGCGCTTGTTTCAGCACGAGTTTCCGACTGATAAGATCCCAAGGGCAGAGGCCCTCCCCTCTCCTCCGTCTCAAGTTTCATATCCGGCCGCGCAATCCGACCGCCTGGTATTCCAGGATACTCCTTGATACCACCACTGCTACGTAGTATTGTCTCAAGTCATGTGATATCAACTTCCGCAAGAGTCTTGACAACGTAACCCATCTGAAACAACATTCCAACATTCATTCCCTGCTGGCAAAGGATATAGCAAGGCACATGCGTTATCGCCGCTCCAGCCATTGTCTTCAACAGACAGTTGTGTGCTGCTCCCTGAGCAAAATTCCCTCATACCGAAGCATGGTTCGTATAGCCGCCACGCTCGAAGCATCTTGATGAATCACATCTTGAAATAACACTTGACGAATGAAGGATTTGATGCCTCGACTCTATTGGCTAGGTCGAACTTATGTTCAATCACTTTGATATGTAGTGACTTTGACCAGACTTTGATTCAGCCGCTGCTCAAGTCCGCGGATTGTTCACCACCACGTCATCAGCTGGCGGCTTTGGTGCTGTGTTCGACTGTCAGTGAAATACTGGGAAAAAGCGGACAACCTTGCAATGGGAAAAGGGACTCTAGCATGTCGGTAAGACGCAATAAATATCTGGTTGATAGCGCAGGGTCTGGGATGGAGGAAAGGCAACACCCTCCGATCAGCAGCAAAGCCTGGCGGCAGGCCAAAAAGCTCGATTGGCTGGTCTCCTCACGGCGCTCAAAAGCACCCATCACGTCCCCAGCGCTGCCGTCGATCGTTGTTGACCTTGGACTTGGCACCCCTTCGTCGGCTCTCCAATGGAGAATTTTTGCCATGTCAATGAACGAATGTTTAATGCCTGTTTGTATGTCTGACTTGACCCAAGGCCGCTCAGAGGCTGTTTTTGCAACCTGTGTACTGACAATTAGCCACTCGTTTTGGGCGTCGATGGTCCATGCTCTCCTCCGTTGCGGTATCTGCCCCTGGAGGAGGCATATGTGCTGGCGACACCGGCAACACGCTTCATCGAAGTTCTGCCCGCCAACCCGGTGCCCTTGAGAGACAAGGCGATGGCCTCTGATGTCATTGAGCTGACTGCCCTGAGAAGGGCCCTCAGTCCTTTCTTTGTCTGTTTTATTAATGATCACACTGGCTGGCGATAGCTCGTTTATCTGAATTTCCCAATTGGCGGGATGGCACTCGTGGTGCTGATGTTGCGCCTGATGGTGAAATTGGAAAACCGAAGACTCGGGCCGTCAAAGTGTCACACATCGACTGGAGCGGCCACGCGATCTTGATGGCCGCCACCTAATTGCACTGTTCTGGCCAGGGGGCCGGATATGCTTGGGTCCTCCGCTGTCCTCCTACCACGTTCCTGCTGCCCCTGGAGGTCGACATTTTCGGCCTAGCTGCATCCCCCAGCCTTGGCGGATCCTTGGCTTCCTCGCGACAAATCTGGCCATTCATCCTTTTCACCAACGTAAGACGAGTCCTCGCCTCTTGTCACAACCTCATCAAAGCTCTCCGGAAACATTTATTGATCAACGTACGGTGTTCCTCTACTCCTTAGTTTTCCATCCTTTGCAGATCTCAAGTGTCAGAGCTTCAACTCCGCGTCTTCGACGGCGACGCGCCTTTTTTGTGTCTCAGTGCACCCCCTGGATGGGCGAGCTTGGCTATGGATCTTTAATCTCTCTCCATTTCTTGGACACCACCATCATCCACTCCAAGACTTTGCTGCTCCCGACAAGAATTGACAAGAAGTTCCAAGGACTTGGCCGTCTCAAAATGGTTGCCTTTATACTTATTCTCTCCTATTTTGAGATCCGCCTAATCTCCTCAACTCGAGATCTCCCGTGGACTCTAACCTTTCCGCTCGCCTAAACACACTCATATGTGGAGTGATACTGTTTCGTGTTATTCCTCTGCGTAAGATCAACTCAAAGGGTAAGATGTGAGGCTGCCTACGATGGCTTGCAATTAGCGAAGGGCCCAAAAATGGCCAAGTCGAAGCCTAACAGCCATATTAGTAGAAAGGTATCCTACGTTCCTCTGTCCTCCTTTTGCACGCTCATTCTCAACCGCATCATATCATTTTGAAAGCTTTTGCTTTCGTCCTTTCGTTTCTGTTCTGTCGCTCCTTTCCTTAACTATGAGATCCCTCGTATATTGGGCGGCTCTTTTGCCGCTCCACTCTCTCAACGTCCTTGCAAATGCACCAGAAGAGGCGGACGTTATCATTGAGGTCACCACGACAAGAACAGTGACCGTGTGTCCTCTCACAGAGTTCCACACCTGCGAAGCCGATGTTCTTCCAACGGCTATTCTTCCATGGGAAGATTGGACCAACACTCCTAGCGGATCTGCGGCCACCACCACAACGTCAAAGGGAAGCGATCACTCAGGTAGCTGGGGAACACCGACCGGATCTTCATTCCCCGGCTCTGGAAGTACTACTTCTGGCACTGGCTACTGGACCACCACCGCAGGCCCTGGCAGCGTGACCTCGACTTCCACGTCTGTACACTATGGCAACAGCACAACGACTTCCACCCTTACTTCGACCACCACCTCTGCTTGTCTCAATTCGACGGCAACTTCTGCTGTCAGCCTCGAAACGCCTCGATGCAACAGCCCAGAACACAGAGGTGACTGGTGCCACGGCAAGTCTATCGATGATGACACCCACCGCACCTTCTTCACCGGGCAAACCAAGAAGTACACTTTGACGATCACCGAAGAAAACATTAACTATGACGGCACCTTTAAGCCCTCTTTCGCTGTCAACGGCCAGTCGCCCGGTGAGGCTATCGTCGCTAACTGGGGTGACATGGTCGAGGTCACTGTGGTCAATGGGTTGACCACCAACGCCACGACAATCCACTGGCATGGTATCAGACAGCTTGGCACCAATGACCAGGACGGTGTGCCTGGTGTCTCCGAATGTGGTATTGCCCCCGGTGCCTCCCGCGTCTACAAGTGGGTAAGTCTTGTCAAATCCTCTTGACAGCGCTAAGCTTCGGTCATCCCCTATTCAGCTCTTCAATGCTAACGATCTCAAGCACGCGAGTACCTACGGAACTGGATGGTATCACTCCCATGCCTTGTCTCAATATGGCGCTGGTTGCCGTGGCCCGGTCATCATTCATGGACCTGCCACCGCGGACTACGACCTCGATATGGGCACAGTCATGATTGACGAGGCCTTCAACCAGACCATTTTCCAGATGGCCTACAACATCGCCAGAATTCGAGGTGCCTTGCCACCATCTACCAACTACTTGCTCAACGGCAAGAACAAGTCCCCGGATGGCACAACAGGTGAGAGCGCGCAATGGACCGTCAAGAAGGGAAAGAAGCATCTTTTCCGTATCATCAACAGGTAAGTGTGTAACGTTGCTGTACTGTTCTATACTAACGTGCATCGCCAGTTCTGCTCAAACTGCCTATGCTGTGCACTTTGATTATCACAAAATGAAGGTGATTTCGGCCGATTACACTCCAATCGTCCCATACGAGACGGATATCCTGTACATCCAAAGTGGTCAGCGGTACAATGTTATTGTTGAGATGAACCAGGTAAGAACATACCGTGCCCTTATTGAGCATAAGCTTATCGTGAACAGCCCGATGGAGCCTATTTCCTACGAGCAGTAACACAGACTGGTTGCGGTGTGCAGAGCTTGAACAACGGCCTCGGCACTTCCAACGGTATCTTCAGCTATGAAGGTTCTTGCTCCACGCCCAAATCAGACAATTTCACCATCGTCACTGCTGGCGACTGCAAGGATGAACCACTGGCGAATCTCATTCCTCACGATGCCAAGTCTGCCGGCTCGGTTGCCGAGTTCCAGGATACCGTCAAACTTCTCCCTGGCGGCAACGCAGGCTCACAGGTTTTCGGTGAATACGGTTCGGTCATCAGATGGTTCCTGGGCGGCTTGATGGATCTCGCGAACAACAGCGCCACTCCAGCGGCCAACAAGGCCATCAATGTCACTTACGATGAGCCAACCTTGAAGACACTGGCTACTCTGCCAGGTTTGGCGTACAACAGCTCGTTCTTCGGCAACACTGCTGTCCTCGACGGCCCTGCAAATTCTTGGGTCTACTTCGTCATTCAGAACAACTTCCAGACATCGCACCCCATGCATTTGCACGGTCATGACTTTTCGGTGCTTGGTCAAGGACGAGGTGTCTTCACATCCGACATGATTGGCCAGCTCAATTTCCAGAACCCGGTACGACGAGATACTGTTTTGCTCTTCGGTGGCGGCACCCCACAGGCATTTATCTCTGGCTGGACAGTCATCGGCTTCGAGACTGACAACCCCGGCGCCTGGCTCATGCACTGCCACATTATCTGGCACGCCGATGGTGGTATGGGCCTTCAATTCCTTGAGAGACCCGATGAGATCGATGCCGTCAGATACTACAATGCGGATTTCAAGAACGAGTGCTCGGCCTACGAGACATATGAGGACGCTGGTCACGGCAGACATCCCTATGAGTCCGGTGTCAAGAGACGACATCTGCAGGCCCACAAAAACTCGCACATGAACGTCGTCCGAAAGTTTTGAGGTGGTCCAGGGATATATGACGATTGGCACGGGCCAACTTGGAAATACTTGATATTCGTGACGTGAACGCAATGGAACGCCAGCATCGGGAACCCTGTATGCAGTATAATTTGTCCTTCTGGTGCATTCTCTTTTTTGGATAACTAATTCACACTCCTTTGTACAGTATCGTGTGTTCTCGGCTCAAATGTGCATCACTGAGTGAGGTTCCGTCGACAAGCCGCTCCTCGTCTGACTTTTCAGAGTTCCATCAGTCGTCCGCAACCACTTCGACTGGAGTCGTCATGTCATCAATGCTGACAGCGAGTTCAAAAGATCCGACCAGATACGGCACTAACCTTGAAGAGGCAGGTAGAGGCCGTCAGTACCCAGTCTCTCCAGGGCTGACCTCCTAATCTTCAACCTATCACAACACGCCTTCAGCCTCATCAGGTTCTGTTTGTTTTAGTCGTCACCCTGACGCATCAAAGATAGGCGCACGTCTGGCACACCTGTGGTGCCATAAAGCAACAAATGATCGCCCGTCCTTGGGCGATAAGCGGCAAAAATAACAAAAAACAAGCAGAACCAAGCATGGTCGATCCCTTGGTCACCATTGCTTATCGCCTCGACAGATTTCATATCAGAAGCTTAACACCCATGCGTCCCCAAGGAGAGGATCGGTGGATGATCTCTAATGCCTCGTGTCTGCCGCGCTCGAGTTCCGAGGCACGCGGAGCTGTTAAGTACTGGCCGGGCGGTCCTTCACTAGTCAGCGACTCCAACACTCTCACTTCGCATTCAGCATGGCCGACGAAGCTTTGGAAGGGGAGAAGAGGACATCAAACCCAGATGGCGGCGAACGGAAGATCTCCCTACAGGAGCTAGCGGACTCAGATGATGTGGTCATAACGCTCAACGGCCAAATCATCAATGCTTCGGGACATGCAGACCAGCTACAACGTCAATACGGCTTACTTAGCATCCTGGGCTTAGCCCTGACCGTCGACAACGCCTGGGTCGCTCTGGGGACATCCCTGGCAGTTTCAATTTGTACGCCCTGCATCTTCATATATTGGATCATGACACCCACGCACAAAGTGACTGACGTGTTTTTGCAGACAACGGCGGACCGCCCGGTGTCATTTGGGAATTATGGATCGCAGCATTCTACTACACCTTCATCAACGCCTCGATCGCCGAACTCGCCTCCTCCGTGCCCTCGGCTGGCGGCGTCTACCACTGGGCGTCGATCACGCCGGGACCCAAATGGGGACGCTCAGTGGGCTTCTTTGCCGGCGCACTCAACTACTTCGGCTGGCTCTTTGACCTCGCGTCCATCGTGTACATCATGTCGGAACTCTGCGTGCAAATGTACTTTCTGTACCATCCGAACTATGTCATCCAGTCGTGGAACATCTTCGTCGGCCTGGTTTGCATCACTGTGATATGCGTCTCCATCACCATCTTCTTCAACCGCATCCTGCCCCATCTGCAACACTTCGGCCTCTTCGTGGTCACGGTCGGAGGCATCATCACCATCATCGTCCTCGCGGCGATGCCGTCCTCTCACGCTTCGACCAGCTTCGTCTGGACCGACTTTGCCAACGACACCGGCTGGAGCGGTGGCGTCGCGTTCCTGACCGGCGTTCTCAATGGCGCGTTCACAATCGGCACTCCCGACGCCGTCACACATATGGCCGAAGAGCTACCAAACCCGAAGCGAGACCTCCCCAAGGCCATCTTCGCGCAAATCGGGCTCGGCTTCCTGTATGCCTTCTGCTTCGCCATAGCTTTGTTCTACGGCGTCAACGATCTTTCCGCCGTGCAAAGCAGCAACGGTTCCTTCCCGCTGGCCGAAGCGTACCACCAAGCTACCGGAAGCAAGGCCGCCACCTTCGGCTTGCTGTTCATCATCTTCTTGTCCCTGACGCCCTGCTTGATCGGAACGTTCCTGACCGTCGGTCGCACATGGTGGGCGCTGGCCCGAGACAACGCCACCCCCTTTTCGAAATTCTTCGGTCGTGCCAATGAGAAACTGAGCTGTCCCGTCGAAGCCACCGTCTTGACGGGCGTTCTGACCATCGGTCTAGGCGCAATCACGCTCGGCAGCAAAACGGCATTCACGGATCTTGCAGGTTCCTTCGTCATCCTCACCAGTACTTCGTACGCTTTGGCCTTTGCGCCGAATATGTTCACGGGCCGGCGGTACATGCCCGTGGGTCCATTCCACATGGGCAAATGGGGCTATCTTGTCAACGGGCTTGCCACGTTCTTCATCGTTTTCTTCAATATTTTCTACTGCTTTCCGGTAAGTACTCCTACTGTTTCTCTCCTGCGTGCGGGTCGGGATTGATGCGCTTCATGCATAACTAAAACTTCAAATGTGCAGTACGCCTTACCCACGACAACGGCTTCGATGAACTACAATTCGGTCATTCTAGCGGGTGTCATGGCGCTGACTACACTCTGGTGGTTTGTCCATGCTATCCGGAAATACGACGGGCCGAATGTACAAGGCATGGTCGATGCGAATGTGGCTTCGGCGCGGAGGAAGTCGAAAGTGTAGAACCGTATCAAAGGACATGAGGCGCAGTATAATCGAGGCTAACATCCTGGACATTGATCGCCACAGCAGAGCCTCGTCTACTATGGTATACAGCCAGTCAGCAGGTGCTTTTAGTCCTAGGTAATGTGATCGAGGAGAGCGTAGCTGCTGATTGCGAATTTCGGATATTGGGCACCGTCGATTCGAATTGCAACGAAACTGTACTTGATACCGACGTCCACAAGGCAGACAATGCCATAGTTACGTGTGAAGAGGACACCAGATGCAAGAAAAGCATGAAATTGTAAGAGTGCTTTCAGTAAATTCCATTTTGATACGACATCTTCGCTATGGAGATGCGCCTGACGTCTCAATCGACTGTCCATTGACCCGTCTCCTCGATGCTACGTATGATAGTCGGGATGAAAGGTTTGCTAAAGTACACACACGAAGAGCTTGCACCACCAAAGAGTCAACACCAGAAGATCCATCCTGTGTCGACTTTCTTGCACTGCCTCCTTCACTACTCCGCCGAGTCCGTGGTGTTGCCAGTGACCATACCATTGCCGACCATGGCACTGCGAGGCTTCAATCCAGCTCCATTCGGATCCGGAGCGTTCCATTGAGTTTTCTTGTTCCAGATACCACCATACTTCTTGTTGACCCATTTGCTGAGGATGTAGAGTGCGTAGGTGTCGGCGTTTGTCGAAACTGCAAGGTTGACCGAATCGGTGGGGACATGCCATGCGAACTTGTTTGCTAGAGTGGCTCCGTAGATTTTCTGTCGCACACCATCGATGACGCCTTCCTCATCAATGATTTTAGGTGCATCAGGAGTGGGTTCTGCGAAGTTTGCGAAGCCCATGTAGTCGACATGAAAGTACTCATGTATGATGGTAGCTTCGTATGGTCTCTTTGAGTTGAGGTCGGCGGGATCAATGTGTTTGTATACCTGTGGATCGAACAGCCTGTCTGCGTAGCCCAATTCCCAGAAGTCGGAACAGAACGTCACGGTCCATCTGCCCTCGAACGCTTGGACGGGATTGGAGGTGTATGCACCAACCTTTGGTCGGCAGTTGCCATATTTCGGGTCTCTGCTCTCGGCGCAGCTGTACAAAAGTCTTCTGCCAGGGCTAACGTCGCTGCCACCAGGTTTCTTGGCGTTGAGGACAAAGTCGTAGGGGTACTTCATGTTGTTCACGATTCGCTTGGCCACAGCGTACGACGGCTATTTGAAGGGTAAGCTGTTGATGCCATCACTAGTTATGTTCTGTCCTTACATTGCGAGGATTGATAGCCCAGAGTGGATAAGAGTGGATAAGGCTTGAAGAACCAAGTCCACATTGGATCGTTGAGAACATCCACACCATCACTCCCCGGGTTCAACATTTCCGTCACCGCAACAAAGGTTGCTTGCTCGAGGATTGTCAACTGTGCATCATTGCAGTTCTCTTTGGCCAATGACCAGTCGATTCCCTTGAACATATCTTGATCACGGTGGCCTCGAGTCACTGCTGCACTGCGGTTTCGAATCGGCATGGGGACACAGAGCGGGACGGTCCAGAACAGGACGAGGGTAAGGAGCAGCATGGTTGTTGCAGATAGGAACTCTCGGGACAGGGAATGTCTGTAACAAGCACTGGATCTGAAAGTGGACCGGGTTTGGTGAGGACGAAAAGGTTGGTGGTGAGAGGTCGACAGTTTTTAATACTCTGGAAAACCGAGGAAGTGAATAAGTCACTTGAAGACGTCCAGGCAGTGTGTGAGCTGGACTGAGAGTGAGGTGGCTGTAAATTGAAGTCAAGGCAGAGCAAGGTGACCTAATTGGTGAAGTCCGTGCAATGAAGGGATAGTATCAGCCTTTCGTCCTGGGGTTGGGAATGTAGTCTCTGATACCTTCACTTGGTACAGTACGGGCAGTGAGCACTGAGCACTTACCATACACGGGAGTGATCACGTCCTGGGCTGATGATCATTAACTTAAGCGCGCTTCGCTCCCATCATCGACGACTTCATGTACGTGATAGGTGCCAGCGTGGCTTCCGACCGAACGCCTACAATGTAAAGGCGTTTTTAAGTGGCAATCCGCATATCATGCTTTTCAAGTGTACTGGAGCAAAACAGAAGAGAAATGGTCTTGTATTCAGTACCTTTGTCATGTTGAGGGGAGTCCGGATGCAACATATGCCCTGAATTCACCGTTCCCTTGTTCACATTGTCAATTTATTCGGTTGGAATCTCGCAAGGGGGTGTGGCCGGGCGATGCCAGGCTGCATAGGAGAAGCAGACTGCACCCATGGCGGTTATGAAAGCCGGCTGCGCAACCCCCTGAATTTTGCCTTGCAAGTGTGGTGCAACAGTTGTGAGTTCGTGTGAGAGTTGTTCAGCAGATGAGGGTGGCATGTTACCGGTGATCACGACTCGGGAGATATTCGAGCCAGGACCGCAAACATCCTCTCTGACGTGCTCCTGAAAGGTGTCGACAAAGGCGCGCCGAAAGCCTGCGAGATCCGTCCAACAACCATTTTCATCAATCTGTCGGTTCAGTCAGTCGCCGATACCTCCCCCCATTTGGCTGGTGATACTCACATTCGCGCCAGTCACACGTTTGCCTCCGATCCGGAAGGGCCATGCCTCACCAGGATCTCCCTCGTCGACCAATATTTGGATCACCCCTGGATAGATGGCAACTGTGATGACATACCAAAAATGATCTTTCGATCGCTCCAAACCCCTTCCATTGTATTTCAGCAGCCATGCTGGGCCTGGGAGTGAGGTGATTTGCCGATTCGCAAGGAGATATGAGAAAGGGTGAGGGATTGGTCGTAAGTTCGAGAGGTATGAGGGCAGATTTAAAGGACCGTGTGGATGGTGTTGGATCTGTTTGAAGCTGTGGAATGAGAGGTGGAGCGAATGACGGGAATGTGAAGCGGGAGTAAGTCACGATTGCCTGATCTTGTGAAGTGTCTAGAAGCAGCGATAACCAAGTATCAAGTGACAGCACCGTTTGTCACTTGCTGATGGGATGCTAATTCACCGAGGATGGTGAGAGGGCAGGAGTGAGGCAGTCTTGCGCTACCTTCACCAAGAACATTTGTCGTTGTGTCACGCGTGATTACTTCACCTTCACTGTCAAGAGGATTCGGGAGAACTTCTCTTCGCAATGCATCTAAATCCTCGAGTGTTTCTGCATGTCGAGAATGTCCGTGAGCATGATATTGAGCCATTGTCACACAAAGACGAGAAGGCAGAAGGCAGAAGGAAGGAGGAAAGCAAGGGAAGAGACGCGTTTGATGGCCATAAGAAAAGCTCAGCACGTGAGATAATTGCGCGACGAGGCTGAGATTCACAGCCTCGTGAGTAGCCAGTGCGATACCTCCGATCATCTCACCCCGACATCGGGAGTACCATAAATTCACGCATTCCGGAGTTATCATACGTATACTTAAGATGCTTGAGCCGCAGTATTCGTGCTGACGAGTCTGCGGCTGATAGCAAGCATGAACTGTATGTTTAGAATCGTAGCCAGGCCGACCGCCAAAAGCTCCATCAACCCTCTGGCTCATACCAGCAACTTGAATCGAGAGCTCTCGGCAAGATCAGTAGTCCTTGCCAGAACCATCCACTCCACATTAGCCGCCATGCAGACCCAAGACTGGAATGCAGCACAATATCTCAAGTTCGAACGGCAACGCACGCGGCCAGCGACGGACTTGCTGGCCCAAATACCCCTGACCTCCCCCAAGCGCATCATCGACCTCGGCTGTGGTCCTGGTAACTCGACCGCTGTGCTCGCCAAACAGTTCCCAGAAGCCCACATCACCGGCATCGACTCTTCGCAGGACATGATTGCAAAGGCCAGAAAGTCTCTTCCTGATACTGATTTTCAACTGGCTGACCTGAGCACATTCCGGGACACCGAGTCCGCGGACCTGCTCTTCTCAAACGCCGTATACCAATGGATCCCATCCGACGATCGTATCCCGATCTTCACTAAGCTCATAAGCACGCAAAAGCCAGGCGGAGTGTTCGCGTTCCAAGTCCCGGACAACTTCAACGAGCCTTCACATGTTGCAATGCGTGCGCTGGCCGAAGAGGGTCCCTGGTCTAAGACGCTAAAAGCCCTGGAAACCCCTCCTACACGCAGGCCGTTCCAGTCACCCCAGGAGCTGTACAACGCCTTGAAGCCGCTGTGCTCGGGCGTGGATATCTGGCATACGCACTATTACCATATCCTGGACGATCATCAGGCTATCGTCGAATGGGTCAAAGGCACTGGGTTGCGGCCATATATTGATCCGCTCCAACAGGGTGAAAAAAAGGGTTTCCTGAAGGCATATCTGAAGAAGATTGAAGAATTATATCCTCCATTGCTTGATGGCAAGGTGTGTCTGAAATATCCCAGGTTGTTTGTGGTCGCCGTTCGGGCTTAAAACCTGTTGCGGTCTTTTTTCCTGCCTTGTTCATAGCCAGCCTCGAAATATCAGTCACAAGACACACCGCCTACATTTTCACACGTACTGCACCACATCCACAATGAACGGTCTTCACTCACTCGCCCGCCCTGCCAGCCAATCAGACTGTACCATTTCTTCCATTTTGTCCTGTTATATATTTGAGAGGTCGATTTGTGGTCAACATTCCTTACTGTCAAGGACAAACTGAGATCGCTCAGCTGGCGTGCCGGTAACGAGTGTGGTTCGAACCCCGGTTCGGACACCATTCCGACCGTAATGTCGTTAAACTAATGCTCATACCTTCTCGTGTCCCCCTGTGTTGAACCTTGTTGCTCCGAGGGGCGATGATACCAAGGGGCACGAGTCGTAACGTAGAACTAACCATCGGAGCACTTACTAGGTCGGCCGAACAACACTCAACAACCACACCAACCGAATCGAAAAAACCACCTATCGTCGACCAGGGAGTTTTGGCTCCCCTCCACGGTCTAGAGAACCCGTTCCCTAGACCCTGGTGGGAAGAGTTTTTGCCATTTTTGGTTTCTGAATCCTGTTCTGCCTCGACTCGATACCTGTATGCGATCTTTTTGCCGACTACATCTAGGTAGCTGAGTGTCTGAGAAGGATATCGCCAAGCCGAGCCCAAAGAATCATACAGACAGGGAATTGTGAACACAGCATCCTCCGTGATATCCGGCAGTTGTCACCAACTACAGCCGTACGCCGTTGACGTGATCACGGATGGCCAGTTCGACGTCAAACTCCGAACTTCTGAAAGTGTCCATCCAGTCTCCAATGACCGGCTGTCTCAAAAGCCAATCCGAAGTAGGCCGTCCTGCGCTACCCGGCGAAGCAATATCACCGCCAAACGCTTCAACAAGCGGCTCCTTCATCGCACCGTCCTCATCCGTGGTCCAATGAGCCTGACAGACCACTTCGAAATCTCCCAAGACAGGGTCAACCCGATCGGGCGACGGTCCAAGGACATACAGTCTGTAGTTGCGTCCATCCTTCTCGGTGAACAGCAATGGAACAGCGCGCGATCGTGGCGGACCAAGCCGGTCCAGCATACTCGAATGTAGAGCTGCAGTATTATTCGAGACCGGCTCAAATCCTCGGAGCACCGTCAGCGCCGTTGCAAATGCGGGACCATTGAACAATCCCTCGCGACCGATCAGTCGAAGACGTTCAGTGATGAAGTCCCTCCACAGATTGCAAGGGCAGCATAGTCCGCAGAGAAATAGCATAGCAGAGAACCCAATGTCAACAGCTTCGCCGAAGACCCAATGGTCCTGGTCGCGACCTCGGCCGATAGCCCCTTTCTCCGCGTAATCCGACAGGTGCAAGACTTCACTGACATGAAAGTACGTGGCAAGCTCATAGGCTTCATCGTTCCCACTTATACGAGCCAGAGCCCACATCAGTCTCGCCATGCAAAAGTGATACAGCGCTGCAGTCAAGGCTGATTGATATGTGTGTTGTTGTTTCCGTTGCTGCGGCATGACGAGGAGTCCGTCAACATCCCGCCGACTCAAGCCTGAGGGATATTTTTGAGCCACCGAATTTAGCGACGAGTCGTTGTACCTGTCCTTCCAGTCTTCGACTTCCTCGAGGAACGTTTTGATCCTTTCCATGGGGATCGACCCGAGATCCTTCACGAACGGACTCCACACCAGATCTGCGACGTACTCTTCGGCCGAGAAGACGTCAAGGAGCTGATGCATGTACTCGGCCATGAGAGATCCATCCTTGTCCTTTCCTAGAGCCCGGGTGCGTCGTCTCTCGTCCGGGTGAAGTCTGCAAGAATTCTCCGCCCCGAACAAGGTGATCGGAAGAGGAAGTACGACCCGACAGACGAAGCTCAGGTGCCGCAGCGCCGATCCGATCGGTAGCAGGGAGTCTGATTCCTCTTTTTCGAGATCCGACCAGAGGAGGAAGAAGTACTTTGCGAGATGATAATGACGAACGGCAGCTGGGATATTGCCATTGAAGCACTGGTTCCAGGTCAGTCAGCTGGGTTATAAAAATTTGCAGTAAGGTTGTTAGCGGAGTAGCATTACCTCGAAATAAGCCAGCAACAGTAGGACTGCAATGACGAGATCTGAGGACGGTGGCTCGGACTTCAGTTGTCTCGATAGGCCCTGGATAGCCATGGTGTACGTCTGCAATGCTGTCACCTTTGTGTCCGCGCCCCTGGTCTTCGCGTTCTCTTCCGAGCCAGCCAGAAGTAAGGACGCTCGATGCAATGACCCGAGTGCCGTGATCGTGTCGTAGATGTACTCCGACTCCCAGGCTTCCTGGCAAAGGGTGTCGCGCCAGAAGCGGAGATAGCATGCTGGGAACAAGACGTGGACCGTCCGGAAGAGATATTGATGGTACGCCAATACGTCGCGCGCCCTCGCGTGCGGCCGCTGTGCTGGTGTAGGGTTGTTCGGCAGCGCTACCAGAGGCCGCCCTTCGCATTCAAAGTGAGGCGCCAGTAAAACTCCAGACCGCACCACCGCCGGGGCCACGCTGTCCGAGGGTGTCAGAGGGGATTCCCCCCGTTGTCGATGCCGGACATCGATATATCGCATCCGCTCGTATCCCGCGCAGTGGATATTCGAAGCCTCACATCGCTCACATGTCGGCTTACGCTCGTCACATTTGACACGTCTCTGGCGACATGTCAAGCATCCTGTTTTTCTCCTTTTCCGAAAGCTTGACATTGTGGTTCGTGGGCTCCACTGCGAGCCTTCCCCGATGCGCGTTCAGTGCCGGAAGCGATGGATGCAGCAAAGGCCGAAAGATTGATCCAAAGATACTCGCGATGCCTACATGCTGCGGAAAGATTGCAGACGGAAGCGGGATGTTGCTGACTAAACTTGAGCCAGCGCAAGAATTGTGAATCAATATGCTGACTAATCTGGTTGGTGTGCTAATCCGGTTGGAATACCTTTCAAGATGAAGAGTAACCTCGGTTTGTCAATGTCATGGGGATTGGAGTCTATCTAGTCCTCGTCTGCTTCGCTATTACTAGTTTTTCTAAAAGCCTAGGGCAAAATGCCGGCCTTGGTTCCCAGGGCGGAAAGCCTGAACAAGGACAATGGAAAATGCACTCTCAGCAGTCTCGTCAATAATCATCCCCTGTCGACCCATAAAGATGGGACCCTGTCTCTAGAACTTCGATCACATCGCCAACCTCCACATATAGCTGAGCCCCTCGATCGACAGCTTCCGTGAAGCCCGAGTCCTCGGGGACGCAATGCATACCCAGATAACCGAGTGCAGCCGGGTTACCAATCTCCACCATACGGTATTTCACCAATGTCGCGCTGGGCTGTGGCTTGCCCTTTTTCCTATCCGGAGCTGGGATGTCTTCTTCGAAAACGCCTTTGTCCGGAATGACGCTGGGCATCGTGCACCGTGACGTTCGGCACACCACTGAGAGGGTGGGTGCCGCGTTTGCACGTAGTCCGGAGCTTACAGCATTCGGCAGGATTCTGTACCGCTTCCACTTCTCTTCTGAAAATGCGGGGGCTCCTGTGCAATATATGTTTGCACGGAAGCGCATCGCGCTCAGAGGCTGGTTCTCCGGCGGAAGAAGCTGGGATATCGCATGCACTGAAGGCAAATTTATGATGTGGACGGGCTGTTGATCAGTGTACCCATGGACTGCATGCGTGCCGATATATTTGAGTGGTGCCAGATTCCTGGTCGTGCGGACAAGCGTATCGGGAGTACACCTCATGAGAGTAAGATTTTGACGCTCGGGGATCTTGAGGAACCTCTTCAGTTTGGGCAGTGCTGCTGCAACAGCAGGAAGCTGCCCGAGATCCAGTCCCGTTGCCTGGCGGCTGTGGATGGTGAAATGCTTCAGCTCTGGCGTCATTGGGGCGATATCAGCCAGTGTTGAAAGCAAGGGGACGATGAAGCGGACTGCTGGTTTGGCTGATAACGTCCACGTCTCAAACATGGATTCCAAGCGCTTCGTGAGGTCAGGAGTTTCGGGATCCGGAAAGCTCACAATGAGACGTCCACCCGCCTGGGCAAGCTGGTCGCTTTGGCCACTGTCTGGTGGAGGGAGCCATAGCTCCTGCTTGATCAAGGCCATTTGTGGCTTGGTACGCTGGCTGATAAACTGCCATTCGCCGTTGTTTACCTCGACGGCAAGAGCGAAGCATCTGTCATATGCAAAGCCGGTCTTGGTAAGGAGTGCACGCTCCAACTCGATAGGTGCGCAAGACTTTATCGGGTAGATATAAAGTGCTTTGACCAGGATGGCTTCGCTCCTTGAGTCTTCCTCGGCCTTATCGTATCTGGCATCGTACTGGTCTGCAAGATGGCTAGAGTTGAGGAGGCCCAGTCGTAGTAAGTGCTTAGGCTGTCTGCGGGTTAGGTAAATGGTTCGTGCTAGGCGTGTGGCGCCTAGGACTAGGCTCATGAGAACGGTAAGTCTTAAAACGCCTTGAATGACCGCGCCGAATTCCAGTCCATGCAGCGCTTGAGTCAACATCGCTGCACACTGCCTCCGGGAGGAATTGTACAGGTGATGAAGAACAGGCCATGAAAAAGTCGGAGTGTCACGAACGGGATCAGGCCTTGGATACTGTTGCAGGTCATACTTGGATAGGTGAAGATGAGAAGAGGGAAAGATTATTCTGCACTTATCGCACGCCCTAGTGATGACTTGTCGATGATCGTCACTCTTCCATCCGAGCAGCAATAACCAACACCGAAGCTTGCGGTCTACAGTGACAAGATTCCCCCTGCATGCATGACTCAGTGCGAACCACTTTAGCCGTCTAATAACGGGGTTCTAGGGATAATATCGGTACGTCGCTACGTACACGCATTGTGCTCGAGGCTAGGGCCTAGCACAAGAATCATTCCAGACTTTTCAAGACATGGGTACCAGAAGAAGCAACCCCCGTATACCCGCTGAATGACTCCTTCAAGTTCTCTGCCAACAAGATAGGCAGTTCGTCTTCCCGGAACGATTGCAAAACTCCTTTCTCCCTCGGCTTCCAACCCATCTTCCGAAGTCTCTCGGCGCGGCTTCTGGAGTTCGCTCCTACCGTAGTCGGACTGTACGGTCCAAAGAGATCAGAGTACAACTCAGGCGGAACTGGCCTGGGTTCTGGATCTTGAATTTTGCCTGCCTTGTACAATTGCTTGCCGATCTCAGCTGCCGCTTCTCCCCAGGCCATTTCCTGGCCACTCTCGCAAAAGAAGTAAGGGTTCTTGAGCACCTCCTCCGGGCTGCTCTCCTCCATCCAATGCAAGATGATCATATATGCCCTCACCAAATCTTGAACATGGATGGTACATCGGATGGACAGACCCTTGCCGATGACCGGTGCCCAACCGTGCTTCAATGCAAATCTGGTCATGGTAGGAAGCTGGATCGAAAGTCTCTTGATCCGTTTGCCAACACCATACACCAACGGTGGAAGAATGATGATGATCTTGGCTTTCGTTCCGAGGTCCTTGCGCGCGGCAAGAATGGCCAAGTCGATCTCGCGATGTGGTGCGGAATCCGGCACGGCATCGACCTCCTCTGGTCGTTCGTCCGAGTATATCTTGTCCGACTTGTACATGCCCTTCGAGTTGTCCACCAGCTCGCTGGTTCCGCTGGTATGGATGCATATTGTCTCCAGGCCTTTGTTGGCACGTTCACGGATGCCGTCAAGGACTGCCTCGACGGACGGAAGGTGATCAGCCGTCGCGGCGTGGATGACAATAGGACTACCCGCGGTATGTTTCTGGATGATATCTTTGTCGTCTAAGTTGCCCATGATCACTTTTGCTCCGATTTCCTTGACCTGTGCGGCGTGCTCTTCTCGGCGAACCATGGTCGTAACGTCGTAGCCATCTTCGACAAGAAGTTCGAGCAGGTCGGCACCTATCAGACCCGGCCCGATGAGGAATACCTTCTTCTCGGCTGACATGATTTGAGCGACACCAGAAAGCTGATTCTGTCACACGAGAGATCAATCAAGTCCCCAGCAAGGCACGAGAGGAAAGAGATTCACTTCCTCAACCTTCGTCGAACGGCCAGTATTATGTTCTTCTGGGAAAGCCATCACTCGGCTTCGATTTCCCCGCATTCCGGGCTATGCAATGCCCGGCAACACCGGTTAATCCGGTACAATAGCTACTGTATCGACCACAGCCGAAAAGTGCGGAGAGTATGTGGCCGTTGAAGGGTATACAATAGATGTAGATGTCGAGTATGGTCGTCCATATGGGAAGCGGGCAAGTAGTATGCTGGCATGGGATGGAAATCTTTTGACAATGTACAATGTCCATGATCTGCCCCTGCATCCTCACGGGCGTACCAGGGCCTTACCCCCACAGTATCACCCCATCATGGCCCTGATCTTTCCGTCACCAGCCTTGTCGCCTTGATTACCTATCATGCTCGTTAGAAGTTAGCCGACCTCGCTAACAGTTGTCTCAAACCTCATAATGAATTATTCAAGTCCTTGTTTCTTCCATACTGGATCATTTTTTTCAGATAATTACAAGGTCTGGGTGTTTGGAAATATTAATCAATAAATCCCTGAGACCCTGAGACGTGCTCCTCGGGCTGATTATCTCGGGCGAGCGTTCATGAAGCGCCTGTTCGGGAACGCTTTCACGGCGTACAAAGGATGTTGAGGTCCTGAGGTCTCTCCAAGCCCTCCCAAGCTCTCACCAGGTCGATGACCTCATGTACGAGTGCAAAGCCTGTATTCTTGGGATTTTCCGGCTGAGACGGGAGTGTCTGGCTGCGGGGTTAAACAACAATCGAGTTGATCAGCTCCCAACTCGGGAGACAGGCCAAGATCTAGAATAATGCACTACACTCCACGATGGGTGCACGACACTCTTGGAAACCTCAGGATCGAGTGGCTTGACGTACGGAAGGCCTTGGTCCGCCCGCCAACACTGGACATGTCAGTACACGCCCAGGATGGTCCTCGCCGAGTCATTGGCCGTTACGCGTCAATGACAACCGAATGTATCAACGGCCAAGGAGTGTCACTCCATCCAGCCCCATTTATCCCTCCTTGACACACAGCTCAGTCTGCAGGGAGAAGCAGAAATCGCAAATAATATACGGGATGTCGGCATGGGCTTTTGGCAAACCCCTGGTTTCTGTGCTGTCAAGGTGAAAGTGTATTGCAGACACATCGTCATGGATCTTGGAGCTTGCCACCTACTATAAGATGCACCACGTCGCTCGGTTCCAAGCATTACCACCGTCAGGCTGTGTGTACTTCCTTCCATTACCTTGACCGCTATCCTCAGTCACCGTCGGTTGATCAACCGGGCAAATCGAAACCATCTCCCAATATGCGTTTTAGCAGCCTCCTCACGGCCAGCATGGCCTCTGTGGTGGCAGGTCAAGGCCTCACCCAGACGCTGATGGATCAGCCTTCTTTGTCCAACTTGACGACCTATCTGAACCTTTTCCCCACCCTCCTCAATGAGTTGAGCTCCATGTCCAACATTACACTACTGGCTCCCAGCAACATGGCTTTCGAGACTGCACTCAATTCATCCACCGGTGCGGCATTCACAGCCAACAATACTGATGTGATCTCTGCGTTGTTCTCATATCATGTCCTCAACGGCTCATACACAAACTTCAGTACAATGCCCGAGTTTGTCCACACGGCTCTCATGCCTGGTATGTACGCCAACGTCACGGGTGGTCAAGCTGTCGAGGCTCTTGCCAGCTCCAACATGTCCAACGCAACAACGACCTTCTACTCGGGTCTTCTGCAAAATTCGACCGTGGCCACCAATGGTACCTTCAACTTCACCGGAGGTGTTGTCCATGTGGTTGACCACTTCCTGGTCATGCCAGAAAACCTCACCAACACTGCTGTCCAACTCAACCTACGTTCTGCAGTGGGCGCACTCACCGTTGCCGGCCTAGCTGATGCGGTCGATACCATGATGGACGCGACCTTCTTCGTTCCAGATAACGCGGCCTTCCAGGCAATCGGGTCGGCACTTGCGACGTCTACGCCCCAAGAGCTAGCCCGCATCTTGCAGTATCATGTCGTGAACGGCACTGTGGGATACAGCAGCATGTTAACCAACGGAAGCACACTCACTACGATGGATGGAATCCCAGTCACGATTACTATCCAAGACAGCGAGATCTTTGTCAATAGTGCTCGAGTTGTCACCCAGGACGTCCTTGTTGCCAACGGAGTGATGCATGTGATCGACGGCGTTCTCAACCCTGGCAATCGCACTGCATCAGCGCAACCTACGGCATCGACACAAGCACCTGCCTTCAGTGGTGCGAGCTCTGCATCCGACACTCCATTCACAAGTGGCGTGGCTTCTGCCACGACTTCGGTGAACACTGAAGGACCTACAAGTGCCGCTTCCGCCGCTGCAACTGGTGGCTCCTCTGGTAGCTCAAGTTCCAGCTCCGGAGGTGCTATGCCATTGAAGACAGGTGCTGTGGGAGCCGCGGCATTGTTTGGTGGTGCTGCTGCGATCATGAACCTGTAAGGACTGTGAGTGGCAGATGGCAACAGGCGGATTAGCTATACGCACTCGCTGCTCGGTTGTCAGAACAACAAGGTGGTTCAACACGATTATGATATTGCAGATTATATAGCGTGTGTATTTTACTTCTGACATGGGTCGAAAATGAATTAAAAGCATGGAAACCTTCTTCTCATCCTCCAAGCCACAGATTAATGGCATATTTCCTTGGCCTATTTTTGACACTCAAATCACGACTAGTCATGCCACTGGAGCTTGATGCCGTAGTTCCGCTGAGAGATTTGGGTGTACTGTGTACGAGTAGGTCTCTCCGGGACTAGATGCTGCTTTCCTTATGACATCGCACGTTTTACGGGCTCATGTTGCGCCACAGGGTCCCCAGGCTGCGGCTGTCCATGACATCGCTAGCATACATTTCCCTGCCGGGGCGAACAATTACCATAGTACCTCGTAGCTAGAAATGCGATGCCAACGCATACACGGAACCACATGGGTATTTGGACATGGCGATCCTGCTTTTGATGCAACCAATCTGCGAGTCTTGTCCAAGGAATGTAGCCACAGTGAGTGGGTTAAGCATTAGCCCACCTGGCCAGGGAGCCTTGGCCGACGTAGCCAACTGTCACAGCCTTGTATGTGCCCTTGTAAATCTTCGGATGCTACGGGGTAAGTCAGTGAGAATGATGCCGATCATATCTCGATCGTGGCTGGTGCTGCCTCACTTCTCAAGCATTTCCTGGATGATGCTGCACATTTCCTGAACATGTTTTCCAACATCGGGCGGGATCCTCGCCCATGACATCAGAAGAAGAATATCTTCGCTCAAGTATACATATTATCAATCGAATGCGTTCGCTCGTGCCTTGCCAACAAGACAAACACCATACTATACCATTAAATTCAAATCATCCTATTTTCTGAGCGTTCAAACAACAATGGCTGACAGTAGGTCTTTGAGATTGCCCAAAAAAACCACTGACACGAGCCTTAGACCTTCGCGATCAAACAGCACAGCGACAGAACCCGACATTCATCCAACGTGTCAGCGAGGAGGAGGCTGTGCTAGGCGACAAGGCAGTCGGCGGAACGGACAACGATGCAGATCACGTCCCGAACGTTGAGCGCGGCCTGAAAGCGTAAGTCCAGCTGCAATATTACTTCCCATGACTTCCTCCTGACACACTTAACAGGGCCATCAACAACCCAAACACCTCGCAAAAGGCGAAGGAGCATGCTCAAAACAAGCTCGACGCGGTTGAATGAATGGGAACGGAAGGATACTAAGAGTGGCTCATCATGGCACCGCATCCGATGTAGGGCTGTCATCATGTCAGGACATACAATCCATTCCCATGAAAATCATATCATATCATTCAATCACCATACGATGAGGGTACTTTTCCTACAACAAGCACATCCTCCTGGTCATGTCATGGAGATGATTATCGGTTATGCCCAGGATGTTGTCCCACCAACAGGGGGCGATAGTCGATACCTAACATACATAGTACGTAGCTCCGTATTACTTGTCTGCGGCATATTGACTAGCTTTCCCCGGATCGTTCGCCATGAGCATACTCCACGAGAGATCCAGAGCATCCAATACCTAGGCGCAACGCAAGCAAGGACGCCATGGCCCCATCCCGTAGCCCAGAGCATCCATACCAAGATTCCCGAATCCGAGATAAGCGAGATACCTTCATACTTCTTGGTCACGGCGGTAGCCCGTAGCCCATGTACTGATGCCGCATACAGCTGATGTGAATCATTCGGGCTAATCACTAATAGCAGAGATTGCTGCGCCAAACAGAAACGTTTGACACAGTTCAAAGCATATGTGCTTGTGCAGACCAACCGCCCACAATGTTGACGGTTTTCGCCGCCTTCCAAAAATCGCCCTTCGCACTGAGCAAAAAAGCACATACTAGACCATGTGCTGCCAGATACTATACTTACTAGTACTGGTATCCATGCCCTTTCCAGGACACTAGAGTAAAGGCCCGTTCCCGGCTCTGCAACGGAGTCCTGGAGATAAGGTGAAGATAAGTGGTGGAGCAAGATTTTGTAGGTTGAGATTCTGAGTGGTCTCGTCGAATTACTGTCCGGAGGCTCCGGCCCGGTAGCGACACCGGTCATCACCGTTGACCGCCAAATCGTCTGAAATGGGCTTTACCTGGCCTGGGCCGGTCCAGGCCCGAAAGACTATATACATAGACATACATGTCGAATTCGTCCATAAGCAAAATTCTCGAGTCGAAAGCACAACCAACCACCGATCTCACTGCGAAACCTTAGAGCGAAATTATAAGTACTTCTAGCGAGAGTATTTACTGGGGGCCACAACCATTCGCAGAACAATGTCGACGACACTTGAAGACATGTTCAACGCAGCCGACATTGCGACACCAGGGTACTATGGGCCCTCCGAAACGGCCTTGCTTCTCCTGGACTTTCATACCATGTTTGTCAAACAGGCTGGCGGAGAGAAAGCCCCTGCGGCTCTCGAGGTCGCGGCAAATCTCAGGACTTGGGCGCAAACGCAGGGCATCCAGGTCATCCATGCCTTGATCGACATCAACATGACACCATTTCCGACCTGCAAGAACTCCGAAAGGTTCACAAGTATCGGCGCAGCGATGAAATCAACCGGCACCGATGTAGAGCCTCACGAGCTGCTATCAAAGAGTGGTAGCGGTGTGGACGACGTCACGTTCACAAGGAGGCCAGGCTATGTCTCGGCGCTTAAGTCGCCGGGTTTGGACGATTTCTTGCAGAAAAAGGGTATCAAGTCGCTCGTCCTCACTGGGTTGAGCACGTCCGGGTGTGTGGCGAGGACCACGTTTGCGGCCACCGACGCGGAGTACGTTGTTACCGTCATCTCGGATGGCTGCGCCGAACGGGATGAGGATGTGCATGATATGATGGTGCAGAGGCTCTTCAACAGTCGCGCCTACGTTGCCACGGCTGCAGACTTCCAGAAAGGTTTTACAAAGGCCAGGAGTGAGATGTGAAATAGTACTAGTGTTTCAAGTTGTACCGTATTTAGATGGCTGCCGAACACCACGCCGTCAAACCCACTGCAAGCAAGGGCCGCACCGCTGCCGTCGATGATTCTGCTGGGGGGCTTTCGCTTATCGCAGGGACTGCCACCGTGAAGAACATGGCCAAGGCCAACAATCAATCCAAGCATCAATGAACAAGGACTCTTCGGCGTGGCAGGTAGGCGGACAGCAGTCATACAGCTGCGACGGATTTTAGGAGGCTTTCTTCAACAAGGGAGCGAAATGCAACTTACATCTTAAGCGCTTACCAACTGCCACACCTCGAATTCGACAGCCTGTGTTCCATCTCCTGGAATGTACCAATGGGCCGTCGCCAGGAAAACACTCTGTTCAAGCCACTTGAGCCTCTCGCTGCTTGCCTCAAATATTGGGGAGGCAGCCCAATAGTGATCTTGACTCTTTGTCGTCTTTGCTTCTGGATGCCAATGTAGTGCCTTCTCAGTGGCTTCGTCCATCCGGATCTTGCCCTCGTGGCGCATATAAATGATCTCCCCCTTGTCGGTCTTGATCTGTACTCGCACATCGAGAGAGCCAGTGTTTGACGATGTGTCGAGCAACAGCCAATCTGCTCCACCGACAATCCTTCCCTCGATTGGGCCATTAGGACAGCTGGGGGTGGATGCCAGGGTTCCGTCTGTCAATGTAGCTACAAAGCGATGAGGTCCACTTGCACCCTTTTGCGGACCCAGGGTGTACGTAGTGTCTTGAGTAAGAAAAGCACGAACAGTGAAGACGTGAGTCAGCTTTGGTCCCATAATGCTGAATACAGAGTGAAGGTCAGTGTGAATGAGAAGTCCAGAGTGTTTGAGGATTGCAGGTCGGCAAAATACGACGTCAAGGTATAAAAAGTAGCGGCCATCCCGATCACACCTATTCCCTGCCTTGATCCTCTCGTAATACCACGGGTCCAGCTTAGAGAATTTCACGAGCTGGATCCAAATTGCAAGACTCTGGTTGGTAGAGCGCAGGACGCATGACCGTATCATCATGGGTTCTAGAGATCCTAATCCGGTTGTATCTCCTTTCGGGTTCTGAAGCCTCGTATTCTAGCCGCGAAATTTGGGACAGAATTTCGTCGTACTTGCTCTTTGGACACATACCAATTTCAAGTTAAGTGCACCCTCGAAAAGAAATCCCTTTACTTGAAAGCTCTTGTGGGTGGGGTTCCAACCTTCACCACGATCGAGCACACAGGCAATGTTATATTGCTCAAGCCGGCTTTGGGATAGCTTAACATCAGCAAAGGACTTTCGATCGTCTTACCGTGCCTCCGACGCTCATATCGGATCCTGCACAAGCGTTTTCACCTTGTCTGGGCGAGAATCACGCCACCCCTGCAAAAAGCCCAAAGTTTTTCAATTTTGGAAAGCTGTGAGTGAACTCTTGGGGCCATGGCGCCCAGGTTTATGGCGCAAAAGTGATCAGTCGCTGAACATGGTACTCTCACCCTTCTGTGGTCTCCTGGACGCGGGGAGGAGGAGTATTACTGGAACGTCGAGTCACGGAATAGGTGCCAAGGGAAGTGCTCCCCAACTTGTACGAGCCTCTTGGGGCTAAATGCTCGCCATCTTGACGCCATCTTGACGCCAATCTATTAGGCTCATCAAGGCTCAATCGCTTAAACGCGGGGAAGCCTTAGCCACAAAGTCCAACGCTGCCTCGGTCTTCACTGCGGGGTTGTGAATGTAAAGCCGAGTTCGAAATAGGCGAGGTGATGCCAGACGACGAACGAGCGCTTGTTTATCTCTGCGCTGGGATCCAAACCTGGGAAAAGCACTCGACCAGCACGAGGGTAGCCTCACCTCCACTGCCCTAATTTCTCGAAGAAACAGCGAAAGAGCAGAAGTGATGTTGACGATTCAGTTCAACCTCGCGGCCGGGAGCCGTTGCCTTACAAGTTTCGATCACGTCCGCCTACCCTTGGAGATTTTACGTGGTTACCATCTTGCATGGTCGATATTAGTAGCAACTTTCTCTCTAATGTATTCAGGGAATGCGCGCACACTATTAATTTGTACAGTGGTTGGCGTCATCATGCGCGATGGAAGCATTCAGACATCATGAGGTATGCCTAAACTTCCGACCCCTCAGCGTAAGTTGTGCCGATCTGGGGAGTCTACCTAAATCCAGTAATAGTAGCTCAGCTTGGTATCGTTAGTTTATTTAAGCTAGGTACTTAGTCTTAATCTTACTCTCCTAAATCGACATAAGCTCTACTCTAAGGCTAGGCTTAGTGCCTACAATTCAAGCCTGCTATAGTATTCCTTACCGTACTTCAGGTGACACAGGAGGACATTCACCAACATGTTGCGTAGCACAAGTCCGTCTTCCGACACTACAGAGAAAATGAAGATTCGCCATCTGCTACAGGGCCGAGAGGAAGCATCAACAGCACCTCCGACCTCTGCCTTCTTCACCAATATGGATTCTACCCCTGCGCATCCGCCTCATGAAACTGGTTGCTGGAACTCTCGTTCTTTTCAACTGCTCGAGACCCACGCTGAAGATTTTCCGACGCCAGAATCGCTTCATACGTCTTCTCCGGAAGAGCTGTGTCGAGTCCCCTCGGTGCCACAACCCCCAGACGATGAAGAACTCACGGAACTATGCAATTTCTTCCTGGGAAATTTGCTGAAATTCATTCCGATCATCCGCACCGAGGATATTGGATCATATGGAGACATGGCCAGGGAAGGTCAACGCCTACTCGCACACAGTATGGCCTATGTTGCCGCAGGCTTCGTACCTGGCTGCAAGCCTATTCGGGCGAGACTCGCCCCATTCATCTTCGCATACTTGGAACAATGTGCGTTAGAGGGAAACGAAGAGTCAAGATGGACTGCCCTCCAAGCAGTTGCTGTCCTGTACAATTGGACGACGCCAAACTTCCACGTGGACTTCTCTGACCGGGTGGTCCAAAATCCGCCTCTTACCCACAATGCCTTGAGGGCAATATGGGACAAGCTCGTCCTTACAACTACGCCTCTGGAAGTATCTGAAGACGTCGCCAGGCTTCTAGAGCAGTATCCTATGGAGTGTACTATCCGCAAGCATCGGCGGGTCTGGTGGTATCTTTGTTGCCTATGGATGCATGCGACTATCCATTATCGCACTTGGTTGATCGATCCAGGAAACGTATTCAAGGCTGACCCGGGTATCTACACTTGTAAATACATCTTCCGCGACTATCTTACCGATCATGTCATTGGTCCGATCGTTGCACAAGTCGAGCTGTGCTGCATTAGGGAACGATTCTTGGACGCTGGCCACAGGATTGACAGCTCCCAACAGCCACTGACCATGCTCAAAGAGATGAATGATGCTGTGGATAGTTGGCATCGAGAATGGTCACGCCAATGGACGAACTCCGGATCGTATGAGCCTCTTGAGGTTTACTACCACTTCACACGCTTCTGCATCAGTGTACAGGCTTCCAGACTCTATCAATCTTGCTCCACTTCTGAGATTTCGCCCAGTGCCGGACTGAGCTTGATCGAGACTTCTGTTGAGAGAGTATGTGATTTGTGCTCTGTTTTTACGAATCTGAACCCCCTTTCCAGCTACAGCCTCTGTTTTGTACCGGAAGACGTCTTCGCCCTGGTCATTTGTGGATGCGAATATGTCCTTGGCGTGCAGACGACATTGCACAATCTTAAGCTTCTCAATACCCATCAACTGGTATCCCTTCGCGCCATAGCAGAGCTCATGCTCGCTGTTGCCACCTATGACAAGGAATGGGCAGCTTCACAGGGGGCCACGCTTCTGAGGCGACTCAGCACGAGACTTTCAGGTCAGCGTGATAACCAGCCGTCGGACGCCTCTCCAGCACCTTTAATTACATCCAGCTGAGACAGCGTGGAACCTAGCAACTACTGTAGATTCGATGTTCTACTTTGACGGAATTGGAAAATCTGGAAGGGCGGTCATGGAGCAAGGCACCCAGTCTTGGTCACCAAACGGTCTATAGCATTCGCAGAGATTGCAATGATAGCCAGCACACGTAGCATCTTGAATTTGTGTGGCCTCTACACCATTCATGACACCAACAATATGACCAGACCTGGACAAGTCCATGTGTGCGCTCAGACACTTCGCGCCGGGGAGAGCGAGACAAGAAACCCTCTTACCCTGCGCAGGCATACTCTGGAGACGTCATGGCTGTGCGCAGCTGTCTCGCCGTGAGCCATGTACTCACCCCGCAATACCCAACACAAGCTAGCTACAATTCACAATTCCACATCTCCACAGTGGATATTGGAAAAGAAGACGGCTCGACACTTGGGTAACCCCAAGCAATCCTCATCATAATGTCAAAATGCCGTTAAGCTTCCAGCGAAGCAAAATGACAGGTGATCCTGCACCAAGGCTGCACATCACAGAAGCGATGCCTGCCACGAATGCACACTGAGGCGAATATTCGATCATCGAGACGCCCCCCACCTACCTGTAAGGGAAAGTGTCACTGCGTGATTGCGAATGGCTTCGTACAAAACTGCGGAAAGCATGGATCACTACCAACTCGGGCGCTCAATCCCTGCCGCACCCAAGAAAAACTTGACGTACTGAACTTTCCTAACCAGGAACATCAGCCTTGGCAAGATGTGGTCACTGGTTAGGAGGTTGATCCACGAGGAATCAATGTGCTAGCCGAGAGGCTCAAACATTAGCGAACGAGATGGTGGTATGGAGAAGCTAGTTGTTAGCGCACGGATGCTGTAGCCTCCCAGGCGATTGACGTGAGATACTAGACGAGGGTACTCCCTAGACCATCTGACAATACCTAGGTACTGTGTATTTTTGGCTCGATACCAATACTCGCCCAATACAAAGAAGGCTGTCATGCGATTTTCAGCGGAACAGCGTGGACACCTTGGCTATGCCTACCCTTGTCCCCCACGTTGGAAAGCTTTATTGGTTGAAGCGTTTGTGGATCGTCACAAGCCACAGAACGTTCAACCAGCCGCTGTATGCCGCTTTTGGTCTGTACCAGAAAATGCTGGACGGAACTCGGCAAAGGACTGGGCTCGGCATATCTCTGCAACGCCCCAATTTTGTCTTAGCACGTTCCAAAGTACTTGACCTTGATCACTTTCCGACGAAACGTGAAAGCATAGTATTGTGTCAATCCACTGCTGTTCTAAGGATAGAACTGGGGACGATGAATCTGGATGTAATTCCATGCGGTTGGACGCTTTTGGCTTGTGTTGGGTGTACCATTTACTGAACTAGGTCTGAGCATGGAGGACCTCTTCGTCTGAACACGTTCAGTCCAGATTAGGTAGATCCACCAAACTACGTTTCCGGGCGTAAGTTCTAGACCACGAGCTGAAGTGGAGTGCATTGAGTTGTAGTTGCGAAAGGCCGGTAAATAACGCTGCCTGAACTTCTAACAAGATATTTCGAAATTATATCGTGTGAGGAACAAGCATCCCGATAGTAAGCCACGCTGTAGCCAGTTGTCAAGTATACACACGAAGAAATGAAGCTCCGTTGTGTGATCACCTGCCTCATCCTCTTAACACTTGAACAACAGACACAAGCAAAAGTAGCACCCCTCAAGATTCTTGGAGGCAGGGATGTTCTCGCCAATCTACAACCAATTCAGACAACACCTCGAGCCCCTATGTTCGGGCCTGCACAGGATCAAGTGAAACACTCTCTTGTGCCTCGAAAATGGAAAAACCCACCGTCACCTACAGCAAAGAAATGTGGCCCTGGTGTGGGATACTGTGATCCAGGGTATTGGTGAGAACTGTCCAAACAGTTGTTGACGATACGTATGCTGACAGAGTTTGTAAAGCTGCTCGATAGGTGGTAACTGGTCAGTCTTGGGTCGAGGTTGAGAACGGCAGAATACTGATCGAGGCTACAGTGGGAAGGGTTATCACTATTGTTCGGGGCCAGCTTGCCAGCTTGGTTACAGCGACGGTTGTGATGCGAACCAAAAGCCCCTTGGGACCGAGACCATGCACATCGAGCGCCCCTTGGTTGGCAACGTCTCTTATGGAGGCGTTGGTATATCCCAGTGCGTTTCCAGCGATCATATCGCATTGACCTTCGACGACGGTCCTTACAACTTCACCTGGCATCTTTTAGACGTCCTTGCCAGTTACAATGCAAAGGCGACCTTTTTCATCACCGGAAACAACCTCGGAAAAGGCCAGATGGACGTCGAGGAAACGGGCTATCCAGCCCTGATTCGCCGAATGCATGCTGATGGCCATCAGATAGCGAGTCATACCTGGACACACCAAAATCTGACCGAGATGAGCGAGGAACACATGATCAACCAGATGCATTACAACGAGATGGCATTCAGGAACATCCTCGGTTTCTTTCCGACGTATATGCGCCCACCGTACTCTGAATGCAATTCCACCTGCCAGGCCATTATGAAGAAGATGGGATACCACATCACTCTCTATACACTCGTCACGCATGGTTCGTCTGCTCTGGTAGCTCCTGCTATGATCCCTTGCTCTCATACTCGAACATGCACTTACATTTTTGCTCCGAGCCAGACTATCTGTACGATGATCCTACGTTGATTCAAACGGCAAAAGACAGTTTCGTCGAACAGATGGAGCTGGCGAAGAACTTATCCATCAACACAGTTGCGATCAACCACGACATCCTCTACCAGACATCCTACAACCTAACCAATTATATGCTTGACTATATGAAATTTCTGAACTACGGCACATCTGTGACGGTTGGAGAATGTTTGGGTGATCCGCCCGAAAACTGGTATCGAACTGCTGGAGGAGCTCCTCCAGCGGCTGCTCTGGTAAGTCCAGAAATAACCTGTGATGGTGTTCAGTGTACTGAACACGTATACATTAGAAATCCCTCAAAAGCACATCTCTGGCTGTGTCAACTCATCCTTCGCTCTACTCTCTATCTTCCGCATTGTTGGTGCTATATGGACTGAAGCTGCTGTTATAAAACGCGACGGAGCAGTGAAGACAGTGACGGTGGATTTAGTGTGTTATCACTTTGCATAATATAATGTGTCTTGTCTCATCACCAAGTCAAAGCGCTTGTCTAGAGAGCCATTACTTGAAACTCTTTCCAACATTTCACCCAGAGAGCCACGAGGCCGCACGGTACGTTCTAGTGTCAATGCTCAATGCCCCTCTCGGAGCGTCCGTGGCCAGATTCCGGGGGGGAACAAGCCGATCGGCAGCAGCAGATGCTGAGCCGACCAAAGTGTTGGTACCAACACATTTCGAGCCCCGTAGATGGAGTCCTGGTATTGGCTCGATTGCCACGTGGATACATCCATCTATTGGTAGTCCCCCCTGCGTAGCTGAAAGAGGAGGAGGTAGCACTCTTGTTCTATCGGCATTAGACCTTTCTCTGGGCCCAGACAATGGCTCACGCTCTTGGCGAAGAAGCCACCTCAGCTCGTCATCCTCGTGGCTGGTACGATCTTTCTTCTGGGGCCATGATCGGTGGCGTTCGAGCTCACTGAGGCTCTTTCCCCCGCAACCAGGGTCACCCACAGGGTAGCAGTGACCCACCGACCCACCGATCCACTCCTCCATCCCATCTCCAGGTTCTTTGGTCCATGCGATCATCCACGTACTCGCCTGTTATTCCCCCTCGTATTCATCATCCTCCCATCCCGATCGGCCGTTATTCCTCCTTCCCTGCCCGTTCCTGCGTTTTCGTGTCTTGTTCGTGCTCGGTGCTTCCTCCCTGCAAACAGTTTACGTTCAGTTTTCAGGTAATAATTCCGCTGTGACTGAGACACACCTGCTGGCGTTCGCTTGTTGTGTCTTGGCTTTCCTCGTACCAAATTCTTGACTACTAGCTTCATTTCACGCCACATGTACCTTCGTCCCGGTAATTTATTCATCCTTGCTATTTTTTCTGGATGACATGTACTCAAGATATGCTTGCAAGCGAATGCTTCTGACTGTCTCTAAACAGGTACCCGGTGGCTGAGACATACAGCTGAGCTGTGGATGCGCATTTCCATCTTTTCCGCCTCCAAAGCGCAGCCATCAAGCAGCTTTGCACGAGCCCAAAGCATTCTGTTGGGCCCTGAGATCATCTCAACTCATGATCAACCAACGGAAGCCCATGCCTAGAGGGTACAACTCTCACTGAGCGCTCTGACCCTTACCCAGAGGATAGAACTCTTCCTTGAGGGATCCGATCCATCCCCTCCAGGTCTGGAGCCACCCTTTTGTCCTTCACTGTTACGTTCCCTACTATCACCAGTCTTCCGCACTGGGTGCTCAGAAGCCGCCAGATGGTCCAGTCATCGAGGCTCTCCCTAGTGCTCTTGGGTTTTGGCTCAGTGCTCGACAAGCTCGCCACCCCGGTCTTTGCCAGGAGCCTGCACGACAATTCACCTGAATGTGATTGCTATGTCACCAATGGCCGTTCGTCAGCGTTCTTCCAATATCATCGCTTCTACGACTTCCGAGACGTTGGCACCGACAGCATCTACGATCATGAACCTGCTAATGTCACAAGCCCTCAGTCGAACGGCGATGAACCTGGGCAGCAAGGATACCTCAACTCTACCGCCTTCGCTAAGGACTGGAAGATCCAGAACTGGGGCCATGAGCGCGAAGGCCCGAACTATCCAGTGACTGTGCAAATGTCGCCTCAAAATGTCTTCATTCTACGCAATCCTGAGGAGTCGTCCACCTCACACCTTACACTGCGTTCCTACCGTGCCAAGCACTTTACTTCCACCGCCGAACTGGAAGGCCTACAGCGTAATCTCCTGCACGCCTCCATTCGCTTCCATGCTCGCGTCCGTGGTGCCACAGGTGTCGTCGCTGGCATGTTCACCTACCTCAACGACAGCCAGGAATCCGACATTGAGATCTTGACCCGTGACCCGCCCAATCGCATCCGGTATACCAATCAACCCTCAGTCGGTAGCGATGGGTGGGATGTCCCTGGAGCCAGCTCCGAGGTTGAACTTCCAGCCCCTATTGTCTGGACCGACTGGGTTACGCATCGTCTAGACTGGACGCCAAACATGAGCTCCTGGTATGCTGACGGTCAGTGGCTCTTGGACAAGGAGTACGGGGTCCCTCGCCTACCCAGCTATCTCGTGCTCAACCTATGGAGCAACGGTGGCGATTGGTCTGGGAACATGAGCCTTGGGTCTGCCGCGTATCTCGACATCCAGTGGATCGACATGGTCTTCAACAAGTCAGGACCAGATGATGGTTACAAACTAGATGGTAATGGCAAGAAGCTTCGACGCAACATCAACTTTCTTGGAAAGCGATCAAGCCACTGTCACCGTGTCTGTGCTGTGGATAGCGTACCAACAGCAGGGTTTCCCGTCTTGATTTCCAAGGCTGCCAGGACGATGAGAAACCCCGAATGGATACTCATGTGTATTCTGGGACTGATGCTGGCGAGTGTGTCTTTTGTTAACGTGTAAGGATCTGTCTCACAATAAACAATACTAGTTATAGCTGCGCAGCGAATGCAATGAAATCATTTACTACCGATACCTTGACAATCCTTCCGTAAATGACACTTGTAAATGTCTGACACCTCGTCTCATTGATAATGAAACACGATGGTGGCCTTGCTCTAGTTGCAAGTCAGTAAGAGGCCCCGTAAGAGACAAGCCATGTAGGATCTGCAACTATAAGAAACTGCTCAGCCGACACTAGCACAACTTGGAACGAGAGAGAGTATACTTAGCGGACGCATGATAATATAATTGAATCATTTTAGGCTCATTTTGGCCGGCATTTCAGTCGAGACAAGGAGTGTCTACGTTCCAAAGTATTAGATATTATGAACAAAAACCATAGAAGCCTTCAGCCACTGGAGGCTAGGGCAACGCAGCATCCCAAGTCCGTTCTCACGCCTAAAAGAAATGTGACTTTTCCCCGTGAACGATTGCCAGCCTAGGTGTAACACACATCAGTTGTGTTCACTGTACCTCCATAGGCATCGACGGCTGTTGATTCATCGCCTCTCCTAGCTGACAACTCTTCTGAAACCCTCGCTGCTCAGTGAATGATGCTACTGATCCGTAGCCCGAATCCACCTGGTGGCGGTGGTGGCGGCGGGAGCGTTTGCTTTCCACAGATGTGATCTCAAGATCTTGGTCCAAGTCTTCGACTGCTTTCCCCTTGTCTATGACGTTAGAATCCTCTGTCGAGTGAGGAGGCATAACGTCAAGACCGCTCTCTGCCTCGATGATGAACTCTTTCCACAAAGACGAGATGCGACGAAGATTGGATTGTAACTCCACCGCATCGGGACGGCCCTCGAGTTTTGTTTCCACTATGCCTTGGGAGTGCTGTAGAGCAACCTCCAGCAGATGGAACATCTCAGCTGCTTCAGGACTGGGAAGAGCTACTGTCTTCGCAAAGATGCGTTGGTAGAATCGCTCAATCAAATGCATGTTCTTGGCGTCGAGGACCGAGACCATCTTGGTTCCGTCGGCGAAATCGCGTTTCATGGAAGTGACCGAAGGGGCCGGCGAGTAACCAGTAAGCACGCCACGGTACTCGAATTGCTTGAGTAAATTTCGAGTCGTGCCCACCGAGGCAGCTGTCTCGATCATAACAATCTTGCCTGGCTTAACATGGCGGGAGACAATCTCCACAGCCTGTTGCAGGTTTGTCGGTCCTTGACGCGACTCCGTTGGAGAGGCAAGGAAAGGTGACGTGATCAGGTAGACGTTGGCGCGTGCTAGCTCTTCTTCATCTGATGTGATCTTGACGCTGTAGTTCTCAGTACCGGAGAAATAATCACGAGTCGTATCTGCGGACTCTTCTGAAGGATCAAAGACAATGGTACGATAGTGCTGCGCGCAGGTTTTCAGCAACTGCATAGCGTACGGGTTGCAGCCGAAAATGACCACAGTGTCGTGCCGGGGGCGTGGGCGCCCAATGCTCCGTAACCCGATCTCTTTCTCCTCGTCAACGGGAACGGCGACCTTTTCCCGAACTGTGGCTTCAGCGACGACTTTGCGGGTCTTGCCCCAGCCAAAGGAGTCGACGTAATAGAGGGCGTAGAAGAGAACCATGATATTGATGAAGGGTCCGCCACAGACATACATCACACAGCCAATGGCGTACTGAACTCTTTCACGAAGCGTCCGAGGAAGCCAGAAAACGATGCAAATGTAATACGTGACTGGTACTAGCATGATTGACGCGAAACAAAGGATAACCCATCCTTCGACGACTGTGAGGCTTGTCAGCGGTGGAAATGTCTGGCGGAGTGGCTAGACATACAGAGGATGGCTGCAATCAGCGCACCGAGAGATGCAAAGACGAAGATGTTGATGAACCAGACGAGGCAATTGGCGATTGCAAGGATACGCTCGAACCAATAAATCCCAGGGGCAAAAACGAGGAATAGGTCGTTAGATGTAGCTCCAAGTGTCCAGCGTCGTCTTTGCGATAGAAAAACGGACCATGAATGAGGCACATCGGTATATGCGCGTGCTCTAAGAGCTTGTCGAGTCTGAGCCTTGGGAAATGCGGAAAGCATGAGACAGACGTGATTACGATCTTCGCTGGCCGTTGCTCGTGTATGTTTCAGCAAACTGTCAGTTGGCTTCGGACAGTATCCAAAGAGATCCATGAGGATTTTGTCTCCACAGGTGGTTTCGCAGACCTTGAGCAGTTGACAACATCCTGGTAAGCATGAGACTTTGTTTGTCACCATGGATTGATGTAGACGGCGGAGACCCTGCGAGATGGTGTATTCTGCTGATTGGTACAAATTCCACAACCCCCACTGACTGCCTGTGAAGTCAACCGAGACGTATCCGCAGACGCCGATGGTATTAGGGTAACGACTTTCTTTTAGCAGCTCAGAAACACAGGTGGCCTCGAAGATGGTATCGCCGTCCATGCCAATAAGGCAGTCGGCATGTGTAATTCCAGCGTCGGATGCTAGAAAGGAAGCCATTTCTCCGAAGAAGCTAGGACTGAAGATGACTTTCGGCTTTTCATGGCGAAGATTATACTTGTAGAGAAAAGACCGCAAGACGATGAGACTATCGCGTTTGCCTTGATTCTGCTGTTTGACAATACAGTAGTAGGGAAGTCCTCGGTACGTGCCTTGTTGGGCTTCCACATCCATCTGTTCATGCGTCCAGGTGATATACGCGTTCTTGATATAGTGCCGTGATTTACGATCGAGTAGCAAGTCATCCAGGAGGAATTCGCCGCTTGTCTTCTCCATGCCAGGCCCTCGGACTCGACCATCTACAATAATGATGACAGCCTTCTTGTGCTGATCGATGTTGACTTGGTCTACCAATGAGTCCAATGACTTTGTGAGCTCTTCCGGCGTTTCGTTGTAACATGGCAAGAGGTACACGAGATCCTCGGGCTTTGCTGGTATCAGTTTCTTTGGTTTCCAGATGCGGAATCGTATGCCGTTCAGCACAAGAGAGCAGACCATGACGGAGTTCAAGAAGACGGTGATGGTGATGAATGGCAGATAGATGTAGTAATACATCGGCCACTTCCAAGTCGCAAAGATGAACATAAAGCTGTTATGTCAGGAGAAAGTCTCTAGTTCTTTGGATTTCAGACACTCACTTGACGCACACTACAGCAGCAATCAGGTATATTCTCTCTCGTCCGACTCTCCCTTTGCCGGCCGTCTTCAGTTCTTCTTCCGCATTATATCTGGGCTCCACAGGCACTTGTGATACGTACCTCCCCATTTTTTGGGGCGATGTCTCCTCGGGTGGGGGCAGATCCTGCACAGTCGGATAATTTGGCAATGCCGTAGGACGTTGCCCGCTCGGCGCATTTGTAGCATGGCCGCCATCTGAATGAGTTGCACTCCTGCCACTGCTACTTGAAGCCGCATCACTTGAAGAACTTTCGGTGGCAGGGGGAGTAGGAGGCTTTGGGGGTTCCAATCCCACTTCCTTTAGTCGTCCTCCTCGGGGCATTTTGGTAAGCTTCCTTGGGATTCTGACACCGTAAACCTGTGACGGACGTCGTGGTGCGATGCCGAGTTTGGTAGGTGACTCAAACGATGGTGGATTCTGCGGTTCCGGTGACGACGAACCCGCTGGATGTCCAACCGGCGATGCCTCGTCCCCAACTATCTTGGTGCCTATATCCTGACTCGTACCTGGCGCGAAAAGTTAACCCGTTTGCATACTCCGATCTCTGGAAATTTTCGGACTGGAAAGAACCTACTTGGAGCATTGGGCACACCGTCATTGTCGCGACCCTCAACGCTGCTTGTCTCTGAGTGCTCCATGTTCAATGCGACTGATAGATCGACTCAAAAGATTTCTATGCAAGGATCGAATGCCGAACGAAGGGCATGTATTGGAGGTCTACAGAACGGCTCCTTGGTGCGTATGATATTCGCTCACGAGAGGACTTTTGAAGAATTGAGCCTCGTCTTAGTACTAGAAAGGATGTGGAGAGGCTAGAACGACCACTTTCGACACAATCCGTCCATTCTTGGAATCAATCTCTGGAGCTGAAAACAGACTGTCGGCCACAGGGCATCAAATCTAGGTTGCTGCCATGGTTCTCTCAAGCCATGCTCCGAGACCCACCGATGTGTTAGTTGCTTTGAGGACAACACAGCTATGGGGTAACATCCACCCTCATGCCGTTTGGTCCAAAGACTATAGCAAAGGCTTGAGAGGAGAACGCCATGCTGAGACTACCGCCGTACTCCATGGTCCGCAAAGAGAAATGTTGCGAAAGGCCAGACCTCCATGGCTTCCCAACCCTACAGCTGTACTCACCGTTCCTGAGAGCCCCAGCAGACATTACGTGCTCTTGCATTCCGGGAGTCCAGGTAGCCATGGAGTCTAGCCAAGAACTACTAGTTTCTCCTCGCGTATTGTCCGAGTGTGAGGCTCTCGTCCACATACGAGTCCACGAGGAGATCATGGCTGGCTTTAGTGGTGGCCAACAGTGTCCAGTGCCGAAGTCGGTGCGAGGTTGAGGAAGCCATGGAGATGGTGTGATCTAGACGCTGAAAATCTGATTTGGCTTCCGAAGCATTCCAGGTGCCAGGGTTGTACTAGCGGTAAACGCCTGTTAGGAGTCGCCTGAAGTACAATACGTGGTACAGAACCTGGAAGTGTATTAAGTTACATGACAAGCAATACAATGTACCGAGTGCAGAATACATACTTGATACAGCAACAAAAGCATGATTAAGCGTCGTAGCTGTATGTAACGCGCTAGTCTCTGTGCAGTGGATGGTACAGGTAGGTACATCAAGCGAAGAGTGAGTGGGCCAAATATTCTCTCGTATTTTCGCTACATCGGTGTCATGCAGGACCCGGGGACATGGGTGCACACAGACCAATGTCAGTGCGCGCCATGTGCAGGCCAGGCACACGCGAGACGGAAACCCTCCCTGTCTTTGCTTCCTCCCGCCCGACTAGCTGCATACGGTATGACAAAGGACGGTAGCGATCTGGGGACTAAATTTATTTTGTGGGGAAGCCAACATCATGCTTCATCTAGAGGTGGTCCATACATTACTCGCCCAAACAACTGATCTAGCTCTACAACTATTGCGGCAGGACCCCTCTGGACTACAATTTCTGGCTGTCCTTGAGGGCCAGCCAGTAAGGGCGACCGGCTTGCAAGCCCCAAATGCAAACAAGAGCTGGAACAAACCTCTCAACACGTGCTTGGCGCTTCATGCTGGACATCGCCTGCCGGCCCTGGTACCTCCTTCTGCACTATTGAAAAACAAATATGGTATACGCACGGCTCAGACGTCCTTTTGTCTGTTCCAGATGCGCCTGAGGCTTGCCATCGCTGAAACCTGACGAGTACTCTTGCTGCAAGCCTGAGACATTTCTTCTCTTCGAACCCAAGTTCGCTTCGTGAATTCAGCCAGCATGCCTCCATGAGAACCTTTCAAGGTAGTGGAACCGTCACGATGGTGTGAACCCTTCTCCATTGAGCCCATAGAGGGGAGCTGATGGTAATGGCCTGGAACCCCCGAACTGTTGCCCCTTGATTGCCCCATGCTCTTCGTATCATACGACATATTGCCTTCAATAGTGGTTTCTGCTGACCTGAATGGAATTTCAAATTCAGCGCCGCCAACCCTGGCCATACGTGCCGTCCTAGTCAAAACAAGAAACGATAGTGGCAAAACAACCTGGCTGGTGTCGCAGGGTTGCGAGGCACGCCTGGCCGGATTTGCACTCTGATGTCTGCCCGTATTCGTTTCGCCCACCAGTGCAACATAACGGAAGTGGTAGACAACATGACTACATCGCCGATGTGAAGTCCCCGCCGTGGCTGGCTGAAGGGGACCGTAGAGGAGGGCCACGTTGAAGATTGTTTGGACGTGGATGGCATAGCTTGGTGACGCTGTTTACCACAATTTTGCACTTCCTATCTGGATATTTTGCCACTCAGCCAGTATGAGCTGGCCAGAATCACTGGTGCTTAAGGGTAATCCTGATGATGCCGTGCTTTGCTTTCAGGAGGCGAAATGCAGAAGAAGGACCATCATTGTGGCGATCCATGACCTTCAGAGGCTGTGAACGGGTGCCTTGATTCGGATGCTGAATATCCCTCAAGTCAAGCATGCACAATACAGTATCAGCACGTAGCAAGTCATACACCAAGCAAGTCCAAACAATAACATTTGCCTCCAGTATTGGAGAATGACCCCTTAATCGTCGCCATACTAGTACTGCTCGTTTTATACCGCCCCGTGCATTAAGCATTATTTGACAGACCGTCATCGTGTGGAGAGAGAAGGACAAACATCCTGAACTCCCATAGTGTAGAGAATTCAGCGAACATCTTGCAGAATCATGGACAATAATTTACCACCTGTACCCCTCCCTCGAGCTCTTCCAACACTCCAAAGTCCAAAGACACCTGCTTCAATGCGACAACGATTATGTCAAACCTTTCCAGCATTTCCTTATTCCATTCTGTATTCTCATCGAGCCGTGGCACATAAGGCAGATCCTGTTCCTTGACCAAAGGATCAACGAAGGTTACATGTGCTTCCCATTGATCCAGGAGACGCTGGATTAGCGAGACGGCTGGGGAGTGCGAAATGCCAGATTGCCCACGCTTGAAGCCCACACCTACGACGAGGATGCGAGGGGCAACCTTCGAGAATTCTCCCTCGGTCTTGGACTTGAGGAAAGTTTCCATGAACTCGTCGCACAACCGGGAGGGACGAGACCACATACGCTCTGTGGCAAGTTGTAGGACAGGAAAGGCGCCGTTGCTCAACAGGTAGTATGGATTGACAGGGATGCAATGGCCGCCGACGCCCAGTCCCGGCGTGTACGGCAAGTACCCAAATGGCTTGGTAGCCGCCGCGTTGCAGACCTCGTAAGGGTTGATACCATGCGCAGTGCAGGCATCCGCCATTTCGTTCGCATAAGCGATACAGACCATACGTTGGCAGTTCTCGTACAGTTTGGTCATTTCTGCAACTTCAGGGCTCGATACCGGGACGACAGAGGCGAAGACTTTGGAGTAGAGACGTATAATGCTGTCAAGGGAGCCGCAGCTTATGTCGTCGAGGCCGGAAAGAATTTTGGGGATGTCTGTGAAACGGGGAATAGCACGACCCGGATCCACGCGCTCGGGTGACATACCGCCTCGTAGACCCCGGGCGACCATAAGATCCGTGAGGAGTCGGCGTGTCATGCCGACCGCAACTGAGGATTCAATGACAATGGTAGCTTTGGGTCGGGCATAGAGTCCCACAGTGTAGACTGCAGTTCGTAGATGAGATGTGTCGATTCGTTTGTCTGGGTGAAGGATTGTTGGGACAGCAATCAGGAAGTGGCTCGCATCAGCTAGCTGGGCTGGATCGGTGGTACAATGGACGGATGGAAAATCCCTCAGCGTCTGAGCAACAGTGTTGATCCTCTTTTCAGAGATGTCATATGCGATGACCCTGTAGTGTTCCGCAAAGGCTGTGACGAGTTGGATGCCAACATATCCAACACCCATCACAGCCACCAGTGCTGGTTCATTGCCATCGACTGGGATGGATGGTGTTGGCGGAGGGCTGCTGAAGTAGGTTTCTGGCGGCGGTGTGTCTGCCGTCAACGAGTCGGAGAACGAACTCCAGACATCCTGAGGTCGCACTCGGTCGAAAGGGAAAGAAGCCTCATGGTTCAGAGATTGCTTCGGAATGTCCGCCAAGGCATCTCGCTCCTCAATTTGATACTCGGAAGAACCACAGCTCAAGCTCTGCACATCCTTCAGGGCAGCTATCTGGCTTGGCAAAGAATGCTGGAGAAGCATGTTTTGAAAGAAGGGCTTGGAAAAGAAGACTGTGCTATGGAGAGAAGCAAATGCTTGCTTGGACGGGGAACATACACCGGCAAGGAGGACTTATATCGACGAGGATGGCCGAGGTGAGCAGAGCCCTGTCAGCATTTCTTGAATGCTTACCGGCGATGAAAAGGTACTTGTGGCGCCAATCCTGTAAAATGACGGCAGCATCTTCGCATCGAGACCGGGACCCTGTTCGTAACTCGGAACAGAGAATGTTGCAGCTGAACGGAGCTGAACAGATTGTGCTTCAGCAGCAGCAGAAACATTTTCGCCGGAAACGAAAAACACCTCTGTCCGTCCCATGCTCAGACGCTCGAAGGCAACGAGGAGCATCCCTCGCCAGACCTGAAAGGGGTATGCATCGACTTCTGGAGCCCCACTGAACCAGCAGTGGCTGAACGTTCTAGTTGCGCTTTGGAAAGTCTCCATTGCTTGCATTTGGACAAACGGAGACATCTGATCGCCATTGATCGGTTGTGATTTCTTCTCTTCACATGCTTCCATCACACCATCCGCGACCTGCCAAGCCGAGGCGCAAGTCTAGCCTCTGAGTTTCTGCTGCAGCTCGCTGCAATGTATAACTTTGGCTGGGAAGCCTTGCACGGGAGTATAATGCTACGGTTGGTTTGGACAATCATGGCATATGTTTTGTGAGCGAGACGTTCTGGAGGTAAAATACGACTGGCCCAGAGACCAGAACCTAATGGGGGCCGAGCTCGAGCCAAAGAACCAAGCATGGCAAAGGTAATGATATGGTACACTAAGCCTTGTACCAAGCCAGAAGCTCCATGACAGAATGTGGCTGTATCAAGCTGTACGGTAATTCCACTTAACGTATGGTATTGTCAGACAACAACTCTAGCGATGTCAAATGCCAAGTATGTACCAAGGACTTAATTCCTTGGCACTGAGGTACTCCACCGTCTCCACTCAACCTACAACGTAATAAGCTTCCGAGTCATCTGGGGTAATGGACATCAGAAGTTCCTCGGCCCAGCTCGTGTTCTCTGTACGGCAGACCCATGTAAGCAGCCTACTTTAGGAGATCGCTTGTACACGACTTGCACCTCTCAGACCTGAACACTCATGGAGCTCTGCCCCAGGATGCACACAACGCCTCCCCAGGGACAACACCCAATGAGGACTTTAGGTGCGCAAGCGAACACGATAATCCTCAACGCTCTGCAGGTCAGGCGCGCGCGTTGTCAGAAATACGAGGACGCAAGTCAGTCAAGCATAAGCGAATCCGTTCTTTTTGGCTATCCTCTCGCCCCCTGGCTTGATTCTGTCCAGCATTGCTTGGATGCCATCTTGCCTTGCGACTTCGACCTCCTTGAGCCAACTTATTGATTGTCGTCCCGCAAACTATTGACGCCTCATTTTGCTATTTCGTTTAGTCCACCATGGGTTCCGAAGCATCGCTACCCCTGATTCGAAGGCAATGTGCTGAGACTCAAGGGGAGGATGGGAAATTTGCTGACCATCATTACCAACTCTCGTCAGGTTGGCAGCGGTCTCATCTATATATCCGCACCAGAATCTTTCCATGGCCAGCAAGTTGTGTTGCAGGTCCTTTGTGTGTCCTGAGTCTTTCTTTCCTCGCGCCACAGCGCCTTCACCTTCGTTCCCAGCTGAACAGATTGCAGCTATTGCTCCCATTGGGGCATTGCCAAGATGATGTTCTTGCCACTCGTTGCTGTACTTCTGTTGGGTCCTTCATTTACACTGGCCCATCCTGGTAATGGCCGTTTCCCGCCACTGCTGGCAAGAGCAACCAGCCCTGATAATTCTTGCGGTGGCACGAATGGCTACACCTGCCCGTCCTCCATGCCTTGTTGCTCGAAGTACGGTTGGTGTGGCAGCACCACTGACTATTGTGGTACCGGATGCCAGGCAACGTATGGGACCTGTACAGTTGGCCCTACGAGTCCAGATAACACTTGCGGAGGACCCAACGCATACATTTGTCCTAGCTCGCTTCCATGCTGTTCGCGCTATGGATTTTGTGGTTCCACAAGTGACTATTGCGCAGCTCCAGGCTGTCAACCATCGTATGGAACTTGCTCGGCTGCTGGATCGGCATCGAGCTCATCGTCGTCTTCAAGCTCTTCGTCATCACAGATATCGTCGTCAACAGCTTCCTCGTCTTCGTCACAGACGACGACATCGAGCGCATCATCAACTTCTTCATCGCCTTCTTCATCGTCTTCTTCATCATCTTCTTCATCATCTTCTTCTTCATCAACACAGACGACAACATCGAGAACATCGTCTTCCTCTTCCTCCTCCTCATCCTCCTCCTCATCATCATCCTCGTCACAGACGACTACATCGACGACGTCGTCTTCAACAACTACTTCCTCGCCACAGACCACTTTATCAACTTCCTCTTCTTCATCTAGTACATTATCATCGACGGCTTCCTCTTCAACAACTCTATCGTCCTCGACCTTACCTTCATCATCAACAGCTTCCTCCTCATCTTCCTCGTCCCGGACTACGTCACCCTCTTCTTCGTCGCACTCACTGTCGTCGACGACTTCGTCTTCGTCATTACAAACAACTTCATCGACCTCTGCATCGTCATTATCAACGTCTCAGCTATCTACAACGACAGCCACCCCTAGCTCCTCCTCGACGACAACCTCCTCGGTGCCGACATCTTCCTCGTCATCATCGACTGTCTCGACTTCTCCCTCGACTACAGCTTCATCGTCAACTACTAGTTCCTCTCTATCTTCCGGTATCAGCACCACTACGACAATTGTATCCTCATCCACTTTATCAACAACGACCTCTTCCAGGACAACCTCTTCCACGACAACCTCTTCCACGACAACCTCTTCCAGGACAACCTCTTCCACGACAACCTCTTCCAC